AAATATTACTTTATATATTAAGTATAATATAAAAAAATATATTATAATATTAATTTATTTATATTATTTATTAATTTTTTAAAATTAATAATAATTTTTATAAAAACTTAGAAATTAAAATAATTATATAAATAAAATATTTAAAATTAATTTATAACTATTTTAATTTAAAATATATTTTTATTTATTTATTAAATATTAAATATTTTATTTTATTATTTTATTCTAATACTTATTAATTTTATAGCCTTTTTAGCCTGCCTTAGTGTTTAGCCTGCCTTAGTGTCGAGCACCACCTTTAGTAGTGAGAGCTTTTGCTAGCCGAACTACATAAAGTGGGGCGGGCACGATTAATAGTCTCGCGAGGGAGTTTTAGTGGAAACCCTAATTAGAGGCTAAAGGTTAGCAAATATAAGATTCCGAGTTGGGTAGAGCTGGGAATTTAGCGTACTTCTAGTGACCAGAATTTTGGATAGCTCCAAAGTGATGTCGTCTCCCCGGGCCTGCTGGTGGGACCACACCACTCTATACTGCTTAGCATGTCCAGCTTCCTGGGCACCTTCTCTATAAATATCACTCCTGCAGCATCGTCATCTAGCAGAGAATCAAGTCGTCAAAAGAGTCATGATGAAACACAATCTCCGAAATACCATCTCCCGAGGATGGCCCTCTGCTTCACAGCGCCAGGGTGATGTTTTCATGACCATCAGTGCCGACGATGTTTATCGCCAGGTTGGAGCTGTCCAACACCCACAGCAACTGTTTGAGAAAGCCAAGAGCTGGATGACTTCCATCCAAGACATGGAGCGTGATGAAGTGAAAGACGAACTCATTCTTGCAGAGCTACACGGGGCCATGATCCGCGCAATCTTTGGCAGTAATCAGATTGAACGAGCAGGGCTGAACCTCGACCTCACCACTCAGCTGTGCCGCAAAATCCTTGCTGGCGAATAAGTAGGCGAACTTTCTGAGCGAGATCCGACATACCAGAGTCAACTGTTGGAGCTCTACTCCAAGCAGTCTGGCCTAAAAAACATGCCAGCCAAATACATTTTGCGAAGCCGGAACGAAGTTGTTCAACATGCCCGGGCATTCCAGCACATTATTCACGCCTTTGTCGTTGACAAAAAAGATCTCTCAGAAGATCTTATCAAGGAAACGCACCGAATACTTGTCAAAGGTGTCCCAATTGTCGAGGAGGGGTACCCAGACGTTAGCCCAGACGAGTATGGAGGAGTTTACAGAAAAGTTGTCGTTGGCGCGGGCACAACTAACTTCACCGTCCCCGAATTTGTACCAAAGAAGATGGAGGAGATGTGCGATGCCCTCAAAGACGAACTGGAGATTGCCGAGGACAGGAAAGGAATAGACCCATTCTCCATCGCCTCCAAATACTCGATGGAGTTTGTTATGATCCATCCGTTCCAAGACGGCAACGGACGAATGTGCAGAATGATACTTAATGCTATTCTTTGCCGCTACGCTGGGGTCATAGTCCCCATTGGAGAACAGGACGAGGAGAGGAGGGTCTACATGGGTATCAAGCGGCGCGCAAGCCAAGAAATGGAGGGTCATGGGGAGTACGCAACTTTTGTTTTGGAGAAGGCGCTGCCACGTCTAAGACAGATGAAGAAGAAATTAACGGGGAAAAGAGGCAAACAAGCGGTGACCAAAGAATGATTGTACAAAGATTGCCACGGCGAAGGGGAAATGTAAGGAGATGACACCGGCGACACCAGATGTTGCCTGCAATTTATAGGATGCGTAAACTCATTGCCTTGGCATATCAGACTGCATGAGACAAGAAACTCTATCCCAAGGCAGTGCTAATCCGGTAAGTAGTCCCTCAGCATCTTCTTCCCCCATCAAAGACTTGCGTTTGATGGATACCTCAGAGCCTGCCAAGACTGACAAAATACCCCCCAAAAGCTCGGAAGTACATCGCACGACAACCATCAACGGCATTCGTTAGGACGATCTGCGACGATTGCATGTCACTTTCTGCTACAAGGATCAAGACCAGCTCAATCGCGATGTTCATGTAGCGTGTCATTGCTATGTCACTGACGAGGTGAGCCTCGAGTTTATAGAGGCAACTGAAGCTGCGGGAAAGCCGGACTCGTCGATGAAGAACGAGAAGGCAGCCGTTGTTTGGCCAGGCATGGCAGATCTTTGGGCTGCCCCAGAAATTGGGTACGGCCATCTTCCCGGTGCAGACGGTTAACAGAGACTTCAGATTATGCTGGAGGTGCCTGATGTGGAGCGGTAGTCAATAACCTTGCGAATTTCTAATCGAACTAAACTAGAGAGCCCAAGGGCTGGAGTTGTTGAGCGTGCCCACGAGCGACAAATGAACTTAGCCACTGACCCGTAGGACGATCGTCATAGTGCTGGTGGAGGTTGCTGGCATGGCCCTTGTTGTGGTGTGTTCAGTTGTAGTATTAATATTAACGGTATCAGTACGCAAAAGCACTTGCCGCCTCCTCGGATTTTTCTGTTTGCGAAGAATTAGAAAATTGCATGGGACGAGACTGATTTTAGGCAAATTGAGCTGTTGGAAGATGCTGTAGTTTGGAGTGGCGAAAATGCAGCCTTTGTCCGTGTTGCGAACCTCCTCAAATCGCTGTTTTGCTACTAGCAACATATGGGATGATACCTAAAAAGTAATTCTCTAGCTTCCGTAAGTACTAGGGAGAGCCAGCCGCATCTTGTTGCAAGGCGAGAGCGACCAGAGGCGCCGTGTCCAATCTCTTCACTACTTGGGCAGTCACTTGGGATCCAGGCAAGACTTGCGAACTTTGACCTCTACCTCACCTGGCTCGATCCGCTGTCCCCTCACTTTGACTTTGTCGTGTTTGCGACGTAGGAATGCAAGCTGGCCGCTGCTCACATCTTGTCGGACCAAGTCTCCAGCCTTGTGCAGTCGTCGGAGGGCCCGGAACCAAGCCGGGGGCCCCACAAAAGCGGCGGCCGATCGCTCCGGATCTCCAACATACCCTCGGCCCACGATTGGTCCTTCCAACATCAATTCTCCAATTGCGCCGGGCAGTGCCAGCAGATCATGGTTGTCGCGGTTCTCGACCCAGGCCACGCATCCGTTGGGCTGTCCTATATATCTTGGGTCGTCAGACTTGGTCAGCGGCTCGGTCACAGTGCTGATGACGCTGCCCTCGGCAGGACCGGAGCCTTGGATGACGCGAACCAGATACGGTCAGGTCAATCTTGCCGCTTCGAGAGATGGAACTTGTTTTATGGGGAAATATAAGCTGGGGACCATGTGCTTTGGTAGCGCGCGATGCAATCCCAAGGCCGCGCCGTCTATTTTTCCCTGGAAATCTTCATTAACCCCCTTCAACTCCATGAGTAAAGGTGCCTGCGGCTCGTCGTCGTTGCCAGGCTGCTGTCCGGACAATAAAAATGCAGCCAACATAGTGCGCTCCAAGACCTGCACTGTTTCTTCAACCACTTTAGCTGCGAACAATCGAAAGTACTCGTCAAGGTGGTATTCGATTTCAGCAAGCTCGACCCTCTGGCTGTGGATTTTCACTTGGAATCCTTTCGGCCCCTGAAATAGACAACTCCGTCTTCACCGTAACGCGCCCGATAGAGTCGGTTGCCGTGATTCAAGTCAGTCCGGAAGCGGGACAGCCAAGGGGGTGGAAAGATGAGAAGGGGGGGGTCTGGAAATGAACACGTTAGATGGTGGAGGTAGCCCCTTGCAACACTCGGTCCTTCAATGACAAGCTCTAGCACCTACTGGAAGCGGTTTCTTGAGGTCGTCAGGGTCCACGATCCAGGCCGCTTGGGACGAAAAATTTGACCCCAAATCACTAGACATTCGCAGGTTCGCCGGACCAGATATGCCGAGTGGACTCAATCAGCAGGATTGTACCCAGATATAAGACGTTTAGATGACCATAGCTTGATATCTGAAGCACTGACAGCTTTGCCTCCTAGACATAAAGTCTTTAATGCTGGTACCTGCATTGGCCGGTACATGCGGGCTACTGTAGCTGTAAGGAAAGTCCAAGTTGGCCTCAGTTCTGTTATGGCGCGGGCAGGTTCTCCCGTCGAGCTTTCTCTGACGGTATTTCAACTGAAGCTTCAGCCACAAGTACTGTTGGAACTTCAAAAATTCTCAGGTCAAAAGCGTAAGATGAAGAGTGTAGGATACGATCCTGCGGCAGGGGGGTAGAGGTACCATGGAGCTGAGTGCGCACGAGGATAACGACCGTTGCTCTACAATGATTCCCTTTAGCTTTCCAGTAGAGCCAGATGTGAAGACGACATATAGAGGATCATTGGGAGACACGTTTGTTGCGAGAACAGGCTGCTCTGGGCCTGTGCAAATATTTGCCTCGCCCAAGTCATGATCAAATACCAAGACTGTGCCGGCAATTTTCCACATTCCTTTGCGTCGTCAAAATAATAGGTGCCTTCAACGTCTGACACATGTCCACCAATCAATTTACTGGATAGGGAGGATCACAAGCAGCAAAGGCGCCACCAGCTTTCATGACGCCTAGCATGCCAACCGGCATCTACTTGCATTAGTCCATACATATAGCGACAAGTAGGCCTAGTTTAACGCCAGCATCTTAAAGCTTGTAAGCAATATAGGCAAAAGCCGTGCAATCTCGTCGTATGTGAGAGAACCATTCCAGGAGACTGCGGCTTGGGAATCCTGCTGAGGGTGGCAGTGCCGTCCCATAAGATGATGAACGCATACTCCAGACGCCACAGGGGCCTCTTTGTTCCATGGCGACAGTTTCTGCTGGTCCAAAGGGCTAAACATGTCCGTGTTTGCCAAGGGCTGCTGAGGTGCATCTGCGACGCAACTCAAGGCAACTTGCAACGTAGCGGGGAGATGACCAGCCTGGTCCGCCGACACGAAATCGTCTTTGTATGAAACTGTACATGCATCTCCGAGGGAGAACTCACTATACGGTCGTACTATTCCACTGGGATCAGCACCCGAAGTTCAACAGAAGACAAGTTGATCAAGACACCAAGATAGTCTATAGTGATCCTGTCAGGATTGGGGTTCCAAGCAGAGTAGACAAAGGGATCACACAGGGCACTCGCTGCGACTCTGTAGATAGTTAGGTTGGTGGCAATGACTGTATTAATCTCTAAACCTCCTCTTCTCTCAGCACAAACTCCCCTTCTTTATATACACATAGGCTACTAGCTGCTATCTCGCAGCTAATTTAGTGGCTGCCGCACCATTGTGTCAGAGTGAATTGGGGGTGAGCTCGCCCCACATGCCCTTAATCACTCGGTCGGGCGTCGGGTCTCTGACAGATCCCCTCACATTTTCCAACCTCTCGGCTTGCATCAAGAATCCCGTCAACGCGTTGGGTCGTACAAGGTCGGAAATGCCTTCTCCAGGCCATTCAATCACGCAATTATTGCACAGATTGTCATTCCGGATTGAAGAGACCAAAGACTCCCGACATAACTGGCTGCTCATGCAAGTCAAGTTTTGACGAATCATGTCCAATAATGAGTCGCTAGCTTTGAGCGGAATCTTGCACGAAACAGTTTCGATAATTCTGTGAGCCTCAGACGGCGTCTAAGAGATAAAGGCGCTGCATGCAACAACCGCGTAGTCGAAGGAGACGTGAGATGCTGCTCGGTAGGTCGGGAGGACCATACTCCAAACCACTTTGTAGATGCCCTCCAGAGAGATGCCATGCTCTTCGACAACATGTTTGAATCTGGGTACAAGCGATTAGCAGTTGACTCTGGTTGACCGGATTTTTGGGCGGCAGGAGAGTGGTGCAAATGGCTTAAATCCAAGATACAGGGCTCATTCGTCGGCAACTGGGACCCTTCAAGATCGACCGCCACATCTCGGTTGGGCGTTTCTCGCCTCGAGCCAGATTCGCGATCCTTCTTTCGTGGCCGAGAGGAAGGGCTGGGTTTACAGCCATAGGAGACATGTAAAACGTGAATGAATGGTGACGCTTCTATCGAGCACTGTCTGGGAAGAGAACTCGAGACGTGAACAAGTCAGATTCAGGCTTGACAGTTAAGATCAGACCAAGTTTAAAGCAAACGACAGATTGTTTCATTCAGTTTGCGTTACCTACTTTACGTTCTAGTTGCCGTACTCTGTAAATGTGGCTGTATTGGTAAATTTTTCCTTTCTCGGTTCATGGCACGGCTGACGGCTTTGCCGTGCCGATGGTCCGCAGTAATATTGACGAAAATTCAAGATGGGCCAACATTCGATCATGTCATTTACCTATTGATTTTTATCCACAAAGGCTACCGTATAAATACCTTCCAGGATACTCGTGTCAGCGAAAAGGGGATGCGGCATGAGAATTGACCTGCGCAGTAGAGTTGACTCAACTTGGTGACTTGCGGTCAAGCAGTCACAGACAAGACCGGCATATCACGGTCACATATTAGTTTGTGGCGTTTCGCGTCATCACGATACCATTACTTTGCAACAGAAACATGGCGCACACATGACATAATATATACACAACTGAGTATGTCGGTCAATTCCAACACCAGCCTGCCCAATCGTCTTGGTGATCACTTGAAGCGTCTCAATTTCTTCAGTAGAGTCCCAACAACAATCCCACCCTGGCCCTCAGCGGTTTGCCGTCAACTCAGACCCTGCGGCTGTGCACAGGGCCACTGTCGAGGAGGGCGTCGCTGTCGTCGAAGGGTTTCTTTCGCCAGGACAGGTGCAAAAGCTCAACGGAGACGTCACCGCGCCCTTGGATGCCTTTTGCAAGCAGCCAAAGTCGGCGGCGCCGGATGCAAAACGACCATGGATGGCCGACTTCGTGTCTGAGCACGTCTCCCGCGCACACAACTTGGTCGGCTTCAGCCACGTTTTCCGCCACGAGATTCCGAAGCACGAGTTCATGCATGAGATATGTCGTCAGACATTGCTGGCGTCGGGCGACTATTGGCTGCGCTACGTAGCCGTCATCGAGAACGGCCCAGGAACGAGCGAGCAAAAGTGGCACAGGGGCCAGCCCGACTGCGGCTCGGTCAAGTAAGGCCCAGGGGCGCCTGAGGGCATGCTCAACTTCTTCACAGCACTGACCGATTTCAACCCCGAGACGGGCCGGGCCCAGTGCATTTGGGGCAGCAACAAACGGGTCGAGCTTGGTGAGCCAGATGACGAGCATCCGGTGGTCTTGGTCGACCTCAAACCCGACGACACGTTGATGCCAGCGGCAAGATTACACACCGGCCTTTGGCGCAGAGGATGGTTGGCAGACGAAGTGTCATGATACCCCATGTTTGTTGCATGAGCTCGCAAGGGACGTAGAACGCGCACTCCAACCAGCGGAAGGTCTATCGATGTCGTTGCAATGTCTCGGACAAGACGTGTATCCGAGCACTCAACACGATGTATCCACATCTGCATCAGTTTGTTCCTGTGTCTCGCCTGTCGTTCTAGCAACGAGTTCCCTCAAAACCGCCGCGGTGGCGTTTGCGTGGCCACATGGCTTTTAGACTCTGGTATCAGCAAGCCCCGATGCGGACATTTCCACAAAGTAGTGCTGCGCCAGCACAGCTCATTCGCGAGAACTGCTACAAATACAATGTTTAGAAAAGCCAAGCCGTCCTCGGGTCTTGTAAGCCCTCGCTGCCAGCTACGAGACTCGCGGTGTGTTGCATTTTCTAGACGGAGGGCCGAAGTCGGGGAGGCCGCATCAATATCGGGGACTTGCGGCTCCTCTTTGATCACCAAGAGGCCAAACCCGAGTTTGTTTATTGGCACAGGGCATAAAAGAGGTTAAACCAGAGCTCGTCAGGGACGCTTGGTGCTTTTGTGCCTCCGCCACCGCAGACCTTCCGGTGGTGCCCGCATGGCTCTGATGCTGACCAATAAGACTACCTTCCAAGGATGGTTTCTTCCAGATTCTAGTGCATCATGGCGTCAGCCCTGGGGTCGAGAGGGTCCATGGCAATGCAGGACAACGCTGCATGCATATGCAGCTTGGTGTCGGCGCGTGGCTCACACCGGCTCGTGCCCGCAAGTTCCCCAGAATCTCTGCAGCCATTTGTTTCAGCGTGAGTGAGGGAGCATCTGTTGGCCGCTGACAAAGGGGGTCTCACTGGATTGCCGCCGCTGACAAAAGTCTCGTTGGATTGCAGGCCGGACGAATGGCGCCGGTTCAAACCGGGCTGGCGTCGACCTAGTTGACTGACTCTCCTGGGTCAGGGGTCAGGCTCATCATGACGTACAGCCCGTTGGCAACTTGACTGTTGACATGTTCAATGTTGTGGCGAGCCCGTCTCTGAGACTTGATCCCCCGGGGCATTGGTCTAGAAGCGCCCAGATGAGAAGATGGCGCCGGTCCATGTCTTCTCCAAGCAGTCTACTGTTAGTAACAGGCAGTGCCAAGGACGAACCGTGGCCGTTCACAGACCAATTGACAAGAAAGGCTCGTCCGATGGCCGTTCCTCGTGAGGCAATCGCCCACTCGCACTTTCGGAGATTACTCCAAGAAAACGGATTCACCCGATGCCATGACTGCCTTCATCTAACGCCATGCTGACGGTCACGGACTATCCGATGGCAAGGTTCGTCCCCAGCCAGTTCAGTAACCCTCGGCCCTTGTGCGTGGTGCAGCTCACCGAAACATGTCGAAGAGCCAGGCGCAAAGGGAGGGTACAAACGAGAGACAGCCCACTATATTTTCAACCCAACTCGAGGCTTGGATATATGGAACTTGCTGGGCACCGTAATGACCTTCTCCACTCATCCCCGTCAGCATTGTACATTTCTCCTTCGGCTTGGGTCGTCCGTGGCATGCATCGCAAGGGGCTGCCATGTCAACCCTACTAGAGCATTTGACCCTGCAGCAGCTTCCGGTGGCGGGCACGAACAGGGCCGAGTATACGAGAGTCTTAATATAGAACAGAAAAGCCCGACCACGTGGCTGTAGGGAAAGGACGCGACATTCCTCGACAACCTCCCACAGCCCATCTCAACCGGAACCAGGAAACCAGGAAACCTGGGGAAACCCACTCTCAGGAACCGGCCCCATGGAGATAGCACGCACGCCACCGCAGCGGTGTATGTATGGCCATGCCGTGAACCACAGCAGCGGTCCACAGCCGCTGGCCCCGGCTTCTATTGTTCTCGATGGGGCGAGCTATCACGGGGGCTGCTTATAAGCCGCCCTGGCCACGGCCCAGCCCTGCGACAGGGCTCCGGCTTCTATTGTCACAATGGAGCCGGGCCCCGTTCCATTTCACGATGGCTTCATGCGGGATTTACCCCAGTCTCGTCCCCAGGTTCTTTCCCTGCAAGCGTGTGCCGCAGATGGCCTCCACGCAGATGATTCTCGTCCGCAAAAGACGGTCCGGAACCCGCGTAGTTGGACGGATATAAGAGCAACCGTCGCCTCGCGGGCCGGAATGCATTTCAAAAAACCAGCATCCATCGGTCAGGTTTTTGTCTCCCGTTCATCACTTACAACTCACCTCCACCTCCACCAAGCATCTCCACGAGATGAAGTTCTCCGTCGCCTCAGCTGTGGCCGCCATGTTGGCCGTGGCCCATGTAAGCAGAGCACGCACACGCACAAGGAGACGGCACCACGCACAAGACCGAGGCTAACAACGACGCGCGCGCAACAGGGCCTTCCTAGTGCCGTGCCACGCGAGCTGGAATCTCTCCACGCCAGAGGCGGAGTCACCTGGACGGGCGAGGTTCTCCCCGGCAAGAACTTCACCTTCAGCGGCACCATCCAGGAGGTCCAGGCACAAATCCTGGCCCAGAACCCCAGCTACTTCGACCAGTATGTCAACGTCACCGACAGTGAGCCCGAGACCCATCTCGAAAGGCGATGGGTAAGTTGTCGTCGCCCGACGCGTCCCGGTCCAGCTGCCGCTCGGTGCAGGCTCATGACTGACATTTGTTCCAGACGGAGAAGCAGCCCCCGGACTGCAGCTACGGCCATTACATGCGCCGCATCTACGCTGTGCGGTTCATCAACGGTAAGCAATGCACTGGCTGGCCCTTGCCGAGGTTGCCGCCGCTGACGGAGCCGTCACCCACGCAGAACTCAAGGCCAAGCACGGCGGCACGGCCTTGTGCGGTGCGCCTCCGAGGCGAGGACCCGGACTCGGCGGTTGCTCCAGAGTCAGCTGCAGCTGGGGATCGCAGATGTGGTTGTGCAACGACAACGACTACCACTTGGACCTCCCTTGCACCGAGGTTGCCTCTGCTCTGCTCGAGCTGAGCAATGTCTGCTACTTTGTCGTGAGTCACCCGGTGCCTCGCCAGAGCACCCTGCCCTGACGCCCATGGCTGCCTGCAGAACTCTGGCTAACACGTGGAAACAGCAAGAGGGTGGCGATACCCAGGTACAAGGCCAGGTAAGCTCGCATAGCCTCTCACCGCATCAGCACAAGACGTGATTGTTGGGGAGTCGTTCTGACATGCCCGATAGCTGTTTACTACGGATAACTGGAATGTCATTATTGACTATTACGGCGACTGCCACTCGAGTCCTACTGTGGGATAGATGATCCGCCGGCACAAGCTCAGGCGAACTGTCAAATATTGCCTGAGTAGAGGAACCTTTGAGCCTCAATTCATACTAGCAAACGACGTCCCAGCAATAAAATTTTCAAAACACTTATCTGTCTCGAGCCAGTTGTGTATTACCCCGTTATTTATGACAAAGTTGCAGCTGCGTGTTTACCCCGTGATTCCCTATTCCGTCTGGACATGAGTTGTCGCCTTTCCAAAGGCTGTGACGTGCAGTAGACAAGTTACGACTTGTGTCCCGCGTCCATCGGCCTGGGCTCTGTTAATGTCTGCAAATACACATCCTTTTCGTCGTCAACGTACGTCCCAAGGGGCAACCCTGAAAGCCGGTTACCGGCTCACTCACCCTCAAGGGATATACTGACATCGCGCCAAAATACCGTCAACTGTCTCAGTCGGCGTCAATTAGTCTTTGCGTAGTGTTCCACGCCTGCAGCACTACACAAACCTTGTGCAACCAGCCAAAATATGCATGTACCCCGGCGTTTCACTAGAACCCTGACAACCCATCGTGTTCACCTGAAGCAATATCAGAATCAAAACGGACCGCATCGCTAGGCCGTAAACATGCCAGTCACATTTCTGCTCCTCCTGCTCTGTCTGCCGCCGAATTACTCTGGATGTCTGGGCCGGCCGGCAGCTGGGCGAGTGCCCTGGGAAGGCAGTCTCACTTTTAGATTGCAAAGTTCTAGCACAGACAAATTCGAGCCGGTCAAGTGTGCAAAAATGGTGTTCAATTTCGTGATAGCCATAGTTTACCAATACTTCCCCAGCGGCCAACAGCCCAAGGACGACGCCCATTCCGCGCAGGGCACTGAAGCTCTCCCACTTGAGACCGCATCAGCCCCCTACCACGTCAACTTCAGCGGTAGCAGACGCAGAGGAACGGATTGACATAATATCCGCAAAACGGGTACGCCGAATTGCAGCACATATATCCCTGGCAGGGCCAGCCACAGTAATTGCAAGCTGCGTGCAGGTGCTCGTCAGTTGCCGTGGTCAAAACACCGTGGTATCGGACCAGCACGTACCGTCGCTGCTTTCAGCCTTGCCGTCGGCGTGTGAAGCCGCCTGCAACGCGGTGTCAGATGGAATGGTGGTGAATTCTGAGTCGAGAAAACCATTAGTGACGTCCAGCCAGCCCGCCACGCCGTCACAGAGTCGTCAGGATACCTTTCAAGCCGTCTTTGGCCTCGGGTGCAGGCGCACCCAGGACAAGACAGTGTGTCAAGAGGCCGAGAGCAAGAAGCTTGGCTTGCATCTTGTGTAGTCCGAGTCACTCGCTTGTTGGGATAGACACTTTGTTCTTTTTTCTACACGAGCTGGGTGAGTCGAGTTGTCATGCCAGAGCACATCGGCGGCGGCTTACACGCCTTTATATCTCTGGTTCGAGAGGAACCAGGAACCACAGTACGGTCTTCTTGGTAGTCAATTCTTTCTCGTCGCCTCTCCGTTTCTCACGCTTATCTGTTGCAGACCCCAGGTTCGACGCAGATTGGACGGCTGTTGGCTGGCAGGTCGGAGAGCGCATGACCAATATACATATCAAGTAGGACCAAGGCGCAAATATTGCTCAGTCCTCGCGTCGTGAAATGGCTGCCGGCGGTGACACTTCTCCCACTTTCCGCACCATCCGTTGCCCTCTGACGGGTCCGTCTTGTCCAATACGGTCCCTCTGATAATCCTGCATGCAGTTGGTTGTCGAGTACTGGACTTGATATTCTTCAGCGTTGCACCATGTGCGACAGGGTTGAATCTATCACTTGTGGCAAACTATTGTCATTCACGCCGCGTTTGGTCAACATTGCCTTGGGTGACTTCCAATACTCGGCATCCGTCTGGCGTGATTCTCCAACGCTGTGCCTTGGAGGAGCAGTCGGCATCAGCATGTTCAGCCGATGCAGTGCTACCACCAAATATCCCGTGTCTGGCGTCTTGTCACGACATTCCAAGGAACCAAGACCCTATTTTCTTGAACAGTGAATGCAATACTCCGCATTTTTTCTGCTTTGCCACCACGGCAGGAACACGACATGTGTAGCCTTGTGGCGGGGAAGTACGGTTGCTGCAGCCATTCAATATTCAATATTCCCAACTGTTCGCCGAATGCCACGTCACATGGTCAAGGTCTAAGGACGTGGATCATGAAAATCAATTCTAGGAACTTCTGCGGCAATCTCAACCGTTGGACGGTCATGGTCCCAGATTCCGACGACGCTGATGCTTTGCTTGATCCTTTTCTCTACAGCATAAAACGCCCAACCGTCTTGGTCTTGTTTCGAGTGCCTGCAGGTTCTCAATGAAAAGCCAGGTGCCTCGTCGAGGTCTTCCCAGTAGCTAAGAAGATATTGAATGGCGAAACGGTTGGAAAAGTACCAGGAGATATATTGAAAGCAAAATACAAGCTATGGCCTGTACGCTCTAGTGAAATACGTTGACCACATACCATTTGATGCTTCATCATGAGATATTATTTGCCCACTCCAACATGTACTGAAATTTCACCAACAAAAATACATAGGCGGCGAATAAAAGTGAGCTACGATGCTCGCCGTTGCAAGAAGCTGTCCGCCCACGCGAGAACATACAGACTGGTTACGTTCTCGGATAAAGCAGGACATGTATTACGGCTAGACTTTCCTTGGCCTCATCATCCCTCTCATGTACGTGAGCGGCAGCTCAACACATGGACACAGCAAAGCAACAAAGCAGTCATGAGCCGCCAAGATGGAGCAACACATCATCGCCAAACGCCTCCTATCCATGCCAACGCCAGCAGACGAAAAACACAATCAAACAATACATTGACTCATCAAGCAGCCGCCATGTCGACGTTTTTCCCCTTGACGCTCTTCCACTCCACGAAAACGGCACCGACAATGGCCGTCGCCGCCGTCGCCGCCGACACCCAAAAGCAGTTCGCAAGCGCAGAGTTAAAGGCGGTCACAATGCCACTCAAGACGTCATCCGCGAAGACGCCACGAATGCCCGTCGCGCCTGCGGCAAGCACAGCCTTGGGATCGGCCTTGGGAGCAAACTCGCGCACAAAGTACTCGAGCCGATTGGTAAAAACGGTCTGGCCGGCAGACACAAAGAGCGCGCCGCCGAGCGACTGCATGAATATGATGATTGACGTGCCGGTGGGCACATCCACCATGTCGAGGACGACTTGGACCGCGATGAGCGGCTGTTGCATGCCGATGCCCACGCCCACGCCGGCGATCACTTGGTATCCTATCCACGCGCCGGCCGGAGAGTCAGCCGCAAGCGTGGACATGAGTCCGTAGCCGATGGGCATGACAACGGCTCCCCCGATGATGAAGGGAGTGTAGTAGCCCCATGACGAGACGACTGCGCCGCTGGCGACGCTGGAAATGACGACGGTCAGCAACATGGGGATGTTCATGATGCCCGACTTGACAGGCGTCGCGCCCTTGACGGCCTGGAACCAGATGGGCAGGAAGTACGTTGCGAGCAAGAAGCAGGCGCCAATGAAGAACTCGAACAGCGATGAGGCCCAGACTGTTTGTTTCTTCATGATTCGCGGTGGTACCGTCGCGTTGTCCTGCATTCGCCACTGGACGTAGAGAAACACCAAGATGAGAACGGCGGCCAGCATGAGGAGAGACGTGATTCTCGGGTTGTCCCAGGAATACTGAGATCCTCCCCAATGCAGAGCCAACAGAAGACACACGACGGCCGGCAGGAAAGCAGCGGTACCAATCGGATCCATCTGCCAAATGCGCTGCTTCCACGTCGTCGGGAGTTTCTTCCTCTTGGGATCAGGGAAGAAGATTGTGATGACGACGACTGTGACCAGCCCGATTGGCAGGTTGATGTAGAAACACCACCTCCAGGACAGCTTGTCTGTAAAGACACCACCGAGAAGCGGCCCAGCGACCGACGAAATCCCCCACATACTGCCAATAATAGCGCTGTAGACCGGTCGTTTTCCCAAGGGCACGCTGTAAGCTAGAATAGTGAGCGCCCCGGCGAAGATGCCGGCCGATCCCATGCCCGCCACGGCTCGTCCGATGATCAGAGTCATGCTGTTGGGTGCGACGCCGCAGACAAGGCTGCCGAGCTCGAAGACGCCGATGGTGCTTAGAAACACCCATTTGACGCTCCAGAAAGTGTAGAACTTGCCAAAGAGCAGTTGGAACGATGACCCGGTGAGCATGTATCCGGAACCGTACCAGCCGACGTCTGATAGACTGTGAAACTCGTCTGTTATTCTTGGAATAGCAGTTGCAATGATGGAGTTGTCTAGCGTTTTGTCAGCAGATTCGCCGTGCTTGTCCACGGTGCATATCTATTCTTACCCAGAGCCATGAGAAATACGCCGAAGCATAATGCGGTGATGATCAGTACGAGTTTCATACCTGTCGCATACTCCATGCCGTCCTCCCGTATTGACGCCGCGTCGATACCGTCAGCTTCATTTTCTGAGAACCGCGACTGGCGTTGCTGAAGCTTCTCTGATTCCTTGCCTTCCCTTGCAGCGACCCTGGGAATCACATCCTCGTATCGTACCGCACCAAACAGAAGGCTTCCTCGTACTGTGTGTCGTATCGACTGGCGAACGGTCGAATTGGCTCTAGGTCGCGTAATCACCTTTCCTAGGGCCCTAAGATCAGTCTCGAAACTCTTTTCCAAGGATTCGAGATCTGAACTGAAACTTGTTTGTCCTCTTGTCGGTATTTGAGTCCCGTCCTCGGATAGCCACGACGTGATGCTGGGGGCCATGGTGCGAGCTCTACGGTCGTCGACAAAATACTGCGATTCATTCTCCAAAGATGACTGTAGAGTCTCTCGAGAAAGCTTTACACGTAAAGGCTCCAAATCTAGAGCCTTTGGCCGCCGCTGGGCAGCCGCAGCCATGGAGTCGGAAGCCATGGTGATGAAATGACAGCCGTTTTGGGGCAGATGATAGGAAAGGATCAGCTTTGCCAGATGTAGGTGCGAAGCACCAGAGCCAGGGAAAATGGAAAAGAAAAGCACAGAGCGACATGAATTTACAATATAAAGCACCATCTAGGGAAGAGGCATGTCTCTTTGCGGCAATGTCAGCCTCCGACACCCAGTGGCCCAGGGTCCGGAGGGCATTCGGCGTACTTCCGCCTCGCAAAGGACTCTTAACCTCCAGAACGGCCGGGATGCGGGTGCCCCGGGCCATGTGCCCCGGCGGCCTTGGCTGCAATTAGCTGTCCCTCTGCCTTTGATATAAAACTGGCGTGGACGGCCCATTCATTGGCTTGGCTTGAACGCGACCTGCCATGGCTGCCAGCGACTCGGAGCAAAGGCATGCCGGCTTATAGGCCTCGCAGACCAGTTCATGCAAGACAAGACATGGATCCGTTCCCGTGGGCAAATGGCCATTGCCGTCGTAGATGTAGCAGACGTGTCAAGCCCGGGGGGTTCCCATCCAAGTCTGACCATGTCGAGTCCAACACGAAAGTTGTGGACTGCTGCGTCAACCTCAAACCAGAGGTGGTGACAGTTTTTTTCTTCCTCGTTTTTGTTCGTTTCGCGCGGCCTGCCATGAACCCAGCAAGGGCCAGTTCTTCGCGTGATCCTAATCCTGCTCATCCTCGCGCCCCCGTTTGTACTTGCTTCTGCGCTGAATACCTTCCAATGTGACCAGGTAGATTTGTCTGTCCAACTAAGACAGACCGATCTGATGGTTTCAACTGGCGGGTCTCCGTCTCCGTACACGCCTCGCTCCTCGCCTTTGGTTTGGTTCGCGTGGCGACCAGGGCCGAGCGGCGGCGTTCCGAATTCCAATAACCATTGTCTTCGAGCCACGTATTGACAAACATGTCCCTCCAAGTGAGACAATTGCTCTTCGCACCATTCCTCTACATCAAGTTAGTCCACCAAGTTGCCACTTCATGGCAGGAAGCGTCGGCTCCACCCGCCGTCCAACGACGGAGATCCACTTCGGCACTGGAGGACACGGCGAAAATCGTTGACCATTCCGGAATCCATGTCAATGGAACTTGAGTGCCATTGTGCTGCACAGTCAGACTCGATTGTATTAACCTATTGGATACGTGCGGCGGCAAGGACAAGCCCATAATTATACAGTGACTTTTACAACACATACTCCACGACGAGATACGTCGGGTACCCTGCAGCATCACTGGTGTCAATATATTCAACCCCTCGCTAGGACGGACCTTGCGCCGTCTGACACGGAGGAGGATCCAGGAACCATCCCTCACGGTCCATTGGCGGAATGACCCTCTGGTCCAACACCATAAAGTTGGTGCGCTTGCTCTGTCCCAAATGACCGATCTGTATGGATCCGCTCGACAGCCCCCAAGGCGACATAGTAATAGATACCAATACCTTTCCGCCAGTTATCTGTAGACAGATGCTCGAGTATGCCGGGAGAAAATGTGTGGTGAAAGGAAGTGCTGCTTGAATGCCATCTGATGCATAACCGTCAGTCGTTCTCACTATGCTGTGGTATCGGCTGGGGAACCCTCCAAGTATGGCGTCAGACGCACTCGAGGGCTGGGTCTGCGTGCCTCGTCTTCTTCGTCCATGGCTCTGCAAGACGCTGGCGTAAAGTTACGCATTCTTTTTGCGCCCTTTTCCGCGCCATGCTTGCTTTCTTCCTCGTGGACTTCAGTCAAAGGCTTACCGCCTGGACAGCCCGCCTGTAAAGTGTTGCCGTGTATGGCGGCCGAGGCGCAATAGTCATTGTGATTGGGGCTGTTCTCTTTCACATCAGCCTTTCCAATAGGAATGCTCGATCCCGATGGTATGTACAGTTGCTGCGACACATGCCGGGTTTCTGCGTGTTCTTGGCTAACGACTGGTCCGCTTCTGGTTGTCGTGGGAGAGAGACCAAGATGTTGCCGGTCGCCGTGTTCTTTTCGAGATATTACTTCCGTAGCAGGTGTGTAACATGCATAATGCTGCAAATTCATGGGCAACGGTTGATTCAGCAACGAATTTGTCAAAGAGTCAGCCAATTCGGGCGGAAAAGACGTGTTATTTGTGAGGATCGGGAACGGAGCCCCTAGGTGCTCTCGAGTCAGCAAGCCTCGCCTCCAGAAATCTGAGCAATGGTTAAAATATCCTACCCTCTCTTTTGTAGCCAATGTCAGAGGCCGTCGAAGTATTGGCCGGAACCTTGTGTTGGGCATTCTGTCTCCCATCCTCACAGGGAAAAGTTTCTGGTGCCATTTGCTGTTCGGCGCATTGGCTGTCGGACTTGACGGGGATATAGTCCGGCATGCTGACATCAGTGCTAGTTCTCCTTTTGCTTCTCTGTGCAACGGAGGTGCGCGTCAGGTTGTTGCAGTGATGGTCTCCTACGCCCGCGCTCATGCTCACATCCATACCATTCAGCCATTCAAAATATGAGCCGGCGTTGCCGAATGCATCCAACCCATGTTGTGCTGAATGAAAACAGGGTCCGTACACAGGATGCGTTACTCGTCTTCCCCCAGACACAAGCGCAGAGCTCGCTCCAGTCGCTTGGAATGAATTCATGGCACGGTTCAACTTGTCAGAACCGCTCACTCGACGTTGGGGTGAATGGGCATGGGACTCAGAGTCGTCCGGCTGAAGCGTAGGGACTTGCATAGAAGCAGCAAATGGCGCTCTTCGCCACATGGAAGGGTTCGGCCAGGCAATAGAAGAGCTCTCCAAAACCTCTGGAGTATTGGTCAGCAACGGTTCGACTGTTCGCAACAAAGCTGGAAGCAGAGCCCAAATACCTAATGGGGCGTGCTGGAACGAAAAAGCCACAATGTTTTTCACGCGTTCAATTGGTGTCGTGATAGAATCACGAGGAAATCCTTCGCTCAACACTAATTTTATACGGCCGAGGTCGTCAGCCGGGCTCCAGTAGTTTTGTTGGAGAAGCTCTTCTCGAAATCCAGGGAAGCTTAGGGGTTCGAGATCACCACTTTTCGAGAAATCTGGCAGTGTCAGTTCACAAAATATGGTGCAATATCAAATATCTGCTGTTCCTTACCAAAGCTGTGCGCTACAATGTGCGGCCAAATACTCTCTCTGTCCAGCGCTGTAGATCTCATAGCAATCAGCACAATGCAGACATGGGGCTGGGGGATAGGTCTTCGGGCGACATACGCTACGAGTCTTCCATCAATGAAAAGTCGAGCCTCAAATTTCACATTCTCCGGGAATTTACTATATGAGTTGGTGAATTTACTCACAGACGGCGCAGTCCAGGAGTGGATGGACACCCGAAAAGGGGTCCCCGTCGGGAGACTTGGAACAAAGCAGCAGACCGTTGGCAGGCCAAACGTGCCTCCAAGGTGAGGAGATTCTAAAGTCAATTGTGAGCCAACATATAGCCTTGGTGGGGATTTACACCAGAAGCATCATAACGGCACCATACCTGGATCATGAACAACATGGCAAGCTACCTTGAACTCCTTGACTGGTACCTTGGAGTTCTGCGGGAACAGAAGAATGTCCCAATCTTCGTAACGCATTGTTGTGGCTGACTAGGGCAAACCCCTGGCCTCGCCTCTAGTTGCAAGGGCGCGTTGTTGTAAATTCAGATGGTTGACACAGTGATTGCCGGTGCCATATCTCTGCGGTCCAAGGCGGAAGCGGAAACGTCAAGAAAAGCAAGCCACGCTGCTCGTCGTAGTCAAACAAAGGGCCTCCCGCCGACAGACGAGCTGAGCATCGAGATAGGGAGCAGGCAAATCAAAAAGGCCGACGGGTGGCGAGAAAACCGTGGTGGTTATGGGAGAAAGAAACAAAGCGAATATACCTGGCCGCGAGGATGTCAAGAATACTACACGTTCCTGCCACTGCAGCCTCGCAGGGTCGCTCAAAGCAGCAATGGTAAGCGAGCATTTGAAATGTATCGGATGCCAACTCGAATAAACACATGTGCAGGCCACCTATTGAGTAGGTACATCTGAGTCTACTGTATGAAAGTGGGCTGCGGCGGCCCGACAACTGCCAGGCGCCGTCGCTTTCAGATGTCTGCTTTACTCACCTTCACTTGCTAGATTTAAACTCAGTGCTCAGCTGTAGCCGTCATGCTACACATGTACGCTGGCGGGACACGACGCAGCTGGCATTCGCCGCCACCGACTGCCATCGAATGCTGAATTTGGTAATTTTGCGTCGGATTGGAAATGGTCCATCTGTCCAGTGCTTACATCTTCAAGAGCAAAGGAGATGGTAATTTTACCGCAATCGACCGCCTGGTCGAAACATGACAACACGTCGGGTGTTTGAACTACTACTCAGGGTGTACAGAGAGTGATTTTGTTCATGTGAATCCCTGTATTTCCACCTAGTATATGTACAACAAGCCTGCGTGTCGGTTATTTCCAGATCTTCAAGGATCCTCATCACCTTCCTTTCGTGCCTGGAGGGTAAAAAGCATTGCGTTAGTCCTCTCATCACATCGTTCCCATTGCGACTTATTCTTCAACAAGTCAAGCCATCCCACTTACCCGTACAGCACCTGGTCCGCCCAATTCTCGTTCCAATCCATCCTCAAATTCTCGCGGATATGTGGGCTGATCAGGGTACCTCGAATACACAAGACCTGAAAGGCCTAGGAATACAGCAACGAAGCTGCCAATCATTACTAGCCCAGCGCCCGGCGTGGTCCAAGTGTACTCATAGGGTGAGAATATACCGAGGACATCGTTGTCTTCGTGAATAGGCTCGCCAAAATTTCGTCGTTCCTGAGGGTCCCACCAATTGGCGTACGGATCACGGAACTGCCGCTTAATTCTAGGAGGGTTGATGTAGCCGCCATTCTGGTCGGGTTTATTTCATCAGTCACACGCTGTCATCGTAGATAGAACATGGTCTCGCGGGAGGGGCCGTCTGAACGAACCATGCCAGGGTCCTCGGCCTCTGATATCGTCGGGCGGTCGGGGTACTTGGCATCAAGAATCTTGCGGTCAGAGAGAGAAGCCGGCAAAAATCCTCGTCGCTGGGCCACTGGCAAGCATCGACTGGCCACAAGGTTGGTGCGGATGGCGGATGACCGCACAACGCTTCGGAGAAGCATCTGTCCAAGATGTACTTAGCGATGATTGTCCACGGAACGCCGCAAATCAACAGGCACTCTTTTCAAGGTTAGGAATTGATGTTTCATCGTACCTTGGGCCGATGGTAACGTCGTTGGCGCCCACTCGTTCTTCTGCAACGTGATGTCTCTGTGGGTATGCTCTCTGATCAATTGAAGTCGTGCTTGAAACGAAATCGAGGGTTGCATGTTGCTGCCTGGGGCATCAAACTCTATGGCTGTCTCGCGACATATGGCTGGCCAACTGCAACCTACCATTTCCCCGATGTGGGTCTCCAACTGACGAGCACGGGGTGACGAAGCGTCCAGCGAGGATGCACACAGTCAGCAACAAGACAACAGAATGGGCATGTCATCCACGTCTCCAGTTTCTCTCAATCCCCAAAAAGTTTTTTGCTTGGAGGCCGGGTTTTGCTCACATTTTCCGCCGCAACACACGCCACAGGCCTCTGATCATGTTCAAGTTTTGTATGAATATTTTTTGAGACGCTACCAATCTCTAGATCACATTTTCTACCCTGCAAATGCTCGCCTCAACGAGATCACGCCCACTGCGTCTCCAGGCTCCACATTGCGATGATGCCTGAGACCGCGTCTCCCGACAACGACGTGCCCATCGCGGATCCCCAAGCCCACGAAACAAGCACCGACTTCAATAGCTTGCACAAGGACGACGTGATACCGGTTGATTTGGAGGCGGTCGACGTTTCTTATGAAGCCGGCACGAGTGTGCAGGCGAGCGCGGACGCGCCGGCGCTCATAAATGGCCATGGAGGGAACCATGAAGGGGATGGCAGACCGGCGAAGAGACGAAGGACCCTGAACAGTACCCCTCCTCCTCTACCGTCGTCTTTAAAAAAGCCTAAACCCATATCACCCCCGTGGAAGAAGATTGGCGCCGAAGGGCCTACCAGTTTCACTGAGAACGGCCGTCGCAAATCAGGTCGAATCAATACTTTACCACTAGAACTTCAACCGCAAGGCAAAAAGAGATTGACTAGGCACTCGCTAGGCTCCAAAAGTTCTGCAACGCAAGCAAAAAAGGCAGATACAACACCTGTCAGACCGCCTAACAACAAAGTGAGTTCGCAGAAGAAACGTGTAGGGACGCCCAAATCGACATTGAAAAGGCCCGAGCCGCCAACTTCCAGAGCCTCCTCTCGGTCTCTTCGGCGCCGCACACCATCTCCACCAGCTCATCCTACCAGAAAATCCACAAGGACTAGACGGAGCTCTCGCGCTGCTAATGTTTCAGATGCCGAAGGGGAAGTCTCTACTCCAGCCTATGACCCCCCTTGCCATTTCCACGATGGCAGCGGACGATCTCCTCGAATAAAACTGCTAGTTGGGCGCGCTGGCTTTATTCCGCTGGTTCACGCAGATCAGGTTCGCAAGCGGCCCAAAATTGGCGCCAGCTTCGAAGATTTTTGGGCACGGGCCGGAGCCATCCCAGTGGAGGACGGTGGGCTTTTCGCTTCTGAAGATGGACCAATCTATACTGATGAGGCCGCCGCAAGAGACGCTCGTTTGATAGCGCGAATTGAGGAAGAGGTCCAGGGAGACGGCATCCTCTCACTCGGTCGCTGTTCAGCATTCATACCCGAAGAGGAAGAGGAACCCACTCGACAATACGCTCGTCAAGATCATATCATCAAAGCTATGGCAAATTTTCGTAAGCTCTTGCTTCTGGAACAACAGCGTCACCGTGCCATAGCAAAGAAACTTGCAGAAGCGTGCCGTGATGCATGGATAAGTAGACAACCCAAGTCAGCAGAACAGCTCGAAGCTGAAGCACGACAGAAATGGATTGTTCATTATCGAAATGTAGTCCGCGCTATGCTTGGTACTTGGGAAAATGTCCGCGCTCAAGTGAACCGCCGTCGCCTTGAACAATGGGAGGCAGAGGAGCAGAAGCGTGTCAAGGCTGCTCTCAACGAGGCAGTGAACCTCTCAGAGCAAAAGCTGCAGGCTCGCCGTGGGTTGGACTCTGAACAGATATCGGATGATGACGATGGTTTTGATGGCCTCAGTGACGATCCTAGCACAATGGACGATGATGGCATCAATGAATCGAATCTAGCATCGGACAGTGACGGCGACGAGGAAGATCTCGATAGTAACAATATGTCAACATCTGAGGAAGAGGAAGAAGGCGTGGACGGGATTAACAAGGATGTCGGAGATGAAGGTCTTACGCAGGAGCAGCTGAGAGCAAAGTACGCCAATCTACCCGACCTCAAGCTGCCAGAGAAGCAGACAAGCACAGTTGCTGCAGCAAGCGATGCCCTGACTGACGTCACGGACGTCGACAGCGAAACCAGTGACGAGTCAGTTGATATGGATGATGATTTGGGCTCAAGCGACATGGCTAGTGACGATGGCGACAATGGTGGCGATGAGGATGACAGTAGCCATGAGGAAGGAGACGAGGATGCCGGTGGTTTGCTTAGCCTCTTATTTGGCGAATCAGACCTCAAACAGATGAGGCAAGCGGCTACAAAGCAACGGAGCGATGACACCGATTCTACTGCTGCTTCTTTTGGCCTTGGTCATGATGAGGTAGAAGGCGATAATTTCTCCTTGAAACAGGAACTCGACGAGAATGTGTCCCCAGTATCACCGCCAATCGCAGATGCCAAGCCGTTACTAAATGTTCACGACCCCCCAGGAGAATCTCTGAAGGAGGGTTATGCGAATGGCGAGCCCTCCACAGTCGTGAGCAAAGTACGGGAAGGTCCAAAAATTAAATATTCTGACCCAAAGACAGCTGGTGGGGTGGTGGTTCCTCAGTCCTTGTCACCAAAAGAAGATGCGACAATGTCCGACACTCAAGCAGAGCATAGTGTCCAGCCACATGGTACTCCGCTGATTTCGAACCTGGATAAACCCACCAGCCCAGAAACAGAACCGGTCACTACTCCCACCAGTCCTCGACGTAGCCAGTCGCCGCCCACGTCGGACACAAGGCCCTCTGAAGTCGACGCCTCATCAGCAGAACTTGGTCTTGCAAATCAGCCAGGAAGGCGATCAACAACCCCTCACACGCCGTCTCCTCATAAAACTGAAATTCCATTTCTCCTCCGCGGAACTCTGCGTGAATATCAACATGACGGTCTGGATTGGCTTGCTGGTCTCTACGCCAACAATACCAACGGCATTCTTGCAGACGAAATGGGTCTAGGTAAAACTATCCAAACTATTGCGCTCCTGGCACACTTGGCTTGTTATCACGAAATCTGGGGCCCGCATCTGGTAGTCGTTCCCACTAGTGTCATGCTTAACTGGGAGATGGAATTCAAGAAATGGTGTCCAGGATTCAAAATCCTTGCTTATTATGGATCCCAGGACGAGCGGAAGCGGAAGCGCCAAGGTTGGAATAATGACGACGTTTGGAACGTTTGTATCACATCATATCAGTTGGTACTCCAGGACCAGCAAGTATTCAAACGTCGAAGATGGCACTACTTGGTCCTGGACGAGGCCCACAATATCAAGAATTTCAAATCCCAAAGATGGCAGACACTACTCGGCTTCAACACCCAGGCTCGCCTTCTACTCACAGGCACACCCTTACAGAACAATCTTACAGAGTTGTGGTCACTTCTCTTTTTCCTCATGCCGGCCGAAAATGGAGTGGGCGGCTTTGCAGACCTGCAAGAATTTCAAGATTGGTTCCGCAAGCCCGAATCCCAAATTTTAGAAAGCGGCAGAGACCAAATGGATGAAGAGGCAAGGGCCATCATTTCCAAGCTTCACAAAGTCCTTCGTCCGTACTTGCTGCGCCGCCTGAAAGCGGACGTTGAGAAGCAAATGCCGGCCAAGTATGAGCACGTTGAGTTTTGTCGCCTGTCAAAACGGCAGCGTGAACTTTATGACGGGTTTCTTTCAAGATCAGATACCAAAGAAACTCTGTCATCTGGAAATTATTTATCTATTATCAACTGTCTGATGCAGCTGCGCAAGGTTTGCAACCACCCAGATTTGTTCATCGACCGGCCAATCATGACGTCTTTCCGCATGTCTAAATCGGTCCCCGCTGAATACACCACTACGGAACGCAAGATTCGATCACTTCTGGGGAACACACCTATGAGCACAGTCAATCTGGGATTCTTGAATCTGGTGCCCACCCAGCACGAGCATTTAGCCAGCGCGAACGCGGATCGGATCGCTCAGCTTAGTTCGCATCGAGCCTTGATGGACTTGCGCGAGGCACAAAAAGCCAGGGCTCAGGCCGCATACACGATTATTGATCCCTCCACGGTAGGCTCCAGCATTTCCTATCTAGAGAGCGGAGCACGATGGGGTCGGTTCGAAGAACTTCAGCATTGCGTGTACCTCAATGCTCTCCGCCGGCAGCAGCGACCAATATATGGTAAAGATGTCATTGATCTCGTGTCGATAAACGCGTACAAGCGGCCTTGTAGGCCCAAGCCCAAGATTCCTCAAAAGATAATGTCCTGGTTCGAGGGCGACCTCGCCTCTGTCCGTGCTTTGACGCCAACCCTCGGCCAACGCACCGATACCCTAAAATCTACAATTTCCAAGTTCTCGTGCGTTACACCCCCGATTGTAACCCGAGATTTGGAGCAGGTATTGTTGGGTCACAAAGCTGTGCAAGCTTTTACGGATGAAGATCTCAGGCTCTCGGCTCCTGTGCGATGGGCTCCTTTTCTGCCCAAGGAAGTACCACCTGACCCTTGGCATGAATCTCGAATGAGACACAGCATTCAGTTTCCGGATAAAAGACTGCTTCAATACGACTGTGGAAAGTTGCAAGTCCTGGATAAGCTACTCCGCAAACTGCAAGCCGGAGGCCATCGAGCGTTGATATTTACACAGATGACCAAAGTTCTGGATATCTTGGAGCAGTTTCTCAATATTCACGGTCACAAGTATCTTCGTCTCGATGGCGCGACCAAGGTAGAGCAGCGGCAGATCTTGACAGATCGATTCAACAATGACTCTCGCATTTTGTGCTTCATTTTGTCGACGAGATCAGGCGGTCTAGGTATCAATCTAACTGGTGCTGACACTGTCATCTTTTATGACCAAGACTGGAATCCCGCCATGGACAAGCAGTGCCAGGACAGATGCCACCGTATCGGCCAGACACGAGATGTGCACATATACCGGCTTGTTAGCGAGCACACTATTGAAGCAAACATTCTACGAAAGGCGTCACAAAAGCAAATGCTGGACGACGTGGTGATACAAGAGGGAGAATTCACCACGGACTATTTCAACAAGATGTCTGTCAGAGAAGTGTTGGAGGACAAGGTAGATTTCACCAGTGAAGGCGTTGCCGCTGCTGACGCCGCGCTGGAGAGAGTCCTGGGCGGCCCTGATACAAGCAGAGACCAACGAACTGTAGGCAGAGCTCTTGAGCAAGCTGAAGACAGGGAAGACATTGCAGCAGCGCGGGTGGCTGAAAGGGAAATCCAAGCGGACGATGCCGACTTTACCGAAAAGACCATTGGTCCGGCCTCAGGCACGTCGACGGCCCGGCAAGGCACGCCGGCTGGGAAGTCGGTCATGGACGGCGGCTTGGACCTGGAGGAGATGGCACAGATTGGTAAAAGCGAAATGCAGTACAATGCATCTGGTGATGTGATGGGCAATATCGATCAATACATGCTCAAGGTCATGGCAGAGGAGCTGAAACATACGAAGTTGGAATTGCCAAAGGACAAGAAAAAGAGCAAAAAGAAGGGCCGAGACACGAGAAAGCGCTGAGCCGGGACGAAGGGGAGTGATGGTTTCTTCTTGTAGCCGAAGCGCGCCCGTTGGAGGGCTTTGAGTTGAACTGTTCTTTTCGGTATATTGTACTATATTGATAACCACGGCTACGAGGCGTGCGGCCCAGACAGGACGGGGATGTTTTTGGGTAGGGCTACCACGCTCGTAAAGCAGGACGATTCTATTGCGGCCGAGGCGGCTCGTGGTTTTTGGACTTTTGCATGGAGGGGAGTTTGATACCTGTTTGGTTTGGAAGCGAAATCAAAAGCGTTGCTCACATGTATGATGGGTGACAACGGTGAAGGGAGCATAAAGGAGTACATAACGTTACAGGATGGGGATGGGATGGATTAAGCAGACGTGTGGTGGGGGGCTGGATAATAATTGCTTCATTCCTCTCGTGGTTAAGCTACCCTATGCCCGCATCCTCTCTGTAAACGATGCGCTTTCCAAGGTAGACAGCGAGCATTCGCCGCAAGCAGGGCCGGTGCAGCAAATTTGCAAGTGAAACACGCATGCAGATATTCATTTACAGGGCTGTTACTCTGTCGCGTTGCTGTTGCTGTTGCTGTTGCTGTTGCTGCCCCGCACCAAGGAGAAGCATCTACCGAGACATTTAGTGGTGCCATGGATCGTTGCACGCGTCGTCCACGTCACGATGCTTTGAAGCCAGCCTCGACTCCTTTGTTGCCGAAACTAACGCCGGCCGGAGACATGGTCTGTCAGGCCATCCACGACGAGATGTCGGTCGGTTCTCCATGAACTGGCATCGAGCTCGGCCCGTTGTCCATTGTACGGAGTACTCGGGGAATAATTTAGCAGCCCTGCTTATTCCCGGAAACAGTACGGAGTAATTCAGTTGGGGTTGGTCGCTGATACTGGTAGTACGGGCAAATCACCGGTGCCCGCATTTCCGACTTGAAAGCTTCCAATCAAATAAACAGTCCTTCCTTTCTTTGTCAGTGTCATCAGTCAGCAGCGCCCTCTCGCTTGTGCACCATCCGGGAGTCGAGTCAACCATTGAACGGTTCAAAATTGTGCATTACCATTCGAAGCATCCGAACGGTGACTTGTTTTTTAATTTTTTTTTAATCCCATCTCCCTCGTCCGGGCTCGAGCCCCACCTCGGCCCACCACGCCTGCAGCCGCAGCATCGTGCGCGCCCAAACGTTGAGGCCTCGACTCAACAGCGACGGCTGTGGATGCTTCATCTGGAATCATGCCACCGGGAGGGTCGAGCTGGTGGTGATCCCACGAGGTCCAGGGTCCATTCCAGGCCCGACCTACTCCGTACTTGCTCCCGACTTACGTGCTCCCACCTACTTACAGTAGGTGCTCCTACTACTCCGTGCTACGCCGTCCCGCAACTTACCCGGGCAGTCTTCAATGTTCTGCTCCCCCGGATGACGGAAGCCAAGAGAGGGTCATTCTGATCAAGCTGCAGTCTCCACATGTTCCAGGCCCCCTGGTTCCCAAACAAGGCCAGCCAGCCAAGCACTTCAGCACGTCAGTCAGTGTTCGCTGCGCGCCAGCCGCAGCTGGGCAGACCTGACCAGTTGGCCAGGCCAGAAGCAGAAGTGGCACACCGGTCAATTGCCCAACACGCTTTCACAACCACCCTCGATACGGCTCAGACACACTATACTGGCGCTAGGCTCTTGTTCTCCTTTCTTTTCTTGTGCATTTCATCTCAGCTCTTCCACGCGACCGAACACATCACCTCGATTCCAGCCCTGGTGCTCTTGTCGCGCAGGGTTGACGCGTCATCAAGGCATGCAATCAGCCAAGGCCAAGGCTGACGTGCAGGGGCGCAAGGCCAAGGTACGGACGAGTCACGACTGGCACCACGCGGAATCGTCATGTTTCGTCGGGCCTGTGCCTGTTGATGCCATTGCGATTACACCTGCGATGCCGCCCTACCGACCATCGACTGCCCTCCACGAGAGTCATGAGAAGCTAGGCTAACCTTGGCTTGTTTGCACAGCTTGCCAATTCATATCAACAATTGTTGGAGTAAGTAGCCACCAATCTTTCCCGGCTGGCCCCCTCCTTTGTGCGACCAAGCCTACTATGCTTGATAGTCGTCATTCACCGGTGCACTGCACTGCTGACATGCCTGCTCTGTCTAGCGAATTCTCCAGTAGCGAGTTGAAATCCGTCGGAAATTATACCCTCGGCCGGTTGATAGGAAAGGGATCATTTGGAAAAGTTTATCTTGCGACACATAAGCTCACCAACGGCTCAAAGGTATGACGAGGCCGGTGCCACAGTGCCTTGTGCCGCATGCCACGGCGCACCGTCCCTGTGCTAGGTTGGACTGAAACTGACTGTCTCTGCTCGCTGTCACAGGTCGTTTTGAAATCTGCTCACAAGGATGATGCCAATCTTGCCCGCGAAATTCACCACCACCGACAATTTGTTCACCCGCACATCGCCCGGCTGTACGAGGTGATTGTGACGGAAAACTTGGTCTGGCTCGTCCTGGAATATTGCTCCGGTATGTAACCCGTCGGGCCGGTAGAGGGGAAGCAGTCAACAAATCTCGACTGACTTGGCTAGGCGATGAGCTGTACAACCACCTCCTCGAACATGGACCACTCCCTGTGGCCAAAGCACAAAAGATATTTTGCCAACTTGTCGGCGCTGTGTCATATGTCCACTCACAGTCATGCGTCCACCGCGATTTGAAACTCGAAAATATCCTGCTCGATAAACACGAAAACGTGAAACTCGTCGATTTTGGCTTCACGCGAGAGTACGAAGGCCGCACCAACTACTTGCAAACGTTTTGCGGCACAGTGTGCTACGCGGCACCCGAGATGCTCAAGGGCGAGAAATATGCCGGCGAAAAAGTAGATGTTTGGAGTTTGGGAATCATATTATATGCCCTCCTCTGCGGGGAGCTGCCGTTCGACGACGACGACGATAACATTACACGAACGAGAATTCTGTCCGAGGAACCGACGTACCCGGACCATCTTACGCCCGATGCTGTTTCTTTGCTCAAGCTCCTCCTTTCAAAAAGACCTCTTCCTCGACCGTCATTTCCTGCCATTCTAGCGCACCCATTCCTAGCCGAGCATTCTCCTGCACAACAAGCAATTCTCGACGTCGAGGCACACTCCCCCTTTTCCACGACCCTAGAAAAGGATTGTCTCCAACGTATGCGAAGTGCCGGGGTCGACATTGACGCGGTGATCGAAAGTGTTACGGCGCAAAAATGCGATGCATTGGCCGGCTGGTGGACATTGCTGTTGGAGAAGGAACAACGGAAGATGATGAGGAGAGATAGAAAACGACAAGAAAGGGAGTTGGAGAAGAGCGTGTGGAGGCTATCTGCTGCCTCAAGCCGACTTGACCGCATGACGCCGATTTTGCAGGATGTGGATGAAGACGGTGGCCTGACGAGCCAGTTTATCAGACACGGCTCCAGGAGAGGGAGGTCAGAACGAAGAAGCGCACACTACCATGGCGACTGTACAGCGGCAGACTTGCCATTTCTTCCAGAGTCTGGCCGGCCTCACGATGACCTTCCGCCAACCCCAATTGACAAGGACTCCATTCGGTCTGTATCCACGTCACGGCACCGTCGACCCATCCCGCCACCAAAGGAAGGTGTGATTCGCAGCGCCAGGTCCCGGGGATCTACGTTGCATTTGGTAACGACCTCGGACATTCTTGGCGTCGGAACCAATGGTAGCACGGTGCAACATGCCCGGCAAAATGGACCGCAAAAGACGAAGAAGAAGCACAGCCAAGCCATCATTGCCCACTGGAAAACCCTGTCGCATTGGTTTATTGAGAATACGACAAAGCGAAGAAAGGGCCACGAAAGACGAACGAGTCGAAGTACACCCAACTTGCATCTGAAGGATAGTTCCGGTAACAGCGGGGGCCAAGATGTCAGTCCGAGGCCTCAGACAAGCAAGTACCCGGCTACAGGTTATGTCGACAACGGCCACCCAACGATGCCCCTGCCAAGGGGCGTCGTGGCAAACGGTTTGGCCAAAGGAGGGCCAGTCAATGATCAAGCCAGTCCTCCCGCCCGGTCTCCTTCGAGCTCCTTCGTACCGCCGTCGGCTTACATACAGCCTCTCCGACCACGGGTAGCGAGATCGTCCGCCTACAAGCGCCAGTCGTTATCTCCTGCTCCTGTGACTCCGCGGTCTGCTATGCGCCGACCTTCTGCCGGGTTGCGGGGAAGAAAGTCCACCTCGTCGTCGGTCTCTTCCATTCGATCTATGCATCACCACCGCCATTCGCATTCCAAGGCTTCATCAACCAGCTCAGCCGGCTCGGTCTCCACGTCGAAGACTCCCCTTGGACGCGGACAGTCGCCTCACCACTCCATCAAGGTGTTACCGGCTACACCAACAGCCAGCTCGTTGCCCCCCAACATTCGACTTGTCCGAGGGTCTCCAGCTCCGCCTCCGTTGCGTATTTACGACGAAGAAATGCCGAGTGGCAATCAGCAGTTGGCTCCTGGCTCGCCAAATCCCTTTTCTTCCGGGGTGCTGTTTGCCAAGCGAAAGAGAAGTATATTCAAGGGCCCCTCTTTGAACTTTGGCAACGCTGGCCGCAACGTAAACTCAGGATCACATTCGCGCAGCGGAAGCGGTTCGGCACTACGCCGGCGATCTGGAGAAATTACCATCCAGGAAGAAGACGAGGAGTCGGTCGTTGAGGAAGAGGAGGAAGAAGAAGACGAGGACGAGTATGAGGAAGTCGAGTCTTTCCAGCCTATTATCGGGAGGCCAGGCGAGATTATCGAAGAGCAGATTCTCGAGAATGAGCCATTGCAAACGTCTGAAGTCGAGAGTCCCACAACCGAAACCACAACCACAATGGTAGTCGTAGATGCAGCAAAGTCATGACGAGAGACGCATGGCCAAGTAATTGGACAGAAGCGGGCGGCTGTCCTGATTTTACCGAATTTCCACCCCCCGGCTATACATATTCATTGCGAGGCATTTGCGCTGCTTCTCAAATACATTCGACGTCCGCATTTTGTTTTTGCTGATGCTGCATTTGGGATGGAGGATTGTGCATGTAGCTTGGAGGAATATACCCATGTATGGCTGTGGATACCATTAATGTATTTCATTTCAAGATCATACCAACTTTGTCATGGACTGCTTCTTTATTTGTCTGCCGGCTGAGGGGCATTCTTATCCGTAGTGCGTCAAAACAACGTCTGGCGCCAGTGTACACGTGCTTTGCCAGACCTGCTTTGCCAGACCGATTGGCACTTGTCAATGGGATGCGTCGAATTCCGTATGCTTTCAGAAAGTCGTCACAGGACCCTAAAATATGTACTTACAAACACGTCGTGAATTGGGTATAATTATGCGCCAGCCATGGGCCGTATCCAACAATACCATCTTTCTACCCGTGGCAGGGAAATGCTAAGACAGGGATGCCATGCCGCCTCGGCCTCGACGTCATCCTCGCCGACCAAAGAGACGGGCACATCACGCCTCGTGCGGATGTCTCTTGGCCGCAGCGCTGGTCCTCATCCTCTCCACCACTGCGGGCTTCTCCTCCCTCAGCGTAACCCACACCCAAAACCAGGCAATCATCTCAATGAAGACAAAGGTGAAGAAGACGCGGTTCTTGAGACCATCGCCGCCCCACGAGGCGGCCGAATACGAGGCGTTGTAGCCGCCGCGGGTGCGGTGTGTCGCGCCGCCGTAGAGGGGGGATGACGGGCCGAACGCGTACGTGTAGAACGTGAGTGCCATGGAGAGGAAGGCTCGCAAGGGCGCTGGGGGGATCCGTCAGCAACTCGGTCATGTGCCGTCAGCGGCGGGAGCGTCCCGACGTACCTTGGGTCCCCCAGTAGTACAGAGAGCCTAGTTCTTCGGGCATGCCTAGCGACAGGAGGTCGCTGAGGCCGAAGAAGGCGAGGACGACGGCGAGGAAGCTGAGGGTGTGGGATTGGGTGTCGAAGCCGCGCGCGAAGGGCTGTTGTTGTTAGCTGGTGGGTCTCTTTTTGTTTCGGATCTTTTGCAGGTAGGTTGAGGTTGCTTACGATTCCCATGCTTTGGCCGAGGACTTGGACGAGGATTTGGTCGTTGATGGTGCTGGGATCCGTGAGGAAGAAGAAGCCCAGGGTTATGTGGAAGAGTGATATGGACGTGATGAGGGTTTTGGACGTGATGAGAGCCATGGCGGCGCGGGGGCGGCTTGTTGGTTGTTGGTTGTTGGTTTTGGGTTTGCTGGCTGGCTGGCGGATAAAGAATGGTCGATGAGGAAACGCTTTGGTGGTTTCCGAGTGGCGGAATGGGAAATGGAGGCTGGAAGAGGCGACCATGTGCAGCGTACGGAGTAGATGGAGGTAGATGTTGTCCTCGGAGGCTTTCGAAAAATCGGTCGACTTGTCGGATGATGGCGCCTTGGGCGTCGGTAGAGTCACACGCGCTTCAGATGCGGCTGGCTTTGCGACGAGCGTCACCGTCGCCGGCTCTGGAGGTGGACTGCAATGCAGGGGGCGTCCTGGACGTGGCAGCACAAGAAACGCTGTGGCGCTGGCATTGAGCTTGTTTCGGGCGTTGATGAATGTCTTGTGATACTACGAAGTACGTACTCCGTACTCGACTCCGTAATGAATGCCGTGCTGTGGTGGAGTCGTCGAGGGGCAAACAGTCAAGTCAACTGGTGGCACTGGGAGGCTTGTTTGGACACCGATGACCTAGCCGGGCTGCGGTGAGGGTGGGGAATCCGAGCTGAGCTGTGTGCTGGTCGAGGCTGCATTCTCGGACCTGAGCTTTGTTCATCCCACGTCGGCCATGTCGGGCGCAGAATGACCGGCATCATGCATCCACGTGCTGGACAACACAGGGGATAGTCGTCAAGATACTCAGGCCACGCAAGTGCCCCTCGCGCTCACCACCATGGCGTCCTTCGACAAGCCGCGCCATGTCAAGTACTGGCGGCGCTGCTTCACCAGCCATCTCCCCTCGGCATACACAGCCAACGACTCCACCCGCCTCACATTCGCATTCTTCATTGTCTCGGCGCTCGATTTGCTTGCCGTGCCATTCACTCCCGAGGACCGCTCAGCTGTTCGTTCGTGGGTCCTGAGCCTGCAACATCCCGACGGCGGCTTCTGCGGCAGCCCGACACACGGCTTGTCTGGACAAGATGCGACAAAGGGGTCGGCAAATCTGGCCACAACCTTCTTCGCCCTGCTCTTGTTAGCTGTTGCCGCCGGAACAGACAATGAGGCGAGCGCCGCCTTTGCAGGCGTACAGCGGCGCAAGCTGCTCCGGTGGGTGAAGAAGCTGCAGAGACAGGATGGGAGTTTTGGCCAGGTCCTGTGGGAGCACGAGGCTGTGGGTGGAAGGGACACCCGCCATAGCTACCTGGCGAGTGCGATTCGATGGATGCTATGGGCGCGCGAGGATACGGAGGATATTGACGTTGAGAGCATGGTTGATCACATACGGCACACGCAGGTAAGTCTCACACCGCATCTGACTTGGCTTTCGTGGCTGACTGCAACGAGACGTACGATGGGGGTGCCGCAGAGGTGTCGGAACACGAGTCTCACGGTATGCAAGACAGCGCCTTGCTAGATCCCGAACAAAGGCTAATGAAAGCAGCTGGCTATGCGTACTGTGCCGTTGCAGCGTTATACATGCTCGACCGCCCGGCGTCATCCACGGTGCCACATAGGAGCGAAGCCGCCCATGAGGGTGTGCCAGATCGGGATGCGTTGATTCATTTTCTTGTTCACAGACAGTTCAATTACCTCGCTAAGCAAGAGGAGGAAGAGTCTGACGACGGAGATGCGAACTACGTGCAGGCCAGACTGGGCGATCTGAGCTTGACAGATCGTGGTCCCCATGTGGGTTTCAATGGGCGCTGGAATAAAAAGGCGGATACTTGCTATTGCTGGTGGGTTTCCGGGACCCTGGCGGTAAGTAGATGGTGGTTGGTATCCAACGGTAGCCTTGAGCTTTACTAATGCTGAGCAGATGGTGGATAGTATTCACGCCGTCAACATTGCCCCTTCCAGGCAGTATCTCCTGGATGTCAGCCAACATAGAATAGGCGGCTTCTCGAAACATGCTGGTGGGCCACCTGATTTATATCATTCATACCTGGGCCTAGCGGCGCTGGCGCTGATGGGCGAGGCAGGCTTGAAGGAGTTTGATGTTGGCCTGTGTTGTAGTAAGGAGACGGTGCGAAAGATTGAGCTGGCAAGGGCCGGGTTACTCGGGGCCAAGACGAGTGGGTTTGGCGACGATGGATTTTGGGAGAGCATCAACAGGGTGGTTTAATGCGCTTCAAAGGTAGTAGTAGAATCATCTCGGGACACGATTGTGTGTCACTCTCGTCTGACCTGCACGGCATATACCCGGTAACTGTACTGTGCGAAATTGGGACGATGCCAAGCTCCAACAATAAAACGGGGCTGCCGACATTTTGCCGACAGCATGAATGCATGAATGACTTCACTGCCAAACCTCGTACGCTGGGAACTCTCCCAAATCACGTCGTTCAACATGTCAGACTCAGCACCTCTGGCGTCCGAAAAGGAGCCGTGGAATACCAAAAGCAAGGAAAAATTCGAGACGTACGCTGCACAAGCCGACACGACCTGACGCGACGCTGGCTAATGAAGAGCAGGAAATCCAAGTCCGAGTTCTACGATCCGTGCCAAGAGGCCGCCCAGCGAAGTTACAAGTGTTTGTATCGGAACGGAGGGGACAAATCGATGTGTGGAGAGTATTTCCAGTATGTGCTGTCGGGGCGAAATGGGATCGATGCCTGCTGACGAGTGTAGGGCGTATCGGGACTGCAAGGCTGCTTGGGTACGTACGAGTTTTGGATGAGAGCACGGATTTGCTGCGCAACGGGGCTATAAAGGACGCCGAACTGATGTCGAGCAGACTGAGCGGCGAAAGAAAGAACGAGGGGGCTTCTTGGGATGATCTGGCCATGGACGACATCTGGATGTGACTGCTGGACATTGACCATCTCTGACATCTGAGTTATGAGGGCCCGGCTCAGCAAGGCTACCAATTACACAGGGAGCTCGCCGCCTATTTCTTGAGCCATGCTGGAATAGTGTTGTCGTACTTGTATATTACTGTAGTGATTAGCGAGGGAGCTGGCGGACTAAGATATAGGGGCAACGGCGTTGCATGGCTGTGTAACGAATTTTGTGGAAGAAATTAGATACCAAGTTCCGTAAGACCACTGACGGGAACCGAACCGGTCAAAAACTCAATGCTTGGGTTCTTCTTTATTAAACTTCACGTCTCCGGAGGCATCTGATGCCAAGGATGTACGCACAGTGTCTGTACTGTCCTCAAAACTTCTTCAGCCCCTCCAAAGCTGCCCCGCCAAATTTTGTGTGAACGACAGCCGTTGAAACAAGCACCTTTGGATCCTCGTCGCGCTCGTGCCCGACAAGCACACGTCTTCGCGTATGTCATGAGTCGCCAACGCCCTAGTTTGAGAAACGGGGTCGACATCCAGCTTCAGTCTGCTTTTCAGGATGGCAACTGGTCCGTGGCCATGAGACTGGCCTCGCAACGAGCTCGCACTTTCAACGACCAGTACTTTGATGTAAGAGCTCCAGAAGAATGCATGACAACATGAAGTGGGCTTTGTGCCTGACTCTCTAGAACTAACTTGGATTGGAGATTGTAAAAGTTTGCGCTGAAAGCCAGCTGGACGACCCCAACGCCAAGTTTGCCGCCGTTGCCGCCGTTGACAAATTCGTCAAGGATGGGACGGTTGTAAAGGATGTGGATGGCATTGACTTGCTGGAGTGGGCGACGTCAGAACTCCTTCCGGAAGATGCTTTCTCAGAGACACTCGGCCCTTTGAGGGTCAGGGCCGTCAAGGCGGCGCCAAAGGACAAAAGTGCCGCCACGAGGTGTTTGCAATCGTGTTTGCTGCATTGGGACCTGGTTAGCGCTCAGCAAGTATGACGTGGCCATGAGGATTCTTGTTACGGCGCGAAGCTGACGGGCTAGATTGCTGCCATTGTTGACAGGTCTTTTGCTCAGGAGAGGGACTTTATGTTTTGGAACATTGTCATTACGCACATGCTGGCCGTAGGTTGATGGCATCACTGGCGCTCATTACCATTACTGACTCTGGCTGCAGACGAGCAGCCAATGCTCTCCGAATCAGCAGAATTTGTACGGAATGCTCGCTAAGAAGCAAATAGAGCGTGCGGCGCAACTTGCCGAGCAGGCTCTTACCTCAGAGTCGGAAGAAGCGCCTGTGCGAGGCATCAAAACTGAAGAGGAGATTCTACTAATGTACGACATTGTTGAAACGCATGGTACGGCCGACGACGTGAAGAAGCTCATTGAAAGCCCCCTGTTCTCCCCCGTTGCCCAATTCCGACTCGGCAGAAAGGAGCTGTTTCAGCGTACGGCGGCGATTTATCGTAAGCAAAAGGATTGGGAGGCACTGTGCAATATTTGCGAATCATGCCTGTCACACAAAGACAAGAATGGGGAGTTATCGCTGTTGGCCTGCGACTGGCTGGTGTGGAAGAATTTTATTCAAGGCGCAGCCCATCTTAGGAATTCCAACACAGAGTAAGTATGTCATGCTGCCACCTGTCGACACGGCAGGCTGACATTGAGCAGAATCGTGGAAAGGTTGCAAAGCTTGTTGCTTGAGCTGGCGCGGTCCAAGAGCCTGAAACCCATTTACAAGCGAAACGTCCTTTTGGCTCGTGTTTCCGCCGCGTTCAGTCTGAAAACGAATGACGACGACGACATTGAAGACGACCAGCCCTCTTCGTTGCGATTGAGGGAGCTGATCAACTATATTCAAGATCAGAAGTCAAGCGCTGCTTGTTTCGACGACGTCAAGGAATTCTTGGAACAGCTGGACATCTCGGGCCTGAAACATGTCGCGTATAGATACATTGCTCAATTGGCACAATCTGTGGATGACCCGGTGGAACGGGCCAGAGTCCTTCTGCTCTCGCTGAAAACACAGTACTTTCTGTCCACTTGTCCCATTGGACGAATGTCAATTGCGGGAGAGAAACCCAGTTCAAAATGCTTGGTGTGCAGCGCCAAGTTTGAATCAGAGTCTTGTCCGACATGTTTGACAAGAATATCCGAGGAGGCGTTGGCCTCGCATCGGGCTACAAGCAAAGACGTTGGCGAGGATGCCGTCACCCAGAACGAAATCCTACCAGAGCTCTCCGTGGTTGTTGCATTTTGCAACATCAAATTGGCTTTCCGGAGTCGACCTGGGTACATTCACTCATCCCCACCCGTCTCTCAGTATCTCTTGCGGGCTCTCTTCATTCTCGAGCACCAGGCTTTCCTCACGCCTAAACACAGCCAAATCTCTCTTCTGTTGGTGCAGCTACACCTTCTCGTGGGGTCGGCACACAGGGCCCGCGAAGCCTGGCATGGTCTGGCAGTCAAGAGAACCATTGTGGACTCGCTTGCGCCCATATTCTACGATCGCTTGTCGACTGTATCGCCAATCATGTTGGACTCGTCTGATGGCTGGGGCTGGGAACTTGTTGAGACGCTGAGGTCTCATTATGCTAATTCACTAAAGCTAAAGATGCCTAGGCGGTTAATCGATGCTTTTGAAGCAGCTAGCTATGGAAGCATCATTGACATGCCGAAATACATTGAAAATTTGAGATTCGGATGCACGAGAGCAATGAGTCTTGTTGAGGAAGCTCGGGCAAACAGACTGCTTGGTGAGCCCTGCGGCGAGTTTTTGAATGACGCTCGATTCAGTAAGTCTTAGATGCGACTTCGCCCCGGGCTGCGCTAATGTCTTTTTTTGACACCCACAGACGAGGTTTCCGATGACCTGGTACTGAGAAATGTTCTTGGTCACGGATCATTCCCGTCGTGGGACTGTGGCTCATCGCGACCAGTTCACGAGCGACTCCGCCTTGGCCCCGGCCCTTCTGTGAGTAGAGACCGACATACATGCCTGCCAGTTGCTAACGGTGCAGAATACCCGATCCCATCTATCACTCTTGGGCGAAGCCCTTCAGGATATCCTGTCTTACCGGCCTCCGACAGTCTACAAAGCGGCGGCGGCGGCGGTAACGGGCATTGACAAGACGTTTGTCGTTGAAATGATGGCCCGAATCGGCAATTCCATGTCCAAGTTTGTGCACAAGGCCTCTGGCTACTGCACCACAAGCGAGATGTTCTACTTCGAGGCTGTCAACCTCCTGGCCGCCTTGATTCCCCTGTGCGTGAGCATTGACAAGTCGGTCCCGCTTCCAGACGTCTTTGGTCAAATCACCGAGGCCGTCACAGCTGCAATCACAACCCAGCTCGATGAGCTACCCGAGCTTGACGGAACCGTGGCACAAACTGTGTCCGGGCTCCGGTCGCTCCACGAGGTAACCATGCTTCGCGACACCGCCATGGCTGCCAAGTTGGCCGCGCAGTGGATTTTGTCACTCAACGAGAGAGAAAAGGAACGCGACCGATCAGGGAGCAGCAACCTGCCGAGGGAGGTAGTATCGCGAGTCAAAGACCTACAAGCCGGTTCAGAGGCGGCGCTAAAGGAGGGCAAATCGCACATTACTAAACTAAAGCAGGAACTGGGCACCGGAAGCGGGCTCGTCGAAAAATTACGGACCTGGGCATTTGAAGACGGTGGCAGAGAACTAAATGATTTGGTGGAGGACGGCACACTGAAGGAAGTGGTGGAGAGCTGGAGACAAAATCTTGCGGGTTGGGAACGGGTAAAATGGGCGTAGAAATAGACCAAGGTCCGCGATGGAACTCCTGGACCACGGCAGACCTAGTTGGCGGCGGCCCGGGGCGACTTCGACCGCGAATGCGAATGCAGGCAATCCATTTCGGAACAAATGGTTGACGCGACCGGACGATTTGCGCCGTCTCTAGACCTACGAGTGGGCAATGTCGGACCAATCAATCGGTGCGCCACTCGACACCCAGAGCCGCGATCGATGATCTCATCAACACTCTGCCCGGATGACGGCATTTTGACGTTTGCCCGCTGCTGCTGGGCGTTGGCCATTGAAATAAATAACCACCTCTCCCCTCGTGCCGTCTGTGTCAATGTAAAAGTGTGGGTGAAGATTTGAACCCCCCTCCCCCCCGATAACTCTTGTATTCCAAAGCCCTCGCTCGCGTGGCAAAGTATCCTTCTACAGTCAAGGATCAAGATGCCCGAGACAGGCTCGTCGACCGCAGCACACAGCAAAGGCGGCGTGCCGCTACAGAACCCACAACAAACGGGCAACGACGCCGGCGACAGTCGCGTTCCGCTGTCCGCAGAGCCGGGCGTCTACAAGGACGACGGTGCTCGAGAGGTCCCCATCTCCGCAGAGCCAGGCGTTTACAGGCACGATGGTCAGAACAGCCCCAAGGAGGGCGTGGCGGGAGACCAGGGCGTCAGGATAAAGAACCAAGGCCAAGGGATCGGGTCCAAAGTGTGATGCTGCGACGCAGGGAACCCATCATGTACGCGTTATGGAACATGTCAACCAAGACACTGGGTGATGCTGCGCTGAGTCATTTGGTTTCTCTCATTCTCATTCTGGGCTCGGAAGGTCCAATCATCAAGTAGGCCCTGCGGTGCTAGTTTTACCACATGTATGAGCTGTATGCGGAAAGACACGTGCTCCTGCATCAAAAGGGAGAGACTGGTGACTCGTCGGCCGTCGGTGGCCAGTTTGCTCAAGAAGTGCTGCCCAGGAGCCCGACTGTCGCCACCCTTTGCGGGCGAACAAGTGAAAATCCTGGCGAAACCGGGGTCGAAGGCGACGACGGGAAGCGGAAGGCGGTCCGGGCCTGCTTTGTGGATGGCGCGAGACGGAGGGATATCGGGACCGAGGACGGAGGAAGTTGGCGATGGCAAGTTGGCTGTGGCTGATGGCGCCGTGGGCTTCTTCAGCATCGACAAGCAGTCGCCAGTGTATAATGACACGGACAATGCTTCGAGTGCTTGGGCAACTAATCGAGTTGCTCGACTTGGAAGCTCGACAAGAGCCGCCATGGTTCCGGCGCTATTCTACGAAACTCGGACCGCTTGGCGCCTCAAAATTCAGGTTTGCCAGGCGCCGCCCAAGTTCCCATCATTGCTTGGCGTGGTTTCGCCATTGAAGCTGCCCAGAAGGCGGCCGCTTTCAACGTTTCAACCCTCCCCATCTTGGGCTGCATCGTGTACAAAAAAAACAACAACCCATGTGCTTGGCTCCCAGCCGACAACCGTGCGCATGGCAGAGTCCTCGGCTTTCCAGGCGCCTTCATGGACGGACGGTTGGCCCGACCACGACGAGGAATTGACTTTCTCGGCACTTGAACAGTGGACTCTCTGCGAGGGTCGTCCCGAAGCCAATATCGAGCATCTACAGCTCAAACACTAGCTCCGTCATGGCTCTGCCGGTGTTTGTGACTCGATCACGCAAGTTACATGCCCCAAGACTACACATGTGGCCAGCGTAAGCGAGCGAGTTAGGCCGGGGATGGTCCAAGGGACACCACTGAGAAGGGACACCACTGAGACGGATTGGTTGGCAACCGCACAAGTTCGGCAGCAGCAGATTGTCCAGGCAGTGCTTTGTGAAACTCTGGCCGTTTACTCCATAGATGAGGGAGTCTTGCGGGCTGAAACGCTGGGCCGTGGCCCTGGGCGAGCAACGCGCTTGCGTGGGTCTCGCGTCTGCCCTGTCCCATCGACGGCGCGAGAAGTAGCGCCAGGTTTGTGTCTCTATTCTATTGCTCCTGGACAAGGAGTGGCGCTGCCTCCGCCGGTGACACGACGTCGACCTGGAGATGGACACGGACTTTTCGCACGGATCCGCGAGCCTCTCTCTCCAGCCAGGCGCAGCGGAACTCGACGCGCTGTACATTTGTCCAAATGCATCGCGGGCCTTGGCACGGGGCGTCGCCAAGATGCAGTCGTCAGCAGCGGGCACAAAGACAATGCAAGCCCCCTGCAGACATGCCATGACGCGGCATTCCTCGCGGCTTCGAGACGGGACGAAACGAACGCCACGCCATCATTACATGGACAAGACCTGGAGAGGGCGCCCCTCTTGATCCCGCTCGGCACCCCGGCCCGACCGCTCGACTTCATTTATTTACGGAGTATCAAACTTTGTTTTCCCTTTCCCCCGGGCTCGTGCCAAGACACGGCGGCAAGCAAGGCCGCACAGGTTCTTGACAGAATCTTGTCCAGCGCACATGAACAGCCAGGTCTGCAATGTGACGAGAAAAGGTTGTCGGCGAAGCCAGACGCGACAGTAGTTAACTTATTACGTACGCCATTATTGGCGAGCCTTTTGACAGTGGGGCGTTGCACGGGGTCGGGAATAAACTTTGCGTGGCGTCAAATTCTACGTACTACTCGGGTCTGCAAGTAACTAACAAGTACCTAACCTACATACTACGTAGTACTAACGTTAGTAGTAGTACGTAGTTCGTCAAGTTCGATTGAAACTTCGATCCCAGATTAGCGGAGCCGGGCTGCAAGGCAACCCCCAGCCCCGCTGCTCCTGATTGGTTGGACCGTTAGCCTGCAACTGCCCAAACCGGCACGTGGTGGTTCGTTCTCTTGCGTCGTGCTACTTTGCTTCTTTGCTTCTTGAGCCAGCCTCGACTCTTGACTCTTGACGCAGTCCTTTCTCTTTGTCACTGGACATAGACATGGCCACTAATCGCGGCGGGTCGGTGACACTCTCTCCGCTGGCCTGGACCGGGGCTGACTAAATCCCAATCGACAACAATACGTCACCCGTCCAAATCGCAGCATCGCATTGATAATCAAGCGCCTTACGCATGACTCGGGACGCACCGCGTCTCTCTTCATCCATTCCGCAGGCGTACACGGGTCGAGAAAATAATAAGTAATGTTGTTACCGGTCCTGCCCCGAAACCTCAACTCCCATCCTCGGCTGTCACTCTCATCTTCACCCTCGCCCCCAACCTCGTCAACATGCGCTCCTCAGCCGGAATCCTCTCTGCTCTGGCATCCAGCGTGCTTGCCGCCCGTCCATTTCTGAACGAGCCAGACACCGGCCTTCAAACCATACTTGGCAACTGGCCCAACGAGCCGGTGCCGGACTTCACAGAGATGGTCGACCAGCCCAACCTGCCCATCGACCAACTGCCACACATCAACGTCACCGTCGGCCTGCCCGACTTGGAAGAAATTGCCAGAAAGTTCCTGTCCCCCAAGAACTTTGCCTACTACCGGAACGGAGCCGCAGGAGAGTATTCGTACCGCAACAACCTCGAGGTCTATAATCGTTACCGCCTTCGCCCGCGTGTAATGAGGGACATTTCCAAAATCGAGGACTCTCTCCCGTACGTAGCCCATTCCTCCGTGCCGCAGACTGACCACCCAACCCAAGCCCGAGACCACCTGACACTCGATGCTAATGTGGGCTAGGACGTCTCTCCTGGGACACAACTTTTCCGCACCCTTCTACATCAGCGCTTGCGCACGAGCAGATTATGCCCATCCCGACGCTGAGCTCAACTTCGTCAAGGCCGCCGCCGCCGGCGACATCCTTTACATGGTACGCACAAACTTTGCCCACCGTATCTTGCCGAAGAAAGCATCCTAACTCGTTCTGCTGCTCCCTCTCTAAATAGCCGGCCCAGTTCTCGGGAAAAAAAATGTCAGAAATCGCCGCAGCCAAGAAAGAAGGCCAGGTCTTGTTCCAGCAGGTGTGTTTCCCAAATCCACGTCTCGACTCTCCAGCCAGTCTGGTGCTGACCATGCTCTCTCACCCTCTGCCCCCCAGGTGTACCTCGACTCCAACGACACCCTGACCAAGGAATTATTCAAGGCCATCGAAGAAGCCGGGTCCAAGGCCATCGTCTTCACCGTCGACTCCGCAGCCGACGGAAACCGCCACCGTGCGGCGAGATACGGCGTCACGTCTGCGTGAGTGAAGCAACTGCCGCGGCGCCCACCGCATCCCATCCCACCACGGACACGTCTCTGACCTTTGCGCACCCAACAGCGACGCGGGCTTTTCATCCTTTACCGTAAGTACGACGTCCGTTTATGCAAAAACAACCAAGAAACAAAACAAAAGCTGACCATAATCCCCCCCCCTTCTCCTCCAGTGGGATTACTACGACAAAATCAGAGAGTGGACCAAGCTCCCCATCATCATCAAGGGCATCATGACCTACGAGGACGCCAAGCTGGCCTACGAGCACCACGCCCCGGCCATTATTCTCTCCAACCACGGCGGCCGGCAGCTCGACAGGTCCTCGTCGTCCCTCGAGGCCGCTCTCGAAATCTTCAACGAGGACAAGGACCTGTTCAACAAGGAGATGGAGATCTGGGCCGACGGCGGCGTCCGCTACGGCGTCGACGCCATCATGCTCCTCTCCCTCGGCGTCAAGGCCGTCGGCATAGGCCGCCCATTCATGTACGCCAACATGTACGGCGAAGCGGGCCCCAAGAGGGTCATCGACTTGATGAAGCGCGAAATCGCAATCGACGCCGGAAACCTCGGCATTGCCAACTTGAGGGAAATCACGTCCGAATATGTGAGCCGCGCCCCTACTTCTCCCTTAACTGCCTCTCTCTCCTCCTCGTAGTACGGCACACTTCTTTGCCGGCTGCATCTCATCTAACAATGCGGAAAAAAACAGGTCGACTGGAGGCCAGCAAATTGGAACATGTGAGATCGTCAGGCGAGATACGAGATATTAAGCCTGGTCCTACACCGTTGGCAAGGGGGAGTAGTATTGCGAAGGCACCGGTTCATGGAAGGCCAGGCCATGGACGGCTCTGCCGTATTTCGGCGCTCCCATGGCCGTGGCGCTGCGCCGTCTTCTCCCGCGTGGGCAGAACCAATTGCACTCGCTTGGCCTGGCCAAGTGTTATTGTCACTGTACAAGACTTGTACCTAGTTAGCTTCATTGTACATCAATTGATAGTTAATTGCGCCGTAAAGGTCGCCGAGTTCGGGGGACGAAACTGGAACACTTGGTCTGAATGTATAAGAAATCGCCGGACCGCCCGCACGGCAGGACACAGCACCGAGACCGAGATAACCTCAAGCTATTTTATTGCAGGGAATAGTCGCAATGGCGGTGCTGCTAAACTGAGGGGGGGAAAGAGGCTCCCTTCTCCTTCTCCGTAAATTCTTCCACACCTTCCGGCTCCCCAAGAGCCTGGGCTTGCATACCACCTGCATCTGACAGCTATACCAAGGTTGGGTTCTCGCAATTGTTTCATGAAGAATGCGATCTCCGTCGCCCGTAAATATAATTATTCAAAGTAATTTCGGGAATCCGGACCTGCCTGACCTCTTGCCACCGAGTATCCGCACGCTTTGCCGAAGCAACCTTTGATTTCGCCCCCTCTACCGCGAGTACACGGGCTCTATGCAGCAGGTCGTTCTCGTTTAACGCTACATCTGCATCATCATCTTGCAAAAGCAGACTTGGATGGTAGTGTAGCGCTATTTTACAAGAGAATGCCGCACGATTAACGTCTTCGCAAGAGACTGTCATGCAGGTTCAGTAGGCAGGTACGGAGTAGATTTTGGTCATTTGTAGAACTGGACTGGACCTACCGGCTAGCAATGTCAGTGCGGAAATGCATTTCCTCGAATCTTACGCTCGCCACCCCCTCGTATGCAAGTTTGACTGCCTGCTCCAATGTATCACCAACTGCTGCAACAGAGATAACCCTGCCGCCTGTTGACTTGAGGACGTCACCTTCCGCACTCTTTGTATCCCCATGGAATATATAAATGTGTGGAGAACGAACCGCGCCAATTCGTATCACGTTGTCCGTCAAGTATGACCCAGGGTATCCCAAAGCGGATATGACAACGCTGCAAGCGTAACCAGGGCTGATATTCATTTCAGTCGTGTGCAGGGACCCTTGCGTACATGCGAAAAATACTTCCGCAAGATCTGTTTCATTTGATAGTAAAAGCATCAGACTCTGTGTTTCTGGATCTTCGAATCGAGCATTGTATCCGAGAACATGCGGGCCCAGCGGAGTAATCATGATCCTCGTAGAAAGGAGACCTCGAAATGTACGACCTTGCACGAATAAGTCAGCCGGGAAGAGTTGGAGCCTTTGAGAAATTACGTCGGTCTTGTGCGTTGTTTTGTGGCAACCGTGGGCGGCACGTTGGCGGGCTAAAAGGAAATTCAGGAGACATGGAATCTTGCAATGACAAACCTTCAGCACGCAAGCCGTCAAATGTAGGCTTCAAGATGAACTTTTCAATTTCAGACATGATCCTCGGGGTCACAATTGGGGTCGGAGCACAGACGCCCATTCCACGGGTGTTGGGGCCGACGTTGCCATCGCAGAGCCGTTTATGGTCTTGACCTGGCGGGAGAGTGCGGAATGTCGTGCCGTCGCTGAATGTCGAGACACTTACTTCTTCGCCCTCGAGACACCTTTCAACAACGACAGTCCGTCCGGCGGGGCCGAATTTGCCTTGGGCAAAGATATTCAGCATCCGATGCGCCTCCTGCCGGCAGGCGGGGAGCATGACGCCTTTGCCTTCCGTCGGCCCGTTGGCTTTGAGAACGACATCGTGCTCGGTCTTTTCAATGTATAGCACAGCTGATTCGAAGCCTTGGGGGGTGCTCAAGTCAAAACTCCGCCAGGGAGCCGTCGGGATACGGTACTTTCCCATGAAATTCTTGGCGTACGTCTTGTCTCCCCCAATTCTTGCAGCTTCTTTTGAAGGAGAGAAGCACGGGATCCCCTCTGCCAGAGTGTAAGCGACTTTGCAGGGAGCAGTGATTCGAACCGTGTAAACCTACTCTCTCGGAAGTATGCCTCCATGTCGTCGACGGCTGGGTTGTCGGAGCCGACGACGACCAAGCCGATTCTGAGCTTTTCGGCGAGAGAAACCAGAGATGAATAGTCGCAATCCTTAATTTCGTGCGTTTGGACAATGTTGGTAATCTTTCTCGATTGCATCGTGCCCCCGTTTCCGGGGCAGACGAAGACGTGCTCTACCGACGGCGCATAGGACATTCGCCATGCCAAAGCATGCTCGCGCGCCCCGGAGCCAATCAACAGAACACGAAATCTTCTCCTGTAAGTATCCATGACAGGGGCTTGCGGTCGCAGACGGGAAAGGAGCAAGGTATCGCCGTGTTTTTGGCCTTGGTGATTTCGAACTGGCCCGGCAACACAAGAACTGGGAAAGAAAGAAGGTGATGGAGATCAAGGAGGAGAAGAGGAGACAGCAGGAAAGAAAGCCCTTGAGAGATGTAGAATTTAACCCTATCTTGGTAAGGTGGCCAGGCACACACAAAGTTTGGCGGACTATTTTTAATCATGGACGAGGGAAGCGCATATTGACTGACTGAAGGCTTGGTTTCAGTTTTAAAAAACGCCCAGTCCAACGAAGATGGTCAAGTAAGGCCGAATCAAGCGCGGCAGCCGGGTGGCAGGCACCGGGAGCACAGGGAAGGGGCGTGAGAGGCTCTTTCCTCGAGCCGTGATTTGTCGATTGCCCGACTACCAGCTTTCTACTCTACGCAAGTCAGCTATGAAGTTGAAAGGGAAAAAAAAAGAGACCTTGGCGAAAGAAAAAAAGCAAAGTCCGTAAAATGACCGACCACGCCACGCCACGCCACGCCTCTTGACTTGACGCCAGCAAATTGTACGAAACTCTTTTAATTACCATAAACAGCAATTCGATTCGGCACTATAATTTAAGTGCGGGCCCGCACAGCCGTAAATCACTGGGCCCGCCAGTTCGGCATGACGCCGCGCATTCGAATTCGAAAATAAATTCTACTATTACGCAAAAGCATCTTGGGCATCTCTAAGCTGGGGGCCAGGTCAATGTGCGGAATGGCCACGTGATGCTTAATCTGTGGCCTTGATGTACGTAAAGTGTATTTTGCCATCGGCCCTATGCAGGCTTGTTCTTGCCACTTGGCTCTTGGAACGGGCCGAGTCGTTACCATTCCTTTACTAGTAAAAATTGTTTCAAGTTGATGTAATAAAATAACAATCATATACATAATCGCAATAGTATAAAATAGAGCTCCAACTTGCTGAGCCAGTCTGGCAGCCAGATCAATTTAACTCGGCGAGAATGCCCTGGCCGTGAGTGATGCTGCTTTGCTCTCTTACACTTTGCTCAGATTCGCCTCCAAATATGCGATTATTGCCCAAGATACCATGTGTTTGACGGCGACTCAACATCATGAATATGGCCGAAGCCGGAGAGCGGCACATAAAACCTAACGTGGACGCCGAGACATTGGACTTTTGTGCTTTGAACACGTCGTTCCCATGCCTCTTACCGCGAAGGGTGTGACAAGCTGCCCACGGCTCAGCCGTACTTCGAAAGGGAAACAATACTACATCAGCCGACTTGCTTCGGGCCGCGGCTGCATAGCCAGCCGTCGAATTGGGCGAGAGCAATTGGTGCTTCATCCCGCCAGCGATCACATTGTCCTGCTGCGTAACCGCGTCGGTCCGCTGCACCTCACACCCAATCTGGCCGTACATTGCGGAGTATCCGGTGCCTCCGGGATAAGTTGATACGTTACCGAGAATGCTTCTTGCTCAAGCTGTCCCATCATGGTTATTCATAGCAGCGACTCCGAACAAAGGGGTATCCTTCAACCTTGGTAGCAATGCAACATGACGTCGCTGGGGTTGATGAGCCCTTGTAGTCGAGGATGCTACGGGAAATGCAGGCTTGCCCGAACGATGAGCCAGAGTCCCTTCCACGCGCTGCAAAAAGAGTGCCTCGCCAAAGCCCTGCTTACAATTTCTCCTCCCCTCACAGCCCGCAGGCAATCACGGTGCCCGTCGGTATTTGAATGCATTGTCCTGGCGCACATTCCCATGGCGCCGTTTATGCACTTGATTCGAGAGGAATCTGAATACTTGCTACCACTATTGATAGCGTTATGAATGAAATTTGAAAGTAGACAATGACAATTCTCAAAGACGTGCGGCTTGCGCATCGCTTCTCGCACATTTCAGCGGCGACCCAGACTTTTATTAGCGGCCTTGAAAAAAAATATGTCTGCTACTCAGTCATCTGTTCCTCGTTTGAGCTTGACTTGAGATTATTCCAATACTCCGCCGACTGACTGATCCAAAAGCCCGATCTTCCACAACGTGGCAGCTTCGCATTGGACCTGGCGGCGTGCCAGTTCTGATGTTGGCCCGAAAGAAAGGATCCAGAAGCAGCCGTTCTGTGCGACTGTCGCAGCTCTCGGGATAAGTTGTTCCAAGAAGGGAGCACTTCTGATTGGCAGACGGAGTGTCTGGAGAGAAGTGGTTGCATTGTCGGACATATGCAATCTGCAATGTGCCACTTTCGTAACTTGTGCGGCTGCGGCATCATATAGTTCATTATTCGAGGGCGCGTAGGGATCGAATAGTCAAGCGATTAATGCCACAGATATACCCCATCCTGGCTCTCTGGTCCCGATCGCCTTGCAGCTTACTCCTCCGGTAAGCGGAGCGGTGGGGGACATCCTCCCAGTTCAAAAGCCGGGAGTCGAGGCCAGAGGCAACCAGACGAGGCCGACTCCTGGTTTCCGATCCTCACTGCTGCAACACTCCAACATGGTGCTTTTGACCATGACAAAATCCGACGACCCCTTTCATGCCCCTGACGGCATGGCTGATGGGCAGAAAATGGGACAAGCAAACGGCTCTCCACGCTCCAGCCAAGTTGCTGCTTGCCTTCCAAACAGGCACCATGGCGAAACTGCGTCTTGTCGTTTTCTTTCCGAGTCGTCTCCGCTCTTAAACAAGGCTGATAGTATCGAGAGTTACGAAGCAGTGGCCTCGGAGCCTGACGACGACGTCCAGCCCGACGCAATGGTCGTGGCGACAACGTCGTCTGGGGGGGTGTGCGTCACCTGGCAGAGCGAGGCCAAGCACCTGGCATCATCTTCTGCATCTTTGCTCGTCACCTACGTTCTGCAATACTCGATAAACGTCGTCAGCGTATTTGCTGCGGGCCGAATTGGCAAGGTGGAGTTGGGCGCCGTGGCATGTGAGTTGCCCGCCTTTGCCCTTTACCCACGCTTTTGGTATTGCAATTTGATAACGTTTGGTGCCAGTGGCAAACATGACGACTGGCGTGACTTGCTTGGCCCCATTCATGGGGCTGGCGACGAGTTTGGATACTTTGTGCGCCCAAGCATATGGAGACGGACGCGGTCATCTTGTTGGCATCCAATGCCAACGTATGGTTGTCTTTCTCTCGCTCCTTTCCGTGCCCGTGGCAGTCTTGTGGGCTTATTCCGAAGAAATACTCGTACGAGCTATTAGCAATGCCGAGTCGGCCCGCCTAGCTAGTCTGTATCTCAGGGTCATGATATTCGCCTTGCCAGGTATCATCGTTTTCGAAGCTGGGAAGAGACTGCTGCAGGCACAGGGCTTATTCAAAGAGACGACCTATGTTCTCCTCGTAACGGCCCCTGTCAATGTGCTCTTAAACTGGCTGCTCGTCTGGAAACTTGAACTGGGCTTCGTGGGTGCACCGATCGCTGTGGCTTTCTCCAGGACTCTTTTGGCCGTTCTGCTTGTGCTTTACGTGAAGCTGGTCAACGGCTCTCAGTGCTGGGGAGGTCTCAGCATGAAAGCCTTTTCGAATTGGTGGCCCATGGTCTATTTAGCCTTGCCCGGCATGATCATGGTGGCGGCGGAATGGTTCATCTTTGACATCATAACCTTCCTCTCCAGTCGACTTGGAACGGACTATCTCGCGGCACAGAGCATTTTGGTCTCCGTGACAACCCTGCTCTACCATATCCCTTTCGCGGTGTCAGTTGCGGCGTCCACTAGAGTAGCTAATTTAATAGGAGCCGGCCTTGTCGATGCTGCGAAGGCTGCAGCCAAGGTGGTATGCCCAAGTCCAAGTCTCCTCTACACGGCTGTCCTGCAGGCTGCAGCAAACCTTGTCGTTGACGGCTAACTGGACTTAGGCCACTGTTGCGGCATTCATTATCTGCGCTCTGAACTTCTCGACGTATATCATAATGCGATTCCGGATACCACTCCTGTTGACCAGTGACCCCGCCGTCATCATGCTCACTGCTCAAGCTATGCCATTTGTGGCCCTGGAACAAGTCTTTGATAGTCTCTGTGCCGGTGCTCATGGGCTGCTACGCGGAGTTGGCAAGCAATCGATCGGCGGACCTGTGAACCTCATTGGGCATTACCTCGTCTCGCTTCCTGTCTGTCTGATTCTGGGATTCCACTGTTCCTGGAAGTTGGATGGTCTCTGGGCTGGCATAGCAGCTGGGCTCCTCATGTGAGTTGGATCGAATGCTACCAATAGATGTTGCTGACTGTTGATTTAGTGTAGCTCTTGTTGAGTACGGCTACTTGCTCACAATTGACTGGCATACAGCATGTGCGGAAGCAGAGGCAAGAAATACAGCTGGCTAGAAGCCGGAGAATTGCCACTTGTCTGATGTTTTTGCGAGGCGGCACGGATGAGTTGAACGCGAAGAAGTGGCATGGCGAATACAACACTGCGTGAGGAGCAAAATCCAAGGTGATTATAGCTTGGAGAACATATGCGAAACAGGTAACCTTGCCTATTCAATAGATTCTTAGTAGGTGGTAGGTAGTAGGTAACGTACACGGCGAAGAACGTGCTCGACGGATCGTTAGACAGTGTACGTGGAATATGAAACACCGTGTGGGGCAATCAACCTTGGCAATACGCCGTCCGTACGGAGCTCGAGATGAGAATCTTTCGCTAGGAGAAGTATTTGCGCACTATCAAGCTTCGGAGATTTCGTGGAGAAATGGCTTCAAAAGCCAGGCATCAAAATTGACATGGTTATGCGAGGTTGGCAGTCGGTCAGCAAGGTGCTTCGCGTTTGATTGCCTGGCGCCTTTGGAGACACATGCGAAATCGAGATTCTGCCGGATACCACCGCCCAAAAAAAAAAATCAGGGTTCTGGACGAGATGACTTTAACGAGTCGAACCGCATGGGCACTGTTTCTTCCTGAAGCTGGGATGTTAACGGCAATAGCCTCTGGCCCATCGCCAAGATGAACATTGCGCAACCCATTTCTTCCGAGGTCGATGCTGTCGACTTTACTTTCCTTTCTTCAAAGGAGATCCAAGCCATCTCAGTCAAGCGCATCGAAAATGACAGCACCTTTGACAGCTTGCTCAATCCCGTACACGGAGGTCTCTATGATCCCGCCCTCGGATCATGGGGGGACGAACCGTGAGTCCCATCTGTCTCAATTGCCATAGCCTAGACCTTACTGACGGCATTCTCAAGGTGCGCGACATGTAGCCTAGTTTCATCGAGCTGCCCGGGTCATCCAGGGCACATCCAGTTACCAGCGCCAGTCTACCACCCCGTCTTCATGGACCAGGCATACCACTTGCTTCGAGCAGCTTGTGTATACTGTCGAGGTTTCCGACTGCCAGCCAAAGACCTGCACAAGTACATGTGCAAACTTCGCCTCTTACAGCACGGCCTCATTCGCGAAGCATATATCATCGATGCTCTTGGCGAGACGGATTGGGCCGAGATGGGCGAAGCACTTGGCCTAGATGAGAGCGAGGCTGAGGAAGAAAATTCCTCGATTGACGCCATCACACGAAAAAGGGAACAGTACGTCCAACAGTGCCTCCGAGGAGGTGCGCGTCGACGAGGTGACGCTAGGAAGGGGAAACATGAGGGCATGGCCCAAGCTCGCCGAGAAGTCATCAAACAATTTCTCTCTGAAATAACTAAAAGAAGGGAATGCGCTTCATGCACAGGAATTTCACCGCCGTACCGAAAAGATCGATTCGTCAAGATTTTCGAGAAGTCGCTGTCACCCAAGGAGCGAGCAAAAATGGCCCAGAGGAGGTTGGAACGGAAGGATGCAATGACCCGCCGTTACGATGCCAAATTGGAGACGAGAAGGGATGCTGAAGACTCCGAGGCCGAAGAAATTGTTGATACACCAAGCGATGAAGAAATGGGAGAAGCAGATGATGGTGGCGCAGAGTCACAGAGATACATTAGTCCTATGGAGGTGCGGGCTCGTCTCAGCGAGTTGTTCAAAAAGGAGCAAGGCCTTGTTTGCTTGTTGTACAACTCGAAACCGCGCACTAGAAGCTCCCCTGAGGTCACCCCAGACATGTTCTTCATCACCACCATTCTGGTGCCGCCGAATCGTTATCGACCTGAAGCCCGCATGGGAGACTCCCAAGTAACCGAAGCGGAGCAGAATTCGCTTTACAAGTTGATTCTGCGAGGCTGCTCCAAGATAGCTCGAGTGTACTCTGTTTTGAAAGCCGAAGAGCACGCCGACATTACCCAATTGCATCAGGCCTGGGCAGAGCTTCAAGAGGCGGTCAATTCACTCATTGATAAGAACAAGAATCCTGTACAGGGCGCGGCAGCGAAACGCAACGAAGATGGAATCAAACAGAAACTGGAAAAGAAAGAGGGTCTTTTCCGAAAGAATATGATGGGGAAGCGTGTCAACTACGCCGCCAGAAGTGTCATCTCCCCTGATCCAAATATCGAGACAAATGAGATTGGTGTCCCGCCAGTTTTCGCCCAGAAACTCACCTTCCCGGAGCCCGTCACAAGTCATAATTTCAGAGACATGCAACAGGCCGTCGTCAATGGTGCCAATACGTGGCCTGGTGCTGTTGCCATTGAGAACGAGAATGGTCAAGTGCAAATGCTTAAAAACAAGTCCGTCGATGAGCGCATATCGCTAGCTAACCAGTTGCTTGCCCCAACAAATCCCGGCGCAGTAAAGATAAGGAACAAGAAAGTATATCGCCATATAACAAATGGCGACGTCGTGTTGATGAATCGTCAGCCCACGTTGCATAAGCCCTCCATTATGGGACATCGAGTTCGGGTTTTGCCAGGCGAAAAGACAATCCGCATGCATTATGCTAATTGCAACACATACAATGCTGACTTTGACGGAGACGAGATGAATATGCATTTCCCCCAAAACGAAATTGCTCGGGCCGAGGCGCTACACATCGCGGACACCGACCATCAGTATTTATCCGGAACGCAAGGAAAGCCGCTACGGGGTCTCATCCAAGATCACATCTCGATATCTATTGCCCTATGTAGTTGCGATACCTTTTTCAGCCGCGGCGACTATCATTCGCTGGTCTACAGTGCAGTTAGGCCAGAAAGCGGTCATATCTCCGGGGAGAGGATTCAGCTAGTCCCGCCAGCCGTTGTTAAGCCCGTACCGCGATGGACTGGGAAACAGGTCATCTCGACGATACTAAAAAACACGCAGCCGATAAACTATGGCGCCCTCAATCTACGAGGAGAATCGCAGATCAAGGCAGACCAATGGGGATCCAAGTCTGAACAGGGCACTGTGCTGATCCAAGACGGTGAATTCGTGACTGGAATTCTCGACAAGTCCCAAATCGGCCAAAGCTCGGGTGGTTTGATCCACGCCATTCATGAAATTCACGGCCCCGCGATCGCGAGCAAGCTTCTCAGCGCCCTTGGTCGACTTCTCACTCGATATCTTAACATGCGGGCCTTCTCGTGTGGTGTTGATGACCTGAAACTCACTGCCAAGGGCGAGGAAGCCCGGCGGCAAGAGCTCCAAGCTATTAACCGAGTCGGTCTTGAAGTTGCCTCGAAGTATGTCTCGCTCAAGGACGTTTCTGACGGTCAAAACCCGGTACTTTTGGAGCGTCTTGAGGAGGTTCTCCGCGATGACACGAAGCTAGAAGGTCTGGATCTCTTGATGAATCATACGACAAGAGACATCACAGACAAGGTCCAGAAAGTCTGCATTCCTAACGGCCTGGAGAAGCCGTTCCCGCGAAATCAGATGCAGGCAATGACAACATCTGGAGCCAAAGGGTCCAGGGTCAACGCGTCGCTCATTTCATGTAACCTGGGGCAGCAGGTCCTGGAGAGCAGGCGAGTGCCTATTATGGTGAGCGGTAAATCGCTGCCTTGTTTCAAGCCATTCGAGACCAACATTACGGCCAACGGCTATATCGGCAGCCGATTTCTTACAGGCATCCGTCCGCAGGAATACTACTTTCATCACATGGCGGGGCGAGAAGGGCTTATTGATACAGCCGTGAAAACATCGCGTTCTGGGTATTTACAGAGATGCGTCATCAAGGGCTTGGAGGGTCTTATGGTAGCATACGACACAACCGTGCGTGATGCAGACGGCTCTATCATCCAGTTTCTGTACGGCGAGGACGGCTTGGATGTCACAAAACAAACCTATCTCAAAGATTTCGGCTTTATTCTGCGGAATGTCACGTCCGAAGTGGCCCAGCTCAGATATGACGCCCAAGTGGTCAGACGTCTCGGTGTTAATCGAGAGTCATTTACAAAGTACATGAAAAGCGCAGTGAAACACTCGAAACCCGGCGATCCAAAGGGAAGAGACCCGCTTTTAAGCGCGTTTAACCCGGCAACGAATGCATTCGTTTTGTCTGAGGCCTTCTACAGTGCCATGTCATCTTATTTGAAGGCGAATGCAGATGGCCTCGTTCGCGAAAAGGGTGACAAGTCAGCGTCAGATTCGTCTTACTCACTGAACAGGAAGAATGCCGAGGTTCTGTTTGCCATGAAGTACTTGCAGTCACTGGTAGAGCCCGGCGAGGCAGTTGGTATTGTCGCAGGCCAATCCGTGGGCGAGCCATCGACACAAATGACCCTCAATACGTTCCACTTGGCGGGACATGCGGCCAAGAACGTCACAGCAGGTATACCTCGTCTGAGAGAGATTTTGATGACAGCCTCCAAGGACATTTCTACACCAGCCATGTCTCTTTATCCTAATCAGAGTCTTTCCGCCCGCGAAGCCGAGACGTTTACCAATTCAATCAGTGCTCTTCCTCTATCGTACATTTTGGATAGCGTTGTCGTGGAAGAGAAGGTTGGCCGTGGCAAAAATTTTGATCTGGCCAAGATCTACCATATCAAATTCAAGTTTTTCCCTCCACAGGATTATTTCGAAACTTACCATGCCAGCATATCTGATGTTCTGGATGCCGTGGAGAAAAGACTGCTGCGCTCCATTGTTAAATTCTCGAAGGCCGAAGTGAAGAAGAGAGCCAATGATGCCACAGCAGCTACACCCGATATTGGAGTCAAGGTCGGAGTAGTGGAGATGGCTGCTGCACCAGCTGGAACTGTCAATGATGATGATAATGGTGGCGACGACGATTTTACCTCAGTCAAGCAACGGGCTAATCGCCTCGAAGCTGTGTCATACGGGCCAAATGATGACGCCGATGATGAAATTCAGCAGGCAATGGATGAAGGTGAGGCGGCCGACGAGTCGGACTCGGAAAATTTGGACGAGAGCTCACCGACGGCAAACGAGAATTGGGACGAAAATGCGGAGCGCGATGAGACCGAATCAACAAAGCCCCGAGCGGAGCGCGTCCTGGAAAGCTTTGCAGAGGTGACAAGTTTTGAGTATGACGAAAAAGTCGGGGACCGGTGCAGTGTGACGCTCGAGTTCGATGTGACAGTGCCGAAGTTTCTCATGCTCAATGTCGTCCAAAAAGCTGTCAAGAAGACGATGGTCAGGGAAATTCCTGGCATCGGGGCTTGCAGAATGGAAGATGAGAGCAGCACGGGGGCAAAGGAGCGGGTCATTCACGTCACTGGGGTCAATATCCAGGCAATTCAAAAGTACAGAGATTACATCGACCCGAACAGGATTCAGACCAACGATATCGCCGCTGTGCTATCCATGTACGGTGTCGAGGCATGCAGGAGCAATATCGTCCAGGAGCTTGCTGGCGTGTTCAGTTCCCATGGCATCAAAGTTGATTACCGGCACTTGAACCTCATCGCGGATTATATGACGAGGAATGGTGACTTTACAGCTTTCAGCCGCATGGGTCTAAGGGGCAACGTCAGCCCCTTTACCAAGATGAGCTTTGAGACGACACTGGCATTCCTGAAGGACGCGGTGTTGGACGGGGACTGGGACGAGCTGGCGACACCCAGCGGCCGCCTCGTCATGGGACGACTAGGGAAGCTAGGCACTGGTAGTTTTGACGTGTTGACAAGTCTTCCGACGCTGCATTTGGACTCTTTAGCATGACGTGTGCAGTCTAGTGAGGCGGAGAATGACGATGGATGAGGTGCCACAAGACGCGCGTCAGGCGTCGGAAGGAGTCGGAGGCGAACAGCAGTCTTGTCAGGAATTCTCGACGGACACCAATCTGCAACGGCGTTGTTGCGCCAGCAGACGGAGGTGAAAATCTCATCTAGTGGCGAAGCTTTGACCATAACGCTGGCTCCTCTCTGGAGGTCGATTAGCTGGGAATAGGTGTAATTCGTCAAGGGGAACGGTGTCAATAATCTCACATATCACTATAGTCCAGATACTTGGGATAAAGGCTCCCTTGGCTAGACCTAGGATACCTAGAGTCATGTACAAGTCTAGCTAGGGCCCTCTTTGCAAGAATGGTAGTAGAAAGATGCTGTAATCGTCAAATCATAATACTGCTTGTTGTCAACTTGTCAACCACGATCTTTGAGGGAAAATCAGTCTTACTCCTTGCTGATCCTACTGCAGGTAGCGTCGGCAGCCATCTTTGAAGTAACAAGAAACTCCTTTTCGTCTGAACCTACCCTTTGAACCGACTCCATGACAACAAGAGGTGACGTCAAGCGCTGACTTCAGTCTAGAGATGCATTCATTATCCGGCAATACTGTACTGCACCGTGACCACGCCTTGACTGTTCAGTCATTTAAGAGACTTGAGTAGATATTGAGTTATAATCTAAATTCAAGATAGCCCCGCACATATCTAGATATGACAAAGCATTCAAAAACATATAATGACACTGTGAGCGACAAATCGAAGCAAGTACTAAATCAGCCGAAATTCCAGTAAATGTCACACGGATGGTGGTGACACAAGGGCTATCTATAGTCACAAAACTCAGGCAGAAGGCTGCTGCGTTCATCGTAGCCTGCGGCCGCACGGCCCTGGAAAACCAAGGACCTTTACCCAAAATGTCCACGTTGAATTGAGGCACAATGCTCCAAGCCCTCGGACGAACGCTTGTCACGGTATGAGACCAAGTCGACAGGTCTATGGTCTAAACGGCAAAATCGCCGTGCTAACAGGGCTTAGAAGGTGCTCAAGTGGACGGACTGGTAAGCCCTTGTAGTACCTTGTCTGGTGGTAGGTAGACGGAACATTTGTTTGAGGCTAAGCAAGTCAATGCACATAAATCAATGCGGATTGGGAATGCTGACAGGAAACTATCCAGATATATCTATGCGTATAAAGCGCCGAAAGAATGGACACGACTCGATGAGCTTTTTTCAGGACGTAGACTAGATGAAGAAATCTGTAAAGGATCCAGATACACATACGTAGCAGGCTCCTCGGTCTTGTTGTCATTACCAATACAGTAGACTTTTATTTAGGGAATTGCTACACGGGCATGACACTTTGGCTACACGGGCATGACTCTTACACGGGCATGACTTTTACCACTTCTGATTGGTCGCATACTTTCTTGGCCCCACAGATACTTCCTCGGAAAGGCGGTGTAGCCAACTTCACTAACAAGCTCCTACATCACCATGAATTGCAGTGTCACTTATCGTTGTGGGCGCGATTGGTCTTCTGCTATCTTGCAAGCCTGCATTTCGGATTAAACTACCGTCCTTGTACTGTTAGCCAGTAACTGTCAAATACTGGCAAAAGACGTGATGTGGTCTACTTAATTTATTGCCTCACAACGATACAATCTGGATCTTCGTCATCACTCTTAGCCAGTTCCCATTGACTCCTTGTCCTGCGAATGTTTCGTTGCGTCCTCCGTCCACTGTACCGCACGCCTGTCGTATTCCCAGCATTTAGGACTTTAGAAGGTCTACCTGGCCCTTGCTGGGCTGAGATGCCAATTTGGCCACCAGTTTGTGTGATGGTTTCTCGAGTAGCTTTATGCACTCTCCTAGCAAGAGTTGGCTTATTGAGACTTCCTGGCGGTCGACCTCGTCGCCCACTTGGTTGATTATCAGATCGGCTACTTGATGTAATAGCTAGGCTTTCTGGGATAACCTGCGCTGTATTCTTTGGCCTTCCACGTAGTGCAGTGGCAACTTTCGGGTCAAGAATTCGTCGGTATGGATCTTGAGATGCCGATTCCCGTAGTCGCCAGCGTGGGTGGACCTCCCATTTAGTGAAACGTGTGTCAGAATCTAGCTTTGCGTAGACTTTATGATAGCATGGGATTCCCAGCTCAATAGAGACCGTACAGTCGTCGTCGCAAAGTCCAATAGAGTCGGGGAAGGGATTCTTCCCCGTCGGCAGAAATTTGCGAGCAATACAGTATTGCTTGTTGATTAACCCAAGTCCTTTCGATGACATGGTTGTTCGTAGTTCACCAAGATAGTTTCCCATCGAACCTAGGTATTGTGGAGCAGTCAGGACATCATCCTGTCCACAGGCATCCTTAAAGGCACGTTCTTGGTCATGTATCATATCCTGCATTGCCTCGACGAGTCGGTAGAGGTGGCTCATGCCATTTAATAGATAGCTTTTGATATTATTGTTGCTTGCTTCTGTGCCGGACGTAACTCGGATTCCGAAGTTACGATAACGACGGATAAAGCAACGTGCCCATTGAGCACTAACAGGCATATAAGTCGAGTAGAGGTATTGTAAGATCGCTCGTTGGTCGTCGAACTCTTTACAAAGATCTCTCCATGCCTGCTCAAACGCTTCCTCAGTCTCGGCATAGAGAACCTTTTTCCACATTAAAACAACGCCTTGGTAAGTATGAGGAATCTTATCACTACTCGACCGATCTTCGATCAGATGCTTATCTGTAGTGCTCAACCCGCCATCCGCCTGTGAGGGAATGTCTTCACTGTCACTAGCGCTAGGGCTAGTAGTACTGTCCTCACGTTGGCCCGTCCACCTAGTCTTCGATTTAAGCAAAACGTTTGAAAGGATATGATGAATACAAAGCTGTTGCTGTGCATTTGGAAACTGATCATTAACGGCAGCTTTCATAGCCTTGTCGAAGTCTGTGATGATGACATCTGGTTCCCTGAGTGAGTGTTTTGTAATGAGCTTGCGAACACTCTCTGCAAGGAATTGGAACCCCTCCCTCCTCTCGTTATCTATTAAGCCAAATGCAGCATTGAACACAGTTCCAAGACAGGTTTGGCCAGTAGCCTGGAATAAAGGAAGCTTGAAGCGATTAGTGTTATATGTGTTATCAAAGCTAATAACCTCGGGGAAGCGCTTCCACATCTGTAGACAGTACGGAAAGGTCCAGACAAGACCAAGCAGTCTATCTGGATCATCATCGGCCCATTTCGCGATGTATGGGATCTTCTTCTCATCAAAGAGTTTGATCAATGCCGCAGTAGGTGTATAGCCATTTAGCTTCTCTCGGTTAATGAACGAACGGGCATTATAGATATCCTTCCGCAGGAGTGTTGTATCGGGGAATTGCTCCTCAACCATAGCAGCTACATCACTGGCTCGAATACCCGCGCGACGGCTTGCTGACTCGATGGTTGCTTTAACTGGTGTAGTAAGGCGGCGGTGGGAAACATGCGCAGATGGCGTAATACTCCGTTCATGGTTATGCTGGTGATGTTTCGGGTCTCTATGTTGTCGAAGAAGCCACTTGCCTTCCTCTAGGGCTTCAGCAATTATCATCCATTTGCAATCACACTTCCGAGACCTTCGGGTTCGAAGACCAGAACCCCCCGAGGCCCGAGATTGTCCAAACCGGTCGCATTGAATGGAGTACCTAATCAACCGTCCCTTATAGGAATATTTATTCCGCCGAATAATACCAAATCCGTTCTCCTTTGCAAATGCGTTGGTTGTTTTAAAAAGAACTTCGGCCGAGGGCGCTGGGTCGCCAGGGATTATTGGGTTCGGAATTGGCTCCGGGGCGGGAGATAGAGACTGTCGCATAGGCGAGGAACTAATATTTTCGGGCGTCGGTGATATTCGAGGAGGTTGTGTGGGTGACCTACGAGGTGGAGAGTACGGTGGAGGAGAGTCATATGCTTCGAAACTTAATGGTGACCATCCCCATCTCTCTCGCCAAGCTTGTACACGTTCGTATGATCGAGCAAGGTCTACAGTTAGCCTTCGACCTTCGCCGGTAACCTCTCGTACTATGCGCATTGCGGACTCGAACTCGGCTCTTGTCCTTGTTGGGAGATGCTGGGCGGATGGGGGTGATTCGGGAGGTTCAGAGGCGAATGGATCAAATTCTGGGCCTGGTATAAGCGCTCTGACTCGCTGGCTCCATCTTTTTCCACGGAAGAAGTCATTTTGAAGATATATCTCATAGTCAGATCGAAGGCCCCATGCAGGCTCATGGCGGCCCTGTGAACCATGGGGGTGTGGGAGACTTGAAAGTGTTTGCGGGAAAGAGGCGAACAGGTTATCGAGTGCATTTTCGTCCCCGAGGCCGTAGAACTGACCGATACTCGTAGCAGAGCTACTCGCGGATTGTGGTCGGTCTTCAACTGTGGAAGGACTAGATCTGCGTCGCCGACTGGATTTGTGTCGCTTTCCTCTTTGTGATTGATCACTGGGACTAGGGCTCCGCGACCTGCGAGGAGGTGTGCGAGGCAAAGACATTGACGTCTTGAGAAGAGAACAAGATTGTAGTGAAAGAATTGGTCGCTATCTCTACAGCATAGGGTGCCGTATTATGGTTTATTAAAAGCTACGAAAATGAAGAAAGCAAGCTCGAGGGGGTCGCCCCGACTGCGCGACCACTGGGTTGCTGCGTAGTAGCTTAGCCGAAATGAAGTAATTTACACAGAAGCAAGGTTAAAATGGCCCAGGTACTTGCGGCTGAGGTGGCAGAATCCAGCGTCGTTAACAGAGACAATGCGACCAATCAGAAGTGGTAAAAGTCATGCCCGTGTAAGAGTCATGCCCGTGTAGCCAAAGTGTCATGCCCGTGTAGCAATTCCCTTTATTTACTCTCGACACAACTATTATCCAGCAATTATTCCGAGCCCCCCGGGGGCCAGACGACGGGGACTAGGCGTTGTTGCAGTAGCGCAATTCTTGCATCGAACTTGAGATGCGATGTTTTAGAGGGAAATAATAGCTGGAACAATAAATTATTGTAGTGTGTTAGATTTAAGCTATACAACTCTCTCCGTCTTTTTCGCACTAGTCCGGCAATATTATCACACTCTCAACTTGATTTATAGAAATGAAATCGATTTATTACACTAGACGCTTCTCAGTCAACATGGTCATGTACAAACCCTAGAGAGATGGCGGAGTTTGATCGATCACTCTGCTAGTGTTTGTTCTTCTCGCATCCACCTCACACAGGACTGATTGAGAAAAATCTCCTCGGATTCCTATCTATGGCATAGGAAGCGACTGACAGAATCAAAGGTAGCCGGCATAGCCCACCCTCAACACACGTGACCCAGACAATCCGCTCAAGCATTAATGTCCATGAATGGCCTGTTGGCCCTGCGACTTTGATTCAAGAGACTTGTCCTTCAACGTTGGGCAGCCTGGGAACTCTTTCACCTTGTTGGTAGGATGAGCCTGCAAGTCTCCACGGCTAGCAGTGTACTCTTCCAGAGACTTGGCCGGCAGAACAGTGGCTTCGTGGTGGATGGGCTTGGCGTGATGTGTTTCATGGACCGGGACCGTGGTGTGGATGTACTCTGGCTGGATCGTCTCTTTCTCGATGACGTGCTGAATGTGATGATGGACATGGTGCTGCGTGTGCTCTCCTTGGACCGCGGGAGCGGCCGTGGCCGTGCGTTTGGTGTCATGTGTAGTCGAGCTGTTGACGTAATTTGCGGCGTCTTTTTGCAGAGCAGCTTGGACGTCCTCCTTGTTTCCGTGCTCAACGGTCTTGTGCTCGACAGGAACGGCGTTGTAGGTGTGCTTCTCGGGCCTGGAGACGATTCAAAAGGTAAGAGTTTTGAAGAAGGAAAAAATAGCAAGTTGCTCAAGTTTTGTGACGTACACTGTTTCCTTTGCTTTGATGGGCTGGATCACCGTCTGGTGGTGGTCTTGGTGGACCTCGCGATTCACAGCAGTGACTATTTGCTCATGCTGCTCGGGATACACGTGTTCCTCGGTAACAGCTTCTCGAACATCCTCGTCGACCGTAGTCTTGTGCTTGCCGTCCTGAGAGAGGAAGTTAGAAACTGCCTTCTTTGCTTTCTCCATTGTTTTGTGCTGATGGGTTGTAGTTGGAATTTTTTGTAGTATTTCTGATGAGGGGGTGATAAATAAGTCTTGACAGGAAAAGCTCACGATTATATACGTCAATGTCATACTGTCAAGGGCGCATGCTGGCGCTAGCTAGGATTCGAGCATAGGGAGCCGCTGATAGAATTACGTCAGAAGCAACGTCTTCTCGGCTAGACCCTACGAGTTCTTTGAAAATTGATGTCACAGCTCATGTTCGCCCGAGCTGAGATTTCCCTTTACAGCGATGACGATACTCGTCCTTGCATGGTGAATCGATCCGTCAGCATCAGTGAAATTTGAACTCGTGCGGATGAAGACGTCATTTTGACCTATTTGATTCCGAATCAGGAGTTGGATGGCGATTTTAGTCCGTCGGAGTCGTGGTTTAGTCAACAATGGGGCGGCCGAGATGTAACTGCAAAGGCAAGGTTTACGCCGTTGCATATCTTGACCAGCGCCCAGCCAATGTCGAGACTAGCTTCGGGACGCCGTTGAGGAACAGGACCGGTGGAATGCAAGTGGAATGTGGGAGGGACGTAAAAATCGCCCATCTGCCGTTGGGCGTCATCGATCGCCGCGCCGCGCAACTGGGACCACAGCCTCCGACGAGCTGGTCTGCTGGGTCCTGAAACAGATTGGTAGAGTTGGATCTCGACATCGTGGGAAAGACTTACCGTGGCCTTGGGGGTCAACTGCACTCGGTTGTAGTCTGCAAGACTTGACGACATCCGGCTTGTGGTGTTGGCCGACGTTGACTGACACGCCAAGGTGAGACATGACCGCTTCCGGCGTCCGACGGGGGTTCAAAGCTTCGTAGCTAGGTCGAATCAGCCTAGAGTCGGGAGCTGGACAATGTAATGGATTTTGATGGAACCATACTTGGTCTCAATCGCGGGCAACATCAACAAGAGGGGTCTTGTTGTTCCACCTGAATGAGTCGGCTGCGGTCTTGCCGCGAATCTCGAGACGGTAGGCCAAGTGCACATGTTCGATAATCCGCGGGAAGAAAGAAGACTGGCGCCAAAGCGACACCGAGAATTCAATTGCCCCCTAGAGATTCAAATTTTAAAAGAATCATAACCCACCAAGCTGTAAGTGTACCCAGTCATGTCTAGACCGCCGTTGGAGGAGCATCCAGTCGTCATGGTATCCAAAATCTCCACATCGAGCAGTCTAGTGAAAGTGTTCTGGCATTGCGAAGCTATGTAGCGTAGATGAAAAGACATGAAAAGATATCTTAGGGTGACGACGGGATCGGTCCAGGGGAATAGATCAGCATCTTCTCGCCTTATCCCCCAAAAGAACGCAATCGGATCTGACGACGTTCAAAGTACCGCTCTATAGCACTGACATCCACCCCACTCTGAATCATTGCCACGTAGCCATCGGGACGTAGAATGCAGACTACATCGCGAGTCAATCCTGCAGAAGCATACTCGGGGGTCCATTCAAATGCGGTCAACCCCAAGCCGTGGTCATGACACCAAGTCAACAGGGTGTCTGTCGCAGTTCCATAGACGTGGACCTGCCATTTCATCGAGGCAAGAGACTCGTAGTTGCTGATTCCATCCACCACAACCCATGGCAAACGTTGCCCGCCCTCCAGCCTGCCCACACGGCCTGAAGCAAGTGACATTCCACAGTAGTTCAGTGTGATCTGTGATAACGTTCTGAACATGAACCGGCGCACAGCCCGGCATGAAAGCAGCATCGGGACCAGTACCGGTATGCCCTTGGTGCGGATGAATCGCGCAACCGTTCCTTCTGCCGTGGCCAAGGTGAAGGCGCGGTCCGTTGTAGAAACCAGGCGATTGGCAAAGCGAGCCCTTTCCTCTTGGTATGTATCCAACAAGCCATCTTCCGCATCGCCCGCGAGCACAGCGGCCATTTTCCACGCCAGATTGATGGAGTCGCCGATGCCCGTGTTCATTCCTTGGCCGCCGGCTGGGCTGTGGACGTGAGCGGCGTCTCCGAGCAGAAACGCGCGCCCTTTGCGGAAGTGGTCCGCGACTCGGTGGTGCACGCGGTACGTGGAGAACCAGTTGACCTTGCCTACTTGGAGCTTCATCTGCTCGATGGCGCGGCCGCTCACATGGTCAAAGGACAGGTGCTGCGATGCGGCGGAGGACTTGGAGTGCCGGACCGTGCCAATGAGCCGCGCGCGACCCCGAGTTGCGAGAGGAAAGATGGCCAAGAAGTCGGCCTCGTCGAGACATACATGTAGCTCGCCGTCCATGGCCAGGCCCGCGCCGGCAATGTCGGCAACATAAAACATTTGATCGTAGATGCCGCCGGGAAAGGATATGCCGAGAGTCTTGCGCACGACAGAGTGCGATCCGTCGCAGCCGGCCAAGTATCCTGCCCTGACTACCTCTTCCTTTCCATCTGCTTTCTTCAACGACGCCACTATCTGTGCATCGGCGCCCTCGTCTTTGAACGAAACCAACTCCGTTTGCCATTCGACACTTGTGCCAAAGTCTTTGTGCAGCCTCTCCGTCAGCATTTGCTCATGTTGGTCCTGCGGATAGATTTGGATAAAAGGATGAGACGTCAGATCCTCCCCGATCTGGGCAAGCGGCACCCGAAAAGCGCGACGACCCTTGACCCAGGCATTAACCCCGACTACTGTGTGGCCTGTCTTGATGACGTCGTCTGCAAGCTCCGGGTCGAACTGGGCGTAGAGTTCGAGGATGCGCGCCTGCACGGCGAGCGCGCGGGTCGACGTTGCCGCGTGTGCGGCCTTGTCGATGAGTCGGACTTTGACGCCAAATTTTGAAAGCCAAAGGGCAAGGACAAGACCCGTTGGCCCGGCGCCGACGACAAGGACGCTGCCGGCAGAGTCGTGCGTCGGCATGGCCGTCCTATTATTGACGTAGGCTGTATGTATGTGCGGCGGTGATGTTCCGGAATAGTCTTCTTTGTTCCCTTGTAAATCACCAGCACAGGATAACACTGGCGAGAACCCACGAATTTCACATGATCCAGAGTCTGAACAAAAGGCGAGACCTGTTTGTTGTCTCGCCGGATGCCGGATGACCCGGCTCGTGATGCCCCCGGCGACACGGACTTTAATTTTGCCGACTCTCCTCCCTTTGTACGCGAAAAGTAGCGTGCAGCGCCGCAAGGCCGGGGAAAACGATTGGGCCGGGAGGGTGCAAGCAATCCGCGTTGAACACGTTGACCTGATGTAGATCGGAGACTCGGAACCGTCGGCGACAGGTGGAGCCCGACCTCCGACATGAACCACACAAATTAGCCCGCTTTGGGCCGGTCCAACATTACTGTTTTAGGAATACCGGGCAAATGCGAGCCGGGTGACGGATCTCGGCAAGCCCGCTGCCCAATTCAAACATAATTGCAAGAAGCTACTAGGGACTTGTGGTTGTGAGAGCGTGTCTGCATTGCGTTTTTCGCATCGTCATTCCTCCACATGCTGTATCAGTACAGTATGTCGTTAGCAGCCGGTATGATGTCGTCCCTGTTAGATGAGCTAGTGGTAATCTTGCAAGGACTTTGGCGGTGGCTACTGGCAGGGGACTCTTTGCTAATCATATGCCTCTCCATTTCGTCTATTACACTTGGTGAGTGGAGGCGCAGCAAGTCTTCGAGTAGAAGTAGCTTGCCCCCCTGAGAAGAGAGGTAGGTACTGCGATAGCTATTCATGCTCTCGAACCCCCGTAATGTCTCCCCTGGCCCATCATTCAGGGTTCAGGCTGTACGAGCAGGTTGATCCTGTAGAGAACGAATCTCTATTGGCGACATGTGACAAGGGCTCAAAAGAGGACTTGGGGCGGCAACTCAATTCAAACTGCAATAACACGCCTTGTGATCAACTGCCCGTAGTATTGTGCAAGGTTGTCGTGCCCACAGGCTTTTCTTCACGCAGAATCCTTCTGCTCCAGGTCTCGTGGTCATGGCCCTTGTGTGATCGTGACACCATGCGCATTACTACAGCTGGATCAAGTCTCATGCTGGTTTGACAACGCGTTGGCAACGTACGATTCGGCGCATACAATGTCCGTCGACAGACTCACTACTTGATTGTGCAGTCGCTTGCCTTTCCAAAAGTAATTGAAATTTCTCCGTGTAGCTCCAGACTGTGATTGGATGTGCCTCGTCTCGACCTCAACAGGACGGCGTTGGGTCTCTAGACGCGTCAACTGGGCGAAAAGTGGCCATGCATCTGAGCAGGCTACCTCGGCATGGTATATTTCTTGTCCTTTCTCTTTGAATAATATTCATTGCATGAGCATAAATCACATCTCCCAACGCTGTCGTGTTGTATGCAACTGTCAATACAACACGGAACTGGCAACATCGGCTTCCGAGAGGCATGTCTCAGTGAGCACAGTCTTGAACCTCGTCGAAAATTCCACGATATAAGCGACACGTCACAAAAGATTCGGCATTTACGAGACCAGATGCGTGAAAAAGTGGAAGGTCCAGAATATCACCAGAGTTACACCGCGTCCCCGCGGCCACGGCGACGTTCCGTTACCAGGCGAGATTGTCGAGCTTGCAACGCGCCCGCAAAGACAAACAGCGCATAACGACTACAGCACATCTCATCTCGTCATCACAATCATTCCAAACGGCGCACGCAGATCAACTGAGCGCTACGGAGTATTGTATGTCGAAACATGGGTCCAAGTGTGCAGGCGTCCTTGGGTAACCCGACAAGACACGCGGGGAAAATGAGGCTGTGAGGAACGGAGAGGGGTCTCCCGTGGCCTGCATATTCGGGCCAAAATAGTTCGGGCTACATCTCCAGCCAACCGGTACGAGAGGACAACAGGACGGTGGACGCAATGAAACGAGACGTGCTACGTGACGACGTGACATGAATGCCTGCGATTCGTGTCCGGCGTGATATCTACCCGTCAGAACGTATAGAGCGTCATCTTTGTGTTTATGATTGTCAGCGTCGCAATATTGATTCTCCCATACGTAAGCTTGCTTGGGCATATGCAGCGCCGATTGGCGATTGTTCTGAATCCCTCTGCATGGCGACTGTGGCGGATGGCCGCAAAGGGACTCACAGTTGCCTTGTTTCATGCTTGGAGGGACAAAAGACAGGTTCACCCCAGGATATATTGTTATCTGTTGCTTTTACGGATACATTGGCAGACAGCCCGTGCAGTCAAGGTCAGAAATGGACATGATGCTGGCTGTAGACCGAAAAGCAAGCAGCCGCAAATGGAAGTCGCATGGTACATGACACCAGTGGTTTGCTTGTCACATTGGATGGGCGAAGCAACTGTTAGTAGCCCTGGCCGATGTAAGAGTCGAATGGGACTTTGTACAGTCATGATTCTCTGACTTGATGCGGGTAATCTCCAATGGGTAGCATCAAGGCATGCGAGAAGCGTGACGCAGCGGGGCACCACATGATCCAAACCTCGACTGTATGTCTGTCTCAGCTCATCGGCTTCTGAAGATGCAAATGGAATGGAATATGCTTGGGCAGAAAAGAAAATGCCAGTGACCAGGTCCTAGAATAGTTCATTTTGAAAACTCGGGACGCCAACACTTCTACGTCTATAAATAGGCAAGGTTGGACACTTTGCGTCCAGCTCTGGGCCTGATCAACATGCACTTCCTGACGCTCATCATGTTGAAGAATTCACTCCTGTGTTGCGTTTCTCTCCTCGCCATCACACCTCAAGTGTGTGACGCCAGAGTGGTTGAGAGAGAGAAGCGCGCCTCGGCGGCTCTGGCTTGGAAGGCATTAGGTGGTTCAATCGTAGGTAGGTCCTGTCTGACAGCCACCCTTATGCCATGGAATACCCAGGACTTGGTCTGACATGGATAGGTCACCCTGGTGTTGTGTCATGGGCACCTGATCGGACAGATGTCTTCGTCAGAGGAAGTGACAACGCCGTATACCACAAAGCGCAAACTGGCCCTCCCGGCACAGCATGGTGGCCCAGTGACGCAGGCTACCAGGCCCTTGGTGGTTCCATCATTAGCGACGTGACGGTCGTATCTCGCGGTTATAACATGCTTGACGCCTTTGTTATTGGCGCCGATAACGCTTGCTACCACGGGTGGTGGAATGGAAGCTACTGGAGCTCATGGGGAACTTTGGGTGGTGCCTTTGGCGGCGATATAAGTGCCGTGGCATGGGGAAATGGCAGATTGGACTTGTTCGGCCGTGGTTTGGATAACGCACTCTGGCACAGGGCCTGGGACGGGTCCGGATGGAGTGGATGGGAGAGCCTCGGGGGCGTGATTGTGGGCAGTCCAAGGGCTGTTTCCTGGGGCGTGAACCGACTTGATGTGCTTGCGAGAGGCACGAACAATCAGGTATATCATATAGCCTGGAACGGATCGTTGTGGTCAGCCTGGTACAACCATGGTGCGGTGGTGCTGGAAGATATCACGGTTGTTTCCAAGGCTCCAGACAGACTAGACCTGTTTGCTCGGGGAGCAGATAATGCGCTGTACCAGAAGAACTGGAATGGGGCAGCTTGGAGTGACTGGATCAACCTCGGCGGAGTCGTGATGTCCCGACCATCGGCAACAACTTGGGGGGGCAGGTATATCACGGTTGCTGCACAAGGCACCAACAACGCTGTGTACCTGAAGCAGTTTAACGGAAACTCATGGGGTGACTGGCGATCTATCGGTGGTGCGGTGGCGGAAGCACCAGTCATCAACCCCCTTGGTTCCTTTGACGCGCCGGTCTTTGCTAGAGGGACCAACGCTGGCTTATCTGTATACGAGTAGACGGGCACAAGGGATCAACTTTAGCGTTACCTGACGCTCTACATCCTTGGCTGACGGGTTCTGAATTCGATCACACATCGCCAAGTGCATGATACAATTAATACTACAAACAGACAGGATTATGCGTAAATGGTACTACATGATATTAGTGACGCATAGCAGCACAAGGTATGGCATGAAGTGTAGTTCGATATTAAAGTGTGTATTGAAAGATGCCTACATGTGTGAGGAGCTATCGTTATGCCGTGGTTGCCAGCAACGGTATTGCTGTGCTGGGGTTGCCGCAGTTAATACGTAACTGTGCCCGCGAGGCATGACGAGCCCTTTACTCCTCCTACCCGCGAGAGCTACTCTGTATATATACAAGAACATGCCTGTATGTTGAACCTGCCCATGATGACTGGCATCAAGGGGTTGATACCTCGTGCGTGCCTGGTTGGGCCGTACTCCGTACTTCGTAGGCTCCTGCCTGTAATGCCTGGTGTGTATGGCGGTGTGGATGACCGTTTGCTGAATCCTTGCAGTGTAGGTAGTACTCCGTAACAGAAGGAAAAAGGAAACACACCAGGCCGTGTTGACATGAGCCGTTGGCCTGTTGACCCGTTGACCCGTTGATCTCGCACGTATCGCAGCCGTAGGTGACGCAAGGCGTTTGCAAATCATTAATTGTAATTTTATTTCTCATTTCGACGACTAACCAAGCACGCAACATCGGCAAGGCGGAGCCCGCCTGCCAGGACCGCGCGAGCTGCGAGGGCTAAAGTAGAACATCTCCCCCTCGGCAGACCAGGAGTTCAACTTTGCTCATCACCCACTCTGAGCACACCACGACACGGAATCCCCGACTCCTGGTGTGCCCGCATACAAAGCAAAGCGACGGGGCTCTTTTTTGACACTGTTTTCGGGGCGGAGCACATCCTGAAAACACCACGGAGAACTTGACAGCCGCTGCCGATATCACGCGTTTCCAACAGCAACTTGAAAAGTCCTTGAGGAGCCTCGACAGCTTAGAAGAGAGTTCCAGGGACTCTGAGAACAGGTCCAGCGTCTCGGCCTTCGCATTAATGCTCAGTGGGTGCTTGTTTACACGACCCAATAATTCTGCCCGACTCGAGTTGCGTCTCCGGCACAGCAAGATTGACGTGGCGTTCTGAATACGAGAACACGAGGTATACTCCAAACACAGGCACGCATGTGTTCACAAAGAGAATATGCTAATGAGCCAGTATATTTTTACTTCCGTTATACTGAAGCACAAACTCTTGGAGTCTAGAGTTGCGTTGCAAATATCTCAAAGTTGAATTTTGGCCGCTGCGTTGGGCCGTGCTAAAGCGTTGGAAACGAGGGTACTAGTTCACCACACATAGTTTATGACCGCAGTTGAGAATGAGCTCACCATGGCATGCCAGATTCGGGGAAGCTGGTGCTACTGTCAGTCAAGGCTCGATCCGCGTAGTGCCCTGAAAGGGGATGTGCTTCAAAAATCAGCAACCTTCCGTCGACGCATCTTGTCCCCACTTTCTCTCGTTCCAACGACATCTTGTTACAACGTACAAAACACAGAGGGGTTCTCATCTCATGTATATCGCCAAATGTGCCCTCTGATATGCGAAAGCGATGACGCAAGCAATCGCTCATAAATATACAAGGGACTAGCAGTGGCAAAACGGGCGAGACTTCAAGCTATCGTCCTGTGTCATTCAGTAACATGCCTCAGTTCAGGTCAGTAGCTGTGACATAGGCAGACAGACTTGAACGCAGGGAGAAACGAGTCGTAGCAGCCGTCAGGCTCCATCCTCCTGTGACATGTCAGAAGGTCGCCCCCAGAATCGCGGCACATGATGCGGGATTTTGCGACCCATACTTGCAATGTCGGAAAACTTTATCCCGTCCCATTCTGGTTTTCGGCCAAGATTAGTCACGATAACCGGCGTGATGCGCCAAGTCTGCTTGTTCCATCAACAGAGGCAGTCGTACGCGACATTTATAGCTTCGGCACACCCGCACTTTCAACATCTGGCTACTTGCGTATGAAGCTGGACTGGCCTGTATTCGGCCCACGCAACGCCGCGTGGCTACAAAGCCACCTACCACGCAGATATTTGTGCAATTGCAGCGCCCATTTCCCGCCCGCAGATGTCTCTTTTGGCAGACTTCGCTCCTCAAGGCTTTGATGCGCGAACCGCGACCCGCGTCACTAATGACGGGCAGATATATCATATCATATATGATGAGGCCGTGTGACAGCCGGGGGCCCCTCGAGTTTCTCGGAGTGGGGCCGAGAGCCGCTCGGGACTCCGGAGCCCGTGGGGGCGTGGCACAATTAAGCTACTCGGCAGATAATAAACTTGAGCCCACATGTACGCGCCTTGCGCCATGCACCATGCGACTTCAAAACGCAGAGGTGCTCCCAGAGCACGGCGCTAGTGTCAACGAGGTGTTTGCAAAGTCTTGTGCTGCTCCTGTTAACAGGATACCGCTGAAGATCGTGACCAACTTACTCCTTCCCAGAGAAAGAGAGGGATCTCGAGGGTACGTATGGCCTGACAGAGGTGACAACTGACTCGTTAGACAGATGAAAGGTGTTGTCCGTGTGACAGTCTAGCGAGTATACTGGCGACTGACTGGATGATTCCAACCAACATCCGAAGCTGAAGAAGGAGAAGGAAGAATAACGCGATAGTCACCCCGCTACAAACAGCCTAGGTTACTCCTATCCGCTGCGTCGCTTTAATCTGCCGTTGATCTTATCGAACCCTCTCCCCTTAAATATCCGTTCTTCTCCGCGACAAATGCCTTGATTTCCTCGACCTTCTTGGCAACTAATTCTGCAACCAGAATCCTCTTTTCGGTTGTACACCAGATAGCTTTGCAATCTGGTTCCTTTTGCTCCACAAAGCGTTCCTCGCCAAAGTAGACGTGCACTTTACCTCTAGCTAATCCGGCTGCTGCCCTCGAAACTGTATTCCAGTACAGCAAGTCTTTTTCAGAATTCGGCAAGTCCATCTTGACAATCAACATCTCTACAGTGAATCGATTGTTTTCCTCTGGCATGTTCTTCAGCATCAGCTGGTGATATATCAGACCAGAACACCATTCTCTCGCGAAGATTCTCGTATCCCGGCTGTCCCTCGAGACGTATAAACTGATTTATGAAGTCGACTTCAAGAGAAGGCTTAGTTCCAAGATGAGAGTTCACGGGGGTCTCGCTCGGTTGGCAAATTCGACTTGCTACGGTGCTGAGGACTGTTGTGGTGGGAGTCTGTCCTGTGCCTGGCATAGATTGCATGTCCAACGCTATATTTCCTGTCGACAGGACTTTGTATCGCTGAAGGGGTTTCGCTCGACGGAGGCAAGGCCTGATCACGTCGGGCTAGCACATCTGCTCGTATTCTTGCGTTAGCAAGAGCTTCATGTCAAGTTTCATGTAGTATCTATCCGGCTTGGCTGTTCCAAGATGGAAGCTGGCCAAGTCTTACCATCTTTCTAAGCGACATTTTTTGTTGCGTCAGCAGGAGCACCGACGACCTGAGCAAACAGGGCCGAGAATGCCACGATTGACAAGGCTCCCTTGAGAACACGCATGTTGAAGGCAATGAAATGTAGTATCAATATCTGCTGTCAATATGATGGGAGTCCTGCGAGGTCTGGCGTCTCGAAATTTCAAGGTGATATAGAGCCGGCTTTATATTTCCCATGCTGGTGAGCTCTCGAGACGCGGTTTCAATACAAAGAACCCCCCTCAAGAGCAGCACGCTGACGGGCCGGCTCTCAGATGGCCTCACACCGCTATTAACTATGACCCTTGCCATGATACTTGGCCTGTTTTGAGGCATAAGTACAGGAAGATTATACAGTAATGTGTATCTTTTCGAAGCATGGTCTGATCTTGTTTACAAAAGCATGTCAAGGTTGCCCGAGAGGGGCTGGAGCCTGGGACCCTGCAAAGCACATCAAGGCTGACCGACGGCAAAAACCGCTTACATGATTACGCACCTGGAGTTTTTCATCAGTCCCCAGCTTGTTGTAAATGTGTGCACTCCAAAGTACTTGCAAAGATATGGTCATGGACTAGCTCAACGAGCCACCGCGGGTGCCAGCCGTAGTCATCACGGCGGGCTCCCGGACCCCGGCCGTTGGGTCAAAAGGGTGCGTAATGAACAAGCCGGCTGTTCTTTGCTCGCTTAATTGGCACTTTATACTTGAGTAGGCGGTCCACGAAGAGGTGCGCTAGGTCGGGCTTTAGCCCCGTCCATATCAGGTGGATTGAATATCTAGCCATGTGATATACATGGAAAAAAAATAGTACATGTAGGAACTGTAGCGCTTAGTACTTCTTTTTCAAGAGGCTTATGTAATTCTCTCTTTTGCAGCTTTATAACAAGGCTTTTCGTATCATCTACGTGGCATCTAGCTTCGACGCCCTCTGCCACACTACAAGCTTGACTTTGTCTTGCAGCCCAGACAAGAGTCTGCAGACGAATAAATAAACAAGTGAGCCACGGCGGTTACCAGCAATCTGCAGGGAAACCAATGGACCAGAGCCCTGGCACTGTTTTCCTGACAAGCGGCGTGGCGACGTGCTGAAAGATGTTTATTGTTGGTCACTTTTTTATTCGCAACGGTCTGACTCTGAGAATATCTCTGGCGGCTGGGTACTCCTTGCTCCTCGTGGTGTTTGTCTTTTCAAATCCACGAGCTCAAGCGGTCAAGTCTCAGCACATGGCATCAAACGCCTTATGTTTGAGCCTGGCACTGATTCTCCCGGATTAGTCGTTAACAATAGCACCTTGAGGAGCCTTTTTCATTTCACCGTCAGCCGGGTGCACATTATTGGCACCACAGAGGCCTACCAACGTCGCCCTTCCCGCTTGGAACCAGGCACGTGGTGAAGAGGGCCTGGCAATCTTCTGTCAGGCCCATCTTCTGTGCCGTTTCCATGGACTGCACGCTGCCGGCATATATTCTTCCTCCCGCGATTGTGGCGTTTCGCAAGACCTTGTGAGCGGCGTGCAGATCGCCCGTGAGCTGCGACGCTTGATGTAGCGTAAGGATTTTGTATGTTGACAGATAGGTTGTGGCCGTTGAGAAAAAGTCGTCCGATTTGAGATGCTGAATTAGTCGTTCTATTTGGAGACGCCATCCAGCTCTTAGCTTCATCATCAGGAAATCCACGTTGTAGAGTTTCATCCGCTCATGCTCTGCTTCAAACCAATCCTTGACCCCTTCTGCCATCTGAAGTGCTAGGGCGATTTCCCAGAACCCAGTGATCAGTAGAGCATCTTCAACAAAGCATAACTCGGTGTTGGCCACGTCAACATGTCCCCGTTCTACATCATTTGCAAGCTGTAAAGCGCAGCCGATGCCGGGCAGGATGGACGTCACGACTGCGGCCTTCTCCAAGACGGTAAAGTCGCGTGAAAATACATCCGCCACGGCTTTGCTGTAAAGGGCGACTCCGACAACAGCCAACGCGCCCTCTCCGAGCTTGGCGGACAGCCCTGTGATTCTTTCAGTCCGGGACATGCCATCAAACTTGGGCAGTCGTTCATTTAGCTCCTCGTATAGCTGGTCAACCTGACCACGCTTTTGTAGTTGAATTCCGTCAGGAGATTGTCGAAACTCTCTTTGGATTTCTGCTCGGCTACCGCAATCAGCTCCGCCTCCTCGACGGGCCCCTCCTCGACGGCTTTCTCGGCCGTCGGGCGATCCTTTTCTACTGTGCCGTAATCGCAGGGACCAGTGTCTCGTCGGCAGGGGTTCTTGGGATCTCCTACCGCTAGCCGGTATGCTGTCGCCCACTCCTCAATCTCGGTAGCTATAGCCTTGGCCTCGTCGACGCCCTCCTAAAAGATGGAGTATTCTGCTTGGGCGATGTTTGCCTCGTCTGTTATAGCGGCATCGGGCGATGCTTCTTCTTTTCCTCCCATCATCGCAAAGGACTCCTGGAGTATGGCCCATACCGCCCGAGGGTTCTTCACCAGGAGCTCGATGAATTCCTCCTGCTCTCCACCATCTAGCTGCTTGCGAACTGATTCTAGTTCTTTGTGGGCTTTTCGGACACCCTCCATCTGGTCTACGGCTGCTTTGACTAATTTTTCCACAAACTCTTCTATTCCATGGTGATATTTTGCCAAGCTAGCCCGTGGCCTGTGCCCGCTCGCTCACACGGACATGTTCAGTTTTCAAGTATCATCGCTTCGTTCTACGACGCCCACGGGACATTGCGTCCGCCGCCTGGCAATGGGTCGCCCGTAGGCATTACGAAATGGAAATCGAGCCACCCCACTAACACGAGAATAGAGTGGAAGTTTCATATCATAAAGGCTTGGCTGTTTTCTTGCCATTCACAGATACGGCGTGTTCCACACCAACCAGCACAGGCAATCCCCTGTCTGACCCCTTTCATGCTAAATAATGTGCTGGCATATAGCACGGAAGGCATACGACGTAGATGTCTCGACATAGTCCAAGCTTCTTTGCACTCTTCTTCGAACACAGCCTTTCGCTGCCTATCCGCCTCTGCTAACGCTGCCGCTTCACTAAACAGGCACTTCTTTAGAGCACTTCGGCCCGATTCGCATATCAAACACTTTGGTGCTGGTCCTTGGTTTTCGAAAAGATCCTAATACCACGGGCATCCACGAGTGAGTTTTGACTGCCAACACATCGACGACGTTCGCCGATGCCGCCACTGTATGACCAAATACGGGAAAATCAGGAACTACTGTGGTTGGATTCACTATTGAGTATTATTTGCTCCTTCAACATTTGTTTCTCACCGACCTGTAAAAACTCTTGTCACTCAAGTTCAATGGCTTTGGCTCACGTTCCATCAAGGAGGTCCTCCTTGCTTAAACGGTAGAAGCTTGCACTTGCGCAACTGCACATCCTACTCGCCAATACCTTTGCCATTTCCTTCGTCACTTGCTGGCAGTCTAGTCCTCTTACTCTTGTTGGACATGTAATTCGGTGTTGGCGGGCCTACCCTCTCTTGTTCCTTTTTGACAGCTCTTCAAGCTCACTTATGTTGGTCCGGGTTTGACTCTTGTATGAACTGCGTCCCAAGGAGTCATGCGGCGAGACTAGTTGCCTGGTTCGCTTGGATCCAACCGGCAGTCCATTGCCAGAGCTAGATGTGAAGCTGGTCACGAAACTCAAATCTTGGTCTTCTGCTGCAGCCAATATGGTCGATGCTTGGCTAGAGTTTGGAGGGACGCAAGACTGCGATGCGTCGAGTACCTCTACATTTTCTCCAACACTTTCGTCGCAGGCCTTGGCGGTTTGTTCCTTGAGGAAATTCTGCGCACTAGGCCCATCTTCATCGTCCTGTTGACCATCTTGACTCGCGTGACGCGGATTCGCGGCGTGAATGAACTGATCCCGATAGCGCTGCGCTAGATCTCTAGCGTTTCGAAAGGCAGTGGCTCCACGCCGATAAGTGTGAATATTGCCTGTCATTCCCCAAGTATCTATCTGCGTCATATGATACTCTGGCCGAGCCCCTGGGCCAGTTGGAGCTGTGGTATGGTGAGCGTAGAGCTGAAGCGTTCCGGTAGCAGGATGGTATGTTGAGCTGTAAGTATAGGCATTGCCGTCATAACTATCACTAGGCTTGCCATAATTCTGCAGCGTGTGCATAGCCCGGGCACCATATGCTCCGCTGTAGCATGCCTGTCTTTGTGCGACTGAGGCGTTCCCGTTAGGTCCCTTGGCCTCTATGAAGAAATTGGCCGCCACTGGAACACTTGGGTGCTTTGTAGGAATGACTCTTTGCCTGACTTTATCGTCCTTTCTTACCTCAACGCAAAGATCTGCAAGATCAGCGCCGTCAAAATGATCTGGCTTTGGTCTGACGACGTTTCTACTAGTAAGAGGTTCAAGCTCGGTGAAGAGAGCATTCTGCTTGCTAGGAATGCGAGAACTTCCACTAATAATGGGAATGACATCGGCCATGACATCAGATTCAAATACAACATCTTCATTTTTCCTCTGAAATGTCTCAAACTGTTCTTCTGTGAATTGTGACGGAGACAAGGATGCGCGGCTTTGTTCCAAACTGATCCTTGTTTCGTCCATGTTTAACGCTTTGGATTTGCGATTGTTCATGTATACACCATAGTCTCGAAGGTGCTGATCAAACTCCTTCCCATACCTCGATGAGCCGCTTCTAGAAATTACACTTGTCGCTTTCGTGAAGTGTGTTTGTCGACTTCTTGAACTAGACTGGGTGTTTTCCATCGTTGGATGAATTCGTGTCTTGCTCGAAAACTAAGGCACGTCAGTTAGTCGTAAAATAGAGCCGTCCATGCTGTCATACGTCTCTAAGGTGCCGCATATCGGGGCCACCCCGCCTTGAATATCGAGAGAGATTCTTGGGCACTGGACCTATAGAGCTGGTTCGCGTCTCGGTATTTGATAGTGCGTCGTTCCTCCGATCCAACTCAAGCAGGACGTTAAGCGTTAGGGGTACCTTAGATAGATCGTCGTAGAAAGCTGGGGGGGATTTGGGAGCGAGAGCTTGAGCACTTGTCGATTTACGCTTCTTTGTGAGGTGATCTTTTTGCAGGAAGTCGTGTCCGATCGCTCGTTTGCGAATTTTCTCACTCGCCATAGGTGATGGCGACGTGAAAGAGTGACGGATGGGAGACATGGCCAAGGTCGTGCTCGGCGGCCGCCTTGAGACGCGCCAGGGGAGTCATCTGCACGCAGCACGGTTCGGTGAGATTGCATCGCGTTTCAATGCGGGGAAAGCGGTTTTGCAGAAGCAAGACGGTTGGCCGACCGTTAGCCGCCTGGCGGGAATGTGCAAGATATCATGCGTGCAGGAGCGCGAATGCAATTGAAACGCGGAGCACAATGGACAGCATGAAGACAAAATGTTTGGTGGCGATTTACCCTAACGTCCGTCATGTCGCGCTAACCTATTTCGGTCAATTCCCCTTCTTTCTACCAGCCCGCTTCTCATCCGATCCCAGTCTCCAGTCCATTTGCCTTGCCATGTCATCATCTTGTCGTGATTAGGGACACAAAATTCACCGCAGGATCGGAGAGGGAGGCTTTGGCATCGTCTACGTCGGTTCGTTTTACTATCCTATTGTTTCTCTATATGCTTGATCGGGATCGATATCGAGACGAAGGAAGAGGTCGCAATAAATCTCACTCCAACCCGGGACGGCCCTGCGGCTCTTCAATATGAAGCAGAGACATATGGCGCATTATCCGGCGGTGTCAGTATACCACAGGTCTAGTGGTTCGGCCCGGAAGGTGTCTTTTTTGTTATCACGCACGAGCTTCTACGACTACCTCTAGAAGACCTCGTCGATTACTGAGACCCAAAATTCTCTCTTAAGACAGTTCTTCCTGTTGCCGATCAGGCGATTCGCTGAGCCAAACGCATTCATAACAAGGGCTTTCTACACTATGACATCATACTGGGTAATCTCGTGCTAGGAGTTGGAAATGATGGCAACATATTTGACACGGTTGACTTCAGCCTCGCAAGAAATATGGATGCAGCTGAGGGCGTGGGATATGGGAAGTTCGCCCTGTTGAAGGCACTGCTTGGTATGCCAGCCTCAATAACCAGGGCTCTCAGTACGTTACATCCAGCAATGACGATGTGCATAAAATTGACAGATATAGCTTAGTCTCGGCGATGATCTCGAATCTTTGGGATATGTCCTTGTGTACTTCGCCTGTAGCTCGCTACTGTGGCAAGGCTTGAGGGCACCGGCTGATAAGGTGCGAACAGAGCTAACCGAGCGAAAGAAAACATATACAACAGCGATGGATCTTTGCGAAGGGCTGTTTGATGAGTTTGCCACGTACCCAACGTACACTGGGTCACTTCAGCCTGCCGAAAAAGCCGGATTATGCGTACCTTCTCAAACAATCCAGGGCGCAAGTTGCAATACGACAACAGATTTGTGTCCGAGTACCAAGGCGGGTTCGTCGGGGATGCCGCACGACGACTGGTTTGTCTTTGTGGTTTCTGTGAAAGAGCAGCATAACCACTCGGATAAGGCAGCGCAATCGTACGTTCGTAACGCCGCTGCTCGCCTGCTAGGATACGATAAATTGGTCCGGTCGCCATGACAAAACGTGGTCACCGCTGCAGAGTTAGAAGGGAACCAGCTTTCTTTAATTAGCTAGGGTCAAAGCTGGAACGAAAACATGCGAGTGTACGGAGTAGTTTGCCGGCTATTACTGCAACGCGTTAGAACTGATAGCTCGACCGAGACCTCCAGCGTCCTTCCTAATTCTAACGGCAAAGCTATTCCCCTAATAATTACGACTTTGGCAGTTTTGCGAACTCGGGGTTCAAAGGCAAACTGTTCTTTCCAATCGCTAGAGGAGAAAATTAATTCTCTGCGACAAAAGATTTAGCGTCTTAGATGTTGACTTGCTCGAGTACCTTTAATTATTGCCAGTTACACCCACTCCGTACCTCGAGCCCATACAAGTCCCAAGATACTCCGTAGAGTGGTTTGGTGACGCGAATAATCTGCACATACAACATCGACTTCTTTCCAGGGCATATGCGTGAGAGAAAGAAAAGTACGCGGATACTCCTAAGAAGCTACATCAAAAATCACAAGAGGGCGGTTGACTCTTTTGGTTGTACGGAGTACTTAGCATCAGCCATGTCGATTATGCCGACGTCTAAAACTACCATACGGGGTATGTACTCCGTAATGTAAGCTTTTTTTTTTCTTCTTTTTTCTTCTTTTTTTTAACTCCTTGGAAGGGTGTGATGGGCCCACCTCATCATAACCAGCAAAACCCGGTCTACAGCCGTCGGCCAATCAACCAGTGACAACAACGGCCCTGGCGCTTACGTCCTCTTTATGCTTGCCAGAGCCGGGTCAAATTTCAATAACCTCTTTTGCGTTCCCCCGTGCTGTTCTTTGGCGACGCCTTCACTCAACTAGGCGGCCGAGGGTGGACTCGGAGGCCACGACCAAAACCAAGTGGGGTGAGCGGCCATGGATGTGGAGATTGCTGGATCAATCAGCTCCTGAGAGCAGAGCAACGAGCATGCAGGGGCCGAAACCTCAAACCTCTCCCCCGGCCTCCCCCCGCCCTCGCTCTTCACAATTTTTCCATTGTTGACCTCATTTACGTGCCGTCGCAGCAAACAGCCATACAGGATGGCGTCGGAACCGGCCGTGGGGAACAAACCCAAGCACGTCTACAAAATCACCGCCTCTGCGCCACCGAATCCCTTGCCCGTCGTTTACCCGCCTTCAGAGTTGGACCAAGCCGACGGGTTCATACATCTTAGCACGGCAGCTCAGGGACGCACAGAAACAGTCTACAAGTCGGAACCCTGTCGGACTTGACTACTAATTCCCGGTTGTAGGTGCCCTCGACTGCAGACATGTTCTTCGGCCACGTGTCGGAGCTGTGGATTGTGAAGATCCAAGTCGACACGCTCGCCACGCTCGCCACGCACCGTATCGAATGGCACGGTCATGGGTGCGTGCACCTGTACGGAGATTTCGGCGCCCAAGACGTTGTGTGCGTGCAAAAGTGTGTGAGGCAGCAAGAAACATGGTCTGAGTGTCTGGAGGGCGCAGCATGGCTCGTCTGAAGCAGGTGGGAATGTCTACGACGCCAGGTCGCATCACCTCATCGGTACACGGCCATGAGCACGAGTGGAATTTTCCAACTTTGCCATGCTTGGGGTACATTTTGTAGTGTGCTGGTACGTCCAACCAACTCGTCGCAGGACGGTGGTATGCACGACAAGCGCGTCATCACGGGAGACAGACCAGAGGTGCCCTCATCGGGCCATGCTGTAACTTCAGGCTGGGTAGACAAGGCTTGGACGTCATATCTATTGCTGCCCTGCCTTAATTCTGCGTGTGGACTCTGTTCCACCGCCTGGTCATGGCACCGCGCCTCTCGTCACGCCGCATGCCGATTTTCCCGTCGGCAATCGCAAGACTGACAGCCGTCATGGTGCTGTGGTTCTTTAAAGACGCCAAACTATGCCGGCATTGTGGGCGTCGCGACTCGGAGCAGTGCGTACCGTCAACCGCTAGGCGCTCGACGCGACATTCGACTGGTTATATGCGACATATTTCAGAGTCAAGAGAGACATCCACAGAGTGATGTTTCACCTTGCCCCACGTGGGTCGACTTTTCTGTGAGGCGGCGGGGCCTTAATATAATAATCACCCGGCAGGGAGGCAATAAACTCCGGTGGTTACCGTTCATGTAGGGGATACCAGCTTCGCCATGGAACCGGGGTGGTGGACGCAGTTGGTGGACAGGGGCAGAGTCGAACATGGAATAATAATAGCAATACATCACCCACTGCAATAACCATGCACCGAGTGAGTTGGCCGTCGTGTTGTTCCATACTTTGAGGTTGGCCATCAAGAGGGACGTACATCATGCCGTCCACGGTTTGCCAGGAAAAGAAAAAAGACGGAACCAACGGAGAAGCCACAAAACCAACATGAGGGATGCGCACACACCTCTCAGGGCCCCCCCGGTACACAACTAATAAAGGTTGACATAACGTCTTGGCAATGGCGGCCACGAACAGTCTGGAATTCTGATGCTGCGTCGGTTTCGGGGTGAGAAGTACGGAGTAGTATCGCTGCAAACCTTGTCGCATTACCCGAGACTTCTTTTTACAAACCAAGGCCATGTCCCTGAGCGAGATGGAATCGACTGCCGTAGATATGGCCTGTTCCTTGCCTTCGGCACCTCGAGAGCGTGAGCTGTTGAGCTACCACCCCATCCCGTCGATCGTCTGCGGCATCTTTTTTCCTTGCCGGTTTGCAAGGAGCTGAACGATTTGTGGAGAGTGGGTGGCCAGCAAGGATCAAGGATGCAATCAAGCAACCGCCACGGCCCATTGTTATATTTTCCGGCTTCTCCTGACTGCCCCGTGCCGATCTTCGCCCTAGCTACAGGCCTATCCATCCATGTTGGGCAACATGGCTTGTTGTACGGAGTATCAGTTCCCAGACAATAGGTGCCTCCTGTCACATTGAACTTTGGCCGGCTTTCGGTGGCGCCCAATCCCCCTGACTTGCCGACCCGGAAGTTGCTATGAAATAATGACGCCACTGCCGCTGTTCCTGCGGTGTAAAGGTGTAGTGGCGTGGCCGCGGTGGTTCTTCCTCTGCCGTGTTTCACGGCTTCCTCTGCCGTGCTTCACGGCACTTCGTATCCGTTTGCGTGGATTTTGGACAAAAATCATCCGGCTTGCTGTCTTCCCGAACCTGTTTTTGCGCTTCTTGGCATATCTATTGTCGTCCACGAGCTGCGTCGCCACGAGGGCATTGTTCCGCCCAGACCTCACGACGACTCAAGCGCATCCTGAATCAATGGCTCTGCTTGAGGACTCCCCCCCTCCTCTCCCCGAATGATTTGCGCCGTTTGCCCTGTTGCGATCAACTTGTCGACCTCGTCAACACTGAACAGGCCGGAGACGACGAAAGATTACTGCAACACCACTCCGCAGACGACTCGCAACGCGGGCAACCCCCGAGGCGCCCATTCGCTCGCCCTCGCTCACCATGGGCGTCGCAGTACGACCATTCAAGGTGCCGATGGGCAAAAGGAGGCCGGCGCTTGTTCTCACGGCGGCCACGTTCTCACTGCTGCTGCTGCTCTATCTGGGGGCGTTTGCAGACTCGGCGCTGCCCGAGCAGCTGCGCGTCTCCAAACCGTGTCGGCCCGATCTCGACCATCTGAGACGGAGCAGCTATGAGCTCACGCAGCAAATCGTCTACCACAAGCGGTGCCTGCGGGGGCTGCGCAGCGACGAAACCGCCAGGCACGTCGTCTCAGACGTTGCGCAGCCCCTGATCGAGCCCGGCGGCGGCGGCGTGCTCCAACTGAACCACGGCTGCCGCGGCGCGGCGCCCGACGACGAGCCCTGCGACGCGGTGCCCGTCCACGTGCCGCCGCCGTATCCGCGGCGCGACTACTCCGAGTTCCTGTTCGGCGTGGCGTCGTCGTCAGAGCGGCTCGTCGACTCCATCGCGCACTTTGCGCACTGGCTGGGCGACACGGACGCGCGGCTGCTCGCTATCGTCGTAGACGCGCGCTTCTCAGACGCGCAGATGCGGCGGCTGACTGCGCAGTACCGCCAGGCCGGCATCCGCTTCATCGGCGTGCGGCCGGCCAACGCGTCCATCGGCGTCAACGAGCAGCACTTCGCGGCCGTCTGCGACCTCGCGCGGCACGCCGACGCGGCCACTCGCTGGGCCGTCATCATCGACGACGACACCTTCTTCCCGTCGCTCTGGCCCGTCGCGCAGGCGCTCGGCCGCCACGACGCCGCGGTGCCGGCCTACGTCGGCGGCCTCTCGGAGAGCAGCCACGCCGTCAGCTTCCACGGCCGCATGGCCTACGGCGGCGGCGGCATCTTCCTGTCGCTCCCGCTGCTGCGCCTGCTCGAGCCCCAGGTCGACGCCTGCCTGCGCGAGAGCAGCGTCCGCGAGGGCGACGGCATGCTGCGCTACTGCGTCGAGCACAAGACGGCCGTCAACTTCACCCAGGTCCGCGGCCTGCACCAGCTCGACCTCGCCGGCGACCTGAGCGGCTTCTACGAGTCGGGCCGCATGCCGCTCAGCCTGCACCACTGGAAGACGTGGCACCGCGCCCCCGTCGACAAGATGTCCGCCGCCGTGCGCTTCTGCGGCAGCTGCCTGCTGCAGCGCTGGCGCTTCGCCCGCGACACCGTCCTGTCCAACGGCTACAGCATCGCCGTCTACCCCGGCGGCACCGCCGGCCTCGCCCTGCACCGCACCGAGGCCACCTGGGACCCCCGGGACGACGACTGGGAATGGAGCCTGGGGCCGCTGCGCGAAAGGGTGCCCGCCGCCGGCAAGAAGAGCTACCGTCTGCTCGACGCCGAGGTCGTCGGGCCCAGCCTGCGACAGCTATACGTCCACCGGGCGTCGGATGCCGTGCCCGGCGCGCCGCACGACCCTAGGGACGAGGTCGTTGAGCTGTGGTGGGATTGGGAGTGAGAGTATCTGGTGTTGGGTGGGCTTTTTTTTTTTCCCTTTTTTTTTTTTGTGGCGTTTGCAGCACGTCTTTCTGGGCGTTTAGTCTGGTGACGTGGGCATCGATGAGACGTCATTTTCACGGCGTTGGGCGCGGCGGGCCGCTTGGTTTTGCTTGTTGGAAAAAGCGAGTTGCTCACGTGTGGATAGCGTTGTGGACGAGGAATACAGGGGCTAAGCGTGTATTTAAAGTGAGGCCGTCTCCCGACCTTGTCCTCTGAGAGCTGGAGGTTAGGAATTGACAACTATCGGAACACTGTCCTTGCATCTTGATATTTCCATCAGTCGACGGTGCGACGTGTGTACTCTTGGAGTTTTGTGTTTCCAGGTGCGCAATATTCCTTATCTCGTCTTGTGCTTACACGGCCGGGTTACAATTTTTTGGTGCGACGGCCATGGAAATTGCCGATATCTGTGGCAAAGGCTCGTCTGAGGGCAGTGTAGCAAGAGTGCTTGGAGCCCGGCTCCCATTTATGCAGCAGGCTTTTGCCCTAGATCTCGTGACTAACACCCGTGTGACGTTGCCCACAGGAACACATGCACGAGATGTACCACAGTGCAGTACAGTGTAGCACACAGCAGTAGAGTTGCTGCTCATGATGGATAATGTTAGGCTAAAGCACATTCTATTTGCCCATGGTAGCACATACACTGATATAATATAGGGAGTGTAGTGGAATGTGTATGCACCAAGCTCCCACCTGCTCCACTTGAATACCTATCACGCTTTATAGTCCAGCATGATCGTATTAATTTGCCTACCAAGAGGCGGCGGACGGGCGTGAGTGCGCTCGTGGCATTGGCGGGAGACGCCGCGGGCGCGTACAGGGGGCGGACCGGGCTGGGGGCGATGCGAGCCCGCTCCAACAGCATGTTGAACTTTTTCGTCGCGGAATTGAACCGCGTGGAAAACTTGGCGCGCGCGCTAGGGCCGTCACCTGATTTCTTGCGCGTGGCGGACATAATATGTCCGCCGGCAGCCGCGATCTTCCGCACCTTCTTCTATCGTCGGCGCAGCTTTAGGTTCAGGTTCGAGGCGTAGAGATGCATCTCCTAGGCGCATCTCTTTTGGGTCTCACGGCACCGCTCGCAGGCAGTTGCGGGGCCGGGGACACAACTGGCGAAGCTAGAGTTTTATGAGTTCGCGCAGGACTCGGGGGTGCGGGAGCGGCCGCGGTGGCCGCGAGGTTCCGCCGGCGACCGTACACTCCCGCCAGGTGCCTGCCAGGTGCCTGCCAGCCGGCCAATGCGTGCCATGGCCCACAAAGGCAGACGTATTCCTTGGCTGTTCGACGGTATCGCCGCCTTTCCTTTGCACTCCGTAGCGGTCAACTGTTTCCTTTCTGCAGTGCCAGGCTGGCCAGCTTGCGGGCCTCGCCGCCGCCTCTATCCCGGTCTATGCTCAGATTCTTTGCTTCTACTGTTCAGTCCTCACTACGTCCACCAGCGCTCTGTGTAGATCCGTAAAATGGAGACCAACAGTCACATCACCACGCTGCACCAGGATGCCATCGACTCGGCCAAGATGCGCTATGACGCCGTCCGAGACGCCGTCCCTGAGGCTGTGACAGATTTCGATGGTTGTGCTTGGCATGCAACTTAGGCCAGGTATAACTATCATCCATACATACCTCTTTCCTCTTGAATTCATCTGTTTGTGCTTACCTTTCTATAGTCTTTGTTTGTGTGCCCAAACAGACGAGTTCGACAATTACGAGGGACTTGGTCCCAAGATTATCCCGCTTGAGGTTTTCAAGCTCGCAGTGGACACCGGCAAGAACTCGTATGGGGTGTTTTGTGTACACCTCGACGGTCATTCCTGTTTTGCACGCCATTCCACTGACCATGAGAGCACTGTGAGCTGAACAGCGTCCTCGCCAATTCTGCCCCGTGTGCCTCTGGCAACGAGCATTGCGACCTCGTCGACATGGGACCGAGCATCATTGCTCCTCTCATGATTGCGTATTTGAGTGATATAGGAGTAATTAGTACGAGATCCTGCACGAGATTTTTCACGGCCGCAAGATGGGCGCCTACATGGTCCAGAAGGCTGTACCAGTACTTCAACGAAGGCGACCATGACCAGGCACCCAAGTACATCTCTAATCAGCGGGATGGTTTCTTCATCAATGGCAAGCTGGGGCTCGAGGTCCGGGCGTATCGCTGGCGACGTGGCCTGCCTTGGAGCGAGAATGCTATCATGGGCAGTGAGGACTGCCCTCGCAGACAGCCGCAACAGTCCCGTCGCTGATGGACTTTGCCACCAGAGACTGCCCTGACAGGAAGGAGAAACTGGGACTCGATAGCGCTCCACTCCTCACCCCTGTTCAGTCGCCTTGGGAGATTCTGAGAAGATTGCCGTCCTCCAGCAGCGGGACGGGGAGGAAGACAGTCCTGTCGCCCGTCGTGGTGGATCGATTCCCCATTTACTGGAGCACTATCCAGGCAACTATAAAACCGATGGACCCGGCGTTGGTGGTACATTGTGTTTCCACGCTCGTTCAATGTTGCTCGGACAACAGGTTGAAAGCATTTTGTTGGTTTCCTATCGATACTTGTACAGCACAGGCGCCACATTGGGTAGATGCCCAACAAGCACAAAGCTCATATACCCGTCTCGCATATATCATATCCCTGGAATCCCATCTGCCGTCGTGACACCAGTCAGATCGCGAAAAGGCCGAAGAGCAACAAAGGCTACTACAGCGGCAACGCCAGGAACAGCACGAACGAGGAATAGATCTAGAACGACTGACTCGATGGTTAGGATGGACCTAGACTAGGTCTCATTTTGCAATCAGGGCTTATCCTAGAGATCAGGGCTCGGAGCAGATGGCTCATATTCACATATAATGACGTATGGTCTCAAAGGTCCTTCGTTCTTCCATCTGACCGACCCGACCAACGAGGGCTATACACACAAGATGGTCCCTGTCTGTGTAACCTGACTAGGCAGCTAAGGGCCTGATGCCTCGTGCCCTTGTGCCTTGGGACCCGAGCCCAACAGTGGCCTGTGAGGGCATCACGATAGCTGCAAACTTTGTGCGTTGCAGCTAGTCATGTGGTTGAGGTCTTGGACCGATAATCCCGTGCAACACATTTCTTATGAAATGAGATGGTGCTAAAGTCGTACAAGTATTCGATGTTGTTAAAAAGGTGATAAGCTGCAGGTTGGATGAGGTGCTCGTGGACTTCAAATCAACCACGATAGCAAACAACGTCGGAGCTGCGCTTCCTACGGTGCTCTTCCTATTAGTCGACTCGGCGAAATCGTGCTCGTCTTGCAAAATGTGCTCCAGCAAAAAAGCAGGCACCACTTCCGTCCGGGTCTTTTTGCAGCCGCGGACGCTTCTGCCAACAACGTCGAAAGGCGAGCCATCCAAGGCACAGAGTCCTTCATCTTGATTACATCCCCAGAGCGAGAAAGGAGCGAATTGTCACTCCAGCAGCGTCAGCAGGGCCTTGCATCTTCCCTACGCCTTGCCTACTGGTGGTAGACTGGCTACCCGGAGGGCTGAAGGGTGCTTTGTATGCTTCGCATTCCCTACTCGGGATGGAGAACCTCTGGTTGGAGCAGCGGCAGCAACTTTGCTGCCGCCAAACAAGTTGTCTGCCAGTCCATCTTGCTGGTCTCCATCAAGTACTTGCCGTGGAAGTCGATGCTTCGTTTGAGGGTGGCCAAGTTCCCAGCTGTCACACCGGGCGTCGGGCTGTACAAGTGCCGTTTTGCCGGCCTCAGCTTGCCTACCGGCGTCTCGATCTGGCCTGGACAGAGTTGGGGCACAAAGATACTTCATACTTGGAATTGCTGTGGCGCGAATTCTTACGACCACGACAAGGGCAGACCAGACAGATTGAACCGCGAGACAGCACCACGACGCAAATGACTTGGATTGAGAGACGCTAGACTATTTGCCCGAGTAGATGCCCGCAAACAGGATGGCATCGGGCTTGTCACTGGCAATGGCAAAGATGAAGGGCCTGTTGAACAGCAAGACCTTGGGGTCGAGAATCATGCTCCTGGCCATGATGACGGCCGTGGCGGCCGCAGCTTCTGTGCCCTCCTCATCGACTTTGACATAGGCTTGGTGAAGCATGGTTTGCACCTGGTTCTGGCCCTCTGCCATGTGCGCATATGCTCCTCCGACGGGATAGCCGAGCTCCTCGAGCGTATCGACCAGCGAAAACTTGGAGTCAATATCAAACCTGGGGAAGCCAAACTCGTCATACTTGACCTCGGCGAACTGGCCGACGGGGTTGCCACTACTCGTGGCAATCTCGTCCAGGACAGTGCTGAGCAATGTTCCCTCGGCTGGCAGATAGGCAAATAGCGAGGTCGAAGGGTACGACTCGGGCAGCGTGTAGGGCAGGCGGACGGCTTTGTAACTTGGCGTTTCCAAGGACGCAATCTTTTGCTTGCGTTGAAACATCATGTCCACCTCGGTCTGTTCATCTCGGGCGATGCAAAACTTCTCCTTGCGCGTGTCGCCCCGCTCAAACTGCATTTGCCAGGTCCCCTTGAATCCGATGGCATTCACGAGCGCCAAGTGACTATGTTGCAGGGCCGCCGGGGACAGCATGCGTCGAATCAAGCCGCGCGTGTTGTCCGAGATCCACGTGTTCATATCCTCTGCGGCCCGCGCAAGGTCTGGGTACCGTGTTGATTCGGCGTTGAAGCCCCTGAGAAAGTCTCGGTAAGCCGGATACAGGGCGACGGTGTCGTCGGTGAAGACGGCGTTTGCGAGGGCCAGTGGGCCGTCCTTGGCGCCTCCGCAGAGAGCGCTGTGCAACGGGCGGAGGACCGAATCCAGGTCGTTTGCGCTCTGGAGACCAAGCTTTGTGCACAAGTCCCGTTTCTTGGAGTCGTCTGCGGCGCCGGCAAGCATTCCCAGGGCAATCGTGATGGACAGTGGTGACAGCACGACGGTCTGCGGAGCGGCGTCGGCATCGCCACACGGCTTCCTGAGCATGTCCCAGCCCACGCGGCCGACTGATTGAGAGGATGGCGCCATGGCGAGTCGGAGGCTTCTCGAGCAGACTGATGGCGGCCGGGGTAAGCTGAGGGTTGAAGGGACCGACGGACGAGACTCGACTCGAAACTCGAGACACCATGACATCGCTTGCCCCACTTTATAACTGCATCTGCTCCGCCATGCAGACTGCATTGCTGCCGTCGCATATGATAAACGATAAAACATCAAACTTGTCGGAGTAACGAGGCCAAGGCGGAAACGCGCGCGCCTTGCATCAAGTACGGAGCCTTACTACGCGAAACCTCGATGTCCAAGGCGTAAGAGAACGCGGCCGTTGCAGGCAATATAATACTAATACTATGCAATGCATAATAATTATTGATAGGAATATCGAACATCTCGGAACAAGCCACCGACCGACTCGATAGTACTACATAGTAACTTTGCGGGTTAAATTACCTTTGTTCTGTCTCGCTTCCCTCCTGCGGCTTATTCTTGGACCTGTCGTGACTCGTGAGACGCGGCCGCCTGCTGCTTCGACACCCGCGAGACACGAAGACGGCGAGACAAAAGATGGACGCACGAGCGGCAATGATCCGAGGCGCCCTGAGCCGCCTGTCCCTGCTTTTGGCCCATCAGACATGGTGTCTTCAGCCGGCACGACCCTGGCCACGGAGGACGGTTGCCGGCCCCAGTCTCGGAAATCATTGGAAGCACCGTGAGTCCGCGACGCAGGAGCCCAGCACGGGCTGAGGCGGAGACGGCGAGCCACCACCCGCCGACGCCGTTGGGGATACGAGATACGACGACCCAAGTTCTGTCTACAAGTGCTCCCCGGACCCCATCCCCCAGCATTGTCCGCCGCCTCTCTCCATCAGACCCGCCCGCGACTCGACGCCGGAACAAACACACGAACCTCACCCGCCATCGACATGAAGTTTGTCTCGCCTGTCCTGACGCTGCTCGCGGGCCTCGCCTTGACCGGCACCGCCGCAGCTGATACCGTGAGCATCATTGATACCCGGCTGTTTTGGGGGGGAGTGGTGTTGACGAAAACTAGTGCACGTCGGCGTGCGACTGCCTCGAGCAGTTCTGCTGCAACAGCGGGTCGTCTTCGCAGTGCTCCGATTTTGAGGTTCCCGTGCGCGGTGCCCGTCCTCGAGAGAGAAGCGTTTTCACCGCGTGAAGCTGACGTTGGGCACAGGGCCAGGACTGCAGCGGTCCGTGCTGAGCCAGACCCGGGGCATGTCGGCACGAGCTAGCTTGGGCGGGATGCGATGCCGTCTTGTTGCATCCCTGAGAATTTTGCATCGTCGAAACTACTTGCCGTGCCTTGGTAGACATGGCTGGTTGGTGACACACGACGTGTTGTTCTCATCGCCCAGAATGCGGTCCCAACCACTCGCAGGACCCGGGAGACGACTGGGTTGATTACAGACGACGAGGTTGATTACAGACGACTAGGTTGATTACACATTACATGTTATTCTAATCACTTACAATGCCGTTCAAACCACCACACTGTGCCTTGAAAAGCGAGGCGACCAGACGGTCGGATTATACATTACACATGAATCCGTCTATACGTCAGACAAGCCCGTGACGTGATGCCCAGCAAACAAGACGTCCAGACGCCATAGACTCGGCTCACACGAGGTCTCGTAGCCTGCGAAACCCGCCGCGTGCAAGCAAGCTGCTACCCCCTACCCCCGTGAGTCGCCAACCCCGTCCTCACGTAGCGTCAAGGCGGCTATTGCGGACGGAGGGTCATTCTGCGAACCGACACCCAGCAGATGACGATATGGATCAACCTGCAGGGCCAGGGCCAGGGGCGTCAGTCGTGGAGCGAACAAGAGGCAAAGAGGCAAAGGCAAAGGCAAAGGCAAAGGCAAAGGCAAAGGCAAAGGCAAAGGCAAAGGCAAAGGGGAAAAGACAAGACTCACGCCGCAGCACAGCCGAGACCCAGCCCAGCGGCCGTCAGCCTGGCCACGAGCCTCCCCCTCGAGCTGTCCGACTCGGGGCTCGTCGTGTAGCTAAAGATGCGGCCGTCGCCCCACCAGTCCCTGAAGAGCGCGAGGCAGACGACGGCAATGACCCATCCGAGCGTGATGATGATGCCGACGGCCATGCGGAAGCGCGACCGGAAGTTCAAGTACTCCCATTTACTTAGCGAGAGGCCGAACTGGAGCAAGGACCAGAGGATCGTGGCGGCCGCCTAGACAGACAGAGGAGCTCGGTCAGTCGGGCAGCTTGCAGGGGGAAACGGGGGGATGGGGAGCATGAGGAACGCACCGGCGGCCCGAGGATGCCTATCAGCAGGACGCCCGACCGGGAGGTGGCCACGGCGCCGACGACCAGGACGGCGATGCAAATGACGACGTTGAGGATGCGCAGCGCCAGGTCCATGTTGCGGAAGCCGCAGAGCCCGGCGAGGGGCGAGGACGGCTCGTCGAATGCGCTTGGTTTGGCGGCTGTCATTGCGAGGGGCGGCGGTGCGGTGCGGTGTGGTGCGGTGTGATGTGTGCGATGCGACGCGATGCGATGCGATGCGATGCGATGCGACGCGATGCGACGCGATGTGATGCTTCTTTACGCGTGGCGGGTGGTTGGGATGGATGGACTACGTTGCCGCAGAGTCGACGTTATGTACGTGTACACATGGACGGGCACGGCTGCCGTCTTTCCCGTCGCCTCTTCTCTGGACGACTTGTCTCCTTCGTCTTGCCCAGGTCCCGGGTCCCAGGTCCCAGGTGTGGCTGTTTGTTATTATTCGAACCTTGAACCGGCATCAGATGCAAACAAGAAGCCTCGGTAGGCGCCTAATCGAGCGCAGATCGGCGGCTCCAGGGACGGCGAGGCCCCGTCCTTGGCCCACGTCGACATGGAAATCGAAATCGAAACAAGGTTTGGGTGCCGGCGCTACAGTCCAGACCGGCCACGGGTCGAGGGAGGCTCCGCGTCTTGGCTCGAGCCTTGCAGTCTGACTTTTGCGCCGTGGGCCGTGGGCCGTGGCGCCCTCTGCCAACGGTCCCTGGGCGCCATCCGCAGCGGGAAGGCTGGCGTCGTTGTCAAAACGCCCGAGCCACTTCAGCCATCATCACATGTCCACGCATCCTCGTGCGTCCTGACATGTGCTCGCCGCTCACGCAGCAGTCGGGACGGCCGCGACGCCGTGTCCAGTCGCCAGTTATCGCACGCCAAGCAGCCCACGGACATGGAAAAAAAACATCTTGTACGCCATGACTCGCTCTGCGCTATCTATTGTAGTTGCTCCTCCATGCATACATCCAAGACGGTAGCCAGCCATGCCCGCCCCGCGACTTGACTTGTCCAACGCGCTTGCTTCTACCATGCAATCTTGGCCACCGGACCATTGGGGAACAGTCTGACCGCCACTTTTCTAATCTCGTCCATGCAAAGAATGCCCACGGCCAACGGGAGGGGGATGAGCCAAAACTCGATGGGAACGCTTGCCGTGCCAAACAGCGACTGGATGCCCGGGACCTCGGTCACGAAAACTGCAATGACGAGGGAGATGGTCATGCTGAGCATGAGCCAGGGGTTGCGCCTCTTCTCCGTGACGGGATCGGCCTGGACGATGCTCAGCCGCCGGTTGCGGACCGCCAGAATGTTCCCCCACTGCAGGATCACCAGCGTGACAAAGTAGACGCTCTGGCCCACGGCGTTGAAGTGCTTCAGCTGCTCCTCGCTGTAGCCGTAGAAGCCGTCGGCGTACTTTTCAAACGCAAAGAAGAGGCTTCTGATGGGGATGCCCGCCGCCCTCCAGTAGTAGAAGAAGAACATGGCGTGCGCCGTGACCGTCTCCATGAAGCCCGTGAAGAGGTAGGCTTGGACGTAGATCCTGGCCGTGATGAGGTGGTCGCGTTTGTGGTTCCGCGGCGGCAGGGAGAGCAGGTCGAACTCCTCCCGCTCCATGATGAGCGACAGCGAGAGGAACAGGTCCGTGAAGACGCAGATGATGATCATGAGGAACGAGCTCAGCGGCAGCGGCACGCCAAAGAAGACGTTGACCAGCACAGGCCATATTTCCGACCACGAGCCCGCCGGCAGCAGGTACGCAATCACCTTTTGGAGGTTCTGGAACACCAGTCTGCCCCATCGTATGGCTTCGATGATGGAGTCGAATCTGTCCAGCAGGACGAGGTCGGCAGCCTCGATGGCAACGTCGCTGCCCGTCACCATGGCCACGCCCACGTCCGCCGCTCGCAGGGCAGGGGCGTCGTTGACGCCGTCTCCCGTCACGGCAACCACGTTGTCGCGTCTCCGGAACTCTTCCACGATGCGCAGCTTTTGCTCGGGCGTCGTTCTGGCAAACACAATCTCTCCGTACTCGCAGATCCTGTCCCAGTCTTCCTGCACCAGCCCGCCCAGGCTCTGACCCTCGAGCAGCAGGCTGTGTCGCTCGCCAGCCTTCCGAGCGGCGGCGAGCAGTGCGGCCGACATGGCCTTGCCGCCTTTGATGGTGTCGATGGTGTCGGGGTCGTGCTCACTGCTGAAAATACCCGTGTTGCGAGCAATGGCCGCCGCGGTAAGGCCGTAGTCGCCCGTCACCATGAAGAAGCGCGCACCGGCACGTCGGCATTCGGCAACCGTGTATGCGGTTTCGGGTCGAGCGGGATCGATGATGCCCAGGATTCCAACAATGGTGAGGTCCTCGGTGGCAGACAGGGCAACCTCGTCGCTAAAGGCATTGGTGCCCACGGCGTTCTTTGCGCGAAACGTCTTCTCGCAGAGCACAATGACACGTTCCGCGTTTCTCGACAGCTTGTCCTGGTAATTCTTGAAGGTGGCCCGGGCCGTCTCATCCATGGGCTGCACCGAGTTTGTCCTTCTGGACCAGTACTTGGTGCAGGTTGGCAGCAGCACGTCGGGCGCGCCCTTGACGAAAACCTGGTAGTCGTCCAACGAGCCATCACCATCGCCGCGCGGTTCCTTGCGGTGCAGTGTGAGCATCCACTTGTTCTTGGAGTTGAAGGCGATTTGGAACAGGCGGGGCGCTGTTGCAGTGCCAAAGTCGTTGCCGCTGGCCGTGGCTGCAAACCGAAGGACGGCGGCGTCGGTGGCATTTCCTTGGACCTCCCGGCTGCGGACCGGCGCCTTCATGGTTGTAGGGTCGAATGTGGCATCGTTGCAGTGAGAGGCAGCCGCAAGTAATCTGGCATGGCTTGCCTCGGCCTTGTCGCCGTCTGCGGTTCGGTAGAATTCGTCGAGATCGATCGGTCCATCGATAAAGGACGCCGAGTTGACATGCATTTGGTTCTGGGTCAGCGTGCCCGTCTTGTCTGAGCAGATGACATTGACACATCCCAGCGTTTCGACCGTGGAAAGGCCCTTGGGCAGGATATTGACGGCCTTCATCTTCCGGGCCACCATCATCAGAGTCAGAGCGACGGCCACAGGCATGCCTTCGGGGATGAAAGCCACCACACAGCCCATGACATTGTTCAGCATGGCCACAACATCCATGAAGCCAGGGTGGTCCCGACGCAGCCAGCCGAGCCAGGTGAAGAGAATCAAAAGTGCCAGAGTAACCGTCAGCGCCACGATGATGTAAACAAAGCGCCAGATTTCTTTTTGAATAAGAGTAGCACGTTCTTCGGTGGAAGCCGTCGCCTTGGCGATACGGCCCATGACGGATCGAGGACCAGTCAAGATGACGACGCCCACACCGCTGCCGTTCACGACCAGCGTGCCCATCAGGGCAATGTTGCGGCTTTCCAGGAAGTTTTGGTCCGTCATGTCAACGGCACCCTGGATCTCGTCGGATTCGCCCGTGAGAACCGCCCGGTCGAATCGAATATCCCCCGAGTGACTGATGAGGCGCATGTCGGCAGGGACCTTGTTGCCAATCTTCAGATGGACAATGTCTCCGCTGACAAGTTGAGTGGCTGGCATCTTTTTCAACTGCCCGTCTCTCAGGACCAGCGCCTCTGCTGGCAGCAGGTCGGTGATGGACTTCATGGTTCTCGACGTCGACCAGTCTTGGAAGGCGGAAAAGCCAGCCTGAAGCATGATGACCAAGATGACGAGGATGGCGAGGGCGAGATTGGTAGGGGAAGGAGGGTTGCTCAGCGGTCTCCAACAGATGAAGAAGATTACAACACCAACCCAGAGCACGGAACAAAAGCCGCCAAAGACATACAAGAGTAATTTCCTGACATAATTGGTCTTTGGCCTTGGCAAGGTATTGCCGCCGTCTCGCTGGAGTCTGTTGGCAGCAGAGCTCTCTGAAAGGCCCAGTGACTCGGAAACATTGAGTTGCTGGCACAGCTGGCCGGCCTGCAGTTGATGAAAGCTCAAGTTGGCAAAGTAGTCCTCGTCGTCTTTTTTGCTTGCCTTGATGTCCGCAGAGTCGCTTTCGGCCTTGCGAGACTCTGCGACCTGGATAGAAAGGGTTCGATATGTAATCGGAAGGCCAGAATAGGGAGCCGTGGTGATGCCATCACGGCTCATGGATCTGCGACGAGACAGGGAGCGAGAGTCTCTGTGATTTCCCCGGTCTTCAGCTCTGCCCCTGGGATGAGCTGCATCATCGAACGCAATGCGAAGGTCGCGTTCGGCTTCCTTTTCGAGGGCTTCACCAGCCGAACTGGTGGTGTCTTCAGGCATTGTGAAGGATGATATGTGTCTACAGTACGGGTAAAGAAGAGAAACAGCAAAGATCCAATAACAGGCTCAAGGCGGGAAATCTTTCCAGCTTTCTGCAAGGAGCCTGCCGCGATGCTACTCGACCTGCCTCGCCTTTTTCCGTGACGCGTGAATGCAGAAACAGAGTCAAGACTGCAGGATGGGTGGCACAGCAAGTCCCTCAAATAACCATGAGTTATCACAAAGTACACGCGAATCCTAAAGAATTTGCAACCCGGTCCTTGCTTTGTTCCTTGTATGGACAAACCGGCCAGCCATGTCAAGGTGGCGACGGGAGCTGCTCTCAGCAGCCAAGCGGCCTGGAGACGGCGATTTTTCGCGCCTCTAGCGTGACAGGCTGAAAGGAAAGAGAGGAATCCGAGCCCAGAACCGGCAGAAGGCTCTGCTCTACGCCAACAGGAATGGGGACCCTCAACTTGAAGCCATCCGTGTCATCTACCGGCTCGTGTGGCGCCCGTCGACGGTAAAGACTTCCCGTGGTGGGCACAGCTGCGTAGGAAGAACGCGAGTAACAAATGACGCATACCGGGGAGCGACGCTGACGGTATCGAGGAACAAATCCTCAGCCACAAACAACACCAGTTTGGTCACTGGGTTATAGCGATCGTTATGCTCATCTTGCCTGAATCGGTAAGGAAAGAAACGCAGCCGTGCCGCGCTTACCTTCAGGTGGCCGCCGTCAGCGTCAGCTTTTTCTCCTGTCGGGCTAGTCTCCTAGTCTTGTCGTCCCAAGAGATGGTTTGACTCCATACATGGCCGGAAAATAGGTGCGGTGGAGATGGTCGGCATGGCGAGGGTCTATTGTCACATGGGCGACTTTTTTTTAGAACCTATTCTGTGCTATCTGACGGTCACTTATTTTTTCACAATTCTTGGAGCTGATCCAATTCTGGACGGGTCTGGCTTGGACAAGTCACATACCTGTTGTTGTTGGCTTAGTTTTTGTCAAACATTGAAATCATCCAGACTGGCGGTTTTGCCGTTTGCAGCCAGCATCTTCTTTCAGCTGCGGAGTCGACTTGCCACAACCGCATAACAAGGTAAACGGACAAGGAAGCAGGAGGTGAGGGCTGAATTGCTTCGCCGATATTAGGTGGTCTGTTTTGCAATGGTCATGACCTTGCATCGGAGCTACCACCCACAAGACGCAACAGCCTTGAAGAGATAAGCGACACGTAAGCCCGCCGACTTTGAGCCAAGCGGTACGGAGTAGTTATAAAGATGGTTGTTCTCAGTCGTTGTCTCAGGGCGAGTTGTATCTTGTCGCAGACACGGGCAAATCCATGCGTGGCGTTTGGCGCGTATGTACAACCCACGATCCGGTCTTATTGTTCGCCGCACGTGTTTACAGCACAAGTACTGCTGTGCGACAGCCGGGTGTTGTTAGCTGCAGACGGCCTTTCCAATCAGAGGCATTCCAATGCTTCGCCTCTTCCACTGCAGCGCAAGCCTAGCGTCGTTTAGCATCGCCTTCAGCTTGTCTCCATGCCATCATGTCCCAAGCCATTGCCTGACACACACATCGGGATGCCATTTTGCGATCAACGCCCAGCCCGCCTTCCGTCGTGCCAAGTTTTTTTCCCGTTGAAATGGTGCCCTGCCATGCCTCTTCCCGCCCAACCCCGGCTTCGTGGGCAATCGAAGCGGTCGGGGGTGGGTGCTGGGGCTGGAGTCGGTTGAAAAGCAAGAGTCAGTTATCACGTGTAAAAATCATTGGACGGAAAGACTGAGTACGGATGAGAAACCGGGGCCGCGCACGGCCGATACCGGCGAGCAACGAACCTTGGCCCGCCTCGCCTTGACTTGCGTTTCGTACCGTTTCTCGACAAGAAAACTTTTTTCTTCTTGCGATCCCATCTACTTCCCTCATCCTGCCTCGAGTCTAGACCACGTCGAGGGAGTAGGTGCCCAATCACTGCCACAAAACCGGTCCGCCACAACGGTGGCGATTCGTGATTGTGCGGGCAACTGAATGGTCTCTGTGGGGTCCTTGGGTCCTGTGGTCGCCCGTTGTCAGGCTGTCGAGACTCGAGAGAGCTGCCTAATAATAGCCGCTGCTCAATGTCCGGTTCGTTTTCGTGGTCCATGGTTTAGTGCAACCTGTTGAAGCTTGACCTTTCAGCTGGGCGCCACTGAACGGTGGTGGTGTACAGGCTACAGCAGCGACGACGAGAGGCCAACGCTCGTTGTTCGTCCTCGACGATATCGGATATTCGACCCGCAGATTCCGCTAGTATATTGCTATCGTATCTCTCGCACTGCTTTCCGATAGCAGTTCCCCGTCCATCATACCGTGAAAGTAACTTTCGCCGACAAGCTGCCACTTCCCACCGTCCAAGTCGCTCACATCACCATCCGCCGTCCGTTGAGGTCGGAGCAAGAAGGGTACCTGTGCGCCGGGAATGATGAAAACTACATCACCAATTTGAGAGTACGGCGGTATCATGCCCATGTATCCTCGTGCTGTCGTGGCAAACATGCGTTCTCGCGTATGCGGGCCCGCCACGTTGGCAAACCTACCAGCGTCCAAGGCGTAGTATGTCATGTCACTGCCGAGTCTCTCCTGTTCCTCGGTACTGAGGCTTGGGTTTAGCGGGTTCATATCTGGTCCACACTTGAGCAGCGTCCTGATGAATCCCTCGACTGCTTGATAGTACGCGGAGAAAATCGGATCGGCCGGCCGAGTGCCGCTGGGTGTTCTGTCGCCGAGTAGTGTTCTCCAAAAGGCTTCGGTGAGAGTAATACCAGTAACATAGGGCTCGCTGAGCGATCCGTTCAAAGCCACCTCTCGACTATCGGCAAGGTTCTTGAAGTTGCCCGGAAACTTCTCCGTCTTGGGGATCCCGTTCTCAGACACGCCGAAAAATTGGGGCCCCAGTTCCTGGATACAGTCCACTCGGATACCCTCGGTAATAAGAGTAAGTCCATCGCCATCCAACTTCATCACCAGTGCTTCGTCCGCAACGCCTGAGGCACAATACGGGTTCGAGTCGGAACGACGCCAAAACATTCCCGACAATCGCTTGCTACTCCAGTCTGGGACCCAAGACAGTTGCAAGTCGTTACTGCGATGAAATCCAATACCTGCTAGATGAAGAATGCGCGAAGGGTGCTCCTGCGATAGTAGATACTCAGCCGTCCTCAAAAAAGGGCGCTCGATTGGCGAGTTGTAGTCAGGCATGATATCGCCGGTTGTTGCCGCTGCACTTATTCCTTGTACCGAAAATATATTGTCTCGCGGATCGGTAGCAGTGGAGTTGATGCTGGATATTAGAAGATCAAAGAGGTTTGTAGAGTGGTTGGCCTGAATAATTTCGCGAAGACGGCCAAGAGATGCTATTTGTACTCCTGCATCCATGGGAAGCGGATCAAGGCTCCGCCAGTAGATTTTAGATATGTGCCATACATGGTTCGGATCCCCTGTGAAGACAGTCGTCATCAACGACGAAAAGTAGTCCCAGGTAATGAGTTCCCCTCCGTACGAGATGATGACCTTTTTCGAGACTGCAATCTCTTGAATGACCCAGCATCTAGTCCAGTATCCATGACCGACAAGCCGGGCTAGGGCTCTCCATCCGGGGCTCTCAATGTTCAGTTCCATGAGTGACATCGTCTGTCGTTTGACCGTCTCTTCAGAATCCATACGGCGCCGAAGATGGGAGAGAAACCATATGGCGTCGTTGGCGTCAGGCTCGTGACCAAGCCAGATAACTGTGTGGTATGAGGAGCCATATATCTTCCTCATTAACTGAACCTGGGCGCTCTTCTCCCCATTGTCTTGTTGATTGATACAAATGGAGTCTATCCATATGTGCCTAGTCATAAGAAACGAGGCTCTGTCGTGCACGATCTCGTAGACTCTTTCAGAGACGTCCAGTCTACTTCCATCGAGAATTAGTCCTTTCCGGTTTTTTTGATCGCCCCAAGTGTAGGAAATTGTTTCAAATTTGGTTGCCTCGTCCAAACGTACTTGGATCAATTCGCACTGAACAGGACTCCATGGCGTAGACTTGGAGAGTTTCAGAAGACGAACTTCTCCAGGAGAAAGAGTAGAATATTTGTAAGATTTGAGTGTTGTGATACGGGCGGCCGTCTTGTTGTCTCTGTAAGTAACCAAAAACGCACTTATTTGAACGATGACTCCAAGACAATGTCGAACCGCGGCAGCAAGAAGTCCCCCGACTCTCAAAAGACGATTCAAGAACATTGGCCAGGCAAAGTTCCAGATTCTGGACACCTCACTGTTGAAAGTTTGTATGGGGTTGTCGACCATGACCAGCCACATCATGCTAGGCACGCAGATGAAGGCCAAAACTTGAGACAAAACGGAAAAAGCCCAACCACCAAAACTCCAAATAGTTCTGACATTACGGAACAGGAGCGACAGGAAAACGTAAAATGACAATTCAGTCGCTTGGGCGAAGAGTTTTGCAGTAAGATCATCGTCAGCGTCATCGCGGCTAGCTAACCGTCGGAGAGTGAGGGCAGTCGACAGCCATGACGTTTGGCCGACGAAAAAGAGGTACACGTGCACGAACATGAAAACTGTGGTCTCAGGAACATGGTATCCATATAGGCCAATGCTTGACAGTACCACAGCACAACCCTTGGAAATTAAAGTGTCCTTGAGTGCAAAGAACCCCGCTTTCACACCGAGAGCGCCGATGACAAGCAAGGTTCTGATTCTTGGAGGAAGGGCTATGAGCGCGGCGGCGACCTGATTTAGCGCAGCATTTGGTGGTGCCGACATTGTGTTTTCGCTGGTGTCGAGACTTCGTTGGAATGTGACAGCAGAGACACAAAATACCGCCCTCGGCCATGTTTGTAATGGGTTTGCCAGCAAATTTTATGTCATCGAAGCTGAGCTCTGATGTTCAGGTCACAAGGAAGCCCGTTCAGCGGGGCTGAGCCGCCTTGAGAAGCTGCGACAGCCATCGCCAATGAATTCCGGAAGAAATGGTGCGCATAGCTGCACAGTCAGCCTGGTGCATAATGAAGGGACGCCATATGCCGATCTTGCCGGTGTATGTGTACCCTTTGTGGAGAAAGGATACCGCGTAGCTTGACCAGCAGTGACGGGAGACTAGGAATAAAAACATTGACTGATGCCATCGCAAGTTTTCTCGGCGGGTAGGCGCCACGTCGTCCTCGAAGTGGTGCCCGCTTTGCCGTCAAATGTACAAACAGCTCTAACATGCACGCGACTCGGTATCGAGGAAGGAATCGAATAAGGACTTTGGAGTCATCTACCACCTCAGTGGGCCTGCAAAAGCATGGGGTACAAACTACCCAAGACCGAAAGGCATTTGGAATAGCTTCCACTTCCTATCACGCGAAACGTTAGGTCATACAAAGACAAACGTGGCGGTCAAAATTAGGTGGCACAGACGACTTGGAAAACTTGTTGACCTTGTCCAAGGACGGAATTTGACCCCGTCGTTCTTTGAGCTTGCACAAGGCGCGGTGCTCTAGGCGGTACTCTAGGCAGGAAGGCACCTGTGTTGTACAGACAAGGGACTCAAGGTAGCCTTGGCCACTGCGATTTGAGGATGTCGTCAATGGTATACAGGCGAGACGGACGAGTGGTGGCAGCAATAGCAGAGATGCGTGCGACGGACGGCGATCTGGAGGATGTCGACCCTGACTGTCGAACTCACCAGCCACAACGGTTCCTGGCTTGCCACGCTTGTGGCTGTTCACCGCCACACGCCTCTAGCCACCCGCGGGGTGAGCTGGTCCGATAGGATGAGCGTCTGTGACTCAAGCTACAAACTGTTGTCTCGCGCCAGATTGACACTTTTCCCGCCGTTGACCAAACACTTGTCGCAAGACGAGCAACCCGCTTATCATGGCGACCATCTATATTGATGAGGACACTGGCAAGGACGAGCCCACGCAGCAGGGCACCGAGAAGTCTCCCTTCAAGACGCTTCAATTCGCTTATCTCCAGCACCCCGCTCAGGCACAGTACCTGACACGAAAATCCGCGAGCGCCGACGATGAAGCGGCTCGAGAATGGAAGCCTGCGGCCAAGTCTGCCATGAAAAAAGTCGTCAACTACTTCGAGCAACAAAAGAAGAAGGCTGTCCGTGAGCAGGAACTCGCCATCCATCGCAAGAAGGAGGATGAGGAGCGCCACAAGGTTCTCGAGGAGGCCAAGAAGGTTGTTCTTGAGGAAGATTGCAGCCTTCCCAAACCCGTCACTATTAAACTTGACGAAGTTGGCGAGCATATCACTCTTCGCAGGGCTGGTGAGGCCGAGAGCAGAGGCACGCGAGTCCGCGTGCTCGGCCGCGTCCATCGTGAAAGGAAGCAAAAGGATGTTCTGTTCGTCACCCTGCGTGATGGCTATGGCTTCATGCAGGTGGTCATCTCTGGCAAGCTTGCCAAGACGTATGAGGCGCTCACCCTGACCCGTGAGACCTCGATGGAGATCTTTGGTGAGATGCGCGAGGTCCCCGCGGGAGCCCGCGCCCCTCTCAACCGAGAACTCCACGCCGACTTTTACAAGATCCCCAAGCACTGGAGGGCTGCCGGGGGCGACGACGCCATCACCAACAGAGTCACGGCCTCTACCGAGCACGCCACTCTGCTGGACCTCCGCCACCTCACTCTCCGTGGTGAGAACGCCTCATCGGTTCTTCTTGTCCGCGACGCAATGGAGTACGCCTTCAACCAGGCTTACCACGAAGCCAGGATTCGAAAGGTCAGCCCTCCTGCGCTGGTACAGACACAGGTCGAAGGCGGCTCCACCCTGTTCAAGTTTGACTACTACGGAGCCGATGCGTTCCTGACGCAATCCTCGCAGCTGTATCTGGAGACGTGCCTGCCTTCCATGGGCAGCGTCTACTGTATCGAGAAGTCTTTCCGTGCTGAAAAGTCCCTGACTCGGAGGCACTTGTCCGAATTCACCCACATCGAGGGCGAGCTCGACTTTATCGAATTCGACGACCTCCTGTCTCACCTTGAGTTCCTCATCTGCCGGGTCCTGGAACTTGTCCTGGCCGACCCCACGGTCGCTGGATACATCAAGACGCTCAATCCTGAGTTCAAGGTGCCCGAGCGACCTTTTATGCGCATGAGATACTCGGACGCCATCCAATGGCTCATTGACCATGACATTCCCAACGAAGAGGGTAATCCCCACAACTTTGGTGACGACATTGCCGAGGCCGCGGAGCGCAAGATGACCGACATCATCAACAAGCCCATTTTCCTCACCCACTTCCCCGCGCACATCAAAGCTTTCTACATGAAGAGGGACCCCGCGGACGACAGAGTCACCGAGAGTGTCGACTGTCTCATGCCTGGCGTCGGCGAAATCGTTGGTGGTTCCATGAGGATAGACGACTACGACGAGCTGCTTGCCGCATGCAAGCGCGAGGGACTTGACCCCGAGCCGTATTACTGGTATTTGGACCAGCGCAAGTGAGTTGACTGGGTTGACGACGCTTACCATGCTCAAGACACACTAACGGAGTCGAAACAGATACGGGAGCTCCCCCCACGGCGGCTACGGCATTGGTCTCGAGCGCCTCCTCGCCTGGCTGTGCAAGCAGCACACCGTTAGAGACTGCTGCCTCTATCCGCGCTACATGGGGCGATGCAAACCCTAAAGCCTGGATATAGCCGCCTGCTCACCCGTCTCCGTGTCTACCGCATCTGCGCTTTACGTAGCTTTTCGTCATCAAAAAGAAGATGGATTCTGGCGGGAGTCACGGGATCGGACTTGGTGGAAAAGACCATGAAGCAAGCGCAGAGTGCGGCCGAAAAGGCCGCGGCCCTCCGGCCCATGTTGCATCTTGGCAGTGATGTTGTGCGAATGGACAAGACTTGTGCGACAAGACGGCAAGAGCATGGATAATCACATGTTTAGAGGCAGTGTCGTAGATTTGACTTTCCCATTGGACCGCCCGCTTGCGAACAAGCCTGCTGCCACTCGTCGGGATAGCGTGTTTGGCGGGCAACAAGTTGTAACAGTGTTTTTTCCTACTCGGTACATGCTTCACATGTGCTGTAGTGTTGCCGGAGCCATGTCTTCCAGCGCGAGCGAGTCTGGCGTCGGTCGTCTGTCATGACGACATTTCCCTCGCCAATGCCAGATCCAGACAGCGGCTGCGCCGCGTCTACGTGCCGCGCGCCTGCGACGGCCAACCCGTGCGCGTCCGCATTCTACTTCACGTCTCGGCGGAAGGTGTAGGCGTGCAAGGCGTGTACCGTCCCGACTCTCTGCATGCCACTTCTACAAAGGTACTCGAGTGCTCAAGGACGCAGCGATGCCCGCGGTGCGCACCACAGCACCGCTTGCCATGCACGTGTGTGCGCACCGCACCGCACCGCACCGCACTGCATCGTGTCCCCGTGCGAGGCCGGCCATGTGTCCAAGGCCAGGCCCCGGACACACAAGACAAGACCTGGGACGTCCCGGTCCCCTCCATCACGGGCATCACGGGCGCCGGGCGCCGGGCGCCTCGACGAACGCTCATCCGCACACCTCCGCCGTGCCCCCGGCCGTGCCTCTGCCGCCGTGGGAGATCCCGGAACCCCCTGGCGCCACCGTCCCGACCGCCAGGTCCGCTACGCACGTCGACACCAACACCGCGCCGCCGGTATTGATTTATATGCTCCCGCGTATGCTCTTTGCTCTGGGGCCGCATTGTGTCGCAGCTACTCCGTAGTCGAGTACCTCTAGATGCCAAGTACTCGCGCAGGTAGTAGTTGTCGACCAACCAAGCACACGGCAGCCGACGTAGTCTTCACACCGCGACATCTCGTCCGCCCCTTGCCCTTACTGCTGCCGTCCCAAGTCCTCATCTTCTCGTCGCTTTCGTGGCCAGTCACATCCGTGTCATCTAGTCAAATACTTCTGGAGGGTCGTGGACTCCCAGGCAACAAGATGAACAAATATGTACCAAGTATGATTGTCAACTCTCAGACTCCCAGGGGAAAAAAAAAATAAAAAAAAGGGGGGGGGACACGACCAAAATCAACAAGACTCCAAGCAATCCCACGTTTTTATTTCCACTTGCCGCCCCGTCCTCCCCGTCTTTCCCTCGGCCCTCTGCCCTCTCCTCTTCGCTCCTGTCTTGTTTTCCACACCTTGAGAAATGTGGGCTCCAAAGCTTCCGTCGAGAAGAGCAAAGAAAAGAAATCACTAGCTCGCATTCCCACACCAAAGGCAGAGTCGTCCCGACATAAAACGCCGCCCAACCAGCCGGACCGATGGCTCCGTGATCCATAAAACGACCTGACCTCCCTTCCGAGACAAAAAGTATGACAAGAGCACAACAACCAGTGGCAGCAAAACAGTGGGCGTGGCCCAGACAGACGTCACACCACCGAGTTTCCGCCAATTGCCAAGTTGCCATCTGGCCCTGCCAGTCTCTCTCGTTGAACCATGACCCGCTCGTTACATATGTCAATAAACATCTCGAATCTCTTGATGAGCTTCTCTTTTGCTTCCAGTTGGCTCTTGAGCGCGTCGATTTCCTTTTGTTTCTCCTCTTCAATCTTCTGCAAATCCTCTCGTGCCTTTGCCAGCTCTCTGCGAAGGTCTGCACGAATCCTGTCCTCTGGCGATTGCTGAGGTTTTGTGTATATCGCCGGCCTGTTCTCCGCAAGTCCCGTCGCCACCTTTTGTGGGTTTCGATTTATGGCTGCTCTTGCATTGTATATGTCCCTCGGCAGCAAATGACAGTCCGGGTTTTCGGTTTGCAGAATCTGGAGTGTTTCGGATACGCCTGCCCCTGCGATATGGTCAGCAGAAGTACTTTTGGTGGATTTCGAGCCGTTTGACGGCTTTCGCGTACCGTTTTCCTTCAGCTGCTTGACAGCCGCCACCATCTTGCTATCGAGTTTTCGGGCGGCGGGATGGTTGGAAGGACTCTCACTCGGCCCGTGATTGTGCTGCAGATGCGTCGGGTCGGGGCGGTAGCGGATCGTCCACTGGGTACGCTGTTCAATGGCGAAAAAGCCAAAGGGACAGTCGCATTTCCTCGATGATGTCTTGCGCTTGCGGAATTCCGGACTCACCCTACTGGGTGGCTTGCCAGCGCGGTCGCAAACAAACAGGACCTTCTTGAGACCGGGCACCGTTTTCTTGGAGCGACCAATAACAATCGCGTAGCCAACAGATGTACAATAACGCAGGACGGCCTTTTGCACAGCTTCTAGTGTTGGAAAGCTACCTCCTTCGGGCGGGGGAGACATCATTTCTCCCATAGGCTGTGTGGGAACGTAGGAAGGGTCGTTTAGGAGCTTTGAGTCGAGACCGTTGACTTCTGACGTGTCTCCATCTTGACCGTCCACATCCATCTCACTGCCCGCATGATTTCCCTGCTGTTGGGGAACCTGAGCAGCGGGCTGCTGGGGGGATGCCTGTACCTGGTTGACTTGCTGGACCTGCTGGACTTGTTGCTGCTGAGGAGGAGGCGGTTGTTGCTGCTGCTGTGGTATTTGCTGTGGTGGAATTTGTTGCTGAGGCGGCTGAGGCGTTGACTGCTGTGGAGTAGGCTGAGGCGTTACCTGAGCTTGCGGTGGCTGCTGCTGCTGCTGCTGCTGCTGCTGCTGCTGCTGTTGTTGTTGTTGTTGCTGTTGCTGCTGAGGCGGTTGTTGCGGTTGTTGTTGCGGCTGTTGCGGCTGCGGCTGCTGCTGCTGCTGCGGCGTTGACTGTTGCGAGCGGCCATGAGTCTGGTGAGACTGGACACTTTGGCGTCCCTGGTGGCCTGGATGGCCTGGATGAGTCTGGTGAGCTTGATGGGCAGGATGCGCCGGGTGTGCCGGGTGTGCCGGGTGTGTCGGATGTGCTGGATGCTGTTGGTGCTGATGTTGTTGGTGCTGCTGATGTTGTTGATGCTGCTGCTGCTGCTGCTGTTGCTGCTGTTGATGAGGTTGGTGTCCTGGGTGTTGTCCTGGGTGTTGTTGATGCCCTTGCTGTTGGTGATGAGATGCGTGTTGCTGATGGCTGGGATGCGCAGGGTGGCCTTGATGGGAAGGATGTTGCTGCTGGTGTTGATGGGATAGAATTGGATCATGCTGGACCGACTGACTCATGGACGTCGGGAACATCATGGGTGGCGGATTGGGCTGAGGCGGCATCTGCTGCCTCGGCGGCGCCGCCCTCTGCCGCTGAACACCGAGGGCATTTTGCGGTATGTGTGAGTTTGGAGTTCGCGAAGGTGGATGGCCGTTGGGAATGTTAGGATTGACCTGTGGTGCAAAGAGATGCGGCGGATATGTGCCTTGGGGAGGCTGCTGAGGCGTGTAGCCCTGGGGTTGGTATGGCGACGCGGCGTGGGGAGCCGGAGATTGCTTGGTAGGTTGATGCTGATGCTGATTTGCGTGGGTTGGAGGAAATCCAGCACTTCGCCGGAGGCCAGCTTGCGAGAAGTTCAACCCGTGGGCATTGGAGCCGGACGGTCCCAGACTCGACATGATGCGTCTGTCCGCAGGAGAGGCAGTGGCACCGAGTCGTCGTAACGGCGCGTGGAACGCAAAGCTTCTGTGGAAATGGTCGATGACAAATAGAAAAAAAAAAAAAAAAAAAAAAAAAAAAAAAAGAACAAGCGAACGACACCTGGCTCAACGTCGCCAAACGGAGAGCGTCGAGGGGCGAGCCGTGGTTGAGGGCAGGCCGGAAACGCGTCGTCGATGATGCTCCCGCATCCGCTCCCCTCTCTCAGGCGGCGTTCGAGCGCAGTCGCGGGTTATTGTCGGCGGTCGTTTCGTCGTGATCTCGGCCGTCTTGAAGACCTCGTCAACCGCTGGGTTGTTGATGGACGTTGAAAAGAAACTGGACTGCGCAATGGAAACCCTGGACCTGGTTCGGGGGTGTCGATAAATGGGCTGGGAGGAGGCGTGGAGGTGCGTGGAGGTGCGTGGAGGTGCGCGCCCGGAGAGGTGTGGGCAGAGGGAAGGGAGGAGCTGGGGGGATTGGAGCACTTTGCGCTTCCCATCAACTCGACGCTCATTCAACGCTTGGTGGCCGCAGCGGAGGTGGCAAGGGCAGAAAGAAGCGTAAGCTCGAGGCCGAATGCTCGTTGGCTGACGCTCGAGAGGTGGAGACTGAGGCGATTGTGTGGTCGAATGGGAGCGAGGCGTACGAGTTCCAGCCCGACAAGGTTCAGATGCTTTTTGCATCGATCTTCGCCATATTGCCCTCGACGGGAGAGGTTTTGGCATTGCCCGGCGGGACAAATTGGCATTCCATGTCGGCAGCTCCCCGGGGGTCATCAAGGGCCATCGAGGCCTGGCATGGCGCGGCATGGGCCACTGGAGTGTGGCCCAGCGTGGCCCAGCAAGACCAAGACCCAGCAAGGCCCAGCAAGGGCCTCTCCATGACAAACCGTCGCCTGTCCCGTCCCCCGTCACACGCCCGTCCGCCTTCCGCCGGCTTTCTGGTCGCAAAACATGCGCGGCCTCGTGAGCCAGAATGGCATCTGTCCGGACCTCACTATATATATACTCGACAGATTGGGGGGATGCAGCCTTGACCAGACGTGTGGCTACATCTCTAGCGCTGCATCGGACGACATGGTGCATGTGGTGGGCCAAGGGACTGACTGATGGGAATCGACGTGCGCCAGTCCGTCTGCCCGCTGCCCGCTGCCTGCTGCCTGCTGCCCGCTTCCACCGTCATCGACCAGCTCCGCGTCACGCCAAGCATCAGTTACAACAAGTCTTGTGCTCTGCAGGCCCGCGAGCGAAACAGACATCCAGCCGGCCTCGGGTCGAATCTTGGGCCAGCCTCCGGTTTCCCCTACCCTTCTCCCGCCGACGCCCCCTCCCTCTCCCGCGGCGTCGGCCAGGAATGGATATGCCAAACCCCAGAACTCCCCCACCACGTGACGTGCGCCAATCGCTGTAGTTACTCCGTACCTACTCCGTGACTTCCACGTTTTGGCCAAGTCTGACGTGAGGGCTGGTTGGCCAATCGTCAAGTTTCGAAACAGTGTCGCGCACCAATGGCCGTATGATAAGCGCCTCCCGTGCTACGTACCTTCCGTACCGAAGGCTTGCGTCTTATCGGATTATGCACGCTTCTTAACCACGCAACAATATATTTCACTTCGCATTCCAAGTCTTTGTCCATTGTCATCCACATAATGACGTGCGCTGTCTAACTATTGTTGCGGTCGGCATCTCCAGGGGCTTTAGCTTTTGACATGCAACTCGTCAGTCCGGCATTCCCTCATGCCATAGGCATTCCGCCCCGCCAAGTCAAGGAAACCATGTTATGGATTGTTCCGTCCCTTTCTATTTGGCACCAATAGCCAATGACCAGTTGGCCCCGTACGGAGTACCTAATTGATCCAAAAATTGTTCTACGACTCCCACCTACTTAAATACCCTTTTCACCGTGCATGAACCCAGAGCCTGCTGAGTCTTGCAGACGGTGAAACATTGCATCCTTGATCCCTCCCAAACCAGCCTGCCATTCTATATGTCATGGAAAAGGAAAAAAAAAAAAAGACAGGGGTGGGTTCATAAAGAAGCACCAAAATCTGCGTCATCCTCAACTTGCCCTATTCCAGCCTTCTTCTCTTTCGGCTCTTTGCGGAACTCTCCTGTCCGGCCACAAAATGCCCCTTTTCGTTTTGGTGTTGTTGCAAATTGTCGTAACGATTTTTATACTGACTCTTGCACCCCGGAAATGGGCACGGATAGATCTTGGGAGGTGTTTTGGCATGCATTAGCTTCTTGTGCTTGGCCATGCTGCCACGGAACCATTGGGGGTTTCCCCTTGGTCTGTAGCCGCAAATTTCACAGCACATGTCGGAATTCTCCTTGTACGGCAATGTTGTGTCTCCTGACGTGGGGGGTTGAGAAGGCGCCGACATGATGGTAGATGGCGTGGTGGGAGCAGACAGCGGCTGCTGTTGGTTCACCGCTGTCTGTTCAGTGTCATATATGGAACCCAAAGACGCCTCACTGGATGGAAAACAGGGCTGCAACGAAACCAAGTCGTTGAAAGCAAAACTAGTAGGCACGTGCAGGCCGGACATGCAATGGTCCGGTGTCTCGGGTTGCGCCTCGACCTTGCTGGAATCTAGGGCTCGGCTATCAGAGGCGTGCATGATAAATACCACTAGCTCAATAGCAAGCTCGTTATATCGTCGTCTGCAAGGTAATCGAAGGCCATCTTGAATCCGAAGCGATTCGATGTGTTCCCAAACGTGCTGAACATAAACATCACACAAGTCCGGCGGTAGTTGGGTCTGTGGACATGGTCAGCCTTTACATGTTGCATGTCAGCAGCTGGAACCTCGAATCGTTCTTACTTTCCCAAGATGCAGCAATTCAAGCTCAAGTTGGCGGACTGTAGAGATGTGGTTGGACTCGAGTCTATCCAAAAGTTCCTCCATGCTAGAGAAAAAGCCACCCGCATTGTGATACTGTTGAGCCGAAGATAAAATCAGATTCCTTGCTGCATTTACAAACGGAGAATTCGGTATCGTGGCAAGTTTATCAGTTTCCAGATGTTGTACGCAGAGGCTGGATGTTTGAATTTCTGGCCTTGTCGTGTTTTGAAGCGCGGCATATTCCAATTCTGCAAGGTGTGTCAGCCTGCGCCTACAAGTTCATATCATAACATCCAACAACCATACCGTCTAAGAAGTATTGCGAAATGAAAAGTAACGGGTCACTGACGCTGTTGTGGTAAGCGGGTTCTTTGTTGTTCCTGGCATTTGCGGTAGATGAAGGCCGAGACAGGCATCGCTGCTGAATGCTCGTAAAGTCTTCGCCGGTCATATCGCCAGGTGTCCAAAGAAAGTCGAGAACTTGCCAGTACGCAAACCTGTTCTCAAGCGTCATCCAGGAGCAATAGATTGCAGCCTGGTTGAAAAATTCCGTCGACCACCTTGTAGCATCTTGTCCATGTATCACGAAGCAAAGTGAGTATGCGATGTGCAGGAAGCATAAGACGTCCGACGGCGATTGCGGCTGCTTGCCTCGAAGCATGTCTGACATTGTCTTCAAACCAGTAAAAGCAACAAAATTCGCCGTCATGCCGCAAAAGTTTGAGGCCACATGGTTCTCCCCAGGGCGGCGTAACTGTCGCAACTTGGCTTGTGAGTCCGACACGTGAAGATCCCATGTATCTCGCGCTGAATGTACAAGTTCATGTGGGCTGGCCTGTCCCTTATTACGTCGCTTGAGGTCATCAATCAGTTGCTGTGGTTGCTGGCTCTCACTTCGAAAGCTTTCCGGCTGCAAGATCTCCGTTGAAGAAAGCACAGGAGGGTCGACGGTAGATGCAGTTGACTGCTTGGCATCCATGAGATGCAGCACCGTTGGGACATCAGCAGAGAGCTCTGTCAAGCCCATTGAGCCAGTGGATTCGTCCGCGAATTTTGAAAAGGCCATGTTCACGTCGTCGGCATGCGGATGAGGAGGTAAAGGGTGCGAGCATGGCAAGACATCATCGGAGTTCGGCACATCGTCGGCAGGAGAAGTAAGGTTGGACTCGATACAAGTCCCAATCCCCCAAGATCCAGACCATACTGACGTGGGAGAAATGGTGTAACTGGCCGTGCTCGAGGTACTGTTCGTGCTGTTCGTGCTATTCGTGCTCGTCGTGCTACTGGTTGACCTGACAGATGAAGTCGGCTGCAGGTGGCTAGTTCGACGTCTCGATTGAGCTTGAGAAATATCAAAGGCGGCTCTTGTGTTGAGCTGCAATGCTGGCTTTGCGGCTGCATTCACCGAGTCCGGCTTCACAAGATCTGCTGGGGAAACAGTCTCAACATGTGGCGACCAAGACCGATTCAAATAAGCTCTGTAGCTGCTCTCAGCCATGGACTTTCGAGAATGAATAGAAAGAGGTTGTGTATGGGCGGTATATGTGGAAGGCGCAGAAGATGATCGGCTCAAGTGATCTTGCTGCCTGTCTTCAGGAATCGTAGGAAGCGTGACCTCACTTGAAGCGATCTCGTGAATCTCATTGGACTGCAGCTCGAACCCTGGATGTGCCCCTATCGAGCACTCGTCCTCAACAGGGTACACGTAGCTATACGGATTGTCTTCAACTTCAAGGTCCAGGAGCGAAGGCGTAGGCGTCTTGGGTCTCCCCAAGGAGGAGAGAAAGGACTTGGCCACAGAGATCAACCTTTTCCGTTTGGAAGGATGGCTGCGTCGGCACTTGTTTATGTCATGGAACGTCTCGACCCTGCCACAGTCATAGCACCAGTACTTTCCATGCTCGAGGTACTTGCAATCGTAGAGATGCTGCAGCAAGCCCTCATGGTCGGGGAAGCGCTCGCGGCAGCCGAACAAGGGGCATTCCCGGCGCTCTTCGGAGGTCATCTTGGGACAAGCATTTCGCTTGACCGCAGCCCATACAATGAATCTATGCAGAGCACATTCATCCGACAGGGTGCCACGCGTGCTAGAGCTTCAAACAATCAGCATGTGGTCTTCGCATTGCACCGGGCTGGTTTCAGAGGACAGCCTACGAACGTCTCATACACACAGGGCGGCGGTTGATCTGGCTCAAAGGAGCTGGTTGACGATGAAGATGTCGACTCGGTGGTTGAGCGCCTGAGGCCTAGTCGATGGCCGGTAGGGGTCCGAGCAAATCTTCGCAAGGCTGAAGCCGTGATGCTGATCTCGTCAAGCGAAGACGGTCTACCGCTGTCCATGGTGGCAGCAGCTGCTCTGAGGAGAAGGTAACGAAGAGTAGATCGCACTCAGCCACACAACTTGGAAATAGTGATTCCAAAGTTGAAAGGAGAAGAGAGAAACACTGGCCACGAAGTCGAAGCCCCAGGTGTTTGACACGGGTCCATATTCCTTGGAATGGGGTACAGTGAGGCTGCAGGGAAACCACCAGGCGTCGACTGTCGACTGGACCTGTCCTCGGCCCTGATCCAGCTCTTGTCGCTTGCATATGCAGGAGGACTAGGACTACTGCAGCAGAGCCGTAGGACCAAAGCCGTAGGACTCGAGCCACACAGCCCGGTCGACCTGCGTGAAGACAAGGCCCAGGAACAGATGCCACAAGGGCAGCCAGGCCTGTGACAGTGTCGACATTGACGATGGTTGTGCGGGAAAGCCGCTCGGCCACAAAGTTGGGTGGCTGTGAGATCCGGGGCGGGCATTGACTTATTGGCCAGACCCTGGCATGATGCGAGCAACATACGAGCGTCGAGGTCAAGCCACCGGCGCAGCAAGGCAGACAGCTTGTTTTGACGTGACGTCTTTGGGGGCGATGCCCGTTCCTTGGGGAACATGGAAAGGTGTGATTGAGGGAGGATCATCAAGATTCAGGATAGCCCCAGCTGCCCGACCCGTCCGAACAGGAACAGGGTTCTTGTTCTTGGGGCAGAGTCCGCGAAGCGCCCAGCCTTGAAGTGCCTCGTCCAAGTCCAGGCGAGGTTTAGATGGTCCTCTGCCCAACATTAGGTAGCACGGGGCCCTCGTCTTTTTTCCGAGGACAGTTGGATTACTCGAAAGTGCGCAAGGGTCAAGTCTGGTGCTGCGCCCGATGTGCAATCTAGCGGGTTAGATGAGAGATGATGGGGGAATACGACAACTTGGATTGACAGTACGTAGAAGACGAGGCATACGACGAGGCAGACGAATGTGCACGCAAGAGGCGATGGCAGACGACAATCTTGGAAGCCGCATGGATCCGTTTGATCAAGTGGTACGTACCTGACGTAGGTACCCTGCCAGTGGGCACTCGGCGAGGGTCTACCCTATAGCAATCACTCGAGATGGTTTGCCTAAAGGCTAGTAGTGATCGAATAGTAAGTACAGCAACCAGATATTACGAGTAGCCAAAGGCTAGGCATCATTGGCAATGCCTAGTACGCTCTAATCATTGCAAAGTGTATAAATGTCGACTCCCAGGGACCCGGAAAAGCGAGGCATGACAACTGCCATGCGATGCAACACAAGCATGCAAAGGCAACGACAATGATAACCCGAACGAAACCCCCACTCGGTGCGGTTTCGGCAGCCGTTTTCTGGCGGCGACAGCCCAAGATGCCTCGGCTCCCCGCAACGCCCTTCATCAACCCGGGCCTCGTCCGCGAGCCGACTCGATCTGAACTCCAGTCCCCATCGTCCCAGTCGATACCCGGTCCGATATCAATTTTCGTTGACAGCATATACGATTCGAAGCGCATCGACTCGACATGAAAGGCATACAGATTGCGGAATACGTCAAGGTAAGCGCACTCAGTCACCCATTCGCCAGCCACAAACTGACCAGTCTGCTTGCCGTGCAGTCTCCGACGGAGCTCAGGGTGTCCCAGCTGCCGGACCCGGTGCCCAAAGACGACGAATACGTGATCGAGGTTCGCGCCGCGGCGACCAACTTCTTCGATGTCCTCCAGATTGCCGGCAAGTACCAGAGCCAGCCACGTATGCCGCCCACTCCCCAGACGCCCGCCGAGACGGGGGACCCAGGAGCAGTGACAGTGACGCCTCGCTCACCGAGCACGCAGCTTTCCCGTGGATCGCTGGCGCCGAGTTCGCCGGCCTGGTCGTCTCCACGCCACGGCGCTCCGGCAAGGCCAAGTACCGCGTTGGAGATCGGGTTTTTGGCGCGTCGCAGGGAGCCTATGCCACGAGGTGCGTCGCCAAGGAGGCGTCGATGCTGCCGGTGCCCGAGGGCTGGTCGTTCGCCGAGGCCGCCGGCCTGTTCATCACGGCGCCCACCAGCTACGGCGCCCTGGTCGTCCGGGCACGCGTGAGGCAGGGCGACCATGTGCTGGTGCATGCTGCCGCTGGCGGCCCCCCCCCCCCCCCCCCAGCTCGCCCGCTCTTCGCTCCGGCGAGGCGCCGTCGTACGCTGACGTCGCTCGCGCAGTCGCCAAGGCGTTTGGCGCCAGAGTCATTGCCACGGCTTCCACCCCCCGGAAACTGCAGGTTGCAAAGTCCTTTGGTGCAGACCACGTCCTCGACTACAAGGACCCCGAGTGGCCGGCCGAGGTCAAGAAGCTGACGCCCCGGGGGCGCGGCGTGGACATCGTCTTCGACCCGGTCGGCCTGGTGGACAAATCCACCAAGTGCACCGCGTGGAACGGCCGGATCCTGATTGTTGGTTTCGCCGGCGGCGCCATCGAAAAGGTTGCCATGAACAAGGTCCTCCTCAAGAACATCTCCCTCGTGGGCATCCACTGGGGCGCGTACAGCATCAACGAGAGGGAAACCATCCCCGTCGTGTGGCAGGGCATCACGAGGCTGGTCGAGGAGCGCAAGCTGCGGGGGACCGAATATACGGATGACGAGTTTGTCGGCTTGGAGAGGGTCAAGGACGCCCTGGTCGCCTTGTCGCGCCGCGGCACTTGGGGGAAGGTTGTTGTCAAGATACCACCGGAAGGGAGTGGCCGGTTGTAGATAGATGCACGCCGTCTTGGGGCCTCTTGGGCGCACTCTTTTCGCCCATGTCAGCCGCGAGGAGTTGTCAGTTCTAGCAGTCAGGTTCAGAATAGTACAGCACCGACTGCACCAATTCTGGTTGTGAAGTAGTAATCACACCCGGCCATCCGCTGACTGGTATCCTGAGCACTATTTGCGCGTTGTCACTGATTATTCAAGACCGACCTGTCAAGCACATACTCTCCCTGTAGCTGTACAAATAACATTAGGTGCCCTGGCTACAGTAAGAGACGTGTAAGTCATGACTACCTGGGTACTTGGTGAGGCTGCTTACTGACCGGATCGACCCTAGATGTAGATGTCCGATATGTTAGTCTGGTCTTTGCGGCGGCCGACAGGCTCCCGCTCCCCAAAGAGGCTCGTCACGGAGCGTGATGTCGTGATACAATGTACATGCAAAAACAGTTCAAAGTTGTGAGGGTCGCCAGCGATGGCGCAACGTGTGGCTGTCTCTACTTGGCCAATACCGGTTCTTGGAGCACACCACATGCCCCGGGGATCAGGGATCAGGGATTATTGAATGGGGCCTCGGGAGAGGCAGGGAGAGAGAGGGGGGACAAGGGAGAGAAAACAACAAAAACCGCGGCGAGGCGACGCAATAGCCGCATCTGATGCTACACGTGTAGTTCGTACCGAGTCGTTGGACTGCAAACTGTCCCCAAGACGCCCGCGACATCAACTACATACTTGATGCGCGCCATGTCCACAAATAGCCGCGATCCCTCGCGGCCAAGGGGCCTCGGCCGTGCCTGGGAAGCGACGAGGTTCAACTGGTACCTGGGTTTCTCTGCTTTCGGCGGACCGCCAGTGCATTTCAAGATTGTACGTGCCCAAGATAACCAGCCGTGTCGGTTTCCCAGGAGTCGGGGCCAGGACTGACCGACGACGGGCACACCTAGTTTCACGACAGGTTCGTCTCGAAGCTAGGATGGATAGACGAGCAAATGGTACGCCCCCCTCCCCGTCTCTGCTTCGAGCCAACGACACTGAGGTTGAGCGGCACGCGAGCCGTGACAGTATCAAGAGCTGTTCAGCATCTCGCAGGCGCTATGCGGTCCGGCAAGCACCAAGATGCTCTACTGCATCAACCTCATCCACGGGGGTTTGCTTGCCGCCGTCGTCGCATTTCTCACGTGGAGGTAGGTGAGTCCCGATACGCAGCCAGACTAGGTGGACTACACGAGAAGCGACACTGAGGGCGTTGCGTCCTGTCCCCCCTCCAGCCTACCTGGCGCACTAGGAATGTTCAGTCTGTCCATTGGCGTGTCAAACATCCAGGAGACTCTGCCGCGTGCGGCATACGCGCTCTTGTCCGGCCTCAACGCCGCCACCGTCGGCGTCATCGCGCTGGCAGCGGTAGAGCTCTCCGGCAAGGCCGTCACCGACCGCCTCACCCGGATCCTGGTCTTCTCAGCGGCCACGGCCGGAATGCTGTACAAGGCATTGTGGTACTTCCCGGCGCTCATGATGCTGTGCGGCTGCGCGACCGTCGCCTTCGACCACCGCTGGCTCCACCGCCCAGCTCGCGTCCTGAGCGGCCGGTGGGCGAGAATGGGAATAAGAATGAGAATGACAATGCGGCGGGCCGCGCCGGGGGAGGCGGGACGCGTCGCCAGTGAGCGAGGCCAAGGCCGCCTTGCTGCTCCCGAGAACCCCGAGCCTCGTGCCATCCCGCAGGAATACCGCCTCGACTTCTCCTGGAAGGCCGGGACGGCAGTCATCACGGCCTTCTTCCTCACCTTGGTCGTCGTCATGGTCCTTCGCGGCCTTTTGCGCGAGCCGCCCATGCTGTTCAAGCTCTTTGCAAACTTGTATCTCGCGGGCACCATCATCTTTGGCGGCGGGCCGGTCGTCATCCCCCTCCTGAGAGAGTACGTCGTCGCAGAAGGCTGGGTGAGCCCTCGCGACTTTCTCATCGGCCTCGCCATCACGCAGGCTTTCCCGGGACCAAACTTCAACTTTGCCGTTTTCCTGGGCAGCCTGGCCGCCATCAACGGCAAGCATTCTTCCGTGGGAGGCGCCATCCTGGCATTCTTGGGCATCTTTCTCCCTGGCATCATACTTGTCCATGGGACCATGGGCCTCTGGAGCGCCGTGCGCAGCAAGCCGTGGGTCAAGTCCGGACTGAGGGGGGTGAATGCTGGTGCTGTTGGGCTGATATACACGGCCGTGTATCGGATATGGCAGGTAGGCTATATCGATCAAGGCTTTCAATCAGGAAAAGGTCTCGGCGACGATCCGTGGTGGGTTGTCATCACGGCCACCGCATATGTCGGTGGGAGGCATTTTGGGGTCCCGGCCGCGCTTGCTATTGTGCTCGGGGCTGTACTGGGCTTGGTGAGATATGCTGTTGTGTCGGCTCAGAATTAGGCTGTGAGCGATGATGATCTTGAGCAGCTCCGTCCCGTCTTGTTCGTTGGCGGTGTATCGCAACCTCCTGATCGGAAAATACTGCTCTCTCGCACGTCTAGCATTGAAACTAGGTACAAGGGACAAGTGTCCCCAATTCGCGCATCATGATGAACAACGAGCCAATTGCGCCCTTCCTATCACATCTGGTGACCTGGTGTGTCATCCTACGTCTTGTCATCGTAGGCCCATATTTCCCTATCTTGCCGCGTTTGCCAATTGTCTAAATCTTTCAAGAACATCCTTGTCGACGTTTACCGCCCACTTCTCTTCAAACGCCGCCTCGCCACCAACCCTAGCTACTAGATCCTGCAACCTGGCACTCACAAATGCGAATGCCGGCACGGAATGGACCGGGTCCTTAGCCATAGTGTGTTGTTCTATCATCATCTTGGGGGTATCATATTCCGACGTTTCCAACCCGCCCCATACAAGTGTGTCATGGCCACCCAGCTCGCCTTCCTGGACTTCAACAATGACGTTTGTCCACATCTCCAGGTAGTCCTGTAGCTTGTCCAATGTGAGCTCTTGCATGGGAGATGGCAGTTCAATCAGTCTCGTGAGGCCCAGGAGGTACAGCTTTTGCCGCTCTAGGTGATCCATGCTGGAGAGGTAGGAGAACCACTCTGCAGAAAGCCAAGACCACACTTGCTCGAGGGTTCCGAGTGCAGTGAGCATTTGTATAAACATACTGGGTTCGGCTAGGGCAATCCGTGCCAGTATGGCCAGGTAGTCTCCTTCCGTAATGGTGTTGAGTTTGGAAATCTTCCTGTTAGGACCCGTCGTTTGGTGTGCTTCCCATGCATCGTGGAGATTTGTCAAGATTTGGTTCACGAAGCCTATCTCCAGCATGTCTTGAACAATTACTGAAATTCCCGTCGATCCGCCAATCTGCGTTGCGGCTCGGACAAGATACTCGATGCAGATGGTCCCCAGACGAACTAGCTCCCGGCTCTTGGAATTGAGTGTGCCAGAGAGGGCAGTCAGGGTTGGCCTGCGAAGCTTGTCCTCCAACATCGCAGACGGAGCTATCAGGACGTACGACTCTATGGCAGTAAGCGCCTGGAGTGCTGTGTCTGATTGGTACTCTATCAAGGGAAGAGCCAATTCCGCAAGGTTAATGACTTCCGGTGCAGGGGGCGCTTTGCTCTGCATCAGAATTGCGTTCCAAAGTTCGAGTGACTCGTCGATGAGATGGACATGAATGTCAGACCCCGGTCGCGCAGCCTCGGATATCAGAGGAATCATCAAGTTCTGATAACGTTGCGAAGTGTTCCCCATGCTCATCACAAGAGCGGCGAAGATAGCAATGACCGCCTGCTTGATCATGTATTCTTCGGTGCCGCAGTTCTCCCACACGCCTGGAAGGGCAGACATTAACTGGTCGCCGAATTGTGAAACTTGATCTTCCATGCGCGTTACCAAGATCCGAACGGACTCTAAAATGGCCAGCTTGGTTTCGTCAACCTCCACATACTGGATGAGCTGTACCAGTTGAGAGAGGACGTCGGCAGTGTACGGCAAGAAAGCCTCGGCGCTGAAGTCGAGCTCGTCTGCAATCCACCTCAGCTGCCTTGCTGCCGTGATTCGCACTACCAAATCATTCATTTCGTCGTTGGGATTGAGAAAATGCTGGAAGATACGATACACCAATGGTCTGCTAGCACCTGCCAGCTTAACAGGTGCCCATTGGCTAATTAGAATGGCAATGCGCCTCCGCAAGACCTTGTGCAAGCCACCTTGTTGCTGGGCATCGTTCACAATCGTTGACGACAAAACGGCGTCAAAGTCGAACACGTTGACAACATGGGCAGCAGCCAAGCCCATTGCGGTATATACAGCCTCTTTCGTGGCGATATCGGCCTGTGGCGATTGCGCAGACTGGAAATATGACAGCAATGGCGGTATAATGAGTTGTTTGAAGTTTGTGAGCAAATCCAAAAAGAGCTTTTCTGCGCATGGCCGGACCTCCCATTCGAAGGCATTGCCCTCACTTTGTTCCTGCCGTTCCCACTCTTCGGGATCTTCCTCCCACGCCTCAAGATCCGAGAGTCGAAAGACAAACAAGTGTGTAATGATAGAGTTGACCATTTGAATGACCACATCGTCTTTCAGAAGCTCGGTTTTGATAATGTTTCTGGCTTGTTCTTGCTCTGCCTTGGTCTCAGGCGTTCGGTATTTGAAGGTTTGAACCGGCTGAAACGCAATTCTCACACAAGCACGGATCAGGAGTAGACCCTTGAGCGCCAGCCGTTCTTGCAGAGGTCCCTCCATCTTGGACTTGGATGAACCAGCATCCCCCGTGCCCTGACGAATGCCGTCTGACGAATCAAAGACTTCTGCAAACTTGGACACCAAGTCCCAGTACGCGCGCGCGAGGTGGAGGGAGTTGGGTAAAATGGAGAAACTCGCCGCGTGTTGTTCGGCCATGTCTATATGCAATTTTGTAAATTGAAGAAGATGCCTGCCAACAAGGTCTTGGGAGGTGGGAGGTATGGTGGATTCCTGGCCTGCGAGGTTGAGCAATTGGCCAAACTGGTTTTGAGAGACTGTCCAAAACCTCTCGACTGATTCGTCAGTGTGCGGTCTCTCATAGCCTAGGATAATAAGCCGTCTGATAACCTTGAGAGACAACAGACTGTTGTGCATCGCAACATTGGCGTCCTCTCCTGAGCCTTGGCAATTGGACACGAATGACAACCAGAGGGCAGTCTTTTCGGTGTAAATTTCATTCAAGACGTAGACGATCTCGGGGGTGACGGATTGCAACGCTGTCTGAGACTTTCTCAAGCGAGCGGTTCCCAGCTCCTTGACCACTCGAAGAAGAATTTGCAGGATTCCGTGCAGGTGTTTCTGATTCCCATCCTTGCTGGATCGTAGGAGACCAATGATACTGGACAAGGCATCGGGCCAGTCTGTGGGGTATTCTATCCTCACAACTTTTGCCACGACAAGGGCATTGTGCAGCGCCAGGCCTCGCTCGTCCTCGTCAATGGTTCCCTGAAAGAGCCGAGATCGGATCAAGGTCTTTTCGTCCGGCTGTATTCCATTCTTGACCTGAGCATACATCCTCCAGTATTTATCGATTCCATTCTTGAGTTGAATGACGGCGAGGAGCCGCGCACCGATCGGGGTAGACTTGTCGAGGAATACGGTCTGGAGTCTGGTCAGCAGCCATTTGGCATTTGCAAATGTAAATGCCTTGCCTGCAAGGATGAGTAGTATCCCGGTGTGTGTTCCCAAGATGCAAGCTGCTGCCCGGCAGTCTGCCTTTGGGCGAAGTCGTTCGAGGTGGCAGCTTGCAACGCGTGGCAAAGCGTTTCGAGGGACAGGGGATTCGCCTCGCCAGGAACCTCGATGGCAAAGCTCATGATGTCTTTGCTCGGACGAAGAAACAACCAGCCGCTACTCCCTACTGTAGGCTTCTACAGAAACCAAAAAAAGGGAAAAGTCAGGGGGGGCAATCACATAAAAAAAACTCGGCGTGGTTCCAACAACGGCCGTGGGGTTGCAGCTGACTTGTTGACCGACACGCGGATGCAAAGTCCCGCGGGCAAATCTGGTGGGGTTGACATGGAGGGGTGACGGTCAAACCATTTGAACACGGACAACTCGCTTGAGCAAGCACGGCCTTGCTGATCTGCATTCGATAAGGGGGTGACTGACTGCAAGAGGGAAGCGAGGGAAAAGCCGGACTCGAGCGACTTGCGTTGTGGTGGACCCCTAAAACGGGGAACCAGCCAGCGATGCCAGTGGATCCATTTCAATTGCCATTTCCAGTAATGAGCTCACCTCGCCAAACAATTTCTATCATCACCTCTCGACAGACACAAGTCGCCGAAACTCCAGGCGCGTCGACAGTGGCCCGCGACCGCCATTGACAGCGATCGCCGCCATGATACGCTCAGGGGCTGCCGGAAAGGCGGCTCTGGGCCTGTCGCGCGCGCGATGGACCTGTCCCGCCTGTCTCTGTCGACGGCAGTACTCACAAGAGCCCGAGAAGCTCCAGCCTCCCGATCATAGAAAACTAGGACTGCAGCAAGAACTCTTCATCACCTCCACCTACAGCCCCGGATCGCCAATCTTCCTGCCAAACGGAGCCAAAATCTTCAACCGACTATTCGACTTCATCCGAAAGCAGTACGTCCGCTATGGCTTCCAGGAAGTCATCACGCCAACGATGTACAAAAAAGCCCTCTGGGCCAGGTCGGGCCACTTGGAGAACTACGCAGACGACATGTACACCGTCATCGGCAACACGAGCACACCTGAGAATGATCCAGGCGGGTGCTGCGGAAGCCATCACGGCCCGGCCGAGCCCGACTCGGAAGCTGGCAACGAGTACGGCTTGAAGCCAATGAATTGCCCGGGGCACTGTCTCATATTCGCCTCCAAAGTCCGCAGCTATCGCGAACTGCCAGTTAGATATGCCGACTTCAGCCCTCTGCACAGAAATGAGATCTCAGGCGCTCTATCTGGGCTGACCCGTGTACGACGGTTCCACCAGGACGATGGCCATATTTTCTGCCGCCCCTCGCAGGTCGAACAAGAGATCAGGAAAACACTGGAATTCGTCAAGGTTGTATATGGCGTTCTTCGCCTTGGCGTCAGTTACAGACTTGCCCTATCTACGCGGCCAAAGGACCACTTCATCGGCACCGAGGACGAGTGGGATAGAGCCGAGGATCGATTGAAGGTGGCATTGGACTCGTCGGGCATGGAGTGGAGCCTCAACGAGGGAGACGGTGCCTTCTATGGGCCCAAGATTGACATTGTCATTAGGGATTCGGACGGGAAAGAGCATCAAACTGCTACGATCCAGTTGGATTTCCAGCTCCCAAAGCGCTTCGCGCTTGAGTACCAGGCGCCCGCACCGGAATACGAAGCGCGGGGGGAGACAACGAACGACCTCGCCCTGTTGGCGGAATACGGCCCCGTGCGACCAGTCATGATTCATCGAGCGGTGCTGGGCTCGGTGGAACGGCTCATGGCACTTCTCATAGAGTCTTACAACGGCAAATGGCCCTTTTGGCTCAACCCACGGCAAGCCATCATTCTCACGGTCAATACATCACAACCTGTCTTGGACTGGGCAGACGAGGTCAAGGACGTCCTCCTCGGGTTGAAGGAGGAAGCAGGCCAGACAAAACCCGACGGACCAGTGAACCCGACCGGCCTGGCGGTTGATGTCGACCACAGCGCTCGCTCCCTCGGCTCCAAGATCCGAGAAGCGCGGACTAACGGGTACAGCCAGATCCTCGTCGTGGGCGAAGAGGACGTCAAGAATGGCCAAGTAAGCTTGGGCAAGGAGAGAATGAGTCCCATGGAGATGCGTGACAAGATGCGCAACATGGCCGACGCGTTCGAATAGTGTAGAGCATAACACGTATTTGTACATTGTAGACTATGTAGCGTCACGGATTGTACAATGTAATATCCGTCGCGAAACTCCACAAGACATGGGCGCAAAAAAAACTTGTGTTGTGACCAGCCTGCTCTTCCAGTATACCAGTCGCATATCTACATCGCTGACCCAAACAGAAATTCATGCCATGAGAGGGGGGAAAAGCCACTCCTTGGCCCAGCGCAGTACTGACTCCGCCGGCCCTTTCAAAACACCAGGCTGGCACGATAATGGCAATGAAGGATGGTTGTGCGTTGACCCGCAACGACGTTCGGCTCATGCCTCGTTCAAAAAGCTGGGATTATGCAGAGTATCCCCATGACTCGTTCTTTAGAATCGTACAGGCATGCGAAGCACAGGCACATGGCTAGTGCACGGTATTCTCAACACAAAGCCCGCCAACGGGTTGATGGCAATGCTTGATTGTGAAATGTGGTTTCCCCCTCTGGTGCCCACAAAGCAAAGGGAAGTGGTAGTTGTAGCGCGGCCCATGGGCGCATTTTACGTTGACTCGATTCCGTCGGGACGCGCGTAGGTGGGATTCAACCGTTCAACCGACCGTCGGTCTGATCGTTCAAGACCCTGGTTGACAGCTGGTTAGATGGCAAATGGCGGCGGGTAAGAAAACACCAAGGGGCTCCTGGGGGCGATAATTTTTGCTTGGGGGCAAACGGTCGGCCGCCCGGGGGGGGGATGGATGTCGTAAGGGGGCGGGCAGGCACCTGGGATTAAATCAACTTCTTGAGCTCGTCGTCTACATGGCCGCCCGACTGCTCAATGCGCGCAATGAGGGCGCGGCGTTCTTGCATTTGTTGGCGCATGTATTCGACGGTGCGCTTCAGCACAAGACCCTCGGAGCGGCCTTGGCCTTCCAGACCGGGAACAAGTTCAGTTAGGCGGTCGAAGCCTTCGCGAATGGCCTGCCTGCGCTTTTGTTCTATTCGAGCAAGACATGTCAGTGATAGGAAACAAAAGCAAGCAGGAGACGAAAAGGCTCATCGATTGACAAATCAAGTTGGAGGCATGCACGATGAGGGGGAAAGCTTTGATTCGCCCCGAGCAGAGAATACTGGGATGCTCGGCGCTGGATGCTGGCGGGTGGAGAGACAAGGTCAGTCGGGTGGCACCATACCTGAAGCAATATGATTCTGCTTCTTCTCCTCTTCGGTCAGGCGAGGCTTCTCGTCAGCTCCGACAGCGGCATTCTCCTTGGACGATGTTGATGTATTATTCGGCGACGACATGGCTCGTTCAGCGTGGGCGAGCGTCAGCGGGACGGGTATGACGACGGTCAAGACGAAATTGTTTGCCACGTGCCGGCTCGGTTTGACGTGGAGGGGGTCTATAGAGAACAAGGAGCGACAAACGAGAACCAAGTCGACTATTTGTTTCGTGGCGAGATGTGGAACAGAAGTGGGTTGGGACCGGCCACGAACGATCTCGAACGAGTATTTGACGTTTTTGACCTACGGGCAGAGGAAGGAGCAACTCGGGTCAACTACCTAGTTAGTAGTTGGCAGGCAGTGTACGGAAGTTGTTACCAGGAGGCTTTGGGCAACATGTCTCCATACAAAATCACATGCACAATGCGTTGACTAGTCGCACCGCGTTTTGTGCTAGCGCCGACTGTTTAATGGATAATGGAACATTGCAGCGTCCACCCTCGACCTCTACTCGTGCCCGTGCGCTGTTGTCTATTTGGGCAGGTGTATAATAACTACTTGAGTAGTTATCATTACTACCATGGCCTTGGAGCTTGATCTCTGCTGGCCCAGCCAGCCAGAGAAAGCGCCTACAGTGGGTGCATCACGGCTACGTCCAAGGATGAGTGAAAATCAAGAAGACGAAGCATCTAAGAGAATGCGGGGGAGGAAACGGCCCATCTTGCGCACGGATTATGTCGGGCATCTCTATTGAGCCAGGGGTAACCCCTCTTTCTAGTAGGAACGTTTTAGCGCACTTGGATGCTTATGGGTCAGTGTGCCATTATTCAAACAACTCATCGGGAGTAGAAACAGAAACCTCAGCGTCGCATTCATGACGAATCTACGGATCTTCCCTCATGATTCGATCTGATCTACTCCGTATTTTCCCCTGCTGCCAACTGGCACGACCAAGCGTAGCATCAGCATCTTCCCTATTGTGCACCCACTATCCGACATCATAGACCATGCTGTAAAAGACAAAGTACGAGCCATGCATTTCGTCTTGTATTGCATCAATCATCCTCGTCGGTACTCCCGTCGTCAAACTCATCCGCATCCTGTTGAAACACCACCTTCTCGGCCATGGCCAAGCATCTCCTGACCGGTAGTCCCACCACGTTGTCCACACTGCCATCAATCTTCTCGGCTAGTATCATGCCGCCAATGCCTTGGATGGCATAGCCGCCAGCTTTGTCTGCACCCTCGCGGGTTTTGACGTAGGCCTCGATGACGTCGTCGGGTAGGCCGTTCGCTTCACTGAAGAAGTACACTTTTGTCTCCTCCGTGTGAGTCGTGATGCAGTAGCCGGGATGCTGTGCGTCTTCCCGAGGTGCCAGCACCGTTACAGCCGTCAGGACACGATGCATCTCTGTGTCGCGCATGTGCTTCAGCATTCTGATGTGTTCTGCCTCGCTACGGGGCTTTTCTAGGATGCGGCCGTCTCGAGTAACAATGATTGTGTCGGCCGCAATAACGACATCAGGATCTGGTATCGACTTTAGGTGCGTCTCTAAGCACGTGGTGTAGACGTCGAGGCATTTCCGGCGAGCTGTTTCAGCAACATATTCGTAGGGTCCGTAGACAGCTTTGTCCACGTCCTCGGGTTTAGTGGATGGCGTGATTTCTAGGTTGTTCAGGCCAAGCTGTTCCCTGTGTGAGTTCTTGGGAATTTGAAGCAGTGCAGTCATAGACTATACCTGCTGAAGCAGCGCTTTGCGCCGAGGCGAGGCGGATGCGAGCACGACTCTCTTGGTGTTCAGGTACTTGATGATGGGCAAATTGAGGGGCTGAACAGGTCTACGGAGCGGCCCGGCAGATCGAGAACCTCCCCTGCCTTCTGACGCCGTCTGATCATAGTCGGGTGGCGGTCCCTCGGGAATCTTGGAATCTGTCATTGTGAACGGCGAGAATTAATGCAAGACCCCGATTCTTGATATTGGCCAGCCTGCGACGAGGAGCATTAGAACCTGCCACTGGGGGCGGTGGTCGGTCGGTACGCGCGCGTCGGTCCCACTTGGCTCTTCTGCGAGGAAAATGCCGGCTGTTGTCCTAACAGAAGAACGGCTCGGATTGGCTTACCGTACTCGACATGCCGCTCGATCGGATTGTCGCAGATGTACGGATTACCGAGGCCCCTGGCAGTATTTTTGAGGTTGGATGCGATATAACCACGGCATCTGTCGCCATCAGAGAGCTATCGTCTGCCCGTCAAGTCTGAAGAAGAGCTTCTAATGTATATTTCATCCACCAAGCGTTTGGCGCGGCAATATTGGCAGAAATTGGAGTAGACACTGAGACGGTGTTGCCATCGCTGCAGATACCCTTCATCACGGGTGCAGTTTGCTATGACATTGTACCAGAATTGACTGTCGCTGAAGAGGCACTACAGAGCCAAGAAAGAGCGCGTCCGTTGCCGACAAATCATGTGGTTTTATTCGCAGGTGCGGCTGCGGCTACGCCAAAAATGATTGAGTTGCATGAGCGCCTACGTGTGCTTTAGCATATTCAATATCTTGAATGGCCACGCGTTTTTTATCGACACAATCACTATCAGGAGTTGGTTAGCGGACAAACGCCCGCAGCGTGTGGAGCCTGGGGCGACGTGTAGTTCGATCACTTTCTGTGTGGTAGCAACTGCATTCATATAGGGCATCTCCTCAGCTAGCTCAACCTTCGGAGAGCTTCGACTCGGTGCTCTACCCTCCTGTCGTGTGATCGACGCAAACATTGATCCTAGATCACTCATTAGCCTCATCGACGGCTCATACTTATATATCCTTCAATCCTGACCCAACCGAGTCAGGGTAGAGATTTGTCAGAAGCAATCAATTGTGCAGATCGAAAAGTATCGGTGAGATTGGCGTCGGTCGTATGAACAACACGCAATTGAGGTCGAGTATCGAGGGTGTCTCTGGGTTCAGACCGCGAGCTGGGCAGGTAGGGCGGTAGACAGACTCATAATTGATCAGAAAGATCCGAGATCAATTGCATCAACGGTTTGGGGGAGAGTATCGTCTTTCGTTCCCGCCCTACGCGGTGGGATTTGCAGTACGATCGTGTCGCTGACGCACCTAGAAGAGGATTAGGGCAGTTATCTGCTCTTGATCAATGCTAACATGGCGTACCTGACTCATCATATAGGCAAGATCACTATCTGGGATCCCAGGTCATCCATTTTCCCTGCCGAAGACGGTCCCAGTGCAAGCATAGGGCTGCAGCAACGTATGCTCATTAATCTATTCAAACTTGAGTACTTGCAAAGACGCCCTGTATTGGACGGGAAAGCTGCCGTGAATAACGGGTTCTTTTGCCTTCAACACGTGCGCCAACGGAGGTGGGGGGTCTGTACACACCTCGCCATTCAAGCGCGAGAAGGAAAGCTGTAGTCGACATTTGAAAAACATTCCATTTACAGAATAGTAATTTGAATGAATTAGCAGCAACGGAGTCGGAGTCTCCCATGCCCTTGCACTTGAATGTTTCATGCACAAAGAGTGTCCGTTTTGCAAACCCCGAGCGCATCTCTCTCTGCCTTGTTGCCTTATTACCAAGGTTGGACTAGTGCGCCCCAGCATGGTACGTGCGTTTTGTCTTCCCCAAACCCGTTGCCCTGGTCATGGACAGATTCGAGATCCTAAGCTTCCTCTGGGCTGCTTGGACGCCAGTACATCATTGCTAGTCTGCGAGATAATCTAGCGACGATTAATCGCGCGTTGTTCAATTTATCTTTTCTTTCGCACAGCCTTTTGCGCCGCTCATGCACCCCAAATACAACGCGACATCACACTCACGCGTCGAGTGCAATCTGAACTGTCTTCGCAAGCTCCAGTAACAGCTCACCAAGGTACCTCAGGCCGGTCCAATCTGAGAACCTGAAGATATCAAATTGAATTTCGGCTTGCGTGTGATGACCCGACCGCGGCATCGGTGATTTTCGACATGACGGATAGCAAGCGCAAGGCAAACGGCCACTCGGCCACAGAAACAGATGACCGGTCCGCCAAACGTCGCAAGTTAGCAGTAAGTCAATGTTTGCCATTCGAGTTATGGGACAGTATTACGGGTCTCCTAACAGAACTTGTTGCACCTAGGAGTTCGATCTCTCCAAGGGCGAGTCCCGTGAATCAACGACAGCCTACGGGCTTGCCTTTCTCGAGCAAATACGTCGCACTGCCGACAAAAGGTAGGTGCAGCGCTTGTGATGCAAATATCAAGAGTTTCGAAAAGCAAGACTAATTAGGAGCGTCGCCTCACAGTGGACGGCTCGTTGCGACATATTTTGAGCACCTGCTTCCCCGGGAAGGAAATGCAGAATATTATAAGCAGACTCGGATGCCTATCTGTTTGACATCTATTGAAGAAAAGCTTAATCAAGGAGACTTTAAAAATCTCGCAGAACTAGAAAGCTATTTCAAACGCATGATTGCAAACGCGAAAGAGTTTTATCCTCGCTCGTCGGCCGTCTTCGAGGATGCAGAGCGCGTCAGAAAAGCATTGAGTAATTACATGACCAAGACAAATCCGGCTTATCAAACGCGGACCTATCAGGCAGTGCCAACTCCGCTGCCACCTGAAGATGGTGAGGAGGAAGAGGAGGAAGGAGAGGAAGGAGAGGAGGGAGATGAAGATGCCGAAGGCGAAGAAGAGCCGGCGGAGGCGCAAAATGATGAGGATGGCGAAGATGAAGACAAAGAGGACGAGGACGAAGAGGAACCGGCTTCCAGACGCAAATCCATCATCCTGAAACGGTCTAGAGGCCGGTCTTTGCGAAACTCAAGGTCGTATTCAGACAGTCCGCGCCGAGCTCGGCCGGCAGGCCGACCGGATCAAGAGTTCAAGAATGTTCCTTTCAAAGGGTTGAGCTTCCAGCAGGCGCAGGAAAAGATTGTCGAAGAACTACTGCGTTATAAGGAGCCAGAGTATGCATACTAAAGACACCGCATGATTCCCGGTTTACTAATCATGAATTAGGTACGAAGGATACTTTGAACCATTCGTCAATCTGCCCCCCCGTGCGTTGAGAGATTACTACCGAGTCATATCCGATCCTTTGTCGCTCAAGAAGCTTCAAAAGGAAGTAATGGGCATTCAAGGTCGTGGTGATCCCACAGGCGTCAGCGATTTCAAGAGCTGGAACGCCTTAGCAGAGAGGGCTAAACTGCTATGGAACAATGCATATTTCTACAATGAAGAGGGCAGTGAAATTTATGACTTGGCCCGAGAACTTGAAGTACGTACTCTCGGGTCCCGCAAGCTGTAGTCTACTTAATCCACTGACCGCACGAATCTAGAAAGCGTTCAACGAGCAATTGAAGAAAGCAAAAGCAGTGGTCCAGGAACCCGCGCAGCCCAAGATCAAGTTGAAGGTTGGACAATCCGTCGATACCCCATCTTCATCAAACAGAATTACCATCCGTGTTGGTGGCCGAGGAAGTTCTGTTGACTCACCAACGCCACAGACAGCGCAGTCTATCGAATCCCCCGCTGGTGGCTCTCACGTCAATGGTACCGCGCGACAGCCTGCTCTCGACACAGCACGAAGCGCCTCAGTCTCGATGCCCTCGCCCAGCCCATCAACACATGTTGGTCTCAAGGCAGAGGAGAGCGTGCAAATGTCCCCCTCGGTGCTCGCTCAAACTCCTGGGCCGGCGCCTCCGGGACCGCCAACACCTGTCGTTGAAGCACCGCCGCCTCCGCCGCCCCCCGGACCTCCGCAAATACAGTCCTCGAATCCAATGGCAAACGGCTATGTAGAGCCAAAACGACTCCGTGCTCCAGGAAAGGGTAGGCTGATTTATCCCGTAACCCATTCGCGCCAATGCGCTAACGAGGCCCCCCCAGGCATCAACGACGCGCTCATTTCCAGACTTCGGATCCAACTCCATCCCAACATGCAACCGGGAGACCCTGTCCTCCTCGACGTCCTCCCTCTTCCTCATGAAATGCATCAATCCGGCACCGTCAACGTTCCTCACCACATCAACCGTATTTTCATCGTGCCAATGCTTCCAGACCTCCTCCAAGACCGTCAGTACAGTCTCTGGGTCCTCATCGACAAACAGCCTCTCAAACCATGCCATCAGCCCATCCCTCATCAACTGCCCCAGGAGCGCGCGTTTGACGTCATTCTCCATCCGGGCGTCAATGTCATTGAGGCACATCTCATTGCTGCCATTCCTCGGCATGAGCGAGTCCCGGGCGGATTGGAGGTTGAACTGGAGGTGCTTACAGCTAATGTTAACGTGCTGCGAAGTTGAGCCATTTCGGACGCGAGTGTGGTCTTTTATTCATTGGTAAATGCTAGGCGAGGTACGGACTTGGGTCACATGGAGTTGTAGGTATTCTGAGGAAGGAATCTAGCTTTTGGTCTCGAAGCTTTGGGGAGAATCAACAACGTTCTAGGTATTCGTGCATGGTGTACGCATGAAATCGCAGTGTACGAAATACCAACTTGTAGCAGTTCGGTGGACCATGTACAGCCGTGAATGGTGCAGAGATGCATGACTCTTTGTTTGCTTATACGGAATGGACGGTCTATGGTATCATTTTAAAAAAAAAAAAAAACGAATCCCGCTATCCGGCGCCGGTCCCAGGCCCGGAAGCCTCTCAGCACACACCGCCGAGACTAATTTACAAGATGGCCAGCCAGTTGCCCACTTCAACCTGCGGCTGGTCGCTGCTTCAGCTGTACCAGATGCTTCAGACCTGTTTGAATAGCCATATAATTCTTCTGCTTGGGATCATACCACCCAAAAACATACACCACCATGACAGCATTCTTCCCTTGTAATTCCACCAGGCCGTCTACACGGATGCACCCACGGTTCGGGGGCTGTTTCACAGACTGCCAGTTCTTAGCAAAAGTCATGGAAGCCGCGTGGAGAGCACCCTGGATTCGAGGGTCGAGCTGGTTGCTGTCGCTACCGGCGGAAGGTCCGAGAACGTCCCCATTGGCGGCAGGAACGGGGATGTTTACGGGCTTGTCGGTTGGGACGGGGACCTTGACGGCTTGCTTGCCCCCTGAGCCTATTGTTCCTTGCTCCTTCATGCGGTCCATAGCGACGGTTTGCCACGATGTGTCTTGAGGGGGCTCTGTGTTGAACCCCAAGGCTTTGGCCACATCCTGGGCGGCTTGTTTGCAGAGTGAGTTGACAAACGTCCAGACAGTCAAGGCCACGGCCTTGGGGTATATCGCCATGTTGAGGTGGCCCGCGGCGACGGGGTCGATTGGTCTGTCGCCCCAGAAGATGCCATCGTCGTCAATAATGATCCTCCTCGTCTATTAGCGACGGCATTTTGTGGCATGGACATGATGCGCTAGACACAACTTACCCAGATACATAGTGCTTTGGCGGCGGTGCTGGCGGGTACAAGATGTCCAGCCATAGTTTCTTGAGTTTGATGTCTTTTCCTCCCAGAAGCCTCACGTAGCCCGGATTCTTTTCCACGCCGCGCCGGATAATTTCTGCAAGCCCGACTATTCGTCATGTTAGTTCAGCGAGCGCAGCTAGTGACACGCTTCTCACCTACACTTGATGTCTTTTTGAACTTGTTGATCCTTGTTCACGGCCATGAAAGCGAGCCACTCGGGATCGGAGCCTTTGTATGGGGGTTGCTTCACTTCCTTGGTGGTAAATGGGAAAGGAAGAAACAGGATGGGTTCGTCTCCTCTGTCCGCCATCTCCTCCATTTCTCGTTTTTCCTTGTCGGACAAATTTTCCCATTCACGATCGGCCCAATCAAGAAGTGGATCGAAGACGACGGTCGCAAATATCTGCCAGCACGCATATAATGTAATCGTAGTAAACATGAACCGGCTTTCAGAACTCGGGTCAGCGTAAATCTGATTGTTTGGGTAAAATGAGAGCGGGACCGTACCCTAATCGCCTTCGAAATGCATGTGATTTCGGAGCTGTTGGCGTTTGAGGAAAGTACACTGGTAAATCATGTGCAACTTTGCTTCTTTTCAAGGGCCATAGTGAAAGTGGTCGAGTCGACTGTGGCACTCGGCGAACAATGTTCGGTCTTATAAACAAGCTCGAGGCTGTTGCGGCACGCCCAAAGGCGGCCACCGCTCGGATTGGCATGCCGCGGTCGCTTGGATTGGCAGAAAGCAGGCTTCGTCTCAATATAATGGGGATGGCGAATAATTCTGTTCAGAAACGGATCGCTAAACTGGAATAAGAAGAAGAAGAAGAATTCCGCTCGATGGATAGACACTGACACGGGAAACAAACGACAAGCCAAGTGTGGGCAGCTCGGAGATATTCGCTGGGTGCTGGCTGCATCGCATTCCAGCCCGCTGTCGGCAGCGAGTGCCCAAGTCCGGAGTATCTGAGCGCCGGTTTCCGAAAACCACCTGCCATCATTCATTGCGCGGAGCCCGCCCACGTTCCGCTGGTGACGTCCCGAGCTCTCCAGCCCGCCAACATCGAGCAGCTTCACAAATCACAAAACACATCATGAAGCTTACGATCGGGCTCATCATCGCCTTCGCGGGGTACGTTGCTGCTGCGCAGCAATCTGCCGAAGTGTTCATTGTGCCCACTAGCGACGTGTCGTCGCCGCCCTCCGTCACCCCCAGTCTCGCTCGGTTACTACTTTTGCAACGACTTGCCCCCAGTGGTCGGGACGTGTCGTTTCACGATATCCCGAATGGCATCGGCTACGACACAGTTGCTTCCCTCATCAACCACTTCGGCAAGGAGATTCCTCCTTTGTTTTCGGACGGCCAAACCGGCGAACCCAGCCAGTTAGTCTTGATGCTGGAGAGCATGAATGACAGGCAGATGAGAGACCTGCGAAAAGCACTGGACATGAGTCCATCATTCACCATCGCAGACCCGCCTCCTGACAAGGCGCACCGGGATCTGATGGAGCTGGACTTCTTCAGGTCTGGTGTTACTGATGGAAGCAAGTGTTCTATTCGACAGGTGGCTAACCCTTTGGAGAGCTGCTGGGCGGGCAAGCGCTCTGCTGCCGCCAAATTTAATGTTAGGGAGGTATGAGTATCACGATTTTCGATCGGTTGCGACTTGAAAGAATGCGAGTGCGGGGTGCTAATGATGCTCTAGAATCCTGAGCTTCTTGCCGAGCTACCAAAACAAATCGAGCAACTTCGCGGACTTGCCAGATCTGGAGAACTTCAGACAACTATCGTCGCCCTTCCTTCAACTAAGAGCTCTAGCAACTGGCTAGATGAGCAGCAACAGGAGCTACGCCGCCGCCAAGCCGAACAGGTCATTTCCTCCTTCGAGAGGCCTGTAGTAAACGCTGAGCCAACCTCATCACCCAAGCCAGACCCCATCTTTGATCCGAACGAGCGAATTAAAGCCTGTTATGAAACAAAGGATGCGTGCATGGCCAGAACCCTCAACTGTTCCTCGCATGGCGAGTGTCAAGACAAGTACGCCAAAGCCGATGGGTCTAATAATACAATTGCATGCTTCGCCTGCCACTGCCAGAGTACCCGCAGCAAGTCGGGAAGTTTGACTACCTGGGCCGGTCCAACATGCGCAAAGAAGGATATCAGTGTTGCGTTCTGGCTATTTGCTGGTGTCACTCTTGCCTTGGTCGGCATTCTCTATCTAGCCATCAGCATTTTGTTTCGTGTTGGTGAAGAGAAGCTTCCTGGTGTCATTGGTGCTGGCGTTTCGCGGTCCAAATAGACTAAATTGCAACGGGGATTGGTGCGACATGTTGAACTTGTACGTATACTTACGAGCTTCTATCCTACATGTGCTGGAAAGGATATGTAACATAGGGTGTATCGATAGATGGCGTTGAAGTCGCAATGAGCGTCCAGCTGTGTCTCTTTTGCTTGCTGCTGGAGGGTTGTGGTGGATCCGGATAAATCGAATATCAATGATGATGATGGTGTTGTCGCCGCCCCATGACAGTTGCAACTAATAGTTTATTGTCGCCCACCTGAGATTCAACTCGGGCCATGAGCAGCGCGCGGCCATATTCGTATTCTCCGGGGTAGTTCTCCGCTGGCCAATCGCATGCGTCAGTCTGGCTTCATAAGCCAGGGGCGGACTTTTCCGTCCACACCGTACCATCTCCATTTCTTCGTCACAATGCTTTTGTTCCCGCTCCAAGCGAAACCGTCACCAGGGTTGACCTGGTAGTATGTCCGAAAAGGCTGAAAGGCCCCTTTTCAACGTATCACATCAGCGGGTTTCGACAACGGTTGTCTGGTCATGTGATGACACTGTCCACTGTCCAGCATGGCGAACCAAGACGGTGATGATAAGCCCGACGACAACAAGCTCCCAACGGCGAAATGGGGTGCGGCCTGCTCGGCGTGCGCAACGGCCAAAGCAAAATGCATCAGATCAAACAACGATCCTAGCGCAAAGTGTGACCGGTGAGTGGCTTGATGAGGCAGGAGTCTGCCTGCCCGAATCAATTTTCCTCGGCTCCGAAAGTTGTTCATGTATGTGAGCGTCTCGGCTGATACTACCTGTTCCTATTCTCTCCGTCACTTAGATGCCAAAGACTTTTGAAAGAATGCACCGGACAAGTTCATCGGCCACGCAAGAAGCGTCAAGCAAAGCCGTCGTGAGTAATTTGTTATCCCCGTTTTCCGGTTCGGTTCTCATTGACCGCCGCACGCCGAATTTCCCTGGCCATGGGAGACCCGGCGTGTAAGTGCCATGGTCTTTGCACAACGTACTGATTGCCGCGCAACAGTCGAACCGCCCAGATTGAAGAGAGACTCAATGGTCTGGTCAATCTCCTACAGGCTTCAGGTGAATTGAACAGTAATCAGTCGTCATTGGGTGCTCTCAGCGATGCTGCTGCCAGAGAGCACTCCGCCAGAACGCATGGCACGCCGTCGGCCAATTCTTCAACATCCTTTGCGTCTCATTCCAATTTCTGGAGGATTCCTGAGACATACAATTGTTTTTCAATTCCAGCATGTGTTTGCCGCCCTGAACCTGGTGATGCATCTCGTGATGCGCCTCCTCCGCCAGACTCTGACGACGTGCTGTTGGAGATCTACCGAACTCAGATGCAGCCTGTGTTCCCGTTCGTCATCATTCCACCGTCGGTCTCCGCCTCTGATCTACGGTCTAGCCGACCCTTCTTGATGTCTGCAGTCAGGATGGTCACATCATTTCGTAGTCTGAGGTCAATGCGAGCCCAGATGTGCCGTCTTATGAGTCACATTGCTGATTATGTTCTCATCCGCTCAGCTAGGACATTGGAATTGTTGCAGGGCGTGATGATCATGATAGCTTGGCACCAATATCACTGTTTGGTCCACGGGCAGATGAACAATCTCATCGCGTTGGCGATGAGCCTTGTTGCTGATCTAGGTCTGAACTGCGCGCCTGGTTTGCGAGAGCAGACAAGACTGATGGTAGCAAGACCCGACGAGCCTGCTAGGCGAACAAACGAAGAGAGAAGAGCTCTCCTTGGCGTATGGTTTTTGACTTGCAAGTAAGTGTATGCGTCGGCTGTACGTTTGAGGTTCATGCTGATCAGGCCTAGTATCTCGGTCAGTTTCAACAGGGTCGAGTCTCTGAGATATACGGCGTACATTCAAGATTGTATGAGGGTGCTTGAAAATTCTGGAGAATACGAGTCCGACATTACCCTTCTTTACCTAGTCCGGGTGCAGCGATTGACAGAACGAATTTTTGAACTTAACTCCAGGGACAAGGCTGTCGAGGACATTCCAGGACTTCTGTCCGCGCCTATGTCGGCTTACATTGCTGCATTTCAAAATGAAATTGAGACACTGCGCAGTAGCCTGCCCCCAAAGCTGCAACATGATGGTATGCCGTTCTACTCCTTGTCTTCTCTCACTTGTCCTCGCAGCCGAGGTTGCAAAATACATGTAATGACAGCTTGAAGACCTCTTCTTGTCATACCTCAACACGGCAATGCTCAGACTCTATGAGCCTCCTGCAGTCGACTTAGCATTCGTCAACTCGCTCTCGGAGTCTCTCACAACCGGACCGCTTGGTCGAGGCACTTCGCTGGATAAGCTATATCAATCAAGTGCGGCGCTCCGAAACTGGTTCGATAGCTGGCTTTCGGTGCCTGCTTCTTCTTACTTCAAACACCCTACCACTCTCACCTCGCAAACGATATATGCCATCACGATGCTGGGACGGTGGGCACAGATGGCGACACCCAGGACAGTATACGAAGGAGGAACACCAATGCCCCTTGGGGAGGGTGGCTCAGCGTACAATGCAGATTCACAAAGGGCTGCCAATGAGTTATCTGAATCCAAGTCGTCCCAGGGATGTACTCAGGCCGACCAGAGAACAAGGTGTACTGAGTCCGTGGATCAAGGCCTCATCGCGGCTCTTGCCGGCTTGCAATTGCAACTCCAGTCCCAACCAGGGTTGACAGTAAACATTCCAGAAATACTGTCCACATTGTGCGCCAGATGCGAGCAAATCAGCAATATTTTCCAGCAAACAGCCCCAGACGAGGAGAAGATGGACAACAACTTGTGGACCTTTAGCGCACTCAAAGTACGCGTCACGCGCGTCAAGCTAGAACGGTGGGCAGAGCTCGTAGCCGCTGCAGCTGAGGGTCATGAGCGGTTAGACAAGGCTGGACATTCTCAGGGCTGGCGAGGTTCATATCCGCAAACGCAATCCGGGAACATGGGACCACCGCCAAACAGTATGGCCAATAACGGCATTGCACAAGATCAAACTCGGATTCAAAATTTCCTGGACAGCACTCCTTGGACCTCGGATCTTTTGGATGGAGTCGATCCTACCGTTTGGTTTGACGGATATCTGGACTGGGGAACTCTGCTTGTAAATTCTATGGGACAAGGACCGGTAGGGCAACAGCAGCCATGAATATGAAGCAATATTACCACGGATGATATGGGTGGCGTTTTTGGGCATGGTCTGTGGGTTGATTATAGAGTGTAGAAGTGATCCCTCGAGCGGAAATCCTGCTATTTACAATAATATCTCACGCTACATGAGCCACTTGGACAACGGCTTGTAGAGATGCCTCAGCTGCCAGTTTTTATCCGCCACAGGAAAAGCACGAGGCGGGGTAAAGACGTCCAAATTTACTCCAGCATAAAAGATTCCCCACGTCTGCATCTCTCGATAACAGTCCTGTGGCTTCCTTGGTTCTTTCTTCCAGCCACAAGCGGCGTTGTACGCACAAAGAAAATCAGACCTGGCCCCTCTACTGCGCTTCCTTCGTCGCATCATCTCAATGGCGGCAGTCACCCAAACCCAAGGCCAAGATACCCCGCCATGGTGGTCATCATTGCCCGAGCCGAAGGCTCCCATTCATGCCCTCGAAGCGGAAGACGTCGCACAGCTCCTGGAGAGCCATGCCTCGGCCGGGCCAAATAGCACCAAGAGCTTTCTCCTCGTGGACGTCCGTCGAACACAGTGGGAGGGCGGCACAGTTACCACATCCCTCAATCTCCCCGCCCAGACTTTATATCAGACCCGGCCGACCATTTATCAACTGTGTAAACAGGCCAATGTCAAAACTATCATCTTCTACTGCGGTGAGCCGCTCCGCTCCACCTGATCACGTAGTTCGCCAACCCTCGGCGAGACTGACACCGCCCAAACAGGAACCTCGAAAGGCCGGGGTCCCCTGTGCGCAGGCTGGATGCAGGATTATCTCAACCAAGTTGGCGAGGCGAGCATTTCGGCCGTCATTCTCAAGGGCGGCATTGAAGGCTGGCACAGCAAGTATGGGGGTGAGTTAATGGACTGGTACGACGACAAGTTTTGGACTCGGAAGCAGAGTTCATAGGGCATGTTCTTTGTCATTCGTCTATGGGAAGGAGAGCCAGAGACCAGAAAACACTGTTCCTGCGCCAAAACCCGCCCGGTTTCGCGTCACAAATATCATCCGAGAACGCCGAAACATGTTTTTTTATGGTTCCATGTGCCGCATCATTTCTGATGATGAATTACCGATGGTGTTGTCGGTCGTCGCCGCCGATTCTGTCTAGGGCCTCCATCATCACGACTGAATTTCCTCGAATAACCTAGTCATGGAGTCAGATTCATGTCCCGCACGGATAGGAATGGTGGGATTTTTTTAAGGGCGGTGTTTTGCATCGACGTACGACCATGCCAAGCTTGATTTTATCTCCGCCCTCTTTTTCTTCCACCGCTTCATCTAGGACAATGTTCAGGAAGACCTTTTGGCGCGATTAGCGGGATCCAAGGGGGGGCACGCGGCGTAGGGGCTCAAGGGGATTAGTACATCGTAGCCGCGCAAAACTCCGATAACCTTGCGACTGCCGTTCAGTTGCACAAATAGTCTCTTCTCGAGATACTGGGACAATGTCAAATTGGGTTCAATCGCTTGCAGGGCCCGCTTCCTTGTCGGAGAGGCAGCCCTTTGCTTGATGGGGGTATAGACAGCGGCGGCCATGAGGGAAAAAATGTGAGTACCTTTTTGAGCTCAGGTTGCGCGGGAGCCATCTTTAGTGGTGAAATAATCTGGGTATAAGATGCTGTTGAAAGCTCTTGGATGCGTCGCGATTGCCTAGTTGCAACCGCTGGCGCGCAGGAATAGAGAGTCCTGTCACGTGATGATTAGATAGCTGTTGGCTGCGTCATGGGCCATCTGGACATCGCGACAATCTCGACATGTCCACAATCTGAAAATGATCGCAAGATGAGTACCTTTGCGGCCAAGCGCAAAGCTAGAGTGATCAAGGTCGATGACGAGGAGAGATCAGACAGCAGCTCGCCGTCGGGCTTGGGTACAGCTGGCTCCAAAGAAGGTGAAGACTCCCGTTCGCTATGCCATTTTTTTTTTTTTGCTGATGATGTCTCAAGGCTGACCATGCACGGCGACAGAAGCATCCAAGCCCTTGTTTGGCTCCAAGTCGAGTCGAAAACCATTCAGACAGTCGGCGTTACGAAAATCCTTTAATCCAGGAGAGGGAGAGACCCTCGACGCAGTGGGAAGCACACCAAACGAAGATGCAGAGGACGACGGGCCAGTTGTCGTACGGCCCAATCGACCCGGCGCCGGGAGACAAAAGAAGAAAGGTCCCAAGTCTAGATTGTCCTTTGGTGGAGATGCCGAAAATGACGACTCTGAAGATTCACCCACGCCAAAGCAGATGTCTCTCGGGCAAAGAGCGGTTGAGAACAGTGCTGTGAAGCGCGGCATTGCTGTACGAACTCTGCCAACAAGGTTTACACAAGAAGAAGAAGAGGACCAACCGAGATACAGCAAGGAGTACTTGGATGAGCTACAGTCGTCAACGCCAAGCACACCGCAAGATATCTCTACGTTGCACATTAGCGATGCTGACGAGATGGCATTGGACCCAGCGGAGCTTGACGGCGCCTTAGTAGTCGAATATCCGGAGGCTTCTTCAACAAGTCAAGGCACACAGATACTTTCAGAGGCTGAAATACGTGAACGAAAGGAACGCCGCGCCAGACTAGCCCAGGAGCAAGGCTTTTTGTCGGTCGACGATGATGACGAGACGGATGCCTTTGGGCGTAGGAAGAAAGATGCCGGCCGATTAGTTGCAGAAGACGAAGATCTCGGGGAGGGATTTGATGATTATGTTGAAGACGGTGGCCTCTCATTGGGCAAACGCGCCGAAAGGGAGCGTAGAAAAAAAGAGAGGAAGCAAATGGCAGAAATGATCACAGCTGCTGAAGGTCACAGCTCGGACGATTCCTCAGACAGCGATGCCGAGAGGAGGATGGCGTACGAGGCCTCGCAAAGCAAGGCAGGGCTTGATGGGTTGAAAAAGCCGCGAAAGAACCCATCTGACAGTATGCTCCGAATTCCTCCCAAGATTACGCCCCTACCCAGCTTGTCGGAGTGCTTGACGCGGCTTCAAGCCACACTGAGAGCAATGGAAAGCGACCTCAAGACGAAAAATGCCCGCTTGGATCAACTCAGGAAGGAGAGGGAGGATATCGTCAAGCGGGAAGCGGAGGTGCAGGGATTGCTGGACGAAACCGGGAGAAAATACCAAGAGGCTCTGGCAAAAGGAAAAATAGATGCTGATGCCGCGAGTGCCACAGGGCCAAGTATTGAATTAGCAGGGGAACGCGGCCTGGATAGTCTTGGAACCACACCTAGACGGCCGGCTCGGTCTGAACTAGATGCAGGATCGTGACAGTTCGTTCTCTCATAATTGATGAACCTTTTATACTCGTGGCGTAATCTAGTCTAGAACTATCTTACATGCCCTTCTTGTTCTCCTCGACTCCGCTAAACTCCAAGGCTTTATCAATGTCTCCAAACAAGACGCTCCACATGTCCCGAATCCAGTGTGTGCGTCCATACCACGGATCCTCCCCGGTAACCTTGGGAATTCTATCTGCCGCCTTGACGAAGTAATTGCTGTTCAGATCAACCGCCAATCTCCTCGGCATACCTTTCCTGCGTTCCAAAACTGGCATGACCTTGGTAGCCTGTTTGTCCTCCATGGCCTTGATGACGCGCACAAGCAGCTTCGCGATTGCCTCGGCCCCGGGGGTCCATGACTGCAACACATAACCAAGGACGTAGCCCATATTGGGCAGAGACTCCAGCATGGTGCCTCGCCAAGTGTAGAGGGAACCCGGCCCGATTCGAGCGCCATTCACTTTGGCAGCGATACCACTCATGATTTGGAAGTAAAGCCCCGTCGCGGTGATGATGACATCAGCGTCGAGCTTGCGGCCCGAGTCCAGCAAGACGCCGTCTGGCAGAACCCTGTCAATGACATCCGTGACAAGCTCGACGTTGGGCCGGTGCAAAGCCTGGAAGAAATCGCCGTCCGGGCAGAGACACAGCCGCTGCTGCAGGGGCTCGTAGCGCGGGCTGAAGTGAAGGTCCACGTCGCAGTCCTCGGGCAGGGCGCTCTTTGCGTTGAGCCGCAGGACGAACTTTGCGACACGGGGGAAGTGCACCATGAACTGTGTGATGAAGATTTCGTAGGCCATGTCCTTCCACCAGCAGATGTTGTGGGCAAGGCTGGCGGGCAGGACGGTCCGCAGCAGCGTGTCCAGCCACGACGTGGTCGGAATCGCAGCCGCGTAGCTGGGACTCCTCTGGACCATGGTCAGCCGGGCGACCTTGTCCGCCAGCGCGGGCGCAATGGTGTAGGCCGTCGCGCCGGACCCGACGAGCACGACGCGCTTGTCGGAGCAGTCGAGATGCTCTGGCCACCACTGCGGGTGGGCCACGGTGCCCGCGAAGCTCTCGATGCCAGGTATCGCCGCCGGCATGGCCCGGTCGTAGGCGTAGTAGCCGGTGCACCCGATGACAAAGTTTGCGGCCAGGATCTTGGCCTCGCCGTCATGCTCGACGGTCAGGCGCCAGAAGGCGTCCTCGTCGCGCCATTCCGCGTCGATGACTCGGTGGTTGAAGCGGATCTGGTCGTACGTGCCGTCCTGCCTGGCGGCGTCCTCGACGTAGGCGGCGATTTCTTTGGCCGAAGCAATCTTGTGCGCGTGCGGCCAGGGGTGCCATCTGAATCCAAAGGTGGTCATGTACGAGTCGGACCTGAAGCCGGGGAATTTGAAAAAGCTCCATGTGCCGCCGATGACGGAGCGGGCTTCGAGGATGGTGAAGCGGCGACGGGGGAGCTGTTGGCGTAGGATGTGTGCGGTGTTTATGCCTGACAGGCCGGCCCCGAGGATGACGAGGTCGTGACGTTCCGCTATTTCTGACATGTTCAATGGCGGTGCCGGCGTGCGTGGCACGAGAAGGAAACGCAGGTGGTTGTTGGGGGCGGCATGAAAAGGGACGATGACGGCGGTTTGCGACCTCACACCGACGTCCGGACTCTTTTGCAGCTTGTCGATGTGCGTGCTCGGGCGTCTTTGAACACGGTGACTATCCACGACTATGCGTGCGCCATTGTGTTGCACCACGTGGATTGAGGTGATCGGTCGACTCTTGTTTGGTGTTTTCGGCCAGCTGGCTTCCCATCTTGCAGGCTTCAGGGTAGGTTATCGGGAACTTTACAAGGTAGCGAGGTACCTGAGTTGCTTAACAGTACTTAAGTTACCCAAGTACTTAAGTACCTAACTTAGCACTTGACGTTATGACATCTCGCACGGATTCTAGACCATGTGCCACCCGTGTACCCGCGTGCCACAGCGTGTCGTCGCCCCAATCTGGGCTCCCCACACCAGCTGTTGACTGACAGTGCCAGCCAATGGGCCAGGCAGCTCATGGCCCGCCATCGAAACAGCTAGAAGGCTGTGAAGCTGGCTGTTGAACGTGGCTGAACTCTTCGATCGTTTTCTACTGACTATTCCCCACACCAGCAACTACAATCTCGACTGCCAACTCTGTCCTTCAACCAACCATCGACACATCTGACTGTTTCGAGGACTGGTCGGAACTGTTGGCTCTGCAGAAATCCAGCATCTCATCTTCAATTGAAGCGAATTTTTTTCCCAGCACATCATATCATGGCTTCCGCAGACGAGCTTAAAGCTCTCGGCAACAAGGCCATTGCCGAAAAGAACTTTGACGACGCCATGTATGTACTACCTCATAGCCCCCAAACCAGCCTGCTTGTTGTATTCCTCCATCGTAGAGATTTTTCGGTGATCAAGGCTGACTCACTTTGTGCCACCAAAGAGACAAGTTCACACAAGCCATTGCACTCCAACCTGAGAACCACATCTTGTACAGCAACCGATCTGCTGCCTACGCATCCAAAAAAGAATGGGACAATGCTTTGGCCGACGCCGAGAAAACCACCCAAATCAAACCTGACTGGGCCAAGGGCTGGGGCCGAAAAGGTGCCGCACTGCATGGAAAGGGCGATCTCCTCGGCGCCAACGATGCCTACAGCGAGGGTCTGAAGCTAGATGGCAGCAATGCTCAGCTGAAGAGTGGTTTGGCTTCCGTGGAGAAGGCTATGCAAAATGAAGCAGGTATGTGCAACAAACTCGCGCATCCACCTCTGGTTGTCTGCGGGACCGCGACTGACTTGTTGCTCGTCAGGCGGAGCCGGTGGTTTTGGAGCAGATCCTACCGGAGGCCTCGGACAGATGTTCAACGACCCAAACCTCATTCAAAAGCTTGCCAAAAACCCCAAGACCAGTGGGTTTCTCGCCGACCCTTCCTTCATGGCCAAGTTGCAGCAGATGCAGAAGAACCCTGGCAACCCCCAGGATCTTTTCAGTGACCCCAGAATGATCCAGGTCCTCGGCGTTTTGATGGGAGTCGATATGGACGTGCGTGATACGGAACCCCGAGGAGATACCAACATGCCCGATGCTCCGGAGCCGAAGAAGCCTGAGCCCGCCAAGGCCCCCGAACCTGAACCCGAGCCCGAGGAGCTCGACGAGGAGGCGCTTGAGAAGAAGAAGAGAAAGGAGGAGGCTGAAAAGGAAAAGTCTCTCGGCACCGAAAACTACAAGAAACGCAAGTTTGACGAAGCCATTGAGCACTACTCCAAGGCTTGGGACATCTTCCAGGATATCACGTACCTCAACAACCTGGGTGCTGCCTACTTTGAAAAGGGTGACTACGACAAGTGCATTGAAACCTGCACCAAGGCCGTTGAGGAGGGCCGCGCCGTCTATGCCGAATACAAACTCATCGCCAAGAGCTACGCCCGTATCGGTTCTGCTTACGAGAAAAAGGGCGACATGGCCCGCGCTATTGAGTACTACGGCAAATCCTTGACTGAGCACCGAGCCCCCGACGTTTTGAATAAGCTGCGGGCTGCGGAAAGAGCAAAGATTGAGGCTGAAAAGAAAGCATACATCGACCCGGCTCTAGCTGAGGAGGCTCGTGAGGAGGGCAACAAAAAATTTAAGCAGAATGACTTTCCTGGGGCTGTCCAAGCGTACACGGAGATGATTAAGCGTGCCCCCGACGATGCTCGGGGGTACAGCAACCGAGCCGCGGCTTTTGTCAAGTTGTTCGAGTTTCCTAGTGCCGTGGATGACTGCAACATGGCCATCAAGAAGGACCCCAAGTTCATCCGAGCATATATCCGCAAGGCGCAGGCCTTCTTCGGCATGCGCAAGTACTCGGACTGCGTGGATGCTTGCACTGAAGCTATGCAGGTCGACCAGGAGTACCACAACAATGCCCATGCGCGTGAAATCGAGCAGCAGCAGCAGAAGGCACTGAGCGCCATGTATTCTGCCCGGGATAACGAGACTGAAGAGCAGACTCGCGAGAGGTTGATGAAGGACCCTGATGTAAGCACCTGAAGCCAGTCCCTCCTCGTATCCCTACGTTATCTCTGTGATTTGTGTTGGTCATGCTGACGTTTTGGAATAGATCATGGGCATCATGCAGGACCCCGTCATGCAGTCCATCCTGCAGCAGGCTCAATCCAATCCCATGGCTCTCCAGGAACACATGAAGAATCCGGGTGTCCGGTCGAAGATCCAGAAGCTCATGGCTGCTGGTGTTATTCGAGTTGGTCGATAATCGGAGGGCGCGCCGGGGAGATTTGTAAAGATACCAGTTGTCGGAAAGCTTTATGAAGTTAATGATAAAAAAAGTTTACTCACGTGCCCCTCGCTTTCACCATTGCCCCCGAGTCATGTTGGATGTTGGTTGGTTGGTTGGCTGGCTTTATTCGGGCGTTGAAAACGGGGGCCTTGCTTCGCATTGCATGACGGTTTGCTGTTGGCTACAGCCCAATGGTCTACGCGGCAATTTCAGGCCGGCCGGCGGGAGGTTTGGTCCCTATCATGGTCCAGTACGGTAAAGATCCTGCCATCCCGTGGGTGTGAGATGGCGTGTTTCCACAATCGGCTCATCGGCTTCCTGGTCGCTCGAAGGATCTGTCACTTGTACGAGTACTGCTACGGAGTAGTTAATTCATACCGGGCTAGCTTGAGCGGAACGAACAGGTCGGCTGGCATTGATGAGTGTGTGGTCTGTGGCACATTATTGATCATTGATGGCAACGCTCTTGGTGTGGCACAGCATGGGAAAAACTTGCTCATTTAATAAAATACGGAGCACTCCGTAACTTGGGCTTGCTCAAGTGGACGTGGACGTGGACGAGGACACGCACAAGTACCTAAGTACTTTATGCATGACTGGAATCCCCGACGATTACGCGCGGCGGGTCCCCGCTAGAACTTGGAAGCACCGCCCGTGTGCTGCCAGGCCACCTGACAGGGTTGACAGGCCGCACCCGGCTGGCAGGTTGCCCCTTGCACTCTGCTTAATACAATGGGGGTTCAAGTACTCCCTGCTCAGCCTCCCGTAGTCGTGCTCGGTACGGGGAAACTTTAGCAGTAGTCAAACAATGAATGAGAATAGTGCACCTGGCCTCCCCAAGTTGAGCTTCCACGCCCTCCTCCTTTGCCGCTTCCTCTGTTTCCTCGATACGCCATGAGATGAACTGCAGATCCGCGACGGAGAAGTAGTAGTCAGTTCAGCGACCATATCGGCTTTGGCACAATGGGCGATGGTACTGAAGCTGCCACTGGCGGTGAGCTCACAGGATCTGATTTAATCCGCCCGAACCACATACAGATTCCGAACTCGCCCCAGACTAACGTGCTGCCTCTTTAGATCGGCAATGGTCAACGATCCCCACGAACCTGCTGCTCGCGGAGCTGCAACGACGCAAAGAAGACGGCGTGAGACCGGCCTGCGGTGGCAAGGAATCTGGGTGGTATGACACTGTGGCGCACATCTTTGCGTTGCTGTTGATCTTGGTGCTGAGCACACTAGGTATGAGTCCGGACCGTCATGAAGTGGAAGAGTTTTGAATGAATGACTGACCTGATGGATGGTGCCAAAGCGTGTGGATTTCCATTGATATCACGACGCGCAACGACGGGCAAACGACAGAAAACCATTATATTCTACTGCCAACATGTCGGAACCGGAGTACTGCTCGCTACGGCATTTGTGCATCTGTTGCCCATGGCGTTCGAATCTTTGACCGATCCGTGCCTGCCCTACTTCTTCAGCCAAGGTTATACGCCACTCCCTGGCTTCGTGGCCATGGCATCGGCCATCATGGTTGTCGGCGTCGAATCCTACCTGACAGCACGCGGTGCTGGCCATTCGCACACCCACGCGCACGACTATTTCGACGGCGACGAAAGCGATGGCAGCGGCGAGTTTCAAGAGATACCGCTTCACGACCACCATGGCCTAGCCGGGGGACGGACGAAAAGTCACAGACCGCAGGATCTTTCAGCCCGGGACGACGCTGAGGCTACGCAGGGCCTTGTGGCCGGCGTGTCGCCGGTGCCCGAATCCACGCCCACGACAGCCACTCACCGACGCGCATCTGCAGAAGACGGTTTCAATGAAGGAGATTCCGATTTGGAACTCGACGTGGATGAGCTGGACCCTGCACCCGTCAATCACAGTCACAATGGCAACGGGGCGTTTGCCTCGCTGACGAAGCCCGGAGCGCCGCGGACGGACGCCTCGGATCCGACCCTGCACCCGAAATCACCGGAGGAGATGAGGCGACAGCTTCTGCAGTGTCTTTTGCTTGAGGCCGGCATTTTGTTTCACAGCGTTTTTATCGGCATGGCTATTTCTGTGGCCACAGGGCCGGCATTTGTCGTCTTCCTCATCGCCATCAGCTTCCACCAGTCCTTTGAAGGTCTTGCCCTGGGCGGCCGCATTGCCGCCATACCGTTTTCCAAGAACTCGATCCGACCCTGGCTCATGGTTTTGGCTTACGGCATCACAACCCCCCTTGGCCAGGCTATCGGTCTCATTGTCCACAAGATGTACGACCCTGCGTCCATGGGCGGCCTTTTGGTGGTGGGATTCATGAACGCCATCTCGTCGGGACTCCTGTTATACGCTGGCCTGGTGCAGCTGCTGGCGGAGGATTTCTTGACAGAGAAGAGCTATCGCATTCTCAAGGGAAAGAAGCGCCTTCAGGCGTATCTGGCCGTGGTTGCTGGTTCTCTTCTGATGGCCGTTGTGGGTGCATTTGCATAGTAACCAGATGCCAAGTTGGACACGTGTGCCGAGCGGTCTGCTTCCCATTTTTTTTTTTAAAAAAGCACTACGTGGCGTTTACATAGACTTGCGACGGGATTTGGTGAAAGCGTAAGGAGTGTCAGAGCTGCGTGAGTACACTAGAGGCAGATGTGGAAAATTACAGCAATGCATTTATTCGTATCGGTTGCTTCGGTGAAACAATTTCCTTGAGACTGCAAAACACGATCCGACACAGATTTCGTTGTAAGCCGGGAACATTACTCAAGCCGAGACACAGACTGACGAGTTGGAAACGACAAATGTAGGTCTAATGACAGGCAAGTAAGTAGTGACTTGTCTTGATGGGAGATTTTATCAGAAAGTGAAAGTACCTCCTTGTCCCTAATGCTCTCTGAGAAAAGTCGTCTCTTATTGGCTCTAAACCCCCCGTCGCCATGTCTGTGTCGCTCCAGGCTTAAACTTTCAGGGTCTGAGTTGCTTACATACATACGTACCTTGGTCGACCTGTCATGACGAAATACTAGTACTAGCTTTTGACCCCGGCCCAATCAAGCGTTTTTCTGAGCTCAAACTCTGATGTCAATACTGGGAACGCCCTGCAGGCTTATTTGAACCACTGGAGGGCGCCCCTCCCAGGCGCAGATCCGGGGCAAGCGCCAATCGCAAGTCCCCTATTAGCCGAACACCGGTACTCGGTGCTCGGCACTCGGTACTCGGGCCAGGGCGAGCCTCCACGCTGCATCTGCCGACGCAGCCAGCTCCCTTCCTCTCGACAAGGCGTGAAGAGTTGCCCGTCGTCTTCCCCAACCATGTGGTCGGCCGGGTTCACAGCGGTAGTATTCTACGCCTTCCTCGGCGCGAACCTGTTTTCACGCCGGTCGCCGTTTTTCCACGACACGGGCGCACCGCCGGCGGGCGAGTGGGCCGACGGGCCGCTGAAGCTCGTCGACACGCCGTGGACGCTGCGTCAAAAGGTTCGTTTTCCTTCTGAGCGGCAAGCTCGCCGGCGGGCGGGCGGGCGGGCGAGGGGGCCGAGGCCGGGCCGAGCCGAGCCCAGCGCGACTGACGTGAACGGCCTCGCGTCAGGACGACCTCTTCACCACGGCGGCCACGCACATGGCGCTCCTGCACAACGCCCTCATCCGCGGCTACAACTCCATCTATCTGCAGGCGCCGCACGTCCGCGCCGGCGACGTGTCCGACTTTGCCGCCTACGCCCTCACCTGGCACAAGTTCCTGGTGTCGCACCACGACGACGAGGAGGCCAGGCTGTTTCCGGACGTTGTCGAGATACTGAGGGACGACGGCGTGTGGGCCAACACGAAGCAGGAGCACGGTACGCAGCCTCCCTTCCCCCTTGCTTGCGCTTGTCGAAACACGACGTGTCCCTGCGGATTGACCTTGGCCAGGATCTTTGCTCCCCGGCCTGGCTGCCTTCCAGGCGCTCCTCAACGGCACCGACGCCGCGACCTACGACGCCTCCGCTCTCCGGGGGGTGATGGACTCGTTTGCGGCCGACTTGTCGGCGCATCTGCACAACGAGGTCGCCGTCATGGCGGACATGTCGGCGCACGAGAATGCCCCGGCGCGGCAGTCTCTCAGGGGCGCCCTGGCAGGCGACATGCTCCGGGCGTGGGGGAAGAGCACCGTCACCAAGGCGGGGTACGTGGACGTGGTGCCGTTTTTCCTCTTGAACACGGACCGGACGTTCGAGGGCGGCGTGTGGAGGAATTGGCCGCGCATACCCGCCGTCGTGAGGTGGAGCTTGGTGAATCTGGTCGGGATGAGACACGGCCCGCGGTGGAGGTTTTCGAGCTGCGATGCTGCGGGGCGGCCGAGGGAGCTGTTTGCTCCGAGGGCGCTGAGGGAGGCCAAGGGCAAGGAGGAGGCGGAGAAGGCTGACCTGTAGGGCGGTCTGTTCTGGAGGATGAGAGGAAAGATGGAATGCGAGTGATGGACACGTATCCCGCTGATGACTTAAAGATTACAGATGGCACGTGCTGTTCGAATCAAGGCAGTGGTCGTGGACAGACGTAGCTGACTGGGCATGAAATGAAGTAGGCGACACAACTTGAAGACTACTCCATCTGAAAACTGCTTTGTCCCCGATCGCAAGCTTCCAGCGCATGAGCCAACGCCTCCTTTGCTCTCTCGTCCCGCCTGACAAAGGGTCGGTTGAACATGTTGTGAAGGGGACGGGCGCTATTCGCGTGATCCGGGTCAAACGTCACCTGCGCACCCTCGCCGCATATGCTCCGGGTCGTCAGGATGGCAAGACGCAGCATGTCCCCTCCGACGCCCTTGCCCCGACATCTATACTTGGTGGTCCAGGCGCGGATGACTCCGCTACCGCCGCGCCGGAGCGAGGACGGCCTCGTCTTCTTGTTCGGACCGGCCGCCGCGACAAGCCGCAGGACGGCAGTGGCAATGAGTTCGTCGCCGAACCGGGCAGCGAGGACATGGTCCTCCCTGCCGTCGGGGCCGGCGATCCATTCCTTCCACCTGAGGCCTTCGGCGAGACGGATGTAGTCTGCGGTCAGGAGCCGCACGCCCGCCAGGTAGGCGAGCACGAGCCCGCAGAGCGTGACGAGCGCGGTGCCAAAGTCGCCGCGTGCATTGTGCCGGTAGACGGCTGCGCAGGCTGCAGCCAAGCCCGCGAAGCATGCGGGATGGAAGATGATGGCCAGGGAGGCGGTTTGCCGCTGCTGGGCAATGCTGTCGGCGACGAGCCTCATGGCGTCTTGTTTGTCGACTTCCCTGGTGACGACGCTAAAGGTCAATGGGGGGAGGGGGAGATGATCGCGGTTGCTGGCGTTGTTTGCTGCAACTGATGGGTTCGCGGGAGTTGGCACCGCCGTGGTGGAGGACATGTCGACGACGCGGCCGGGCTCGGGAATAAGCAGGCCTCGGGAGGTTTGTAGAAGGAAAAAAGATCAGACTCAGTCATGTCTCAGATGCAGGTGGCCGCGGGAGTGAGTGACTGCTCGGGTAGATCGGCTTCCCACGCGACACAACCTGAGACCAGGCACGTCCATCAAGCTGAGCCTCAGTGAAGCAGTGAGCAGTGAGGTTGTCGGCCACCACCAGTCTTGATTTGACTCTTTGGTGCTCGGTGGCAGAATGCAACGAGAGACGCAGGTTCCAAGCTGACAGCCAGCTGATTGGCAGACAGCCCAGGGTCCACCCGCCCTTCTGTGCGCGCCTCTTGCCGAGAAAGGAGAAAACGGCAGCCAAGAGACGAATTTGATCGTCACGTTCGTCGTTAGTATTTACACTTCAGATTACCGGACCATGAGGTAAGCACTCACGTTGGGGAGTACTGCACCGTGGATTGGGATCCGGCACCTCTGCCCGGCCTGCCTTCGGCCGCCTAATTGGAATCGTCGTGCGCCTGCAAAAGCACACAGCGCCAAGACGGCAACTTTTTCCCACGGCCCCAGCACCGACGCCGCGTCACCCCCATCTTCATCTTGATCCTCATCCATCTCCTCCACCCCCAGGCGCAAACTCTACGGCTACGTCTGTACCGGGTATGGCTATGACAGCACGCCATTTCGACTGACAACACCTCCCTGGGGCCAATCGCCAAGCCGTCGCCTGGCGGTGCGTGAGAACGTGGTTGAGCCCCGCTCTCTGGTTGGTTCAACGTCCAACGTCATCGCGTAAACTCCGTCCACCCAGACGGAATAATAAGCGGTCGAGGCCGAAGCACCATTCCATCGACTCGTCGTGCTCGGTCAAGTCGAGGCGTTTGATGCAGTGGCCGGCCTGGACAACGACAGGTTATCGATTGACATGGCGTCGCAACTTTCGTCCACCGAGCCAACCCATGTGCTCTCGCCAAGCGGTCGTCTTGGCCCAACATTTACTAGTCAACACGTCCATCCTCCGTCCGTGTTCAAAGGATGACTTCACATCTCGGTATAACTTGTGAGCTCCGCTGGCTCGCAAGCCATGTCCATCCCTTGCCTGTCCTCTGCCAAGTACTGAATCTGTTCTTCTTCTTTTCTTGCCAGAAACTCATCATTCTCCCGGGCCTCGCCTGATCAAAAACGAGTGGAAACGTATAGCATCGTGGCTGGCTTCGCGCATTCCCTTCCTGCACATCAAACGTTGTGACGGCTACGTGGCCATAATTTCCCGTAACCGTGCGGCAGTTGTAGCCAAGACGTCTGGAGGCAATAGTGCCTACCACAACTTTCACAATGATTTCTTGCACGTCTCCGATCTCAACGAGCGTCGTCGTCTTGCTCTAGCCGAGGTCGACAGAGCCCCTTTCGGCTGGTACCACGTCCGTTCCTTTGTTGTCGCCGGTGTCGGTTTCTTCACCGACTCCTACGACATCTTCACGGCCTCTCTCTTGACCACCATGTTGGGAATCGTCTACTTTCCAGGTGTCGGAGCTATGCCTACCAGCTCTGACAACGCCATCAAGCTGGCTACCTCTGCTGGTACTGTCGCCGGGCAGCTTGGCTTCGGAATGTTGGCCGACATAGTCGGTCGAAAGAAGATGTACGGTCTGGAACTCATCGTCATTATATTTGCTACAATTGGTCAGGCTCTGACCTCTGGCTCTCCTGCATGTGATATCATTGGTCTCGTCATTTTCTGGCGTGTCATCATGGGCATTGGCATTGGTGGTGATTATCCTCTTTCTTCCATCATCACCTCCGAGTATGTGGCCCCCCTATTGCGGCGCAAGCGAACCCTCATAAATGATCAAGGCAGTTAATTCAATAGCCTAGGTTCGCTACCACCAAGTGGAGGGGTGCCATGATGGCTGCTGTGTTTGCGATGCAGGGTCTCGGCCAGCTTTGCGCTGCCTTTGTTATGCTCTTTGTTACCCTTGGCTTCAAGGGCTCCCTGTCGAGCGCCAGAGACAAGGCGCACTGCACTGGCGACTGTCGGGTTGCCGTTGACAAGATGTGGCGTACCCTGATCGGCTTCGGTGCCGTCCCTGCCTGTGTTGCCCTTTACTGTGAGTCCGTGTGGAAAACAAGCCTCCGCTACCCGTGGTACCAAGCTCACCACTCGCCTTCGACAGTCCGTCTCACCATTCCTGAAACCCCTCGTTATACCTTCGATGTCGCCCGCGATGTTGAAAAGGCCGACGACGACGTCAAGGCTTACATGACCGGAAAGCATGAGGGCGCGCCTGATGAGGTCGCTCGCGCCCACATGGCCCAGCAGGCCAAAGACAGCCTCGAGGTCCCCAAGGCCAGCTGGAGTGACTTCGGACGCCACTACGCCAAGCCCAAGAACTTGCTTCTCCTGCTCGGAACGGCTGGCTCTTGGTTCTGTCTCGATGTCGCCTTCTGCGGTCTCTCATTGAACAATGCCCAGATTCTCCAGACCATTGGTTTCGCCACCAGCGGCAAGTCCGTCGCCAACGTCTACCAGTTTCTGTACAACACCGCCATTGGTAATCTGATTATTGTTTTGGCCGGTGCTGTTCCCGGATACTGGGTTTCTGTTGCCACCATCGACACTCTTGGCCGCAAGACTATCCAGCTCGGAGGCTTCATCATCCTCACCATTCTGTTCATTGTCATGGGTTTTGCTTACAACAGCATCTCCTCAAGCGGCTTACTGGCTATTTACGTTCTCGCTCAGTTCTTCTTCAACTTTGGTGAGCCGAATTCATCTCTTGTTTTTGACTCTGGCCCCCCGGCAGGAAGACTGACATCTGGCCAGGCCCCAACGCCACGACCTTCATCGTTCCCGGTGAGGTTTTCCCCACCCGATACCGTTCCACCTCCCACGGCATCTCTGCCGCCTCTGGAAAGGTTGGTTCCATTATCGGACAGGGCGCCATTTCTACCTTGAAGACGCACAATGGCCAAAACTGGATGGACCACGTCTTGGAGATTTACGCCCTCTTCATGTTGCTCGGCTGCTTTACCACCCTCCTCATTCCCGAGACTGCTCGCAAGACTCTCGAAGAGCTCTGCGGTGAGGACGACTACGCCGCCACCCACGCCAGTCGTGCCCCCAACGATACTCACGGCCCCAACGGTGACAAGCCCATCTAGACTTTTTGATTGAGCCTTGCGGGCAACGAACAGCTTCATGCAGTCTATTTTTTTTTTTTTGGACGAAAATTGGATCTGTATTCCGTGTTCTATGGGGCACCTAATGGATTAACATGTGTGCCAGAGCATCCTGACCAATTTACGTTTCGTATCTTGATGTGACACGGGCACGACCGAGCAAGGACCGTCGTATGGAGGGGTGGCGCCAGCATCCAGCATTATCGTAGATACCATGTATAGAAAATCACTCATTTAATGAGACAGCTTTTGACCCACGCAATCGCATCCTCGCGGTGAGATTGAAAGACGGATTGACAAGCACGGGCACCGACCACCCTTGGGATCGAGCTTGGAACATGCCAAGACCCCAACTTTGATGACGCTGCTAGGTCGTGGGGCGGCACATGGCATGTCCTGGAGCAGTTTTACGATTTGCTGCACGGCGAGTTATTTCCTCATTCGAGGGACACGAGAATACCGTGCTGACATTGGCCCATCTTCTGACAGGATCCAACTCAGTGTACATACATATGTCAAAAGATGCAATGCGAACATGTCACAGATCGTTACGACGTATTCTCGGCAGCCTTGGCTTGCACAACCAACAAATCGGCCCTCACGCCTCCTGCGACAAAGTTTCCTGCAAGACTCCCCAAGCAAAGCACCAGATCCTCTCTCGATCTGTGCGTCAGCTTACCCTCGTCCAGCCGGGCGGTCACCCTGCGGCCAAGGACGACCAGCTTCGGACCAGCTTTGGACTCGGCAACGCCGGATTTGGTTTCTGCCGTTGCGTACTGGAGGAGCTCTTCGACGCTAGATGAACCCGCTTCTGTCCTGAAACTTACTCGAGATGCCACCGACTCGGGTAATTGAGACAGGACTCCTTCGAACAGAGCGTCCCCGACTGCGTTGGACGCTCCTACCGAGGAACGGGCGCGGAGAATAGTGGCTGTTGCCTTGGACTTCTCGCACAACTGAATGACAAGACGGAGAGCGAGCCTGTCGTCTTCATCGCCCAAGTAGACGAGGAATATGTGATATGGTTCGTTGGATCCCGGAGCAACCTGTAAATCTTCCTTCAATGCGCCAGATGAGCACTGGCGCATGAGTCTGGCACGCTCTTCGCTCTTAGCTTTGTCTACAGCGACGGGGTCGCTGCGGGAGAAAAAGACGGCCACGTTGCGGTCGTGTGATTCTAATACCGACTTCACAAATGATCCGTACGAGGAACTGATCTTGTCGTTGATACTGGTAGATGATACAATTTGTGAATCGCTCATGTCCCCGGTTTCGGTCCAAGGAACAAGGAGAAGATCCGAGGCCATCTTGTAAGACTTGGCGATGAGAGCCTCTGCGAATCGGGTTTCGGGCATGATGGCGACTTCACCGGATGCCGAGAGGTTGTGCAGCTGTCCCACGGTCCGGAAAGTGTTGACTACAGGGTCGTGACGGCTATAATCGTCAACTTGGGCCACTGTCATGACCGAGGAGTCACGATCAGTGAGCTGAAGGAGTCGGATACCATGGGCCCAGACAGCCTTGTCCCGGGGGACGGATGTAGTAGGAGCGTCACGAATTCCGTCGGTTCCCGTATCTGACGGTGCAGCGGTGTGGCTTGGTGTCGAGGGGTCGCCAAACATGGAAAGAAGACGCAGCAGAGAAGGCATGTTGTCGAGACGGAGGTAGACCAGTAGGCGGCTGACTCTCTCAAGGCCTGGGCCGCCTTCACCCTTGGAGCCTTCGGAGCTGGATGCGGAGGAAACGGGCGCACCACTGTCCCAGTCGATCTCTCCCCGTCTCCATGCGGCAATCTTGCGCTGGTACCAAGGCGGGTACAGCACGGATACTATGGGCGTTGTGGCAAACGTGGTGAGAAGAGCCATGACGACGAAGATGGTGAATGTTCTGGTGCTCAAAATGTTGGCTTGTAATCCAATATTCTACACACCACATGTCAGTCTCAGCATATGATTGTAAGCCGTCTAGTTTGGAAAGCAAGACGGACCAGCACAATGAGTTCAACAAGACCCTTGCAACTCATGAGCACACCAATGGTGAAGGATTCCCTCCAAACTAGTCCACTAAATCGAGCTGCCAGGGAGGCGCCGATGATTTTGGAAAAGAATGCGGCAAATGTGGTGGCGAAGACATATCCCCAGGCCGCTCCGGAATCAAGCAGTCCTAAATTCGTATTCAGCCCGGAGAGGGTGAAGTAAAGGGGCAAGAACAAGGCACCAATAAGATCCTCAAGCTTCTCGGTAACACGAATGTTGAATCGATCTTGGCGAGGAATGACAAGTCCGGTCATGAAGCCTCCGAAAATGGGGTGAATACCAATGATGCCAGTAAAAAAGGCGGATGCAAGGGCAATCAGCAGAATGAGCGAGATGATGCTCTGCGATGGGCCATGCTCGAGGCTTCCATTGCGGCGCAGCAGCCAGAACAGAGCCGGTTTCACGACGATGAGAAGGAGAAGCATGAACCCAGAGGCTGTGAGCAAGATCCAAAGGGAATTGAGACCTGAACCAGCGTTGACAAGCGCCACACACAGGGCAAGGAGAATCCACCCTGTCCATTGGAGTTAGCTCACAAACTGGGGGGGCAGGCAGATGATGGGCAAAGCTCACCGACAACATCATTTGCAACACCAGCCGAGAGGGTGATGACGCCGACGTTGGTATCAAGAAGCTTGAGCTCCGTCAAGATACGACACAGGACCGGGAAAGCCTTGAGGGCGACGCACACGGTCAGCACACGGTCAGTGAAGCGAAGAAAGGGGGGAAAAAAGGGGGGGCACGTGAATACGTAACCATCAAGGTGCACCTACCGTGATGGCAACTGCAATACCGATGAAGAGCATGTAGACTTCAAATTTGATGGGGACCAAGCCCTGGTCATCATGAAATGCCCGATATACGCCGTATGCCAAGGCACAGCCAACGCCAAAAGGAATAGCCAGGCCGGCGACAGCAACAGAAGTTGCGACTCGCCAATTGCTGATCAAGAATCGCACATCGGTCTCGAGTCCAATGAGGAACAAGTACAAGATCAAGCCCAGGTTTGCGACAGTGGAAAGGTTGGGTAATGAGGCGTCGGGAAAGATGGTTTGTCGGAAGCCAGGAACACGTCCCATGACCGAGGGACCGAGGAGAATTCCGCCAACGACCTCAGCAATGACACGGGGTTGTCGAATCTTGGACAAGGGCCAATGCAGGATGTGACAGACACTGACGATCAGCACCGCCTGCGGCCAGGTCAGTCATGGTGGGTCGAGCTGCTGGGTTTGGGGCGCTCGGCCAGAGCACAGAGTATGCGGGGGGGACATGCGCATCGCAGAGACGGACCTGGACAATAAATAGAATGATGGGGTCCTTGGGGTTGTATTTCGTGGGGTTTGCTCCATCGATGATGCCACCTTGACTCGATGCGCGGGTGGTGGAAGTCGCTGCGGGCGAAGACAGCGTCGTGGCAGCGGCCGAGACGATGGACGAGACGGCAGCCGACATGACGGCGAGCGTAGAGCTGCAAGGCTGCAGCAGAAGCTCGGCAGCACCTCAAACTATGGCGACGGCTTGGACTGACGGCCGGACCTCGATGGCGAGCTCGAGAGGATGATGGTCGAGGGCGCCAGTTGGTCGAAGGGGCGGAGGAGGAGATCAAGGTATTTATTCATCAACGAGCCTTCAGCCCGGGAGATCAGAAAAGGACGCCAGAGGAGGGAGGCGCACAAAGCCGGCCGCCTCGAGACAAGCCTCAAATGTCACAGACGACATGGAGTCGGCCAACGAGGCGAGCGAACGAGGGGGTTAATTCTCCTTGGCGGTTGCGAAAATTGAGGAGATGAGAGAGGGAGCACCGTGACTAGCAACCAACTAACCCAAGTACAAAGCAATGATGGAACGTACCTGCGTACCAGGTTAGGTGCCCAGGTACTTAAGGGTACCGGGGTGGGGAGTCCACGGGGACGAGACGAGGGTCAATGGTCAACTGCTGGTGCGAGGCCCTTCAGCCGCTGTGGCCATGTGCTGGCGCCACCACCAATAGTATGGCCAAGTCGCCAAGCATCCGTCGGCCGGCGCGCGCTCGTCGACTGCTCCAGAGGCCAAGTAAGCGCTAACAACGGGCGCAAACAGTGACTTCGTGCCCTCGGTAATTGGGGTGATGAAGTCGGTGCGCCCTTGGCACGCACCAACGTGGCGTCCAGCCTGGCTGTGCGTCACGCGAAAGGTCGTACGCATCCACAGCCTGAGACTGACCAGCCGTGATAATGCCCAAACTGTCAGAGCATTTTGTGGCGTCACCCGTTGGAGCTTGACGGGTTGACGTGAAAGCGCCTCAGCACACACAAGTCTCGTGACGGACTCCTGCACATGTTGTGAATGCGGATCGCCGTTGAGCTTATTTGGACGTCCTCGTCCGGGCTGTAAAGTTGCTGCAAAGTCAACGACAATGGAAGCATCGGTCGACGCCTTGCGCGTTCCTTTGCTGGTTTCGGTCTCGTCAAAACACCACATACTCCGTATACCCGGCCGCGATACGAATCCCGCCACGCCAAGTCGGGTCGGGAGGAGCGGAACGCGACGATGAGCAGCTGAGATGGTACGAGGAGGGCTCCGTCGGTCTCCCTGGTGGGTGGTGGTGCTGGGCCTCGCATCTACGCACTGCTCGTGATGGCTTCTTAAATGCGTGCTTGCAGATGGCACGACGGTTGATGTCAAGTTGTCATTCATCACATGAGACACACACCTCAGTGATGAAACTAGTAGCCTGCTGGCCCGCCCAAGACACGTCGGGCCGCTCCCTCGTCTGCAGGCTGCAGGTTGCAGGCTGCAGGCTGCAGGCTGATTCGAGCTGGAAAAGGAAAAGAAGAAGATTAAAAAATAAAATTAAAAGATAAAATAAAACTGGGGCAGCGCCCCGCCATTACGTAGCAGCCTTCGTGGCGTCGGGCCCCCTTTGCCTTTGCAGCGGACGCCAAGAAACCCCATGTGCACTGCACATGTGCAGCACCTACGAACCGCAGTGTGTTCGTCATCTCGCCTCCTGGGCTAAAACTTCGTCGTCAGGCCAGAGAGCCCTCTGCTTTTCCTTGTATTCCCACGGCCCCTACCACCGGGACGCTGCGTACGCCGCCTCCTCCATTTCTCTTCACACTCGGGCAGTCGGCGACGTCCCGGCCCCCTTCGCCCGTCATGGTTGTCGACACCGCCTACTACGATATCCTGGGCGTGCAGCCTGCCGCCACTGAGCTTCAGATCAAAAAGGCCTATCGCAAGCTGGCCATTGTTCACCATCCGGGTAAGGCCGCCCTCCCGGTGCTGTGCATGTGCGCATGTACGCATACGTACCACGAGAGACACGCCCAAGTCCTCGACTCTGCTCTGCTCCGGTCCTCGCGCCCCAACCGTATCGCAGCCGACCACTGACCCGCCGCAGACAAGAATCCCAACGATCCCGCCGCCCACGCAAAGTTCCAAGAGATAGGCGAAGCGTACCAAGTTCTCTCCGATGCAGATCTCCGCAAGGCATACGACAAGTTCGGCAAGGACCATGCGAAGCCGCAGGAAGGCTTCACTGACCCAGCCGAGTTCTTCACGTCCATCTTTGGCGGCGAGGCCTTTGTGGACTGGATCGGCGAGATCAGCCTGATGAAGGACCTCACCGCCACCATGGACATCACCATGGCCGAGGACGAGGAGCAGCAAGAGGCCGCCGCCAACGTTGAATTTCCCGGCACCGACGAGGCCAAGAAGCAGAGCGCACAGGAATTCGCGGAGAGGGAGGCCGCCGCCCAAGCCCAAGCCCAAGCCCAGGGTGCTCCCAACGCTGCCGCTCCTCCTCCTCCTCCGCCAGCCGTCGTCGTCGAGGACGAAAAGTCCGGCGCTTCCCCTGCCGCGGCCGCGGCCGGAGCCGGAGCCGGAGCCGGGCCTGCGCTCCCCCCTCGATCCGATGCCACCTCTCCCGCACCGTCCTCGTCTTCACGCAACCGAACGCAAATACCCATCCGACCGGCCCTCACCGACCGACCCCACGACGAAGCGTCCATCCAGGCCGCCGAAGAAGAACTCCGCCAAAAAGAGAAGAAGAAGGGGGGCCTCACCAAGGAACAGCGCGAGCAGCTGGCCGCCTACGAACGGGAGCGCGCCGCCATCCGCCAGAAACGAGTCGACACACTGGTAGAAAAGCTGCTCGACCGCGTGAGCGTGTGGACCGAGACGGACAAGGGCGACGACGTCACCAGGGCGTTCCAGGAGAAGATGCGCCTCGAGGTGGAGAACCTCAAGATGGAATCGTTCGGCATCGACATCCTCCACGCCATCGGCCATACGTACGTCACCAAGGCATCAGGGCTCCTGCGCAGCCAGAAGTTCCTCGGCATCGGCGGCTTCTTCAGCCGCCTCAAGGACAAGGGCACCCTGGTAAAGGACACCTGGAACACGATCAGCAGCGCCCTCGACGCGAAGCAATCCGTCGAGGACATGGCCAAGCTGGAGGCCAAGGGCGGCGACGACTGGACCGACGAGAAGCGCGTCGAGTACGAGCGCCACGTCACGGGCAAGATCCTCACCGCCGCGTGGCGCGGCAGCAAGTTTGAGATCCAGAGCGTCCTGCGCGAGGTCTGCGACGGCGTGCTGTACAACAAGAAGGTGCCTCTTCCCAAGCGGCTGGAACGTGCGCAGGCGCTCGTCCTCATCGGAGACGTCTTCCTCAAGGTATGTCCTGCTTTGCCTTTCCTCTCCGCGTCCCGCCCTTTCCCGCGGACGCGTTTGCCGCCGGGCCGGGCACCCTCAAAAGAGCCAAGTCTGTCTGACCACGCGTCGTGCGCTGCAGGCCCAGAGATCCCCCGAGGAAGAAGGCGACTACCTCGTCTTCGAGCAGCTCGTGGCCGAGGCCGCCATCAAGAAGGACAAGGATGAGGAGAAGCGGAAAAAGGACAAGAAGAGCAGACAGCACCGCCAGGCGGAGGAAGTTGCCGGCGACGCGCCGAATGTCCCCAAGGCGCAAGCAAAGTCGTAAAGCCATTCAGTGTCGTGAGGGGACCGTGGGTTTGAGGACCGCCATGGGGACTCCAGGGGCCAGGTAGATACCAGTTAGAGTGTAATCTGGGTGATGGACATGTGTGAAGCACTTGTTGCGAATAGGCCGGCAGAGCATCTACATAGACCGACTTGCAATGCGGGGGGTGTTTGGACCAAGACGGGCAAAGGAGTCATCTAATATGCAACCTCCCATCTTTCTTTCGACGCTGTTTTGTTTCGGAGCTCCATGCGGTCTTGCCGCGTACTTTTTGGAAAGAAGAAGAAACAGGCACGAGACGGACTCTTGTCGAATTATCAATTGACCACCTATCCTGCCTGCTAGATCGCCCCCTTCTAGGGTACATCAAGCCCCAAATTCAATTCTATCCCAAATAAAAAAAAAAAAAAAAGGCAAGAGGTGCACAATGCTGCCCTGTCACGGACCACATGGCGCCTCCCTGTCCCTACGCTGTCAATCCATCTGGGGTATCTGGTGTTTCTGCACGATAAAACTTGGGGGCGACAAAGGAAAAGGGAGGCAAAAAAGAGAACAATTTAGACAACGATTGATGTAAATCCAGCTTCCACGGGCATGTGGACGCATCGCAGTAATTGGCGAGCGGGGGTATCGGTGAGCAAAAATGACGTCGAAAGCTGAAATAACGAGGCTCCATGGATTGAAATTCCCTGTTTCGGCACGGACTGCGTGCATGCGTGCATACATACGTGCGTGGGGTTTGTAGGGTAAAAAGTGCGTGCATCAAGAGTTGGAAATGTGAGGACGCGACAGTTCTCGAGACGCCGAGATACCCGGTCTTTACGATGTGCTTCGTGTATGCCCTTGCCCAATTTTTGGTTCCTGGTGTCTGCTGCGACCGTTTGCGCGCAGTGGGATATTTGCAAAAACACGGCTCTGAACGGTATAGTTGAAAATAAAATGTGCAATGAAGGTATTCGGTGAGCGGCGATGGTCCGGGTTGAAATTGACTGCAAGCGTCCATTGCGCACGTCAGTCTGGTCGTGATACGTGGTGAATGAGGAGCATGTTAGCCACCGTCCGTTGGAAGCTCTATCCCGCTGTCCCGATCCTGGGAACTCTTCGGCCATGGCGGCTCCAGGACGAGGTTGTCACCTTGTATGGTATCTTCCTCCTGATACGAGACGTCTTCCTCAGTCATCTGATGGGGCCAACACCCGTCCTCCGAGTTGAATGTCAGACACTCGAACGTGATACTGGAGCGCCTTTTGGCCCTCTCTGATCAGTGTCTCGGTAAAGCCGAGGCATCGTTTCAAGCTTTGGTTCATCCTCTGACTGTCAACAAGCAGTTCTTGGTGCTTGGTTAGGTCCAGCTGAAGCCGCTTCTCGTCTCGTCTTCGTCGGGCATCCAGCTTCGCACTGGATGACATGATGTCTTCTGTGTCCACGGTGTCATTGCTCGACAGGTCGGATTCATCAAACGAGTCTGCATCCTCTTCCAGCTCCGTCTCGTCCTCTTCATCAACATCAGACATGTCCGTGGGTGGCTCGGTTAGAGCTAAAGAAGTTACTCGGCTAGATGCCGCCGAGAAGGCACCCGACCTAGAAAGCCGGCGGTACCGTCGCAACTCGGCGCTTTGCTTGCGAAGCTGCCGCTCCAGTGTCCTGTTGATGGCTTCCAGAGACGCATTGGTAATCTCCAGGTCCTGCACCTTGCGTTCGCGGCGGGCATTGGCTACGAGTTCGCTGACAGAGCCGCTGAGATTTGCAGACTTGGTAGGGCTCTGGGGTGCTGGAGGAGGCACATCAGACCGAGCGTCCCCTTGTCCGGGTTCGGCGTCGTCTTGTAGGTCGTCGGCGATTTGCAGAAGAGAAGCCATCGTCATGGCAGGCTGTGAGAAGCCTGGGCTCAACGGTGGGGACGCTGAAGCGGACTCGGATGGATTCGGGGACAAATTGAAGCGGGCAACTGTCAGGGGCTCGAACCCAGGCATGCTTCCTGCTCTCCTGTGCCCGCCCGTCTCCTTTGGGGCTGTGTCGATGCTTACTCTTTTCTGGGAAACAGAAGACATTTGCTGCGTCAACGACGGCGAGGATGACGCGACGAGAGAATTCCGTTTTGGAGAAGGCGGCGAGGCGACATTGTTTTTCAAGGTTTGTGTCACGGGTGTTGATACTGCCTTGACTGGTGACGCTGGCCGCTGGGCCGGCGGAACGCTAAAGGTAGAGCCGCAGTTACTCGTAGGTGGTCGTGAGGGAGTTATTCGAGAAAACGAGGATGCGGCAGAAGCCGAGGTGGACTGCAGCATACCGGGCCTGGAGGACATGCCAGGGGTCCCGTTCGCGTAGAAGAACTTGGTTGCGGCAGGCTCGGGATTGGAACTTGGGGGGAGAATGGGCGTAGCGTTGGAAGGCGGGCTAACGTTGCGGCATCCATCGGCCGTGGTCCCATTGGCATAGAAGAAGGTGTTGGCGGGCTTTTGCGGAACGGACAGCGGTCTTTGCGAGCCTCCCTGCTGGATGGATCTGGCGTCGCTGGCATAAAAGAACTTGCTGGAGTCGTTGGCATCACTGGCAGGATCCAACTGAGATGCTGCCTGTCTAGGGAGGTCATTCGCGGGGGGGGATACGCCCGGTGCAAGCCTGGAGGCGGCGGTGGTGTTGGTGTTGTTGTTTTCAAAGCCGTCGCTCGTCCTCTCCGGGTTCGGGGTGCCGCTCGGGGTGGAATTAGCACTGTCGACACGACTTTGCCTGGGGCCGGAGCGAGGGGTTATGTTCTGGGCCAGAAAGGCGACCACAGGAGTGGAAACATCGTCTCGCGGGTTGTGAGAAGCAGCAAGCGTGGGCGTCGAAGAGGGAGGTCGTCTGGCCAGAGGGGTCACAGGAGGTCCCTTGGCGGCAATCTTGGGAGTCAGAGGGGTTCGGTTGACAGATCTTGCCGCAGCAGCACTCAGCTGGGGCTGTCGAGGCCTCTCGCCAGGAGGCATATTGGCGAGGCTCGCTAGAGGAGAGCGCGTCTTGACGGCCAGCGGAACGACATGTTGTTTCTGGAGTTGGGAGGACGAGGGCAACGACGCGCGGGACGCACCGGCGGTGGCAGGACTAGCAGCAGCGCTAGCGATGACGGCAGCAGCATTCGGCGCACGCAAGCGCAGCCCGCCAGCGGAGAGCCGGGGGCGGGCACAGTGGTGCGACAACAGTGGCTGGTGCGGCTGCGTGGGTGCGCGCGCGCCACCTGCAGGCCTGGGCTTCCAAGTCAGAGCCGGGCGGGGTGGCGGCGAGGAACCGGAAGGGGCAGAGACAATCCGGCGAGCCGTCGCTGTGTTGCGGGCAATGGAACATGTCGACGGTCGCGGCGGCTTGGGACGCGCGGCAGGTTTGGTTTTGGTCTCGGTTCGGGTTTGGGTTTGACAGCCAGGAGCACGGTCGAGGCGTCGCATTTCCTGGCCTGTCAGAGTTCAAGCGCAACTGCACAGCAGTGAGTGACTCGGACGCATCTGGCGGGTTGGAAGAGAAGACGGGTCCGTCCCCTCCGTCATATGTCGAGACGGCAGATGGAAATGCTCATAATAATAATAACAAGGGGCGCATCAGCTTGGCGGGGCGCGCACATGAGCGTGAGGAGGATGAGGATGTGACAGAGGTCAGAAAGCAAGCTCAGGAAAGAAGAAGAGAAAAGAAGGAGGGAAAAAAGCTCGGCGACCCTGCATGCCGCTGGCCGCATGCAGCTCAATAACTGACATGATGCATAAACTTTCGTGACAACGCAGTCAGATTTATTTTCATTACGGAGTAGCTTTACCTGGGAACTAGGGGCCAAAACAACAAGACGCCATGCCATGGGGCCATGGGGATCGTGGCCGGAAAAGGATTTACCGTCACATTACGGAGTAATTAGCAGCTCACAACCACTTCCCCCTGCTTTGCACGTTTCGAGACGTAGTGTTGGCAGGCTTCCCCGTCCGTCGCGTGCGCTTGAATGTTTCACTTCAAAAACACTGCAAAACGAAACATGCTGCTGCGGACCGAGTACATCGTCTGGGGATTTGTTTGTACACGCGCCTCGAGCCACCTCCACAGTTCGGTCTTTGATGCCCAGCCGGAGAACGAAGGCGTTTGGGCCGGGAGGAACGAGACTTAGGATGTGCATCGGGCCATGGATGCTGGGCCGAAGATGATTGCGGCCTAGGAGTAGATTGATGGGAGAAAATAACGAGGGTTTACGACCTCTGTCGTCTTTATCAACACGTTCGAGTACATACATGATGTTGCAGCTGTCCCCGCCGCCGCCCCGCCCCGCCGCTGGCACTTGGAGCACGCGGGGCAGGTGCTCGCTCCAAACGTGTGTGGCTGAGCCGCGCCTCCGCCCGTGGCCGCTACTCAAGTTACATAGTTACTTGCTGGTTTGCCTTGCCAGTGGTGGACTCCTCAACTCCGTCTCGTCTCATCCGTCCCATCGACCGTCCCTCACGACCACGACCATGGGTCTCCTCGCCATCTCCCTTTTAGTCACTTCCGTCGTCTACGTGATTATCCGACCGCCAAACTGGCTGGCGCACAGGCTCCTCCGAATCCGCGGCTTCGGAGGGGCAATCGCCGTCTCTCCAACAAGACAAAAGCGCACGCCGGATGACACGGCACCGAGGACGCAGGGACACGGCCTCTGCACCGAGAAATCGCTCTCCTCCGTCGACAGTCGCGCAAGGGAACCGTCGCCGCCAGACCCCAAGCCGTTGAAAGACGCCGCCGCCGTGCCTCCGCCGCCGCCGCCGCCCCTCATCCATGCTCTCACGCCCACGGATAACGAGCCCGAGGGGTCAACGACGCCAAAGGCAGCGGCAGCCACTCCATCCAGCCCAGTACCCGGCTTCTCGCTATCATCCGAACCGCCCGCCGTATCCCCCCCTGCCGGGACGCATGTCCGCACGACGCATCCCGACGCTGCCCCAATTTCCGGCTCCCAACTCGGCCCAGCGTGCTCGCGGCCCCGTTCCAAATCGTGGAGCGGCAGGGCTATCTGTTCCCGGCGCCGGTCTCGCACCCCCGCCGACGCACTCGACCAAGCCTCAAAAACCTAGCCGCAAAGTAATGCTTGACCCGGGCCGTTCGCCGCTGGACTGGGCGCGTATATCCGGGCCTGATGCTGACCTGCGCGGCGTCGAGCCCTCAACGCCATATCTCCGCGTGACGCCGTCCTTGTTGAAGAAGCAGACGGGCCGCAAGGGCAAGGATGCTTGGATGGCGTTGAACGGCAAAGTGTACAACGTGACGCCATATGCCAAGTTCCATCCTGGTGGTGTGGAGGAATTGATGAAGGGAGCCGCCAGAGATGGCACCAAGCTGTTCGGTGAGATCCACCCCTGGGTCAATTACGAAACCATGCTGGCCGCGTGCTTGGTTGGATTGCTGGTGGAAGAACCAGAGGCTGGTTCGCAGGGGAGTGAGATGGACGAGATGGACTAGACTTGCAACTCGGTGCTGAACATTGTTCGCTTTCAACTTTGATACGGCCTTTACTGTCTGGCTCGGGATAGACCCGCCACAACACACTTGTATGGTTCTTTAGAGAGTAGATACCCCTGGGCTGGAAAATATTAGAGTACACAAAATCCGAGCATCGCATGTGCCCCAGTATGGGCCACAACTATCGCCGCTTGCCAAATCTGAACTTCAGTTCATCCTCGCTATCGTCACTATCGGCAACTTCGATGGCTCGTAAAGCTGGTCGTGGCCTTTTGGCCCGCTGGCCCGACAGCGGCTCCACTGCAGACCGCTTCTCCTGCGTTGCTCTCGCCTGTCCGGATGGCCCAGTCGATGTGATTTGCGACTGTGTGGCCGTGATCTTCGTGCTGCTTGTTCCGGCAGGGCCTCTCCGATTTCCGCTCCGTGCACTGTTGTGTGCGTCGTCTTCCTCTTCACTCTCCGAAACGACAACATGCGTGGCGCGGTATCGAGGCGACGCCTCTGGTGCGGAGGCTTTCGAGTTTTGCGTACCATGAGCGGAGCGCACCACGGTGAGCGACCTCGTCCGCTCAACGCCCTCATCTTCTAGCCAATAATTATCCCCTATGCCGAACTCCTTATTCTTGACCTCTTGTAAAGTAACGATGGCTCTGACGGGCTGTCTGCCAGTCGCTTCGCCTCGTGAACGGAACTTCTTGAAATTTTTCACCCCATTCCACTTCGGATTCCAACGGCCATCGGCAACGTCTTTTTCTCTGGTTCTGGCTTCTCGGGCCGGTATGCGAATCTCCATCTCCTCCACTATGTTCAGACGGCGTATCTCAGCAAGGTCAATGCCCTCGGGCAAATTGGCCAGGTCTTCACGCTCAGCACGAGCTCGGGCCTCTTCCTCTTCACGGTGACGTGCAGCCATGGCAAGAACGTCGAGCTCTTCCTTTCTCTTCTTCGCTGGGGCTGCGGGAGGCTGTGGGTCCGGTGAAGGCGAAGGCGGAGCAAAGTCTTGGCCTCTTTCTATCCGTTGTCGCTTGAATCTAGCTGCTGCCGGTGCCACACCGTCCATGAGGTCATCTTCGATTGAGGCTCTTCTCTTCCTCGCCTGACTATCATCCACGCCAAGAGGCGGTTGCGACCCGGCCAAGTCGGGCTCCTGCGAAACGAACAGTCCGCCCGCGTCCTCTCCTTGCATCTGACCCAGTCCAGAGTCGCGAGGTAAGGAAGCCGTAATTGGGTCGTCCATGTCAATATCGGCATCATGGTCAAATCCCGCAAAACGTCGCTTTACTGGCCTCCTAGTCCGAGTCCTTGTTGGTTGTGGTTGTTCTTCAGCAGGCGGCTGTGGCTGCATGCCGCTAGTATCGGCCGTCGAAGAAGGTCCAATGTCATTGTTTTCTGCTGCCTGACTAGCTGGTGCTGACTCAACCTCCAACGGTCGCCGTAGTTTGGTGGCGTCTTTGGTCAAAATGGCCTCCAAGAACTCGTTTTGTTCTATGGGTCTGTGGTCGAGCCGTAGTGATACGGCGGTAATGAATTCTGTGTACCACTCGACGTATTCACCTTTGGCTGGCAAAAACCTCACAACAACAGCACCCTTACCTTCGCTTCCATCCTCAAAGGAGCCGAGGCCCTTTTCTCCCGCAACTTGTTTCACATGCCGCACAAATTCGTCTGTGTGAGTCTCACCGGGTGTGATGACTTGGAAGACAGCCTTACCGCCGCCGTTTGTGATTGGAGCCATGAGATTGTTGTACTGCGTCTTGTCGTAGAAGATGAAGGTATAACCTTCGAAAACGTCTCTTCGGTCGGAGTCTGGTTCATAAATCGAGTCTGGATGCTGTACGGGCTCCCCTCCACGCGGTGGCAAGTGCTGGATTGCAGCTGGCCAACATCTGTCAAACTCTTGCTCCAAAGAGCTGGGCTCGCAAGCGTCGTTTATTTGTGCGGCTTGCGTTACGGCCTCCAAAAAGGTTTCAGTCACAATGTATTTCCCGTTGATGAGGGCTTGAAGTCCTTTTGCTGTATTGCGTTTCCTGGACACTACGTGGGTTGTGTGTTCGATACTATAATCTGTCAAAAGCTTGACGTCGAGTTGCTCAAATCGTTCTCGTAGAGTAGTAAGCGGATCTGTTTGTAGCTCTTTACTCGTAAACGAGAAAGTAAAGACCACCGGGAACCAAGTTATCCTGTATTACCATGAGCGTTGTGGGAGGCCAACAGCATCTGACTCCCTATCATACCTGAACTTGCTAGGGCATTTGCCCATTGTGATCTCGAGCTCCGCTGAAGCAGCAGCGTACTTTTCGCCCCGTATTTTCCGGCCATTGACAATTGTACCCATCTTTGTGCCCAAATCCTCGACCGTCAGCTTCGACCGACCAGTCAAATGTTGTGCGACGCCGGCGGTGACTGTTTCCACGGTAATCGTCAAGTGCTTGCGCGAAATAGTTGTGTGGGATATTGCCAGCTGCCCGGCTGATTCAACCAAATGTCAGGATCCCAGTAATAAGAGCCGAGTAGCGGGAGAACGTACGTTCAGATGCCGTCCGTCCGAACAGATACGTCTTCCCAGGACGGAGCCACAAGCGTCGTCCTGCGAAACAGTCAGTTGGGCCAGTATGCAGCAATTAGCCCACATCAGCGTACCGTCGAACGCATCTTTGCTTTCTAACAGCCACATTTTCGGGGCTTGATAGTAAAGCGGGCATGTCTCTGAGCAATCGCGAAATGCTGTTCGCACCAGTATCGTTGATCGAGGACGTGATCTTTTCGGGCGGGGTGACGTCTGGAGGAGCGCGTTGGTGGCGCGGCAGCGGCAGCGGCGTCTGCCAATTTTTAAGCGCCAATTCACGTGCCCGCACGTGCCCAGGGCTTTTGTCAACGTCAAACATAAAATATCTACTATCGTTGGTTGACACATGACTACTCGCTCTACTTTGAATTTGATTCAACGCAATGCCGCCGTATGGAAATGATAAAACCAGTGCTTCTTCTTTACATACTTGAACCTTTGTACAACCTTGCAGGTATACCTGCTGCCAATGCAATTAACTCTGGAAGTTTCCTGCAGACGCGATGCTGTCGCATAGCATATAAGTTGGCATTACATCTATCGCCATGTTTTCGTTTAAACCTTTCCCAGTCGACAAATTCCGGTCAGAATTTTCTTCCTGCCCGCTTTTCTGCCTTCTCGACACAGCTGTTCGTTGTTCTCAATCTTGACTCGGTCAATGTTATCGGGAGACTCATCGAGCATCTTGGCGATCTCTTCTACTTCGCCGATCTTCCAGCTTCTGACTGCAACGAGAACGACTGCTGCAGCAACATACATCAAGCCGGTGAACAACTGTGTTCCGAGATATGTCCCCGTGTTTTGGACGATTTGAAGAGCAATGGGCTCGCTAAACAGGCAAGGCAGCGAGATGACGAGCCAAGTCAAGCACAGCGCCGAAGGGACGTTCCTCAAACCAACCACTTCGGCCGTCACTGGGCCAACAGTGGTCCAGAAGGTACCAGCGACAGCGCCGCAGACGATGGCAAAGAAGATCAGCACGCCGTATTGTTTGGCGTTGACCCAGATAACCAGCGCAAACACGCCAGTCAGAAATGTCATGAAGCCGGACATGTTGATGCGTCCAGTTCGATCACTGAAGTACCCCACAAAGGGACGGCCGACTCCTTGACCGAGGTTGAAGAATGCAGAAATGAGCGCAGCTTGCGAGCTGTCAAGTCCGATGTTGTTCGCGTAGTTGGCCAGGCTAAAGATGAGCACGACGTAACCAAGCATACTGAACCAGCCGAACCCGAGAAGCAGCAAAAATTCCGGTCGTTTGAGGAGCGCCGTATCGAATGCCGATTGGCTCGATCCAATGATGTCGTTCCGGTCCTCGATGAGCAAGATGCAACTCGTGTTGACGACAAATGCCAACATCCCGAGGATCCGAAACGCCCAGCCTAGGCCCACACTCCGGATCATAGCACCAGCAGCGAGCGAGTATAGTAGGCCCCCCAGACCAGAGCCACAGGCGGAAATTCCATTGGCTAGAGATCGCTTCGTGGTGAACCACTGGGGCACTATTGCAACTGATGGTATGAACAAGAATCCCATGCCGAGACTGAAGAGAAGACCTTGCGTCAGGAAGAGATGCCAGATCTTGCTCGCTAAGCCGGCACAGGCAAGACTTGCGGCCTCCATAATAGCACCGGCAAACATTGTTGGCTTGGTTCCGAATTCCCGCACACATATTGTTGCCACTGGAGAGATCAAGAGCGCACAGCTGATGCTCAGTGAGCCCACAAAGGCATACTGCAGCGGAGTGGCCCCTGGGAACGTGTCGTTTGCCAGAAAATGGGCGAGGAAGACGCCATAGCTGGAGTTCAGGCCCCAAGTATGGGCATTGACGAGAGCCACGCAGGCTGTGCAAACCCATCCATAGCCTCCATTCGGTGGCGGTGGCGAGGCGTGTGAAGCGTCGGCGTTGTTCCGCCCACCTGTTGACAATGGCGAGTTGTGCATCTCTGTATTCGAAATCCCTCGCGGCTCGTAGTCATCAGTCCGTCGTGCCGAAACGTCTCGGTCAAGAGGCAGTTGCTTAGCCGGCGACTGGTCGGCCAGGTCCATGGCGAACCACGATTCCGCTCTGTTGTCCGCTTATATCAGCGACACACGCCTTCGTTGTCGTCGCAAGAAAGCTGGGCAAATACGACGAGGAACCAGGAGCGGGCACGACACACTGCGCCCAGCCCAAAGGAGAGGAAGAAGAGCTAAAACCACATGGCTAGGCGCTTCAGAGGGCGATGCAGCTGGTTTTTATCAGCCATTTGAATCCGCCGCTGGAAGCTGTAGCGGAACCACTTCTTTTAAACCGCCACTTCGGGGTGTATGACGGAGATAACTATGGGCCGTAAATAGGGGCGGCTAAACACGCATAACAATTGTGCATACTCCGTAGACGCCAGTAAGAATTCGGATGGACAAACCACGCGTAGAAATATCAATTTCACAGCCTTGTTGGTGCCCGCATTTACAAGTGTGTGTGTGTGCGTTTATTTTACATCATGTGTCACACCAGATTCGGCAGTCATGTATCCCCCGCCGGCCTCTGGAGTACTTCAGTACGGAGTAGCGACAGAAATCGACGACATAAAGAGGGAACTTTGTGGTATTGCGTGGCTGGTCATCTTGATCGGGTCAATCTCAGCCTTGCAGCCGCAGGTAATGCAGCTAGAAGAGACTCCTGCTTGCATCTTGGCCCAAAAAAAAAGGTCAATAGAAAACAACTTATTGAATTTCCACAGCACCAGCGTTTATGCAGGATGAGCATCTCGTTGATGCGCGTTTACTCCGTGGTGGAGCGGCCCCGGAAATAGGGACACGCCCCACTCAACTATTCCCGTGGTGGTGGTGGTGGCGGCTCCACAAATCAGAGCGGACATTGCGATGCCTCGGTCGTTTCTGGACTCTGACCAAAATATTCGAGCCCGTGACAGCATCTGTAACCTAAGTATGGAGTAGGTGGGAAACTATCTGGAATGGTCATGCTGCCGGACGAACGACAGCGGTGCTCCCAGCTGGCCAGCCATGAAAACACCAAACACACCTGGATCTCAGCACGCGGGCTGGAACAATCTCCCTCTAGAGACGACGGTGCTAGTTGGAGATGTGTCGCACGCACATATTTGTACCCCGAGATAATCCTCCCTTTAGAGCGGAGCTTTCACTTTTGGACTGGTGTAATCTCTGTTGGCAAGATATATTCTGGGGTATTCAGCAATGTCTACTTGATCAACCCCTGTTGATGTTCCAAAGCGCACTCAAAGCTGCCGTGTCAAAGTAAGCCGTAGTACGGCATTGCAGGCGGGCATCATTAACATAGCTCCAAAGACCGTCGCACGCAGAAAGCAGCCATTCGCCAGGGAAGCGCAAAACAGACTTGTACATCGCTGCCATATACACCATGTCAAACGAGACCCAGGCGCCGCGGCCCAAAAAGCAATGTCCCAACAAATACGTTTCCATCCCACGTGGTATCATTTTTCTTCCTACGTCGACTGCTGCGTTGAAAACGAGTCGCAAAACGAGGGTGGCGCTCTCAAGCCTGTTCACGGTCCGTCTTCTGGCGATCCTCGCGAGCCTTGTCAGACCAGGGGAAGTGAAAGACGGGGACCTGGAAGAAGGAGTTGCTACGCGGTAGTCAGTACAGGGTGTAACCTTCTTCTGTCGTCGGTCTCGGCCGTGATAGGACGGGAACAAACCTGCTGTCTTGCATGCCAGCCAGAGCACAGTACCAGGCAAGAAAGGCGGCGAGGAAGCCGAACACGCCGCCAGTCTTCTGCAGGGCGACGGCGGCGGCGGCGTTACCCATGTCATTGGCGTACTGCTCGCAAGCAAGGAACAGGAAGGCCAGATCAAGAGTAAAGAAGAGCAGGAAGAACATGACGGTCGATCTGAGGGTGCAGAGAAGGAGTATCGTGGTAAAGATGAACCAGCCGGTCAAGAAAAATCCCAGTGGACTGGAAACATTTCCCTCGTACGGCCCGGCAGGCGCGGTGATTCCCCAGTTGGGCGTCAACAGGATGGCATACGAAATCCAGAAGCCACCGTAAGAGGACAGGGCAGTGGCGCCAAAAGTATTACCACAGGCAATCTCCCTGGCACAGTTGGTCAGACTTGAACAAGCCAGTTTTCATCTTCGAGTACACCAGCACCAAACTCACCACATGCCCGCGAGCAGCTGGACCAGGCCGCCGTAACCAAAGGCCAAGGGAACGACAATATTGGGCTCCTTGACGCCGCGAGTGTGGGTATTAATGGCGGAGAGCACGAAAGTAGTCAGGGCGAAGGCGGAGAGCCCGAGCGGCGCTGGGTTGGCGAATTTGCGGTGCTCGTAAGGCTTCCACAGCCCAGGGTTCAGTGAGCCTCCTGTTGCCGCGGCATAGCCAGAGTTCACCTGCGAGATATCATGGTGGTGGCGTTGCTGAACGCCATTGACACCGTTCGGGTCCTTCTCGATGGAAGTAGCTGGGGGGTGTATGTTCTCGGTGGCCATTGCTGTGCGAGAGACGCTGATCAACTAGTCAGCCTGGGTAGCGAGGTTTCTTCTGGATAGGTAGAGAACTGCCACCTGACGACAGGCTGAAGAGCTCAAAGTATAAAGACACCAGGCGCAGAGGCGGCAGAGGCGGGGAGGGAGGGGAGGGTCACGCTTTTATAAGCTCACTCACTGACGATAAGCAGGCTAGTTAACGAAGGAACGGTCGTGCCGAGGAGGGTGCAATTGCTCGACATGAGCTACCACGGCTCAGGGTCCACGTGGTGTGAGCGTCTGATACAATCATGGTTCCTTCGTTCGTTCTCAAAGACGACAGACCTGGAGCATGGCGGAGGCCGTGGACAAGGACATGCGACGCGGGACTGCATTGGCCGGTACGAAGTGGAGGGGCCAGCCAGAGCTAGGTGAAGTTTACTTACTTAAGAAGTATGTTATCGAGTCTAGGTACTCAAGTACCTGGGCACTCAGGCACTCACGTAGCCAAGCCCAAGTACTCAAGCCCGGAATGCTCAGACGCAGCCATGTACTCATAGTGCATGCTTCGTATAGCCATGAACCATGGACCCCCTGCCTGCCCGGCTCCAGGGAAGCTCACGGCAACTAGTGGGCCCGCTGGTGAGCACACCCATCAATCATCGTCCTACTTGAGTACCTACTTGGTAAGTACATTTACACATACGTACGTACTCGAGTTCCTAGGTACCTTCACGGACTGGGACGAGCGGGGAGCTGTCAGGATTGGGGCGGAACAGAGCTAGCAGAACGGTCGACTGGTTTGTTTGGAGTGCAACTGCTCAAGGCTCCCTTGAAATGCCAGGCATCCCCTGTCGACGTCGCAGCGGGTGGCCATCGTCTTCCTGGTCGTCAGAATCTAGGCCCGGCCTGGGCGAAAGGCATGTTGGTTGCCACCCGGCCGGGGCTTTCTTCGTCTTTGAAAGTTGGAGGTAAAAAAGTTGCGGAGCAGCGCGTTCTCCGTACTTGCCAAGTTGTCCTCGTTGTCGTGCGAAGTACCGCCAGTACGAGTACTACGACTAGCTCCAAGTAGCAGTACCCGGCCCTGGCCTCGCGTATCGGTCGGCCTGTCTCTACGTGCCACTGGACCGTTGCCAGTCCGCTGGTCTAAGCTGCTCGAGTAAGCAGCAATGAGACAAGTCTGTCTGGCCGTGTCATGGACTCGTCGTCATGGTCTTGCTTGCCGTTATTGAGCCGTACGGTGTCAATCATCAATTCTCCCCGCTCCAAGACCCAGACCAGCAAATTTCGTTTGTCAAAAGTTAGAACCCACTCTGAACAGGCCCGGCACCTCGGAGGAGCAAGCAGTCGACTCGCGGTCAAGGGGGCAGCGAGCAGCGGGCAGCGGGCAGCGGTCGTGTCGCGGAGGAGTCGGGACGGCATCACCAACCAGCCCCCCCCGTTGGCTGTTTTCTCGCACAATCGAGCCGTCCACGTCCAGGGCATCCGTCACCAACGCCTTCGGAGCATTGAACGGCAGCGCAAGAGAGTCCTCGGCCTGCCTGCCCATTCATTGACTACCGAGTACTCCGTACAGACTCGGTGCTCCGTAGACCAGCGCCAAACCCGACTGCCGCCGTCACAATGGCGCCACCATGGCCACATGTGGTGCATAAACAATTTCCAACGTTTTCTCGCAGCGCTTGGCACATGCTTGGCAGAGCATGCTTGGGCCTGCCATGTATTATATCGATCGATGACATATTACTACTACCGGTCCCTTGTTCAACGCCATACCTGTCAACTACGGGAGTACTCCTCGGTGCCTCTCATGCGCGCGCAGACTCGTCGCCCGAAAATCCGCCATATCGCCGACGGGGCGAGACGTTGCGGCACAGCTCTGCTCTCGGCGTTCTGACCGCATGTTACAACCCCCAACTGAAGAGGGGAGGAGGACAAACATGCTATCCCAAAGGTTCCGGGTACCAGACGGAGTATTCACCTGGTAACTACCGGAGTGCTGCACAATCCATTGGGAATATCTAATACGCCACGTGAAGTGTCCTCGGCGTTGGCTCCAATATCCCTGCCATTGCAACATCGTCAGCTGGGACAACATCTGCAAGGCGCCCCAGATCGAGTGGTGGCCAATCCTACAACAACCAGCATTTCGAAAGCTTCCTTTGTAATCGGCCGAGGTGTTGATTGTCGTTTTTTCCGTTTGGCTGTGATTCTCCCTACTTGGTGGCGGGCGGATCTGCGACTCGGGACAAGAGGCAAAGCCTCGCATTGAACCTCAAACGGCCGTATCAGCTTCCGCAGCATAGGTTAGGTCAGGTCATGGCCACGTCAGAACGCCCATCGTTTGGCCGCAAGCGTAGGTGGGAAATCACCGGGCTTTTGTGCGGAGCTCTGGATTCGAACTCTTCCTCCATTGACGCTCAGTCTACTTCCGTTGAAAACAACTGGGCCTCCTCACTCGCACCTTGAATACTTACAGCCTCGTGTGTTTGCCGACAAAAGCTGGAAAGGTTCGGGTGTGTTGTGGCGTCCACGCTACTGTATGTAGCCGCACCCTCTTCAACTAGATTTGGAGGCGGCGTTGTATACGGCCTCTGCATGATTCGGGCTTTGACTAGTTGGCACCTCAACTGCATCATCTGTGATGTAAACTTCAAGTCGAGCTAAGCTGATACAACATTGAACTCTGTCGAGGCAGCACGCTGCGACGCGGGATGTGAAACCAGTACGGTGGTGTTGTGGGGGTCGGAGTACCTCTAATTAATTGATTGCAGGACAGGCACACATGCCGGGCGCAGCAACATGGCCAAAGGTTAAACGTCGTTGGCAGCCACCACACACCACACGACTTGGCACACCACACTGCCCCGTGGGCCATGGCAGACAATCTGTCGGCGATGCCATCGAGGCCAAATGCCGTTGCCAACGAGCATCTTGGCGATGACATCCTCGAACCAGACCGTGTATCGTCACATCCAGATGGTTGGACCACTAAACCTGCCAAGTCGTCTGACAGCTCCCGGAGGATCATTCTGCGGGTTCGCCTAGCCGTGGCCCGCTGCTCATCTGTACTAACAGTGGAGATGTGTATCCTTCCTGTACAGTGTACCCAGTAACTTACCTAGTTAACTCACTTACCCCATGCTGGGAGTCGCAGCTCCACGCTCATGTGAGGGACGGCCGAGCTAGTTTTGTCTGGAGCGACTCGGCGTAGTCGTCTCCGCACAGACTGGATTCCCTGTCACAGCAGGCTGGCTGGACTCTTACAACCATGGCGACTGACTTTCGCTCGTCCACACTAGTATCCTCTAGTCCACGACGTTAAACAAAGAGTCCGTCCCAAAACGCCATCCGCTCGAGCGAGGCCAGGGTCACTAGCATGTTTCCGGGGAACAAGTCAATGCGGAGAACCGGTAGACGACGCCGAAAACCCCACAAAAACACCTGCCACCGCGTTTCCTACACACAAAGTCCAAGTTTCGTTGGCCGGGCAGGTCGGGGTAGTCAGCGTCTGGACAGAGAACACCATGACGTCGTTGTTGAGGACGTTTGTCGATCGCGGCCATGCAACACCAAGACCGCGCAATTGCTCGCCATCTCGAGGCGGGGTCGATCCGAATGCAACCTCTTGAGCGGGATAAACGTCCGTCGGCGAGTCCAATGGTGGCCACCATGGTAACACAGGACATGAAACTACTACTACTCCGTACTCCGTACTGTTGACAAAAACCGTCACTCGCCAAAACGGCGAGCCAGCCAAAAGGAAAGGGGAAAGGGAAAAAGAAAATCACAACCACCAAGACGCTCAATCTAAGCAGTGAGAACATGTCTCAGGCGCCGTGATGGTGTTGGCGACAAGATCAAATTGCAGCTTTTATTTCGCTTGTGTACGCGGACTCGAGCCATCGCATCGGATTATAGGTGTCGTTCTGTGTCCTTTTTTTTTTTCCTTTCCGTCATCGCCGAGAATCCGCCGCATCAGGGTCTCAGACAGCCCACCGCCAAAGCCGATGGTGGCGTCTGGGGTCGACACCAACGCGGACAAGACCACAACAGCCAGGTCGGTTTAGGAAACTGCTCCTTTGAGCCGAGACAAAAATGGCTCATCTCGATTTCGAAAGCAGTGGGGGATCTAGAATCTGAGTTTTGCCTTTTACAAATCCGAGGGTCTCGCTTCCGCCCTCCTCTCCTTCCCACCGTATTCCCGCCAGTGAATGGCGGGTGGCGTCTCGACAACACGACACACGACGGCTAATCCTGACCACGATGTGGCGGTTTCCCTTTGTTGAGAGGGGACGGGAGGCTGTCGCGGCGGTTCTGTCGCGACCTCGGCCGTTGCGTACGTTGTCGTTGACATGGATGGATATGAAGTCGTCGGCCCAACCGTCGTACAGCCAGCTAACCGACATTACTCCGGACACTTGGCCCAACTGCGGTTCGCCATGAATAATCAAGACGCGCGCAATCACGCACCCCAGGACCACATTGATTTGATCCTCCGCACAAACAGTATCATATGCCATCATATGCTTTGAGCGACCGGCTCAAAGGTCCGCTATTCTCCCTCACCAACCTTGTCAAAGTCGCACAATCGAGCCAGCATCTTCAGCTCCCCATGTGCCCAGTTGGGATTGCCACGAACCCTCGGCAATCGACGCAGCGCAGAGGAATCTAACGAATGCACAATCCAATCTAGACGGACCAGGTAGCCAAGCACACGTGAGCACACTCCAGGCGCAGCAACTCTATTCGCCAAGAAACAAACACAGTTCATCAACTTCAGCCTCTTCACAAACGCTTAGACGCCTGCTCGTTTCAGATGCTACAGGGTAGGGTCGCAGGACGAGCCGCCCCTCGTCGAGGTTCCAACGAAGCCCGGCACTTGACCATTCACTCCACCGGCCACCAGAAATGTAAAGTCGCAGGAAGCTGAGGAGCCCGGCATGACTACTTGGCCCCAGTCTCCGTGTGTTCCTGCCGGTCTCGTCTACGCCATGCATCTCCAATGCCCGGGAAGACAGTGGACACGGAGCAAGAGAAATCATGGCCTGCAACGAGATTGCCAACCAGCCCCTCCGTGTCGAACCGGTGCGTGTGTACTCCGTAGTGTGTATATCACCACCCAACCCAGCCATGTGTTTCTTTTCCCTGCCGTCCTTGCCTGGCTGCTGCCGTAGCAATCAAGTGGGGACGTAGCCGCTTTCGGATCCGCGGGGGCCCCCGACCCGCCTGGCCAATCGCCAAGCGACGAGGTGCAAACCCAGCCAGAAAGTCCACATGGCACCTCTGCCCTTTCCCTGTCCTTAGCACCTGGCGCCGGTACAATAGCGTTACACAGCAGGGATCGATGATGCGGATGCGGATGCAGATCCAAACGGCGTGCCGTCAGCATTCGCTCTAGGCGACTCCGCAATGCAACCGTCAACTCTGCCGCCGCGGAGTGAGTACGTACGTCCAAGTTTACTCTCCCTCTCCATCGCTCCGATTGGCTTTGAGCTGTGACCACCATTCACCTTCACCTCTGGCGATGCACTCAGCCGTCAAAATCGTTCATCCCAACCAGCCACCGACCAAACCAACACTCCGCGTGCCGTGATATTTTGAAGTTTGGAGCTGACAAAGACCAACTACGACGAGAAGTGCAGCCAACCAGTTGACCTTGCCTGGTCTTCAGCCCGCCCGCGCCTGTCCCAACCCCGGCCGTTGGTGCACTCTACTCCGTGCTTCACGCCGTACTCCGTACTTTACAAACGAACCCATGGGGAGAGAGGCCCTGGACCAGGGCTTGGCTTGAGTGCCTGAGGACAACGATACCCAGTCTTCACCAACCTCACTAAAGTACTTATGCACGAAAGAGGTACCCAGGTACGGAGGGCTCCGGAGATTGATTTGCCGCTGTGGTTTTCTCTTGGCTTGACAGCTCAATCCGTCCGAGACATCCTCTGTCATGTCGAGTGAGACGAGTCCATCACGGTCGCAGACCACTTACTTGTCTTGCCAGCCAGACAAAACAGACGTCTGTGCGAATCATTCATTCTATCACCCTGAGCCCAGCATTTGAACGACAATGGCATGTATTCATGTATCAGTGTGCTCCACGTCCCGATTCGTAAGAGACCGCATGTGCTTATTATAGCCATAACCTGCAGAAACGAAATAAAACGCCCCAAAAAGCAAAAAGAAAGAACCTATGTCGGCCATGCCTACCCCCGGCTGATATCCCTACTTTTCGTGAACCCCTACGACAAGTAAATGGAGCTGCGTACAAATTTGTCGCCAACGTCTCAAATCCATGGCCAACTATGCTACTCCGTACTCCGTAAAAGCTCCGTCAGTCTATTGAGAATGTCTTGCGTTTGCCAGTAGTTTGGCGACTGGGCCCTGCTGCGCCGAAGACGATCTTCGCCTGCTTTCACTCTCGCTGGCGTACGGCAGCGAATTATTACTTGTCACTGACTCTGCAGATTGTGAGGTTTGTTGATATGACCGTGCCTCACTGACCGTCGGCGATGACCCCGGCAATTGAATTGATGTCGATGAGTTACGGCCCTCTACGCCAGGCTGAGCGTCAAATTCCGAGCATCTGAACACAGAAATCACCCAAGATCCACCGCAAAACTCGTTTTCTGAGCCTTGACATGGCACACTGCAAGAGCTTTTAGGGAGTCGAATGGCATCGTCTCGGATAGACTGACCACACCAACATTCGAATCCATGCTCAGTACCAGCAAAGGAGTAGTTGTTGGCCGCGCAGTGGTTGATACATGTATAGTTGGACATTGGACCCCGCAAATAGTCTAAAGGTTTGGATCCTACAAGAATGCGCGAGATTGCATCCTGAAAGCATCCTAAATATGTCCAGCCAGGAACCGCGACGCCAAAATCGTAACTAGATCCAGGAGCTGGAGGCAACGCTGGGCTGTTGGTTTCCACTGCCTCGGTACTTGTTCGAGGTAATGAAACACTCGAGCTATCCGGAACGTATGCTGTTGGATCCAAGGCGGCAGTTGAGGAGCAGAAGTATCCGTCTTCGCAGTGAAAACACGGCCATCCTAATCCACAGGGTACTACTTGAGCAGGAGTTTCTACCGGTGGACAAAACCATCCATCGAGGCACTCGTTGCATCGAAAACCGCTCTCTGGACAAGGTAGTGACGTAGGGCCGAGCCCTGGCGTCGAGGTAAGCACCGAAGTTGGACAAGGCATCAGACCAGAGGTTGTGTGTGAGCTTGAGGATGTCCCTGCGGTACAGCCAACACTTTGGCCTGCCACAGGTAATTCCGGTGAAGTTGAACACCGAGTTGGAACGGCTTCATCTGAACTGGAAGCGGGCGAGATTGAATAAGGGCCAGGCACTATTTCAGATAGCCTGTCATAAGCTTTAGAGTTCGCGGTGGGTATAATGCTCCGTGCTTCGGTTGCTAGTGAAGAGCAAGCAACCGTCGACGATGTTGGATTGAACGTCAAAATGTTCGCCCAAGCAGACGCAATGGTATCTGAGTCGCATGCAACGAGAGTATCCAGCTGTAAACCTGCGACATCTCGGTCAATGGCGCATAGAATTTGATCCAAATGATTTGCCACCAAGTATACAACATCAAGAACCTGCTTCAAAACGTCTTGCATGATGGGGGCTTTGATTAGTATTGTGGACGTTGTAATCCTATTGATGACCATTGATCCTTGTGCGATAATGTCTTTGCATGTGCCGTTCAGGTTTTCTGGATTACCCTTTGAAACTAGTCCTTCTTCGGGGCTACCCAAGGCTTTTCCGACGGCTGGAAGGATGAAGGGGATAGCAGCTTCAATTGAAGCAGACGCCTGTTCTGCCACGTCGAAAACAGCAGAGGCAATTGCCTGAGGGTCTACTGGAAGCACAGCTAGCATAGCGTCGGTCAACGTTACAGCGCGTTCCATATTGATTCCAGCAATATTCGCAACCAAACCGGACACAGTACTGAGCAAGGAGAGGGCCAGAGCTGACTCTGCATTATTGAGATCAAGTTCGCGTCTTCCCAGCTCTTCAATTTTCTTGGATAAAGACACAATGTGTTGAACTCCTGGTGGGGATGACGCTGACGATAACCCGCCTGCTTCAAAACCATCAAAGGTCGAGGCTGAACCTGTGCCGGTTGGAGTATCACGCTTCAGTGGTGACTTGCTGAGCGATGGGCTGGCTGCCAGAGACCACGTACTTTCCTCTGAAGCCGATTTAATCGAGACCCGAGAGGCGTTTATCAGTGGTTTGAAGACCTGGGTCAGCGCCACAAGAAAGTCGAATGCAGGAAGCGGGAGGACAGCCTCCACATCCATGATATCATCTAGTCGAACGTTGCTCCCAGCTGCGGATTTTTGAGTTGGGATTGCAACTGATGAGGACAATGATGCAGGGTGTTTGGAGATCTTGGCATCAATATTCCGCTGTGATTCGGTGGTATGGGTCCCTTCTTTCATATTGCTTGGTCTCATGGCCTACATAAGTAAGTCGAACGTCGTACTATCAAACGATTCCAATCTCTTACCTGAAGCGCATTTGCACCTAGTATGCTTCCGAGCTGAAACTGTCGAGCATCCAATGCCTGTTTTCTTGGTGGGACAGGCGCTGTGACAACGTGGACAGTTCCGACTATGAGTGATCCGAAGAATATTACAACAGTGCAAGCCAGCGTGCGTCTATTTTGCGGAAGAGAGAGGCTCCTCCTCCAGTCTTTCAGCATGTTTGAGCAGAATGAGGCGGACATTTTCCCGGAAAAAGGGCTGGAAAATGCTTGAAGTTAGATGCCACGAATTGGGAAAGAATACGCTCCAAGACAAACAGTTCCAAAATTGATTCCAAAAAGACGTCCAAAAAAGGAGGGGTTATCGGTTGGGTTTGACGACTGATGGGATCGAAAGTGCTTGAGAGGTGGACGTTCAAAGAAATGTTGGCTGTCGAGGTCCAGGGAACGTGTGCGCATTCGATCTGCTACTTCCCTATGGCATTTTTGGCAAGAAGTCAAACTCTAAGACGGGCAGCACTTACCTTGTCCAGACAATGTAGCCAGGACAACGATCTGCATCAAATATCGGTTCGAGTGACTTCAAATGTTCTGTATCTGTAACAATTTGGATAGCCTTCACTGGCGGCATCAGCGGCCCTGCCCTTCTCCCCAATTTGCCATGAAAATCCGCAATGGCCTATATCCACCGCACAGTAGATTGAAAACCTATCTAAGACTGGGACTGATCGATTCTATTTCATCAAACATTCAAATCCGTCAAAATGCCGCCACCTGCTCTAGTAATTTGGTCGCCTATGCTTGCGCTTTTTATCCTTTACCCCATCGTGCGGTCTCGTCGCCCTCTTTCCAGTCGCGCTCCACGTATCCGAGCTCTCTTTTAACCTTTTCAACGAGGTCCTTGTCGCCGGTATTTTTGCCAACATTATCGCTAATGTCAATGAGCCAACTGAAATATTTTTCTGATGCTGAGCGTAGTGACACGAACCTAATCTTGATGGCGGGTCGTCCTGCTGCCGAGCTAAGCTTGATAACAATATTCAGAGGCACCGACTTGGTTCCAGTCTTTATGTGGGTGAAGTCGTTGGTTAGAAATGTGCCAACTCCAAATGTCGGCTGGAACCCAAGCGCCTCTGAAACCTCCTTGTACTCCAAGCAGCGTTCGATGTTGAGTGAGTCCGAGAACACAATAACCTTTCTTTCTTTGATGCCCTGTTGGTCGTAATACTTCCGCATCAATTTAGCATATTCTGCGGGATCGCCGGAATCTTGTCGCACACCGGTGAATAACTCGGCATAGGTCTTTGTAGAGCCGTCTTCATTCTTGAAACAATCACTCGATATACCGCCTTCAACTGTCTGCACGGGGAGGCTAAAGGACTTGAGAAACTCAGAGGTGCCGAATGTGTCTGTCAAGGCAATGGCTAGATTAGAGCCGAAACAGGCGACCCAGTGGCGAAGTGCTAGTTCTGTGGCTTTTTTGTAGTCATTGAAGATGGCGGCTGTACCCATAAACCATTCGTGGGCAACGGTTCCTACAGGAGGAATACCGAATCTCATGGCCAAGTGTACGTTGGAAGTCCCAGACAGCTTACCAGGGAAGCCCTTCTCCGCAGCAACCTTGGATGCCTTGACCAATCCGCGAAACACCAAGGCCTGGGTGTGATAGTCACGTCTCCTTCGAGTTCCGAATTCTGAAGTTACGCAACCGGCTTTCAAGAGTTGCATGCCTTTGTTAAAAGCAAGTTCTTCCTGGCCGTCGTAGTTCCAGTCGGTATCCATAAATCGAAAATATGCTTCGGATGTCAAGGCCAGGATGGGAATCTCGTACAGGATAGTGTCGGACCATGTTCCTTGAATCTTGATATCAATATCACCAATGTCTGAGTCGGCACCTGTGTCTGCGCCAAACGTTGTGAAGGTAACGGCAACTTGCTCTCTGGGTCGCAGTTGAAAATCGCGCAGATAATTGAGATAGTCATCGGTTAAGTACTTGCAGTGTGTTTGTAGAAATTGATATTCTCCATTGGATAGTGAAATGTTTCCAAGCTCTATTGACTATTTTTAGCATGGTTGATTGCGGGTTGCGAAGTTTCGCACATACTTCGGATTTGTTCGTCAAGCCATTTAAAGGCAACTCTTGAAAGCTTCTTGTCTGGCGTACGGTTGGTGAGGGCATATGTCACAGGTATGTCTTTGAAAAACTTGAAGACGGCACATTGCATTGTCAACTTGTACAAATCGGTGTCGAGAAATGAGATGGCGCCCTCGGGGAAGGGCGAGGAACTGTTAAAATCCATGCTTGTGTGTCTCGAGCGCAGAGCACGCCGCAACTAGAAGACTATGAAAGGACTTTCCGACAACATGGGGAAGAGTAGTAGAGTGGGAGAATCTAGGCCGCAGCTGCTGACGACTCGATGACACTCGGAACCGGAGGTATGTTTCGTGTAGGCCGTGTTCGTAGTTCGTCGCTGACCAAACAAGCAAGTTAATGACACGCCAATACGAATTGTGCCGCCGTCGACCGGGACGGATGTAGAAAAAAACATTAAATGCGTTGAGGTTGAAATCAAGCGGCAAATAGGAGGACAGACTCTCCGTGGGATAGAGCAGAAGTCGTACTTACCGCACTGAAGCTCGGAGATGACCAAGCAAAAATGAGTCTAGAAAAGAGATGAAGTGCTTGAGCAAAGGCCAGAAGCCAAAGACAGAGGACATGGTGGGGTGGAGGGGCATTTCGCGCACTGACCACACCTTAAATCGCCGTTTTGGTTGTACAGGCCAAGGGAAAAAAAAAAATCAGGCGAGGCTGCATCCTTTTTTATTTTTCTGCCTCGTCGGTGGAACACCAGCCAGACAACTCCCAGCCCAAACACCCCGAAACATAGCACTCTACATTCTTCGGCGGTCGGGAATCGTGGCTTGGAATCTGCTGTGCTCGGCCATCGACTTTACGAACTTTGTGTGCATCGGACGAGCCATAAACGAGCCGACGCAATGGACGTGCATCGATGTCGGTTCGTGCCGTATCGGCCCTCCGCCATTAACGCTGTCGCCTTCTCGCATCCCAAGACGAGATCAGCCAAGCAGAACGCTGTAGCGAGGCTAGCCATCGGACGTGCCAACGGCGACATTGAAATATGGAATCCCTCCAGCGGGACCTGGCTCCAGGAGCTCGTTATTCGAGGCGGAAAGGATAGGAGCGTTGATGGATTGGTCTGGGTAAATGAGCCCGATCAGGATCTAGGCGAGGGTCGTACTGTCTTTGGAAAGTCACGCCTCTTCAGCATTGGCTACACATCTACAGTTACAGAATGGGATCTCGAAAAGGGCAAACCAAGGCGACATGCCAGCGGCCAGCATGGTGATATTTGGTGCATCGCTGCGCAAATTCAAGGCGACAAACCTCAGATTGCTGGCGGTGTACAGGTGACCCAACATTCCAACAAGCTCATTGCCGGAACCATTGATGGAGAGCTGGTCATGTACTCCCTCGAAGACGACGATCTGAGATTCCAGCGAGTCCTCGTCAAATCGCCCACCAAAAAGGCTCAGATGGTCAGCATCACCTTCCAATCCCGCAAAGTCGTCATTGTTGGATGCTCCGACAGCACTATTAGGGCCTACGACATTACAAGGGGTCATATGCTGCGAAGAATGACGCTAGGGTCGGATCTCCTCGGTGGCTCCAAGGATATCATTGTTTGGTCTGTCAAATGCCTGCCAAATGGCAACATTGTCTCTGGCGACTCAACAGGCCAGATATGCATTTGGGACGGGAAGACGTATACTCAGTCACAAAGAATTCAGAGCCACAAATCAGATGTTCTCAGTCTTGCCACAAGCGCAGACGGAACCGCCATCATGAGCGGAGGCATGGACCGCAGGACAATGCTCTACAAGCAGAATTCTGGTGCTGGTCAGCGATGGAGCAAGGTTTGGGGTCGGCGCTACCACGACCATGATGTCAAAGCAATGGCCGCTTTTGAACACGGACGCATTAGCGTTGTGGTTTCAGGAGGTAGGAGAGATAGTGATCCCTTTTCAGAAGGCGAAGTCGACTAACATGGTAGCAGGCCCCGACGCAAGCTTGATGGTTGTCCCGTTGAAAGAAATGGGTCGAGAAAACCACAGGATGATGAGCAACCTGCCACAACAACCGCCAATCACCAGCGCACCGAGAGTACGATTTATCGCCAGCTGGTGGGAGAGGGAGGTTCATATTTGGGTCTTGCGCAAGTCAGCTGCCGATTTGCTGGACTCTGGAGAGGAATTTGTTGATGTCAACCAGAATCGGAAACTGCTCAAGACTATCGTTGTCAAGGGAGATTCAAATATTGCTTCGGCCTCAATCAACCCGGAGGGCACCTTACTCTTTGTGTCTACTGCCACCGACGTTAAAGCTTTCAGGCTTGACCATGAAGAGCCTACCAAGCCCTCAGACGTGAAGATGTCGAGCATTGAACTGCCAGTCAAGCTTTCACGGCTCGGTGCCACACAAGTCAGACTCTCTCCCGATGGGCGGTGGTTGCTCGCAGTCCAAGAAGGATCCCGGATTCTCATGGCTGAGATCCAAACCGAACATACTTCTACAGAAACTATGCGAGCCCCTGTCAGGCTTCAGCGGCTTTCACGACTTCGCCGCCAGATTCCAAGATACATCCTGAACGGCGGTCTGGGCAACTACGACCGGAGCATTACGCAAATCACGTTCAGTGCTGACTCGAAAATGGTTGCAGTGGCTGATTTGGCTGGATACATTGACACATGGGTATTGCGCAGCCACGAGCAGAGTTTGTCGACCGGTGAAGAAATGGAGACACCTGATGACGCGGCATCTGCCTCCTCTGACAATGACACATCTGATGCAGAGGATGAAGTCGTCACTGACTCGCAAAACCAGTGGGTTCGCAACCCCAATGCGAAGCTATTACCCAAACTACCATCGTCACCGGTTGTTTTTTCCTTCTCGGACTACGTGCCTGAATCGAAACTGTCTCCAGAAGCTGAAGCCAAAGCCTACGGAGTCGATGATTACATCCTGGCCGCGGTAACCTCATCATGGAACATCTTTGCCTTCAATCCTCGTCACGGCGCGCTCAGCCCATGGTCCCGTCGGCACCCTCGTAAGGCCTTGCCCGGACCAGTTCGAGACCTTTTGGATTTGCCAAAGGGTGTCTTATGGCAGGGTTCACGGATGTGGCTGTACGGCGTGTCATTCTTGCTCATGCTTGATATGGGACAGGACCTTCATAGGTCCCCCGAAGTTGAGGGGAATGTTTCGCAGCTCACGCATGGAACGAAGCGCAAGAGAGTTGGTCGTACCACTGGTGCTGGCGGCAAAATGGAACGGGAGAACCTCGCCCCGCATCAAGTTCGAAAGCACGGCGCCGACGAAGAGTGGGAAGATGTCGATGTGGTTGAAGCACCTGAAGTTGATGACAGTGACAGCGATGTCGACATGGCGGATGCCGATGGTGAATCGTCTAAGCTTTGCTCCACCACGACCAGCAGCAAGACTGCTCTTCGAACCATGGCATCAACCACAGACGAACCCAAGAAGTGGTGGATAACATACAAGTATCGCCCTATTCTCGGTGTGGTGCCTATAGACACGCCCGGCCAGAACCTAGAGGTTGCTTTGATTGAGAGACCTACTTGGGACATGGAACTGCCCGAGAGGTACTTTGCGGAGGAAGAATGGGATCGGACGAACTAATTTACACCGCAATTTTGATGTTTGGTTCGATGGGAGGCGTCCCAGTCGGTATCCATGAAACGGGTCTCTTTCGCAACATCGAGCTACTCTCGTGAACGGCGTCGACGCGGACGAGTAGCCTACATCGCCCGATGCTGTACCAGAAGGGGCTGTACTTGGCGATTTACGTATTGGATGACGACTGAGAGCGGAGCTTGCAGGCTTGGCGAGATATCTTTGTTCCTGCAAGAGGGGTGCAAAGTAGATGACGTCTGAAGTCTGTAGCCTGTACAGCTAGCTACGTTTTGTATCTATTGGGAAGATGTAAAAGATGGTTCCATTAAGGGTAGAATACCATAGTGATTTATCATACAGGACATACAGCATCTGTTTTTTTCCCTTTTGCAATCCGCGGCTGCTCGGTATGGTGTCTGACAGGTGGTGGCCACGCGAGAAATCGTCGTTGCTTGTTTTGGAAACCACCAACTCTGGTGTTCCTTGGGAGCCTCTCACCTGCCAGTGAGGCGGTCTTGGAAGAAAAATGCACTTGGTCATATGCGGTTTCTTTACTAGTAATTCGTGGATATGCTACGCGTGGCCCATACGCTTCGCGCGGCCCATACGCTTAGTGTCTTTGACGCCTGTCACGATCATTTTTCCGAGTCAATTGGGTGCTTGTAGGGATCCCATATAATGCGTGGGACACGTCCTCGGTTTAATAGAGAAAGGGCTGTGGGGACTCGTGGTTGCATGCAAGCTGATGTGGATATTGGTGAGGCAGGTGTATATCAGATGAAAGACGTGTGACGTTTGGGTAGTTTCAATAAACTTATAGAACTGCGAACGGAGACAAGGACGTATCGTGATGGCTCTCCAGACGGGCTCATGCTTTTCTGCGGTTTAGGACGGTAGAGCTGGTATGATAGAACTTGGCGCAGGTAGGCTCAGGCATTACACCGACCCACCGTGCAAGTTCCAACGTTGTTTCTGAGGGATTCACGTAGGCTGTCGATTCCAAGGCTAGCGGACGGCTTGGAGGGCATTGTAAAGAGATCAGCAGGGGAGAATCGGCAGCGTTGTTCTGCGCCGTCCTGCGTCCTGCGTCGTAGATGGTGACGAGTGTTGGGCAAGCCGAAGGGGGATTTGGCACTGACTGGATCGACTGAGCCCTGGATGCGGTTGCATGACCGTCGGTATCAAGAAGAGCCCAAAACAACCTTAAACCCTGGTGATGTCGACGGCCAATATAGGTCTTCGCTACGGTCCGTACTTTGGCACATGTCCATGCTACGGTCCAAGAGACGGCTCCAGGTGAACAGTTTTATTCAACCGAGTCCTGATTTGTGTAGAATTTCAACGTCAGGCGGTGTCCGTGGTCGCGAGATGGAGTGGAGCTCTGGATTTGACGCAGACTACTCCGTACTGGCAAGATGACGCGCGTCCCCGAGCTTCAAGCCAATGCGTGTGCTTTATGCCGCGTAAACCTTATCGGGATGACTGGCTCCAGAGCAGGGTTGGAGAACAAAGACACCAGGTTCAAGAAGACTCGACTTTCGCTCATCATCTGTATTCCGTGTCGGCGTAAGTCATGATGTCCTTGACAGCAAAAAAGAGATCGTGCGGCGGCGAAGAGAGAAGGTTAGAGAGAAAAGGAGAAGCTGGAGCGGCAGTGGGCCGCATTGACTCTCCCCCGGTTGGTATGAGTGAGGCGTCACAGCATTGGTTAATACTATGACAGGTGTTTCTCTGCCACCATGAGGTAGTGATGCAGTGTAAGTAGGAAGGCAAAAACGAGTAAAGACCACGCACACAATTAACTCTACGGAGTTGAGTTCAGCAAGCGCGGAGGTTGAAAGTGTGATGGAGCATGCGCCACAGCTGCATGAGGCTAGTGAGGCGTCAACCAAGATGATGCCCCCTGTTTGTCAGTCGAAAGGCATGCCATGCCGCCTTCGAATTTTTCTTGTCTAGTTCCCATGAGACCGAACATGTACAAAAATAAAAGCGCGTCTCCTTGGAGTCTCCTGTCTCCTTAAGTAACTTATTGTACTTGGCACCATCTTGGCTGTCTTGCTGCATCGTAGGCCTGGCCTGGAGTGTCTCTGGGCCGCTTTCCCCGTGGTGACCTGTCGTGATTGGTCAGTGCTTCCGCACCCAGGATTCCGCGCGGAGGAGAGTCCTTCTGAAAGCCGGGTCGTCAACAGTTCTCGTTGGAGCAAGCACGCGGGTTGCGTGCCTCGTCATCGCCTCTTGGACCCCTGCCAGGCAGGTGGGGAGGTTCAAGCCTCGCCAAGGTACAGGTACCTGCGCCGGATGCTCTACCAAAATGGTAGGAGATAGTGTCGTAATCACTGGTCGCCTTCATTTACGATGGGAATCGTGCACCGTGCAGCGCGCATTTGACGCCGACGAAACGTACAGACGTATACCCTCAAAGTACTCAAGTAGCCAGGAACTTGAACGGTAGCTATGTGCGCACAGTTTTTAATCAAAGGCATCATCACAGCTACTTAAGTACGCGGCTGTGTACCATCCGCTGCTGCAACTGGCAGCTGGACACTCCGTTCTCCGCACTGTACCTAGCAAGATCATGGACAATTCAATTTTTGCGCGCGGGTGATGCTGTGGGCGAGACCGTCTGCGCGGCTCCCACAGGTACCGGTACTTCGATGGTCAATTCTCCTCCTGGGCAGCACCCATCACTCCCGGCTCATCTCCACAACGAGGCATGAGACAGCCTTTCATTGGCCATGACACACAGGCTGACGCGTAAACCGCCTGTGAGGGCCTCGACGAAAAATGAGGGACGACGACGACGACGCAAACCCGCCGCCCGAGACATTGAATCCACGTCGAGCCAAGTGGTCGACTGGCTCTTTTCCTTTTTCGCCCTCCCTGTCTTCGGTCCCTCTGTCCACTTCCGTGGTCTCCCCCATCCAGTCTTCGCCTGGGTTGACTTCCTCAGCGTCGCCACCTAACGGCTGCGTATCGACCGTACACTCACTTCACAAGGACTGCATTGTCTTTGTGGCCGCAGATTCGCATCCTCGGTTTTGTACAGGATTCGATCCATTGTTTTGGCTATCCGGATTGATTGCGTGGACTTTGTCGCCGTCGCGATCATATATCGGCCCTCTCTGGTGCGTCCAGGGTGGTTTCGCTGCTAAGTGGCGACTTGCGAGGTCCACGAATCCATTCAGCTGACGACGACGACGACGACGACCACGACCACGTCTACACTTTGCTTGCCTAGTTGCGACAACACTCTTTACCGACGTCTCATCTCTTCCTCGCACATCTCGTTTTGACCTTGATTTTCCGCTCCCATCTACCCCGGAACGACTTGTCCCTCCGCAACACACAACACAATTGTCCTCAACGACATCCTCATTGACGACTTGGCGGCGGTGATCACGCCGAGCTGCAGCTTTTCCGCCATGGAGGGTAGAGGCAGCCCATTAAGTCCCAACGCTTCGTCGTCCTCGGATGGCCAATATGGAGAGGAATGGGCACGCGATCTCCGCCTCAAGTTTGAGGGCCTTTTGAGGGATAAGCGCATGAATGACTTGCGCTCTTGCACTCGAAGTCATTCACCGCGGCGTCAATCCCCCGGTTTATCAGGGCGTGCCTCTAACGCTAACCTGAATTCCCATGCCTCGCTCGCCGACAATACGCCTGCAACTACTCGCGGCATTGAAACTCCATCAACGCCTCCGGCGTACTCGTGTATCCGCCACCTCCCCAAAATCCCAACAGCACCAGCCGCAGGAGATCGAGACTCGCAAAAGTTCCGAAACCTTATGATCAGCTTATCGCTGACTCCGACAAAGTACGAGAATCCAGGCTTGCTGGATGAGGCTCTGCAAACTATTCCTCTCGATCGAATCTACAGCGAGGCCGAAGAGGAGTGCCAAGTTCTGCAAGCTGAAGCAGAGAGTATGGGTGACGGTCGTCGACCGGAATGGGGATATCAGGATTGTGTAATTCGTGCACTCCTCCGGTATGCCAAGAAGCTCACATCTACCAGTACCCCGACCAGTTGACTAACTTTGTGTGAATTTTTAGATGGTTCAAGCGGTCGTTCTTCACTTGGGTCAACAATCCTCCTTGCCCAGTATGCCTGTCCCCAACTATTGCGCAGGGCATGACAGCCCCCACCCCCGAGGAAAGCGCTTGCGGTGCGCTTCGTGTAGAACTGTACCGATGCTCTGCTCAGAACTGCGGGGCCTACGAGCGATTTCCTCGGTATGGTGACGTGTGGCGACTTCTTCAGACCAGACGAGGGCGCGTTGGTGAATGGGCGAACTGCTTTAGCATGCTTTGCCGCGCCGTAGGTGGCAGAGTTAGGTGGGTATGGAACGCTGAGGACCATGTGTGGACCGAGGTCTACTCAGAACATCAGCGAAGATGGATCCATGTCGATGCGTGTGAGGAGGCTTGGGATAGCCCTCGTCTTTACACGGAAGGATGGGGCAAGAAAATGTCATACTGCATCGCCTTCTCTATCGATGGAGCGACCGACGTGACACGACGATATGTCCGAAACAACGAGTACGCCGCGGAGCGCAACCGTTGCCCCGAGGAGGTTATGCTTTACATCGCACAAGAGATCAAGAACATTCGCCGAGGCAACATGAACAAGGACGAACGCTTTCGTCTCGAAAAGGAAGACCAACGCGAGGACAAGGAACTTCGCGGCTACGTGGTGGCTTCAATTGCACAGGCCGTCACCGATCTTGTTCCTGGCGCCCCGAGCTCATCATCAGCAAGCACCAGCCGCACTGTGCCCAGTCGTCGACAAGACGTCAAGCTCCCAGCCGAGCAACTCGTACAGCAGACCGGCAGCGCTGCTTGGTTAATGGCTCAGCAGCAAGCACGGAATCAACAATTTCAACCCCCTCGTGACCCTCGACAGCAGTAAGACCGAAAGAACGGCGCAACGCTCAGTGTAGCCTGCAGCAACATTTGTTTACAGAAGTCCGTCTATTGGGCTTTCTGCCAGCTCGTATTGCTAAAGTGACCAATTTATTGCTACGCGAGATGGTTGGCCGCCACGACCTGTGACGAATACATCGACGACCTCTTACACGGCTTACGTTAGCCACGTGGTACTGAAGCTATATGATGACCCTGAACCCGTGTGGAAGAGACGCGACGATCTCGCGCCACTAATCTTTCACTATTTCTTTTCCCTCGGGTCTAATTTATTATGTCTTTTCTAACATCTTCTTGAAATCCCGCCGTATTGTCACATACATTTTGCCATACCTTACAGTTTGAGCATTTGACAAGTCACGGCGGCCTGTACCTTAGTTTAACATGTGGACATTTTGTCGCACCATGTCTTTCTTCAAGTTTCTTTCGTCCTTGGATACATATAGGGGTGGTTAATGGACGGCGCATCTCGGACGGGAAAGGACAGTTGTCTCTGTCGTGGATATTTGATTTAAAATTCAGCTATTGCCCCCCCCCCTGGCGGTGTTGAAGTGCGACTTTTATTATTCTCATTTCCTGGAGTCGGACGTGAGGGCAAAAAGATGGAGTGGAGGAGAACCTGAAGCTGATTAGGTTCAACAAGAATGGGATCTGCGATTTACTGCATAGCAATAGATGGCGAATACAAAAAGTGCTCGGTCTAACATTTTCTGCCTTGACGGTTTTGAAAGAACTCGACGCGGAACAGAAGAGTGTCCCGAGGAAACATTCAAGACGACAGGTTCCACTGGCAATATCTATACTGTTTACATTAAGCAGCAGCCAACATGCGACTGCCCCCAATGCTTTGAAGGAGATCCAATGCAAACACGTTACTTATGTATGGCTGAAACACACCAGCATTGTTGGGGGACTGTATCACGGCGGTACTGACTATTTGCCAGATTCTTCCCAGGGTGCTTCAACCTGAGCGGCGAGCTGCGGCCCCATCTTTGCAAATGCGCCGTCGGTCGGCCCTGCAAAGTCCTCTGAGAGCGGCAAGCGCAAGGATGTCGAGGGCGACTGCCCCATTTGCTTCTGCGCATTTGACACCAAAAGCCCCGAGTCCATCGTCTGGTGTAGGGCAGCGTGTGGACAAAATATCCATCAGGTGTGCTTCGAGAGGTGGGCCGGGACCAAGAGGAACAACGATACTTGCCTTGCCCCTTTTGCCGCAGCAGGTGGGAAGGCGGTTCTGAAGCCCGTTTCGAAATTGGTTACGAGTGGAAGCGTGTCGAACGAAGGCTATGTCAACGTTGTTGATCAACTCGGTATCGACCCCAACAGAGGTATGCGACCGTACCTGGTTTGTGTTTCGAATCGCCTTCGCTTTAAGCTTGCCACTAACCGATGCGTCTTATATTTTCCTGGGCCGCAGCTCCTACTCGGGATGGAGTAACTATGGGCACGGCAGGAGGAGAGTCCCTTGGTATGAAAGGATTGACGATTATTCACTTGATCGTTACTATGGCTATGACGACGATGATGTCTGGACAACCCAAGGCAGAGGGAACAATATGTGTGAGTTTGTGCTACAGTGGTGGGCGGATGCGATGTCGGCGACAATCTCTACGAGGGTGCAAGCGGACGCAACCACCCGTAACCCAACAATAGACGTCGACGCGTGCGGCGCCCGTCATTATACGCTTCATCCTGACACTCGCTTCGGCCTTTGATGCCCGGCGACACGAGGGTCTCGGTCTAATTGAAGCGTGTTGCGGAGGAACACGACGTGCGGTGGATGCCCCAGTGTACTTGAAGAACACGGTTTGATGGATGAGCAACCTGGCTTGCCAGTTGTTCCCGTGTCCTGAGGAAGCCAAGGCAGGGCAAAAAGGTCGACAGTCTACGGCAGCCACTTGCCAAAGGCAGGAAGTGCATGGCGACTGGCTCACGAAGCAGAGACACTGCGTTCAACTCGTTTCGGAAACGAGGCAGGGGCGCCGGCCACGTGGCAGGGACCAAGTCTATAACTGCAGCACCTATTAAAAGCTAAAGATAATCTAAAGAGCAGGGAAATCGGCGTGTCCGTGTACTACCGATGATGACGTTTTGCTTTTCGATAACCTGCCGCCAGCAGCAGCCTGTGAGCTGAGTGGTAGCATTCCACTGCCAATGAAGAGACCGAGGGCGAAGATGGCAACACGCCCGTCCTTGTTTATCTGTAGACTTGTAGGGTATGAGGCCTTATTTGACACACCCAGAGATTTACAGTGAGATGAGAGTGCATTGAAGGTTAACAAGGCCCTAGGCGTTATATTAGCAAAGTTAAGAGTGTCCTGGTCTACATATGTAGTCATCATCTTACGGCCTGGTCGCCAGTGCAGCAAGCAACCTGGTTATTGCAAGCCGTGGAAATTGGAAGGAGAGCTGTGTTGGATTGTTACTAAAGTCGTCCATCACAAATGGGAAGAGTTTACTAAATGACGCTTACAAAGCAGCGGGATAGGGCTGCAGTTTCCGCCCACGAGAGCCAGGCCGCCATTACAGCAAGAAATTACCTGGCCGTTGCCGCATTTTGCAGAGGCTGCTTTAACCGTCGGGACTTTGGTGCCGTCACGATTCTGCAAGGGAGGCGCGGCGAACGCCACGGCGACGGTGGCGGCAGAGAGGAAAACGTTGAAGAGCATTGCGAATGGGCAGCAAGTAGGGTCAAATCAGTATCGACCTTGGGTAAATCGATCAGTCTGCAGAGAGATGTGAGTAAAGCAGCCGAGACAGCCTTCCGGTGTGCGAGATTCGAAAACCGATAAAATCCCTGCACACGTCCATGGTGAGAGCGAGGAGCTTTTATATGTTGCGTCGCATGTGGTGTGTCTCTGTCGAGGCCAACGATGTCAATCGCGTTCAATGTCGTCAGTCGTCGGGCCAGCTGGAGAGCTTGTCAATCGGTCCATGAATCACTTGGAATCGTGGCGCGAAATAAACTTCCTCCGCGGGCATTCTGACCGCTCGTATCAGGGAGGTGGTTGAGGCGAAATTGACTCTTGCGCGGCTCCCGTATGGTTTATGATTTACTCTCGACGCCCGGGGTGGAGGTTGCCACCGAAGAATTTCGGTCGCCGGCGTGTCAGGCAACGGGCTCGGGAGGTGTCGATTTGAGTCGAGCAGCAGTGTAGGGCCATGCACAGCCCACCTCATCATTATATCATGGTAAAACTTAGTATCGAGGCCGCCGGGAGGAAGAGATCTGAGGTTGGGCGGTGCCAGCCAAAGGCGGGTTGGAAGAGGCCCTGTGGAGAATGGAGAAGGCGGTCAGCAGAGGCTGACTGACATTCGGAGTACGGGGTAGTGACATGGGTTTCATGGTCCGTCAACCCCAACCCTGAACTGCTCCGTTGCATGTGATTAGCTCGGACTGCCCCACATGTGTCCATTTAACGCGCCAACGCGAACTTGGAACTTGCAGCCTCGACCGCGTCCAAGTTATCACACCTCGTGGACCAGACAACTCTTTCTAACAACCAATTCAGCAATCCGCTGTCCTCTCATCCTACGTCCCGTCACCATGACACTCAAGCGCAAGCGGTCCGACTCCGAACTCTGCTCATCACCCTCCTCATCCTCCTCATCCTCCTCAATCTTCAGCTCGCCACCCAGCAACTCCACACGCGACGTCGACCCCCATCTCTTTCACGACTTGCCAACCGCCCACCTGAACAGCCGGACCTATAAACGATTCAGGGACAACAGGCCGTCGGAGGAAGTCGTCCACCGTACGTAACCGTCCGTTGTCGTAGCACAGTCCAATCCGCTTACCAACGCACCGCAGAGCATACATTGAATTTACTCTACTCCGCCCAGCAGCAACACGCGCCGACTGCCCAAGTAGCCGGCCGTCATCCGTCGCCCCAGACAGGACCTGCACCTCAGGAAAGGAGGCAGCAGTCTCTCCATCGCTTCTGGAGCATCAGTTCCGCGCCCACACCGGTCATTGAATCGACGGTTCAGCAGCCCGCCCTTGCACCGTCGAGCTGCGAGGACTGTGACGCCGGCCTTGGGACCAGCGGCAACAGCCATTACGTGGATGCGGATGATGCCACGGCGCGGAATTCGGCTTGTGGCGCCTGCGGGAGGCACGTCTGCTTCAGCTGCTCCGTGAGCAATCTGGGCGAGGAGAAGCGCTGTCTCCGGTGTGCGGGCCGGAAGGCATTCGACAGCGTTGGCTGGTCCAACATGGAAGTAACGTTGTGCTAAAGATGGTGTTTTAAAAAAGCAAGCGAGTCCAGATTGGGGTGGCGTCAGCATTTGGGAAACGGCCCTCATCTCCTTGATTTATGGGTTAGCTTTGGCGTTTTGGAATGGGAATGGGACAATCAGGGTGTCGAGCAAATGGGTGCAGGTTACATCAATGATGGATGGGCAGGCGTGAAATTTATTTGTGGGTTTATTCGCCGCCGACAGAATTGGGCTTATGCGGTCGTATCCCATTGCGTGCATTGACACGGGAAGAATGGCTCGAAATGGCCAGCCGCTACAATGTACGTAGCAGCAATGCTTCCGCCCAGCAGTGGAATGACCACAGTGAGATTGTACATTATATTATACTGGTGAAATCATTGCACCAGACGTAATTTTAAAAAAATTGACGGTATAAAATAGCAACTAGAGAGGCTAACCACGACGGCGAGTAGTCGGCCCCCTTTTAGGAGTTCCTGTTGAACTAGCCTTTGGCTTGGCCTCAATGGGCGCCGCCTTTCGCTTGCCCTTGGCCTTTGGCGAGGGCGCGTTCCAGTAGTACATCATTTGCAAAGCCAGAACGAGGTTCAGGGCAAAGCCAGAGATGAAGCCATAGAGAATCAGCTTGTCGTCTACCTCCTGGAGGGTAGTGAAGATTCGCGAAAGAGATCCAGCGAGGTAGTTGAAGACCTGAAGCGCATCAGCGGTTGAGCAGACGGACAAGAAAGCATGAGGAGAGCAACGGGGCGGGCAGGTACATACAGCAAAGGCGCTGAGCTGGCCGGTACCGCCCTCGTGCCAAATGGCCAAGATCTGGGGGACCTTGCTTGCAACACCGAGGACACCTGCGCCGGCCTGCAAATAACTGAGGGCCTTCATATCCAGCACATTCTCGGCGAACAAGGCCGCAACACTGCCAGCCAAGGCGGCAACCAAGACGGCGGCCATGCTTGCCCTCCCGCTATAGTTCAGCACCAGGACGGAGATGATGACGTTTTGGCCCAGAATCAGCGCCGTCTCGCCAAAGGTGCTGAAGGGGAAGCCGTTGCGGACATTGTAGGCGAGGGTGATGAGGTACGCGGTCGTCTCAAGGAGGTACGACAGGAAGGAAACGCCCTCTGCGGACTTGGAGCTGACGAGCTTGAGGATCTGGGGCACCTTGACGATGGAGGAGGCGGCGATGATGCCGATGCCAAGGCCCTTGGACACGGCGAGCTTGAGACACTCTGTGTTTTCGAGGTCGACGTCGAGGAGAAGGGCTTTATAGCACTGGTCGCCGATGATGGAGACGCCGAGGTCGCGGATGGGAGGGGGGAGGTTGTGAGTGATGGGTTGTATAGCCGTTCGGAGTAGGTCCATGGTGGTGGTTTGACTGCCGAGATTGGCGATGCCGACGTGGACGGGGGACCGCGATTTGCGGGCAAAGGGGAGAGAAAGGAAAGCAGAGAGATGTCGGGAGTGCTGCGTGAGATTTTTGCCGTTAGCTCGTGGGTGAATAGAGGTGAAGCGACATTTAGGATGCGGCTATAATTACCAGGACGCTGGATGACGGATGCCGAAGACTGAAGAAGCCGTGACCAACGGCGAATGCAGCTGTGTGCGGCTGTGGATCAGAGAAGCTTGCAGCCGATGACGGGAGCCGGAGCTTCACATGGTGTCCGACGCACGTTCCGGGCGGTTGCCTACCCTAGACATGTTTCCGCGAGGATCCGTTTGGTGCCGTTTGTTTGTGCTTGCAGTGACCTTGCGCATCTCCTGACATAGCATTCTGCCCTATTCAATAAAGGCTTGACCAAGTAGGGAGCAGGCACCCGTGCGCGATCTGTGAGGCGTGCTGTCCGGAAACAAGAGGCAGGCCGCAGTCGGGCATGGAAATGCTCGTTGGTGAGATGCGGATCCTCAGCGACAGCTGTTTCCCAGTATGTAACTGTGGAATCCGGCACAATGACTGACATGTTTCTACATCCAAGTAACCATCCAGAAGTATTGCACGCGGTGGTTGGCCTAAAAGACCGAGGCGGCCACGCCACTGAAGTTATCCATGGGCGACTGGCTGCGGTATGGTCTGGTCAACTGATTGGTCTTGACCGCTCGGCGCTGATTTGTACGGAGTATCGTGGCGATGGTGGTCTTTTCCCGTGCCGCTAGGCCAATTCGGTGCATTACCGATTCACCGTCGACCGACACGGGACCGACACGGGACATGGATGACGCAGATGATGGCGCTTGTCAGCCCACCAGCGCATGAGGCACCTGGAAGGGCACCTAACCCTGGGCCATGAGAGCACCAAGGAGACGACGGAAGCGACGATGCAGACAGAGGGGACAGATAGATGACATGGGCGCCCTCAGATGCTTCGATGTGTTGTATCGGGTCTGGTGTTTTCGCTGCCTGCTTACTGCCTGCTCACCGCCCGCCGCCCGCCGCCCACCGCCCACTCTCGGCTGCTTGTCATTGCGGCATTATGGACGACATCTGGAGCCATTCATCACTCGTCAATCTCTCATCCCAGATCATCATGGCCCCGTCAGGCCACATTGGGCATCAGCGTTGCGGAGAAGCCTAGTTGACATTCCGCATCGAATCGAATCCCTATGCCCTCTGCGCACACGGCACGCTTTCAGCCAGTCTTGTGTCCTTGACTGACGGTGTGACTTTTGCATGCTGTTAGGCTGCGTCTAAGCAAGCGACCAAGACCGGTCAAAATCTCCAATCACATCATACATCAGTACAACATCAGACCAGACCAGAGCGGACACCACTTGGCCAGACGATTGCGCCCGCCGCCGCCGCATCACGACGACGTTCAGCCGTCCAGACCATTCTTGACCCTATCCTATCAGTCCTTTGTCTGCGGCAGCCTTTGTGCATCGTCATCTGGCCTGCCACCGCCTCTCTCGTCGCTCTGTTCCGAATGTACTGTCCCGCTCCCACGACCAGTCCATCATTTCCAGCCTTCACCAGCTGCATATCTTCCGTTGCCCCCACGAATCCTCTACCCTCGTCTCGATAAAACAGTTACGTTGCATGTGAGCGGCGCGCCGGCTTGCCATGACGTCGCCTTCCTCTGATGCGTCGCCCGACTCGGCGGTTCAGTATGCTTACATGTTTGAGAAGAATAAGGGCCCTACAAAGCAACTCGATGCCCTGTTGAGGGCTATTGCCCGTCACGTCGTAAGGCACCATGCAACGCTGCTTTTGCTCCCAACAAGTCTGCCGTCGAGCTGGATTTGACGTCACAAGACCTGCAAGCTGACACAGGCTGTTGTAGATGCTGGAGATTGGCGAGAAAACGGACAACCATCTCACACCAAGTAAGCTGGCTGCCTTTTACAAGGCTGTTGGCGGCGACTATGATGGTGCGTTGCCTTCAGCGGCAGGCCAGAAACACCTTGCCTGCTCGCCCGAGAAATTGGTCCATGCTAACCTTCTTCGCCACGTCAAGCTCTCTTCGTGGACACACCTCACTCAACTATCTCCTACCTGTGGCAGATTACTGGCTGCCAGCACAGCCTCCAACCTACGGGGAATGACTTCGATCCCCCATCAATACCAGCCCTTACCTACCGCGGGTTTTCCAGATGGGAGTCGTTGGAAATTTTGCTTGGACCTGAGGAGCATGTTCCGTTTCTACAATTCGCCGTCAAGAGGTGGAACCTGAAACACCCCGAAACCGGTGCAGATTTTCCCGTCGATTTACCTTGGACTTGCTTCCCCGAGAGAGCTGACCAAGACATCGATCGATGGCACAAAAGTTGCGCAGACAAGTTGTGGATGGCAGCCTCTAACGATGATGGGGCGACGCCGAAGCCATCGCCTGCAAACGAGCAGCCTCCCCCTCCAAAGTTCACTTACGCCCACTTCCAGGAGCCCTTCTCGTCCACCTCTTCACCGCGATCGAGGCCAAGTGATGGAGATTATTATGGGCGGCCCATGTCGTATTCTCACGTACCACGCCGATACGCCACTCAACGCGAGCCAGAACGGTCTCCAGACAGGCCACGTCGCGGTGACACGCCGCCGGATGATAGAGAAAGGAGAAGGAGGAGCTTTTCCGACTATGGCTCTGGCCAACCTGACACAGAACCCCCGTTGACAAGGGGGTATTCGCCGACATATTTTGATGCCAACATGAAAAAATCAGGTGCCGGCAGGAGGCATAGCCACCCAAGACACGAGATGGCTGATCCATCAGACGACGAGCCGGTTGGGGATCCTCGAGAGAAGCGACGTCGTCACCCAAGTCCCCCACCCCCTCCGTCGGTCCGCAGATTTGTACGTGCGGGCGCTTCTTCACAGTCGCAGGGATCCGCCAATGGGTCCAGCAACCTCCGCCCGCTCCGGCCGGACGGTCGACCAGACGAAGCAAAGAGACGCACCGGACCAAGCCCATTGGGCTCCCTTCGCGATAGGTTCACGGAGACGGTCAGCAGTATTCTCCCCAACGGCCTCACCTCCGACCGTCCGCGGTCCGGCTCGAGACAAAATTCCGGGACGGAATCTATTCGAATGAGGAGGAGTCGGGAGCAGGTTCACTCTTCACGCTTGAGTCGAAGCTATTCCGACATGGACACAGATGAGTCTGAAGACAATGCGGTGATAGAAAGCGATGGTCGGAGGAGGCGAAGACCGCGCGAGGAGCGCGAGAGAGAAAGAGAACGAGACCGGGAGCGACATCAAAGGGGCCGGCTCCGTCACCACGACCGCGACTGGGAAGAAGACAGGGACGTAGATTTGAGGAGAGACAAGGTCTACTTGCGACGACCGGAGACACAGCGAAGGACAAGCAGCCATGCCGACATTGATAGAAAGCGAGACCCACCAGAATGGGACCCTCGCGATAGGGACCGAGATAGAGACAGGGATCGCCTGAGAGACGAGAGAAGGAAGTGGGAGAGACGGATCTCTCCAGAAGAGGATTTCACGGGCCCCGCGGCGGCAATGGCGGCCAGGCGTACGCATCCTGAACCCGCGTATAGCTGAATGAATGTCGGGTGAAAAGGTCGGGATGCTGCCCACTACGCCGTGCCAAGAACACGACACTGGAACCGTGAGGTGATGGATGAAGATTATTTTTTTTACGCTGCCGCAACGGATCACGTCCACAGGATGTGCGGAACGCACTCATGATGTTCACGACACCTCATGCCACGTTTATGAAATCGATGGGTGTATAGCACGGCATGGCCCAGCATGAGCTAGCCAACTCTCGTAGCACAATAGACCCATCAGCTCCCAAGTATCTAGTCTCAATAACGTGATATCAAGCAAGACGGCGCCAGTGGCATCTCCATACGATGGAGATGCGTACGCGTGGAGATATTTACACGAGTTGAGCTGTTGCTTTGCAGAAAAACATGAATGCTCTTATCATCTGCACGGCTGAATACGTGGGCTCATAGCTGCACGGCAGGGACTCTAGGGCGGCATGAGAGAAGGGCCAAACCAGGACTGACTGGTCGGCGCTGGGATGAAGGCTGCGGCCGCGATGGGCGGTTGGAGAATTCGATGGCGGTGGTTGAAGAGCGTCGGGCAAGTCGGGCGTGTGTAAGCAAGCGGATGAGGTATACTCCGTAGTCCGTACATGAAAACACTGTGTACCATCCCACCAGGGTAGGTAGTGTGGATGTGGACCTACGAATTGCTTCATTAGGAACACTCTTGTCGACTGCAGAGTACGCCAAGGGGGAGGGAGACAGACGACAGCCTACACTCGACTGGCGACTTGACAGGACACGTGCAGGTTCAGCACGCCCAAAACACAAAGGGACACGAGGAAAGGAAGCCAAGGCACATCAAGGGCGACATATCAAGGCAAGAGTCGGCTCGTCAAACTGCACGCGACGGTGCGAAGAACGGCCATTCTGCCCTTTTTTCGTTGACAAACTCGTCTGGTAGCGACAGTAGATGCGTGCAGCGGTGTGAGGATCAAAAGTACAGGACAAGCATCGACATTACATGGCCCTCAGAGCGGATGCCCAGTTCCCGTCCATCCAGGTGCGAATGAGACCGTGACAAGATTCGGAGTCTCGCGCCCTCTGCATTCCTCCCAGGCTAATGAACAAGACTAGGTAAACTGGCACTGTGAAACTAGTTAGCCACTGCGCTTCCACGAGGACGAGGACACATACGTCGAAATTGGACTCGGCGAATTTCTGGCTATAATTTTTGCGAATGTTGTCGCAGGCTGTTTGGGTGAAGCCTTGACTGTTTGGGAGTTGGTCCGAGGGCGGAACCGCTTGAGCGGATTCGGCATCTAGGATGCTGCCGGGACGATTGCGTGAAGGGGCCGGCTGAGCAAATTCAGGATCCAGGACGCCGCCGGGGCGCTTGCGTGAAGGAGCCGGCTGGACGCCGCCAGGGCTCTGGTCCGAAGGAACCGGCTGGGCAAAGTCAGCGTCCAGGACGTTGCCGGAGCTCTCATCCGCAGGAGCCGGTTGAGCAAAGTCAGGATCCAGGATGCCGTTGAGGCTCTGGCCCGAAGGAGCCGGCTGGGCAAAGTCAGCGTCCAGGACGTTGCTTTCAACATCGCCAGAAGGCAGGAAGCCAGGATTTGCTTCAGCCAGATCGCCAAAGTCCTGTGGATCACGGACGGCCAGCGGCTGAGCCGCAGCCAGTCCAACAAGCAAAGCGGCAAAGGCAACGGGGAGATTCATTGTTGGGGGCTGATGCTTGGTTCTGGCCTAGCAAAGACTCGATAGACAGAGAAGTTGGTGAGTAGAATTGTCGACGGTACAATGTCGACGATACCAAATACCCGCGATTACAACTCCATATATACTTGACACAGCTGCCAGCGAGCCTGGGAATCTTCTTCCATCATGGCGATGACGTAGATTGCGAGTTGCTCGGTCAGGACGGTCTCCGAGTCCAGTGGTTCTATTCGACTCGATGGAGCCACGAGCATTATCCTGCGACAAGGACGCCAGATAATCATGCGTACTGTGAGACTCGAATCATTGCGAGAGTGCAAACGGCCCGACCATTGCTCATCGAAGTGACCAGACGGTCCGGTTAATCACGGCTGCCTGTTGCGTCATCCAGTCGAGCCCGCGAGTCAGCCAACGTGTCGCCGAGTCTCGACGGGTACGCACGCCGTACTCTCAAGAGGTTGTCCTCACCAGGGGCACGACTCGGACAATTGCCGCTAATCACGGCAGAAAACTCTCCGAGATGCGAGGCAAGTCGAAGCACGCAAACACCCTGGACCCGTCGATGCAGGGCGGTGCCAAGTCCAGGAAACAGATCGCCGCCGCACGCACTGTTGAGACTTGAAACTTGGCGATATTTTGGTCAAACCGGGGCCACTCGTCGCGGGTTGACGTCACAACAACGAGCTGATTGACTCGTTGGGTACGGCGTGGAACACCACGGTTGACTTGACTGATTCGCAGAAGCTAGCCCACTGGCCAAATCGTACTTGCTATGAGGCAATAGAGGCGTGGTCGACTTCCCCAACAGCCTCTTGCTCGTGAGAGTTTTCAGAGAAATGAAGAGGTCCGCGACGTCGGTGATCTGGTCACGTCGAATCGACTCTACACGCTTATCCAATCCTGATGATCTAAATGACGACGGCATCACATAGGCCTTCCCGCACATCGCACATCGCCTTCTCCGCACAAACAGCTTGTTCCCTGAAGATTGTACTATGAAGCCCTGTGTTCTAGGTGCGTACTGACATGAAAAGACATCACCTGCTCCTGCGCGTTGCGGCCATGTCCTGGCCCACTCCGAACATTTATTTCTTCTGCCAACGTTTGTAGGCACTATCAGTGTTTATCGTCGACCCTCAGCGCCATGCATTGATACTCCCCCCTACGTCGTTTGGTCCGGCGACAGGGCGGTCATAACTAGAACCAGCAAACTGATCCTGCAAGGTCTGGCAGAGGCCAGGACCCTCAACGTAGGAATCTCGAGGTGCTTGTGCCGTGAACTCGGGGTCGAAGTTGGTAGTGTCGAGGGCATTGGCCGACCATGTCAGCCAGCCTGTTCAGTCACGCAGCATCTCAAGCGTCCACCGATCCACAGGTCTGTTATGGCCACGGCCGAGTAAAGTTCCGGTGCGAGATATCTAGGTGCGCCGCAGAATGTATCAGTACGATCTTCGTCTCTCATCTCGAGCTTACAGACTAAAGTCGCAAAGTGCAAAATGGCCTTGGTAGTCAAGGAGGATGTTCTCTGGCTTTAGATCTTGACAGATTCCATTCAAGCCATGAAGACGCTCTAGCGTGTAGACAAGCTCGGCTGTATAGAAACGGGCGCAACTTGTATCAAATTTCTATTCATTGTAAGGTGATGGACTAATTCCCTGCTGTTTGTAAAAGCTGAAATAAAGTAAAGCTTCTCTGGGGACCGGAAAGTAAACTTGAGAGGGACAATAAAACAGATCGTTCAGCAAGGGTATGGGTCACCTCGGAGCGGGAAATGGTTTTGGCTTTCCGTGTCGTTTGTAGGGCGTAGATGCGATTTGTATCCATTTTCCTTACTGGTGTAACTTTTCCGAAACTTCTTTTCCAACGACGTTAAATAACTCAAAGTCGTCGATGCTGAGCTTACTGGCTTAGTTCTCCACAAACTCGACGCCAATCTGAAGCGTTCCGGTTCCACGCCGTAGACTGAACCACCCAACGCCATCGAGTCCTTGAGTCCTTTTGTCATTTTTGCCAGAGTTGGCGTTTTTGAAGATTGACCAGCGTGAAATCGCGGAGCAAGGCGAACGACACCCAGGAAAAATGGCCTGCGACCGACCTGAACCAGGCGCAGCATTGCGGCTGCGGATGAAGAGACGGGCTGTCGGCTCTGAGATTCTGGAAACGTCAAACTTGTACTGGGTGTTGGAGCCGGCCGTGGATAGTCCAAGTGGCAGTTGCCCAAGGTCAGCCGACTGAAGGAGAGATTTTGCTCGGGCCAGTTTGTAGTCAGGTTGTCAACACTCCAACCATGACCCTGTATGAAGCTAGCATCTTGCCGCTCGTGAAGGAATTTTGCCGCGTCTAATTGGTGCTCTCAACTTGCGGAGACGCAGCTGCCCGCTAAGCTGCATTGCAGGTTACCCGGCCAGGGACATGAAATCCCCTTTTCGGGAATAATAGTTAGGTTGAATGCTAAACGCTTACCTATTTACGCCACCGCGAACTCAGGTCTGGACGACAGACATTGTGGGAGAACGAGGCGTTGCAAATCCGCAGCTCCACCGGACGTTTTCAGACATGCAAGGGTGGCCCCACTGGAAGCACCGACCAGAGTTGGGGTTGTAGTGTAAATGTCGATATCACGACAACAAGTGTTGCGAAAGTATTTCAAATAAAAATAAGCATAATCAGTTTGCTCTCCAGCACATTGAATGGTCATCCAACTGTCATCATGGCCTCTTTTTAAAGCTGTGGCGATCTTGGGGGGGCTGGCGAAGCTGTGGGGCGGCACGTTACGTTTACCCAAGTGCCTTATCTGCTCAAGTGGACAGCATCTGGCAACATCCGGCAACGTCTGGGCAACATCTAGACATGGTCGTCTTCGCTCCCGGCCTTTTGTGCGGTACCACAAGCAACTCGTCGACAGCAGCCCGGCCCGTTGACTGGCGCCGACTCTGTGACAAGGCACCGACCGAACCCAACGTCTCTCCTTGACCGAGGCGAACCACTCACTCTCCTTCCCCTTCCCCTGACCCTGACCCACGACCGCCGTCTTGCTCGTCTTCCTCCGCTGCTGTATCAAAGGCTTCAGTCTTCCAACTCGAGCAGCGTGCGGATGCGCCTTTCGCTTTGCTTGTGCCCGCAGCCACCGGTGGTACACAGAGGCGCACCAGTTTTGGTTTTTGTCGAGGCAACGGCGCTGGCTTTGTCGGTCTCATCCTGCCATCTTAGCCTCTCCCGCCTTCTTCGCCTCGAAAACCTTGCTTGTCAAAGCCAGGTGAGCGAGCCCCGGCCTCGTCGTCATTTCTCTTTCGCTGACAGCATATTCCTTGCGCCACCATCATTAGGAAAGCCAACCGCCGCCCCTTCTTCGACGTCGTCGCTGGAAACCACACACACCGCATAAAACATACCAGGAATTTACCCTCAGCAATCAATCCAGTCGCAAACAGACACCATGAAGGGCCGCCCAGTCGAAGACTTGGTGCACGAACAGCTCTTCCCCAGGCCCAAAGCCAGCGATCCGCAGAATTTCCAGGCGTTTCTGCAGCGCAGTCTCATCCCCGAAGTCCGCCAGGAGACGCATGCCTTTTACGGACACCTCGAAACCCAGGAGGCCAAATATCCCGGCCTCGACTACACTCACCCAACCCATAAAATTCGCCTCTGCCGATGGCCGTGCCACAGACGCCTCTTCCGAGCCTTTGACGTCCTGCGCCTTACCAAAGGTGAAATCTGCCGCCTTACCAAATGGGAGGGCACGAAGTGGGCAAAGGAAAAATTCGAGACGGAACAGGGAGTCGCCATTAGAGACACAACCGCGGACGAGGTATCCGACTGGGCACCGCCGCCAGAGGTCGAGCTGCCCGAGACCTCGCGCACCACACTGGCCGGATCCTCGCAGGAGCAAATCGCCGCGTCGACCCGCAACCTCGGCGTGCTGGACCATGAAGACGACGCCAATCGGGAAGATGAAAGTAATGGCGAGTTTGAGAGCGTCGGCGTGCACCTGAACGAGCGGCTTCGTGACCGCGCAACCCGCCGCGAGGCCGGAGACACATCCGTCGTCCTCGACGAAGAGTGGGAGCAGTGGTTCAAGAACGCCATTGACTCGGGAGAGCTGGCCCTTCTCACCGAGCAAATGACGGAGCACATGATGCGCAGAGCACCCACCACGTCCGCCATTCCCGCCGCCCTCATCCCGACACGCATGCTCGCCGCTGCCCGACTCGGCCAATGGTCTGAGATCCCCGAAGTCCTGCACCCCATTGTCCTCCGAACTATTGAAGCCGAACTCTCTAGCCTCCGCGCGGAATCTCGAAGATCCCGCGCTAGTGCTGCAGAAACGGCACCTCGCTCCTCTCTCCCCCGAGCAAGTCGCGCGACAATTCGTCTTCCGAATACACAGAATGCATTCTAGATATAAGTTGAAGAATACAAGACAATACGAAGCTCAGTCAAAAGGGAAGTTCAAAAAAAAAAGGGCCTACGTTTGATAAAATGGGTAGAAAACGGACATGCTACATTTATGAATTTGACGATGTGCCCTTCTCGTTTCTTTATTTTGCCTTTCGACTTGTCGAGATACCAGTCAACCATTCAGAGATGAAGCATGTCTGTTTAGATGGTCACAGTGTCTTTTGCGAAGCTTTCCGCATCACGCCGTTGTATCTTGATGACAACGCATCTAATAGAGGAGACTCGACGTTGGTTTGCTTGAGTGGTTCTGTTGTTGCGATTCAGTGTGGGTTTTTTGTTTTGTTTTGCCTGTCGATAAAGCGACAAAGATTGCTGTGGCGTTGAAAGTCTTTTCATGTATCATATGGGTCAGAATACAAGAATGTTTTTTCTACTTTTCTTGTCCGTGCGTGGGTTCTGCTTCATGGTCACGGCAAGGGATTGGGTAATCGGTTGAAGCTGGATGCGTTCCGCCGGATACTAACCATGATGCGGTGCAAACACATGGGTGGCACATGGGCACGGTTGGATGACAGCGCTTATATTATCGACTAAATGGTGCCTGGGTACCCATTCTCATCCAATTTACGAAGCAACCGCCATTCTTGTTGAAACACCAAGGCCAGACCTACCCCCGACGCCGCGCTAATCGATAATTCGCAAGTTCCACACCAAGTCTTTACGGCAGGTTCGCAGGCTCTGCTGCACCGTCATCCTCCTTTCGGGACGATGTTGCTGAGCGGACCTTGCGCCTTGAGGCAGGGGCAGAATTCTATTTCTCCGGCTCAAGGTGCGACCACTCCGGGATGGCCTTGATCTGCTGCCACATGTACTTCTCAAGCTTGTTCGCTGACTTGGCGTACGGCGTGTTTTCGTTATTGTACTTGCGGCAGTTGTCAAATATCAGCTTGGCGTCTCTGGTGAAGTCTTCTGGGGTGGCGTATTGGTCCGCCTCGAGCTTGTTCTCCATGGTGCTGAGGTCCATGGGCTCCTTGATGACCTCGTAGTAGTCGGCTACGTCGTCACGGTTGACGGGAACGAGGAACGGCCACGCAGACTGGTGGTTTTGGAGGTCGTTGAGCAGATGGAGGAGTTGGTTGTAGTTGGGGCCGTGCCGGGGCTGGCGAGCCAGTTCGTCCATGTCGGGGGACCAGCCGGAAGCGCGAATGGCAGGGATATCCAGAGGGTTGATTTCCTTGACCCCGTTCCTCCACTCCTTCGGTGGTGCATGGACAGTGTGTGATCGCGAGTAGGCGCGTATTTTGGCCTGCACGCACTCCTTCTGTTTGAGAAGCATGCGGCCCATTTCGAGGTATCGAATCCGGGGCAGCATGGAGCACTGCATAATGGTGCCTCCTTCGTAGTCCTTGATATATCCCATCCAGACGCTCTTATCAAGAGTGATTTCCTTGGTGAATCCCTGTTTCTTGAAGTACCCAATGGCGTAGTTATCGGCATAAGTTAGGAAGTGCATGACGTCGCTCGTTGCTTTGACGTAGTCCTTCAGATGGGACATTAGATGTGCGCCGTACCCCTTGACTTGTTGGTCGGAGCTAATAGCGCAAAACACAATCTCTGCAAATTGTCTACCCTTGAATGGTCGGTACGTAATTCCGCCAACGACCTCTAATGGGTTCTTGACTATGGCGATCGACAAGTGGGTACGATCGTATACTAGACGTGCAATGTAGTCTTTTGGCATCTTGGGGAGTTGTTTTTGAAATATGCATTTCAGCCCGGTAAGGATGATGAGGGACTCGCGCTCGTTATCGTTGTTCACGACTCGGAATTCGATCTCGCCATTGCGCTCTTCGACAACAGCAGGCTGACATGACCGCGGTTAGCTGATGCGGATCGAACGTTTGAAAGCTGAAACAGAGGCTTCAAGTTCACCTTCTCAGGAAAGGGAATTGGTTTCATGGGTAGGGGCTTCTTTCCCTCGGTTGCGTCGACAGGCTCGTCGTGCTTAACTCGTTTCGATGCAGACGGCGAGGCGGGGTCTTCTGAAGCCTTGCGCTTCGAGCCTCCAGAGTTGTTAGTTCAAGATATCACCCAAAATGAAAGCACTCGAAGGCTTCCAGCTCACCATTTTCCTCCTTGACCATGTCTCCCATGATGGAAACGACGGGCGTCAAGACGCTGATATTCCACCGCTGGCGATACTGATGTAGAAATGCGTTGTGAGGGCTCAATCACTGTGGAGACCGCTCACAAATAATGGTCATTCCTGGTCCGTGCACTGCTTACGTAGGCACTCGAGTTCCAAGGCGAGCTCCGCTACGCTAAGCCTATTTGAAGTATGGACACGATGTCGATGTCAGGACAGCTTGTACTCGTGAACCTATTCGACGCATCGCAGTTTGCGTCCAACCCCCATCATCAACCATTGTGCCAGCGACAACGCGCGGGCACTACCGATTCGACGCACTCAAGCTGCTTCGGAATACACTGCTCCGACTTGAGACACCTGGCACATGGATTCCTCATTGCATGAGGTTTGGCAAGCTGCTGCTGGCAGTCCATTCCTTCCCACCGTCGGCAAAGACAGCCAGTTTCTCGTTGCATTCATCCTGATGCTGTTGGGATTGGCTATCACTGGTGTATTTGCCTTGAGTATGTCTATAATCTCCCTCGTCCGTCGTTTCATGGTGCTAACCAGCATACAGACCGGTCTCTCATTAACCTCACGACACTCGGAATTCCAGCTTCTCTGGCACTCGCGTATGTATACATCTACAGTTACGAGCTCTCTCTTCGACGCTCACATAAATCTGCAGCTTCGGAGTTGTATACATGTTCTGTGCAGTTGGAGTGTATCTTTGAGAAGAAACGCCCCGGAAAAACCCTCACTGTCGATTGATTGACGAACCGGCCGGCCTCTACTGTACTTTTATTGGAAGAGGAAGGGCAGAAGAGGCGTAGAAAGCCCGCTGAACAAACTGATCTGAGTTTTTTTTTCTTTTACGTTATTTCTTTTTTTGTTATTCTAGAAAGAGAAAAAGTTTCACACGATTCGTATTCATCGCCCGCAACGACCAGTATCTTTGCCCATGAACGACCATGGCGCCTGAGGGGACCCCAATCTTCCGGGCTGTGGCTACCTCTACAAGACCGTTGTATCAGCTGCTTCGGTGTATTAACTTTTCTCCGAGAGTCCATGTCCAGATCACTGAGGAAGGCATTCGATTTGCTGCTGACCATTCGAGGGTAATGCAAGGTACCTCTTATATCAGCAGATTTAGGGCCGCCTGATTGTCACATGGCTAACTGTCAAATATAGGCGTTGCCTTTCTCGACAAAGCATTGTTTTCAGCGTATAGCCTCAATCTACCTCAGACCAACGAGGAAGAAGCAGCCGATCTGCCCAATTTCCAAATCTCATTGGCGTCATTTCTTGAGGTCCTTCAAATCTTTGGGGCTGTGGATGTTGCGACTCGGGCACAGAAGGCAGAGCAAGACCCATATCGGAGTAACCTCAGAAATTACAGGCCAGACGCATTCAGTAATCAAGCGCTGGGAATATCTGGCACCTGTACATTACTCTACGGCGAAGCAGGAGATGCATTTCAGGTCACAATCGAAGAAGCGGGAGTGAAGACGACGGCTGGATTGACGACGTATGTACCGGAATTGCCAGACGATATTCCATTCAATCGGGAGGAGGTGGCGTTCAAAATAATCATGCCATCACGGTCTTTACTGGATTCTTTGGCAGAAGTATCTCCCATAGCCCCCGAAAAGCTTGCTATCATCGCGTCCAAGGTGTCGCCCTTTTTGTCACTTGCGGGCAGTGGCGACTTGGGAAGTTCAGCCGTGGATTTTGCTAGGGGCAGAGACCTCCTGGAGACGTTCACAATTACCGACCGCTGGGCTCAGACATACAAGTTCGACTTGATCAGAAATTCAACCGAGGCCATGCGCATCGCGAACAAAGTCAGCCTCCGAGGTGACGCTCAAGGCGTTTTGAGTCTTCAGTTCATGGTGGAGATGGAAGGCGGGAAGCGAAGTTTTCTGGATTTTCGGTTCGTTCCATTTGTCATATACGACAAGGAGGATGAGGACGAGGGCGAGGGCGAGGGCGAGACAGGTATTGGGTTTGAAGAAAATTAGAGACATTTGAACGACTCCTCCGCAGGGTTGATGGGGTTCGCCTCGGAGCTCAGACTCTATTTATCAAAGTGGAGAAAGCAAGCAGAACCTGTGTCATGATACAGCCAGAGACTGATGGATGGATGTGTGTGTGTGCGTGTGTGTCTATTCCAACTCGTATATTTGTTCATTGTGTGTACGGACCGACGCTTGTCTCGTGTAGGTTTGCCCGTCTATCACTTGTCTTGGTGTAAGTGCCGCCTCTGCATTAAAGGCTGTTTCTTTCTCGGCAAAGAATCCGACAATGGCCTTGTCCGATGTTCGTATGTATTTGGATCATTGTGCGATCCCTACCCTGCCCTGGGTGTTTTGCCGAGATTGCCAGCATTGATCAATGGTCTGGTGGCAGCCTTTTCCTTGCCCGCCTGCACCTGCACATGAGTCGCCTGGCCGACAAATGGGCCACGTAGCCTAGACGGGCAGGGAAGCAGGTGCAAGCATCCTCGTGAGCGCCCGTGGCTAGGAAAGTGAAACTGCAACTGCCAAAGACATGCGCGGTGCGGGCGAGCGCTGAGCTGATGCTCTGTAGACGTGAGGTCATCCATCGCAGGGCGCGCCCGCGGTGGCGTCATGCAAACGCGGTAGGGTCGCCGGTCGAGCAGAAGAATGCGACAGCCAGCTCAATTCCCTGGACTCGGAAAGTGGCTTGATTCATGCGAGCGGCGCCACGCAATGCAGTTTTGAGACGGGGCACGGTTTGCCGCGACTTGATGGCATGCCGTCGTGCGGCGTGGCATGGATGGCTCTGCCACGCTGGAATGGAGGCCAGAATGCAGCCGTGTAAAAGGGAGGCGCGCGAGGGCGACGACGCAATCTCGTGCAATGCATTTAAAAAAGTGCTCCTGCACCCTTGGTCCTGGCTCTGGATCGCTTCAACCAGCAGGTCGCTCGCTACTTTGCCAGGTGCCGAAGCGAAAAAGTACAGACGACGTCTTGTCGACAGACACGCCCACCGTCCACCGTCAACTCACCTACCTGAGGCTGCTACCATGCTCTCCTCCCAGGCAGTCAGACTACAAGACGAAAAGGCCAGCAGCAGCAGCAGCAGCAGCCAGGGCCGACGTCTGAGGGCTGTTGCCGCGTTTCCCGGCTTGGTGATGGCGTCGATTGGCAGGTTTTTCGCATCATGCTGCAGCTGCAGCTGCACGAGGCACCCGGACAACAAGACAGAGGATGATTGCGAGACGCTGCTCGGCGGGGAAATCTTGCCATTTCCGAAGCACGCGGCTTCGTCGTTTCTTCGGACCGGAACACCGAGAAAGATGCGAGAGGCCAATGAGATTCTGTAATGGGAAGGGGGCGAGGCATTGGCATCGACGGAAGTTGAAGAGCGATAAACGTGTGCGCTTGCCAACAAAAGGGGCAGCTCCGAAACATTGGCTTTCCTTTTCTTGGGGCCCCCGGGAGCCGTTTCTATTCGCGGATACAGAGACAGAAACACACCCATTTTTTGCATACTCTGTGCTATTTTTGTTATAAAAGGTGCGCCACACAGACCATGGGCCTTGGAGTCAGTGAGGCGTTTGCCGGGGAGGGGGAGGAGGGCGAGCTGCTATTCTCGGCATCGCATCCGGCGGTCCAGTGCTCTGGGCCTGGGTTTCAGTCGCATCTGGGGAAAGACGATGCAGATGATGCAGTGCTACGGCCGAGAGGTCCTCCTCATTGGGCCTGCGTGGGGATGGAGGAGATGCAGAGCTCGAGGCGCTTTTGGAGTTTACAGGGAGAACAACCAACCTCTTTTTGGCATACCAGGCGCTCAGTAAAGTAATCAATCGCAATGAAGCAACAATTTTCTCTTTCGAGTGGACACTGCCGGAGCCGGATCGAGTGCGAATGGGGTCTATCGAGGTCGGGTCTATGTTGGCCAACGCCATCGGGATCGCGCTGCAGGCAGGGACCGAGCCGCCGTGCCTTGGGGCCCGTCCCGTTCGAAATCCGGAGTTCGGCATTGTCATGAGGCCTGTGCCCGAATGTGCATAGTAAGCCACGACATCATGGCTGCACAGGATCAGTTCGATTGGGTGCCAACCGCCAAGTGTGACGAGTTGCCAGCGGTGGCCATGGCAGTCAACGGGTGACCATGATTAACTTATCGGTTTACGTGGTGGCGGCGAAGGAGGCTTGGAATGTTTGTATGAAAGGAAAGGGCCAAATTTTTGCTGGCTGTTGTTCCATCGAGCTCGTAAGAACAAGAGGCCTATTCACCCCGTGACTCCGTACAAGCTACAACCAGCATGTCAAGAGAGGCTGCCTGATGATCCCACCACTCACATTTGCTCCTCAGCGGTTCCCGCCCCACATTCGCCTGCCACTCCGGCCTGCCCACCCACACGCTGTTGTTGCATCTTGACACTTGGGATGTTGTTGCTCCTCCCCGTCCAAATCCACATCTTCAGATGCCTTGCGTCCATTTCATCGACATCGGGGCCATTGGTCACATTTCTCTTCTACACCATCAGGATACAGTGCCTGAATTGCGGGCCCCCTGTCACGGGTCCTCAAAGACGTCAAGTCCGCGACCCCAGTGCTGGCAGTGAGTTTGCACAAGATGCCTGGCACTTGCCTCTTCTGAAACGCCGCAAGATGCCACTAGGTCAAGCTGGAATCTGGAGAGTCGGGGCTGAATGAGGGGATCCGAGAGGTGAATGCTGGATGTGATGGATTCGACCTCTCACAAAAGCGGCGTGATGCGTCCATGCGGATTCCTGGACAGGTGCGTCACGCCCGTACTCCCACCCCAGGCGGAGTACGTTGATATTCTAGGCCAGATACATACTATATATAAAAAAAAAAAGACACACGGCTGATCGCGACATAGGTTGTGTTCAACCTCGCCCGAGGTCATTACGACTTGACCGTGGCGCCTGCTGGGCGAGGCGACGAAATGTTGCACGTGCTTTTGCCGCCTCTGCTTCAGGAGCGCGCGAGTGCCAGCGCCAAGTGAAGTGCAAGGTAGAACTTCGTCTCTTTCTCCTGCCACAAACGACGAAGGGATCACTGAGCGGCGTGTGCGCCTGAACCTGTCCGGTGGTTTGGCGTCGTGCCGGAAAGGGGAGCGGACGCCACCCGTGGACCACGAGGTCGTCGTCGCGGCCTGGAGAGGTATCCGGTGACTCGCCGCTATGTGTGAGAGTCTCGGTATTGGCGTATTGGCTCGTCAGCGTGTTCTTCTTGTCCTCTGGCCCAACTAGAGGGGCCCATTGCCGGTCTGCATACAAGCATCTGTCCATCACCACGCGTTGGGCTTGTGTCGCTCGCTGGACGTTTGCGCCGTCACACTAACCAATGACGCCGCGGAACACCTCGCTTCTCAGCTGTATCGTGCCTCTTCCCGTGTCTTCAGACACCCCCTCACATTGTGTCACGGCAGTAGCATGCCGTAAACCTCTCGTAATGCGTGGCTTTCTGACTACTAACACAACAAGTACCCATCTGACTCGCCGCTGGTTTTCGTCAATGACCAAAATGGCACTGGGAAGGATCTCGGATACCCGCCGATGAGTAGCGAGCGAACGAAGAGTAGGGTGGCAGACTTCAGAGGCGTTGTGAGCGGGACTTTGTCGCCGGTTGCAGGCTTTCACCTCGGGCACATGGTGAATCGATTGAACGAACGCAACAAGATCCACGAGAAACAGTCAGCGCTGGAGCCCGCTCTACGGACAAATTCGAGGCTCTCTTGAGAGAAAGCACCAGCCAGCAACCCCAACCCCGGCATCCTGCGAGCTGGGGTCCGGCCGGGTTGCGCATTGGCTTCACCTGGGCTGGGCCGCAGCCACAATGGAACCAGTCTTAGTTCAGCACTACGACGCAAGTCAGAACAAGGGAAACAATTCACCTTTCGTCAGAACAACTCGGACACCTGCCTGTTTGCGGCCAGGTGTGGGTTGGGAACCCCATGTTTGGCGTAACACCACCAACCTGAAATCTGAGAAGGTTGCCATTCTCTTATAAGCCACTGTTGGCTTGGTTGGAGTCGCTCCCTTACCGGGAGCATTGCCCACTCGCTGTGCACTGCGGTGGAATCATTCTTTGTCTTGACTGTTTTGTCCATCTCCAGGGGCCGTCCGAACCAGTATCAAGTGTTTTGCGCCTCGACTATCTGACCGATTTGCTGTGCTGTCGTCGTTTTGTTCCCTTTGACACTGGAGCCGTCTCACCATGTCATATGACCCTTTGTCGCCAACTCTTCAGTCAAACGGTTGGCATACGTTGATGCTCTGGCACTTGGGCTGTTTGTGCGCCCAGTCCTCTTTTAAATAACAGCACCAATATCCTGTGGTGCTGTCTGTGGTTTTGTTGGTTGTTTCCGGCCACACAAGCAGCAGGCCCGTCACAGCAACATGGAGAGCCTGGCGGTTGGCACAGCGGGACGTGCGTCATCAAGCTCGCCGTTTAGTTCGTCTCCCTCTCGACTACATCACCGAAGAGCTCATTCACTTGACGAGAATCTCTCGCACCGAATGGGCCCGAACAAATCCTCACCGTCACCGTTGTGGCTGCCAAGTACCAGGCGGCAGCGATCCGTCTCTCCCGTGGTGATCCGGAGCGATGATGACAACGTCCGAGCCTCGTCTCCGCTCCCTCCCGTCAAGTCCGGAGTCCCCAAAGCCTGGCCAGCGAGACCAGCCCATGCTGATGATGGGCGACCCCGTCATGATGTAGTTGGTATGCGCTCCTTGGATGCAGGCTCCGTCGCCAACACACGTTGGTCCGAGCCGCCGCCGCCGGGACAGAGTCGAGGGCGAGTGAGACGAAGTTCACAGCGTATCGCCGGACAATATGAACAAAACATGGACAAAAGCCGAGAGCCCTCTGAGCGGCCCCTTTCCCCATTGTCTGACTCTGCCGCCGCTGTGATGCTGGAGAGCCGCCCGGAGCGTCTGGTTGTGACTCCCTCGCTGGGCTATCATGACGCCTGGACGCAGTCAGTGCAGCTCATGATAAAGGAGACCGCAGACGCTTTCCAAGCAGTTCACAAGACGATGGACGATGCGGTTTTGACGTCGTGGCTTCTTGATTTGCCACACGCGTCAGGGCAAATGGCAAAGGGCCCAGAGGTGCCAGCCAGCTTCATTCCTCAAACCACTACTCACCATCACCAAGAGCGAGAGGATATCACAGGTGACCGACCTGCTCTCTCCAAGAGCCCCAAATCATCTACAGACAAGCCCCTTCCCTCATGCCCCAAGACGCAGACCATGAATGTGCTGAAAAAGGAACTGAAAAAAGCCCTCCCGTCCCGTGCTTCGCAGCCGAGCAAGCCGGCAAGATGGGCGGTGTCAAACGGCGTTGCTCAGTTCTTCTCTGGCACGCGCCTCAAGCGCGCGCAAGCCCAGGAGATGCCGTCCTCGGACAAGACTGAGCAGACTCGAGCCAAGATCCTCAATAAGGGCCAGCAACAGGAGGCGCTGAAGGGGCGAGACTCTAGTGATTCGTCTGATAGTAACGGGTCGCAAGAGACAACAACAACAAGTTCCACCAGGAGTACCAAGAGCAACATCAAAGCGGGAAAGCCTTCAGTATTGCCCCTCGACGAAGCTGTAATCCATGCAGACTTTTCCATGCCCAGCACGCCGACGCAACAAGCTGCTCTACAGCGACCGCGGAGCAACAGCGACATGGTTATTCCTACAACCAACGTTTGCGACTTGCAGCCCCCTCCCAAGAACCCGCAGAGATTCGTCTTCACAAACACCAAGGCACGACTTCCGACTATACCAGAGGTCGAGTCCGAATCCGGCGACGAGCCCGAGGAGCCGGTTAGCCGGCCGAGCGTGGACCACAGCCTCCCATCTCAAGACAGCGGCGACTTCATCCATGTCCCCGGCACGCAGCTGTCTGCCGCGAACGCTTCGTTCACGCACGGTCGCATTGCCTGCCAGATCGCAGATCCACATGTCCACTCGGACGAGGAGACGGACGACACGATCGACAGCAGCGCCTACCAGATAGCTATCCAGGGCGTCTCAGGCGGGGACGGCTCGCAAACGGTCTCGTACGACGATGATGAGAACGACCTGGCTGATGACATGACAGCCTGGTTCTTGACCTTTGGCTTCGAGACGCACGGCGAACTCATCCCGGACGGCACGGCCTCGCCGTTGAGCCTCTCCTCCCGCAGCGTCGTATCTACATCCCCATCCACCGTCAACGGGGACGCGGAGGCGCCCGTCCCCGCCCGTCCCGAGGACGGCGACACGTTCACAGAGCCCATTCGCTTCTTCCGAAGCCATGCGCCGCCGAGGAAGTGGACGCCAGAGGAGGGCTCGCCCAAGCACTACACCTTGCGAGACGCCCAGGGGCAGCCGTTCAGGCTGAGGTCGGCCCCGCTGGTGGTAGGCGACGGCGAGAGAGACTGCGTGTCCGAGCAGGTAGCCGAGTCGGCCGACTTGAGCGTCAGTATGAAGCAGGACATTGCGGCGCTTTTGAGATGGATGGCCGCGGGCGGCGACTAATGCCGTCGTTGCCCATGAGCGGTGCACGCGGCAGCGCGGTGCGTGATGTCAGTCTGCGATACCGGACCCTCGACAGGTTGCACCGAGTATCAGGAGCGTGGGCGTGTGTCATGGAGTATGTAGACGAGAATCCGTCCCCGTCCCCGTCCATCCACTCGGCACGACCCGGGACGCCGCTGCAGCCTGCAGGCCCCGCCCCGCCCGCATGCACACGCTGCCTCCCTCCAGACTCCAGAGCAACCACGGATGCCACCTCCAACAACAACAAACACTTCCACTGTCCATCACGAACCGTCCATCACTCTACAGCGCGTCACGTCTGCACCCCCCCCTCCAAGCGAGCAACTTCACACCGCACCACCATCTCCATCCCGAGAACGAAATCCGCCCTCGCGGCCACCATGCTCCGCCGGCCCCCTACAACCCTCCACATCACCGCCGAGGACGTCGCCGCCTACGAAGACCGGCGCGCAAACGAGGCCCTCGCCGCGGCGCAACAGGCGCGCGTCGAAGCACAGTCGTACGCGCAGTCACAAGCTCAAATGGAGGGCGTGCAAGAGAGCCCCGCCGCCGTGGGGAGGAGAGCGCGCGAGGAGAGGCTAGGCATCACCCGGAGGAGGTGACGACAAGCGCGGCATCGTCAGGCCGTGGGGGACGGCATCGGGGAACTGAATTTGGGAAACGGCACACAAAGAGGCAAGGCGAGGACCGTGACAGGGTGCGGGTACTGTCGAGTGCTCGGGCGCTTATGTGCAAAGGGTCGACGCAAGACATGCGCTCACAGTGCGCATCTATGCCGAAGCTCTGAATATACCATCCAATGAGTAACAAACACAGCTACGTCTATAGTACACGGTGCCGCCGTGACAACCCAGTCGTTCTAGCCCTTCCATGCCAGGTATGCCCAGTATAACACCGTCAACCACGCCAAGCGCCATGACGTCGTCCACAGCTCCCTTGCTAGTATGCGCAACTTCCTCCTTCCCCTGTTGGCTTTGCCGCCGTCGTAGAAATGGTCTTCGAGTGTAATGCGAGGGCCTCCATTCTCACTGCCCCACCCCCATTGTTGACGGGGTTTACTCCTCTTGGGTGTCCATCTTGCGTTGCCGCCGTCTGCCTGGCTCCTAGCGCCGGATGTCGCCACCACTGACGAGCGGAGAGCGCCGTACTCAGGTGATTCCGTCTTCACCTTGTCCTTGTACATGGGGAGCGCGGGAGCTGCGTGAGTCTCAGGTTCGAGGGCAAATGGGGTGAGGTGGAGGACAGGAACAAGAATCGCTCGGGTAAATAGTAGAGCGAGGGAAATGATAACAAAAGTAATGTACTTGATGTACGTGTGGTATTGATTCGGAAGCAAGCAGAGATGGGTTTGAATTGTCTTCTCGGGCGAGTTGGGGATAGGTTTGCCGTGGGCGTCGACGGGGTTGAACAGACTGACCATGACGAATCCTGGCGTTGGCACCCCCATGGCCATGCTGATACTCTTGACGGTAATCTCGGGCACGTTTTCTTGAGCAGCAGAGTGCACCAGCTCGCAGTAGTCGTGGTCATCACCTGAAAACGCGTGTACGACATTGCCAATCTTCTTGATCAGCCGGACTGAATCTTCGTCGTTCAAAACGTTCTGATACTGGTAGCCGCCACTGACGCTGATGGCATTGCGCTCATCGCGGGCGGCGGGATCGACAGATCCATCCTTTTTCATCGTCGACTTGCTCGGTGGCCAGTGTTCGCGGTTGGGACCGCAAGGCGTGCCAGGGTCTCGGTAAAGGGGGACATGACTGAGTAGAATCGTAGGAAAGTCAGGCGCACCCTCTCCCGGGTCCATTGGCGAGCGTGATAAATCTGCCTCGTTGATATCCTCGACCTCGTGTCGTAGCTTCAACCCTCGGTCCACTCCATGCCAAACGGCCAACTCTTGTTGAGCGGCCTTTCGCTTGCTTGCCTGAACTTGGTCCAGAAATTCATGGACTGGCCCGTAGATGGGCTTCAAGTCATGTTCATCCTTGTACCGTGAGGTATCGGCACTCAGGGATACCGTGTCTACCGACACAATAGTATGGTTTCCCACCACATCCACGCGATTGGTTTCGCCGAAGAAGGCACTGAACCTGTCACGAACAGGCACCTGAATTTGAGCACCAAAGCCGAGATCGTGATTTCCGGGTAAGCTGGCAACCAGTTTCTTACCCCTCTGGTATGGCCCGGGAACACTGCTTCCCTCGTTAAATGGGCCGACGAAGATGTCGCAGAATCTCTGATACTCCCGGATCCAATAGTCTTCACCATATTTGCGATGCCACGCCCTCACCCACTTCTTCTCGGTGGCAGACCGCTCAACACCCCATTTTGGATCGACAAACGTGTCGCCGCGCCGCGTCTTCCACTCTCGGCCGCCGTCGAACAGATCGCCGAGGAAGAAGACACTGTCGGGCTTTAATTGGCGCTGTAACGAAGTATATCCTCGTCGCATATAGTTATCTGTCACCAGTACAGTCAGGGACGATAGAGGCCAGGGTCGACCGGGATACGAATGGGCGTCGATAAGTTGGGGGTCGGCGATGAGAATGAGATGATGAGGATTTGCTTCTTTGGGCTGCATCATGATGCATCAGCATGATCCACCGAACAAGACGTGATATTTCATTTATGCAACATGGCAACGTACCCATTTCTCCCAGTTCTCCCAATCGCACCTTGTGACCTTGGAGTCGAACACCCATCTTTCGCCCCAGAGCAAAATCACCATCCAAAACAGGAACAAAAAATGCGGAAAGCTCAGGAGACGCCTTGGGGTTAAATTAACCCTCATCAGATGCGCGACACGCAGGGTGGCTGTCGTGAGCATGCGACTCCCTGGGCCGCATATCCAGGCGAGGATGACCTGGGATAAGACGCGCGGACGCCCTTCCTTCACGGGTTTGAGCATGGCTAGACGGCTGAACATACTGACGCCATTACTTCTTCGCCAAACAAGCTGGGTGGCGACTGTCAAGCCGTTGTGAATGGAAAGTTGCAGACGGCAAAGTAAATGGGCCTCGAGCAGCGGGACGAGATGTTCAAGGGGTGGGCAGGGAGCTTGGCGTGAGCCACTCGGTGGGCTGTCTTTAGTTTTTTGTCGTTTGCGAGTCAGAGTTGAGCCGAGCTGGCTAGGCCTTTCACGATCCGATGCACAAGGACAGAGAAGAGTAGTAGACCGGACGGAGTTGTTTATGTGCGAGTCACATAAGACGTAGGCAGTGGAGTAGAAACGAGTGAAGGTCGTCGCCAATAAATTAAACAAAATGGAACGAAAATGAACACAAAAAAGCCGTCAAATCTGCCCGTTGTAAGGAAAAATGACAAAGGGAAAGAAGGCGTGAAACTGATTCGAGGACGGAGACTTTTTGTTACATGTCAACTAGTCTCAGATGCTGGCTGCTGGTTGGACGTTGGACGCTGGACAGAGGGAAGGAGCAGCCAGCGATGAGCGCGGGACACACAACCGCCGGGGCTAGTAAGTGGCTTAGCCAAGGTCTAACCAGACTTACTAGGTGCCTAGTACTTCACTTGAATCCTTCAATTCGGCGTCAAATATCATCTACGCCTCAACCATTGCCTACTTATGTTTGCTGCTACTCCGTACAGTCTGTCTGCCGTGGCTCCAGTGTTCAGTTCACCAAGACTATGTTGAAATACACGTGTCGACTGCTCAAGTGGACGACCATCTTGACCAAGTCTGTGGGGGCCGGCACACACCAAGGTACGGAGTACTTACCGTCCAAAGCTGTCTCATGCATGTCACCCGAGCCATGGCCCATGATGCACAACCAGCCGACATCCCTCCCACAAATACGACTTTTCTTTATGCCCTTGATCCAATATCTGTTTTTCGACTCCCTCAACAGTTCCCGACAGTTCCAAAAAAAAAAAAAAAACGTCCTGCTGTGCCCCTACTGCATCGTATGCCGCCCAATTCTCTGTAGTTCATATTGCACCTATTCCAATATCATCCATGCCGTCACACTTCGTATATGAGTGATGCACATCACAAGTTACCGCCATGCTCATCTTCCCTTCTCTTGAAAATCGGCGCTTACCGCCTTGGCGGGACGTCGGAGCTTTCATCGCTCACATCATCATCATTGTCCTTGCCTTCGCTTCCCCCGCCGTCTTCCTCGTCTTGTTGTTGCAGCTTGGGCCTCTCGGGCCTCTTACGAAGGCTCAAAAACCTCTTCAAGCCCGTCGGCTGCCGTAGCTCCTCGGTAGGCTGTTGCAGCTCATCATCTGCTGGGTTATACTCATACTGCAATCGAGGCACCAACAGTCGGTACGGTACGGTAATACCCGTTGGGTCCTTGGGATTAACCTCCACATTCAGACATATGTCGAGGCCGCCCTCAAGGTCAACGATGAACTTCTCGGCTTTGCGCATCTGCTTCACCGACAGCCCCGTTGGCGTGCGATGGAATGGCCGCATCATAGCATCCGACCCGTCATCGCGCCTGGTCGTCTCTGCCGGCTGGCCCCCGACAGTCCGGGAATGCTGCGGAAGTTCAGCTGTAAAATGCAGCTCATCCTCATCTGAGAACTCCGAGTGTTCATATGTACCACCGCCGCGCAGCCCTGATGGTTGGACAGCATGAGAAGGGTGGCTGTCGACGAAGTAGCCGTCCCCGTCCTCGCTTTCACCACCCCATTGTCCGTTGATGCCCCCATCATCAGGCCGCCTTTTGCTCCCACGTCGACCGTGGCTGAAGAGCCCCTTCTTCTTGCTCTCGCCGCTTCCAAGCGACATGGTGCGGGTGAGCTTTATCGGCCGAGGACCATCAGTCGAGTTTCTCCGCGACAAACTGCGGAATAAACCACTCACGCCTCCAGAGACAGGGGGTCTGTCACCCCGAACTGAAGTACGCGATCCGTCCAATCGATTTGACACCGATCGAGTTCTGCTCCCCAAAGAGAGTCGGCGAAACAGGCCTCCGCCGCCGTTGCTATTCGGTGGGCTTGGGCTCCTATCATAGGACGACAATGGTGGCGTCGGGGGCGGCGTTCTGCCAGGCGACCAGGGACGAATAGAACACCAGTTTCTGTGTGGCAGAAGGTGCTTGTTGTTTCGAGGTTTCCCATCTACACCATGGTGGAATAGAGGGGCCATGCCTTCCTCCGTTTGCCTGTCGAAATGATGAACCTTGTTTCGCTTGTTGAGTAAATCTGCCAGCAAATCCGAGGGCGGAGCATTTGCAATAGCTGACGATACAACGTTGATCATGTACCTTGGGTCCTTGTGCTTTGGCAAGCCGAGCTTCGAGTTCGAGTAGAACTGACCAACCGCAGCCAAGTGAACATCACCACTACAGTGAACGTCAGATTGTCATACTTTCTGGTGGTGTTCGTTGCAAAAGGAATCTTTACCTTAGAATCGTGATTCGCAATGATTTATCAATCGCTAGATCCTGCAGATCCTCCATAATTATGCTTCTCTCGTGTTTATGGTTCTTGGCAGTCCAGTGGTTATTCAAGTCGTCCAAGACCTCCACACCACCATCGATATTATTGAGGACTTTGCCAAACATGCCAGTTCGACCAAGAGCCTTCACGGGATCCATCAACCTGGAGGTTAAACTTGACACAGTGTCAGTCAAGACCGGGCAAAGAAGAACTTTATTCCAGGAAATAAAATAAAGCACTCACATATTTTCCAACCAGACCATCCTGGGATATGCGATTGGGACGCCCAACAACACTAGTAAATGCTCGACGTGGCCACGTCGTACCTCGGCATACATTCTGTTAATGATCTTCTCCCATGTCTGACTATTAACCACATCATACTCTGTTCTCTCGGTGCGGCAGTCTACTGCAAGCAGGGCAGCTTTGCCTCCCATGGAAACATAAACACTACGACTCAGCTCCTTGATGTACGGTCCAGGTTCTTGACCAAGAATCCAGCTGGGTTCTGTGTTTTCTGTCTCAGTCAGAACGCTTTGGTGCTGGAAGAGCATGTAGTACTTGAAAGCAACCGCTCCCAGGCCGGCAAATACCGGTGATCTCATGTAATTGTCAGGATAAGAACCATATCCGTCGAAGATGTCGTGGTCATCATACATGTTGACCATGGGAATCTGTGATGCTGCCAGGCCGAAAAGACCCTGAGAGAACCACACGCAATAGCGCTGTAGATAGAATTCTTCCATTTCATCCTGCATGCTCGCAGTGAATGCAGCCCCGTGTTTCTGCTGCGGATGCCGGATCTCAAGCCACTCACGCAACAGGCTGCATTCATGAGCAATAGAGTCATTGTAAATTTGGTCTCCGCCTCCAATCATGACATGGAATGGCTGCGACTGGTGCGTGTTCAGAACATCACGCCACATAGGATCAGGGCCGCTAAGGTCGTCAGGGTTGACACTGGCACTAAATCCGTTGCAGCTATGGAACATGATATTCATAGCTTGTCCCCGAGACGGCACCCAGAACGCCATACAAGGGCCACGGTTGATACGATAGGCGATGCGTTGCTGTTTCTCTCGCAGTTCAACTTCGATGTTAAACCTCCAAAAGGTGCAGCCTCGCTCTGCGTGAAGACGAAATCCTCTCACATCCTTGTACTTTTGAAGCTTTTCGCCATCATTCTGAATGCGCTTTTGGCGACCAGCGAAGGATTGAGGTAATTCAATTGCGCAATTTGGAGGGGGCATATCGGGCGGACTGCGTGTCTTTTCGTACAGGCCTTCATCTGTTTCCATATAAGACAGGTCTCTGGCTTCTTCAAGATGCTCCACCGGGCGTACGTAGAGAGTTTCTCCTCTACGACCGAGCTTGGGGTGTCCCGCAATCGGATCCACGTATTCAGGTGGTAAGTCTCCATTCACTTGGAGTGGCGGAGGGGGTAGAAGTTGAATCTCCTGTACAAACAGGCGAAGCATAGGTGCAATGTCGTAGGACGACTCTGAATCTTGTGTCACGATCATGACGCTCCCTCTCCAGATCTCGCGGTCTGACACAGCACTGTTCTGAGATCGCGGGGGTACCTTCTCCTGACGAATTCCGCAATATCTCAAAAGGGGTCCGCATTTAAGATACAAGGGTGGCTTGAACCGAGTTGGGGCTGAAACGAATGAGCACACATCGTCGGTAGAGACTTGCTGTTTTAGACTCGCTTACCGTTTGTATCATCATACTCGCCGTCGAACGCTTCGGCTTTCCGTGGCCTGGATGAGTAGGCATTATTTTTGCGGCCACCAGTGTTCTCCCACCAAGCCTTATTCTTGTCGCCGAGGGCTTCGTGAACTTCTGCGAGGTCCAGTAAGGTCCCACCGAGAAACCCAACAGTTGCATTTTGATACTCATTCAGCCACACTGGCGGCTGATACAGCCCTTCGCCGGGACGCAAGTTTTCCGGGTCCTTGAAAACCATGTTCGAAACTCGACGTTCGGGGAGGCTCTCGACAGAATGGTCCTTGTCTTGCCGTTCAGGGCGCTTTCCGGCGACGTCTGGATCTTGATACTCGGGACCGAGGTTTTGCATAGTACTGATATTGGCGTTCCCGCGGCCCGCATGGAGAACATACGCTTCGTCAGGTCTACACTCCTCTCCATAGATGGGTTCAGTTGCTCGACGTTGTAGTCCTTGAAGATGCTCTTGTGCTGTTAGAACGGGAGGCAGTGCTTTGTCTCTAACCGCACGAGGGAGCCTGCTAGCTGCTCCATTTGCTTGAGCTGGACTAGGTTGAGTAATAGCAGAGTCAGGCACTTCCCTCGCCTTACTTGGCCTGAATGAGGTCCATTGATCCGCGGGAGGGTCTTTGCGTAACCTGTTACTTCCATTCCTTGTAACATTCATTCCACTGCTCACGCCACCGCTGAAGAAAGCCGTTGTTTGTCTGACCGGACTTGTTTGCTCAGCCGTGTGATCTTTCTCATTCCGCGAAGCGCGCTCACTGAAGCTCAGATTTTGTCTTGATAGCCCAGCCCTTGGCTCTCCATCTTCCTGTTGCTTGGGCACGTGGGTTGGTGGTGGCGGACCAACGGCACGATTCAGATCTCCAGTTTCGCTACGATGGCCCCTGGCAACTAGAAGCTGATGTTGCGGGTATGGTTGCCCTCGAGCTCCAGTTTCCGCGGGGTCCATTTGAAGCTTGCTTGCTGTGACATTTGGTGCAGTGGCTTCTGGAGAATCGCTCGGCGTGTCAATGGGTATTCGGCGAGCGTGTGATTCAGTCGATTGGGCTGTGGAGGCATCAGCAGCTCGTTTTGCGGCACGTTCCCTAGCTCGCTGCTCCGCGGCTTGGACTCTGGCTCTCTTTTCCTCCTTGGTCATGCTATCGAGCGTCAGCTCAAGCCGTTGGAGGGGCGAATGGTCGTTTGCAAACTTCTTGCGGCGCTCCGACGGCACAGTGACGGACGGTCTTCGAGATCCTCCCGCAGCAACATCTCGAGGCGCCATGGATGGCGCAACGACGCTTCTGCCGCCAGTCACATCGTGTATATGATACCTTGGGTCGTCTGGATGTTCTTCGCCGCGAGTCGTGTAGTGACCTTCGGGCTCCATGCCGTCGTCCACACGAGCAAACCAGCCTGATGACAAAGGCTGCGGTTGTAAAGAGGTCGGCAAGACTTGGTCCGGGTTGGATTTGAACCTGATGTAAGAGGGTTCTGAAGTCGCATACGGCTGATGATGGCTTACAGGCGGGCGTCGAGGATACTCGGGCGCAGTGAGAGAAGGCTGAGGTGACCGAGGAGCTGATTCGAAGGATGGCTCTCGGTATTGTTCTGAAGACTGTCGATGGGGTCTGCAGAACGTTTCTTCAGACATGTGCAAGACAGGTTCTTGTGGAATAGTAGCATCAGCAACAGTAATATTTACGTCGTTGCCAACAGTGTCAGCACCCGCAACCATGCCCACGCCGACACCCAGGGCACCGTTAGCTACGAAATCTTGGCGCTGATAAGAAGGCGGTCTAGGAGCCAGGCCTTGGGCCGCTCCAACAAAGCTCGAAGCCGTGGGCGAGTGGGGGCTGAAGGTGGACTCTGTAAGCGCATCGGTGTTGACTGAAGCACGATTCGACCTGGACCAGCGCGGAGGTTGGGCATCAAGCGAGCGGCGGTGCTCATGCGTCGGGTACGTGTGCGTGCACTCGTCGTACTCGTCGTCCCTCGGCCCCTGCGAACCGTGCGAAGCAGGGAGATGGCCCCAGTGTCGCTGCTGTGCCGCCATGAGAGGTGACGGGGGGGGGGGATGATCAGAAACAGTACGCAGTACGGAGTACCACGGCGGCACAACGTCCAGTCTCGATCTCGCGGATTCGAACGCCAGTGATGACAAGAGGGCAGGCCAGCCTGGGACCTAAAAAAGAGCGATGAGAATGATGAGAATGACGGGAATGATATGAGAAGGAAAGGAGCTACCGCGCAATGATGAAATTACGACTACTCCGTAGAACTACGAAGTAACTAGTGAGTTATCCTAACAAGACCAGATGATGGCGCCGGCGTCAGGGTCGCCCGTCTCGTGTCGCTGCCAACCAGGAACCCGAATGATGTGATGTCTCCGTATTTCAATGTTCGGCTGATGAGCGTGGCTCACAACATGGCCTGGGGTCCCTTGCAGGCTGTCATTAGTCGTACAGAAAGGAAGGAGCCAACATCGAAGCGACGGTATACAACAGCAGGCAGGACTCCGTGATTGCCCAATTGATGGGCATCTGGCATCTGGCATCTGGCATCTGGCATCTGGCATCTGGCATCTGGGACAGAAGCGAGAAATTTGCGAAGGCTCTGTTCCGCAGTCCATGCTCCATGCCGCCAAGGTCGCCGGCAGATGGGAAAGAGCCGGCGGCCAATTGAGCGAGAGAGATGAAAATTTTGGAAGCTGCACTTTGGAACTCTGGCGGACGGCAGGCAGGCAACGCGGAGAGAGGGGGTGGGGCGGAAGAGAGTACGCGGGCCGGGGCCGTGGTCAGACTGGGAAGGTTCGGTGGAGCATCCTGCCAGTCTGCCGTTCAGGTCCAGGAGTCTAGCATGCTGCCGGTTTGCTGTCCGCGGGAGCGCAATGCAATATTGGTCTGCACTGGCACCAAATCCGAACAATCAATACCGGTCCTCGTGCTCCGTCTTTCGTCCGTCACCAAACTCCGCGAGCGAGAGTGCCGACCGAGCACGCCAAGACCAGAATTCGAGTTTGAAATAAGGAGGCGGGTAGCAGCAGACAGCAGCTGATCGCCGTGGCGGCTGTAGAAACCCACCACCAATGACCAGCCGATATCCCGGGTGGCTTGGGACACCACTTCAGTGCACGAAAATAAAAAATAAGGCTGGTATGTTCGAGTATATGCGGTAGGTACTCCGTACAGGGGACGGATGGGCTGACATTACTCCGTACCTCAACGCAACTTCGCGACTCCCGAACTTGACTCCTAGTAAACTCTCCCTCTACCAGTTCCTCGACCTCCCAGAAACATATAGCTATTCCAGCCCGCCGTGCCCGATAGGAATTCGGTTTCAATCGAATAACCAGCATCATCATCTGCCCAAGAGTAGCCATCCCAATCATGCTCCTGGCCGTTGATATCAATCCACTTCATGTCCCTCATGTACGCGGCGTATTTCCAACCATCCCTGGCCGGACGGCCACTGCCCATTTCAGTGGCTGTAGGCAGCCCGTCAATGCTGTAAACCTCTCCGTGAAATGAGAAATTGCTTGATCTAGTGGCCAGCGTGTTTCTTGGATTTACGCCTTCGAGAGCGAATAGTGAGGCAGGGTAACAACCAATATAACGACCCATGGTGTAGAGCCACCAGCAACCGTTGTGAAGCCTGTATCTGAGTTCGATTTCCTCCTGTCTCCCTCCTTGGACGGAGAAGGCAGCGATGGGCATGCCTGGGGAGATTTCCTTGTCGTACTGGAACCATCCCCTCTCGTAATTTTCGTCGACACCTGTCTCATATCCATCAGTGGTATAGTAAGTAAATAGAACAGGTCCTCCCTTGTCCGCAGCAGGATAGTATCTCCAGCCAGCTTCGACCGTCTGTTGCCATTTAACTGTGTTATTAGAGTGGTCGAATTCCACGTACATGGCAGCAATTTGCAAAAGGGACTGGTCTCCGTCTTGCTTGACAAACGGTCTGTGGGTAGAGATGTAGGCGCCGCCGCCGAGGTTCCAATCATATGAGGAAGAATGGGCGTACCAATGCTTGCCGCGGACACTAACAGCACGAGCATGAAGCTCAGTCGCGTTGAAGTTGTCGTCTCGGTAAAGAGGAGCTGGTTGCTTCATTGGAACATTGTTTTCGACTCGCACAATTGGAACGGTTCCGTCAGGACCCTGTGCTCCAAGGCCGAGGGTAACATTTCGTCCAAATTTCTCCTTGTCCGCTCCCGCGTGCGGTTCTAAGGGGGGCGTGAAAACTTTACCCTGGGACTCGCGAGTGACCCAGTCTATGGTGATTCCATTCTCTTTGGTGGTTTTGACAATGTTCAGCTCAGCCTTCTTATCGGCCGACGGTGCGGCTGCGGTTGATTCAATTAGCGCAACGAGGGTTGCTGCCTTGACGATTTCCCAACGCATAGCTGATGATGAATGGTGTGTTGGACTATAGCGCGAGGCTGCCATTCTCAAAACTCCGATCATTAGCTTCGACTTATATATTCACAGATTTTATCCACCCATGAGACCAGGAATTAATGTCATAGCTACAAGAAGTGTGTAACGAGTCAAGTCCAACACGATAAAGTCTAAAAAGCAGTGACTTCGTCTATTGCTTCGTCTATTGCATTGACTGCACTATATATAATGAGTCAGGTCTACCATAACAGGTTGTGGTGCTGGTGTTTAGTTAGGTATATTTAATGACAATACTCTGTAGTCTGCTTGGATCTTTATATTAAGGGGCCTGGTTTACTCTAAACTCTTTGCCTTCACAGTATCAATGCGCCTACTAGGCTTCATGAGTCAAGTCTGTCAGCAGAAAAAAAAAAAGGGTGCATGCAACTGTGTGTGTAATTGCGCAGTATAAAAGGTCAATTTGCGTCTCTAATTGCTGGAGCGCGTTCCACTTTTGCGTAGTGCAGTTGACCTGGCGATTTTCCGCCGACAAAGTCCAACACGATAAAGTCAGAGACCTAATGCTCGCCTAAGCGTTTAGAGGCCTGTGGGGCACACTCACTCTTAATTTAACTTAACACAACAGCATAACAGCTATCTATAATAGTATGGCAGCTACTAAAATAGCATTAAACTAGCGCCTAAAAACCCTATATATATATTAAGGTGGGTGTTCTAAGCAGAGTAGACAGTGGTGTAACAGTGGCTTAGGTTCTAAGACACAGTAGGTCTATTTCTTAGGAAGTAAGTTAGGTTAAACGCTATAGAGTAGCTATTAAGAGTAGCTATTAAGCAGTATTAATAAGGCTGTTAAGAGTATAACTCTTAATAGTAAAACTATTGCTTAGATTAATTAATAGAGAACTAAACTATCTACTACAGCAGAATACCTTCTTCTTAAGTACTTATCTATCTCTCTATTGTAAACTAATAATTACCTTAATTATTTGTCTATCTATTAATCCCTAACTTATAGCAATTAATAAGTAATTTAATAATTACTTAGCTTACAGTAATTAATAGGTAATTTATTAATTACTTTGTAATTATGTAACTTAGTATGTAACGTCTTAGTTCTCCCTTGTTATAGCTGTGCCTTCCCTAGTGCGGCCTAGTCCTTCCTGCGTTTAGTAACGTTTGTAATATTATGCCCCTCCTCTATTAGTCTTGTCCTTAAGGCTATTAAAGCAGGCTGTCTAAGGTCCTAGGGTAACTTTCTTCTTCTATTATTATGTGCTATTATGCCTGCTAATTATATTGTTAAGCAAAAGTTAAAGGCTTCTAAGGCATTAGTTCTTTATTGCAACAATCTTCTAGCGGCTATTCTTGCGAGTTCTTTTCTTCTAACTATACTGTTTTATTCTGCTTGCGAGAGCTATAGTATTCTTAAATGTTAAGTTTCTCCTTCTAACTCCTCTTAATATATAGAGTATGTTTATTTAAACTTATTATAGTGTAACATTTAGGGAGTGTTTCCTGCTTAGTTGCAAAATATTGCGTCTTAATATATTAAGTTAGAGCATAAGCTAGAAGAGGCAGAAGAGAAGGTTCTCTGTCTTTAAAAATAAAAGAAATTGTAGTTTAAGAAAATAATATATATAGTTGCATATAGTATTAGTAATATTAAAGAGTTAGAATGTATAGAGCATAAGGAAGCTAAATAGTTTTAAAAGAATACTAGTGTTCTTTCTACTTCTTTAGATAATTTAGATTCTACGTTAGTTTATTTCTTAAATGCTAAGTTTAATATTAAGTTGTTAGGTAGTACTTAGGCAATTAATTAGAATGCGCTTCTTAGGACTAAAACTATTAAAGCAATATTAAGTAGTTTGTAAGGTTGTTAGCTAGTTTCTATGTGTTTTCTAAGTTTAAATATTTCTTTTATTTAATAAGATAATGATAATTCTTTTTATCTTCTTTAGCTCTAAGTATTTATTTAACTTTATATTTGCTGTTATTTTCTGTTGTAATATTTATAGTAATTATAAATTTATCTAGTGCTTTCTCTAGCAATAATATATAAAATATTAAATAGATTCTTATTCTATCTAGCAATAATAATTTATAGTTAGTTTCTAATATTTTCTGTTTAATAAGGAATAGTCTAATTTTCTTCTAGTTAAGTTTGTTGCTAGGTTGTTTTATTTTAATGTTTTTGCAAATAAGGTATGCTTTATGTCTCTCCTCTAAGATTAGCGCTAGCAATCTCTTTTTGTCTGCATAGTGCTTTATTTAGTTCTGCAAAAATATCTATTTCTATTGTAAGTATTTCTGCGTTTCTATAATCTTTACTGCATGCACTATAGCTGCTAGTGTGTGCACACTGCGTGCTGTATATGTTTTAATAATAGAGTTATATCTGTAATTTGCCCTAAATAGTAACATCTTTATGTTATTAATCTTAGAGCTATTGTAAGCCTATTATGCTAGTAGTAGCTATTCTACCTAATTATTCTATTAGTAGTTTATATAGCTTTATAGGTATTATTTAAGTATTTAGTTTAGTATTTCTATTTGTCTGTCTAATTGTAGGTAGAATGCTATTAATAAGCTCTATTTAACTCTTATAGTTTCTATAAGGTATTTCTAAAAGTTTAACGTGAATAATTTGTCTTAATTTAATATAAGCTTTATTAGTAATTTGTATTATATAATAACTATTTTAAAGAATATATATGCTAAGTCTTTAGTGTTACTTAATTCTATATAAGAAATATAGTAAGCATACTTTATAAGTTTGTCTATAATAACTAGAATGCTATTATAAGCTACTTCTATTATTAGTTCTTTTGACTTTAGTAGTTTAACAATAAAGTCTATTATAACAGTTTGCTATACTCTATCTAGTAGTAATATTAGTTGTAATTCTCTATATAGTGCGTATTGCGCTGATTTTGCTTTATTGTATATATTACATTTTCTAATAACTTCTTGCACTATTTTTCTGCTTTCTAGGAAATTATATAATCTTCTTAATCTATTAAGTGTCTTCTCTACACTTTAATATCTATATAGTAGGTGTTTATATATCTCTTTAATAAGCTGCTCTTAAAGTATACTAGAAATATACTAGCGTTTATTGTATAAGAAAGTCTCTCCTTTCTTAGATAAATGCGTTTTTGTTTCCTAATTATCTAAGTAGCTGTTATTCTTAATGCATAATGCGATCTTCTATATTTATATTTTGTCTAGCTTAACTTGCTATATTATGCTAACTTCTTAGGTGCTTAATATAAAGTTTCTATTCTTAGTAGCGTATAGTAAGAGTGCATTACTTACTTACTCTTCTGATTTTAAATTCTCTCTTTAGCTAAGTGCGTCTGCTCTTCTGTTTTTAGATTCTTTATAGTATATAATCTTAAAGTTATAATCTATAAGGGTTTTATACTATTTAATTTGTTATTTATTTAGATCCTTTATAGTTAAGAATAATATAAGATTCTTGTAATTAGTATAGACCTTAATTTAATGCTTTACTTCTATAAGATAATGTCTCTATTCTTTAAAGCACTTAATAATAGCTATAAGTTCTTTATTGTAAATTCTATAATTTAATTCTAGTCTGTAGAGTTTCTTTAAGAAGAATATAACTAGATGTAATCTTTTTTAGTTGTCTTATTGTCTAAGCTGTCCGCTTAGTGTAAAGTCTAAGGCGTTTGTTTTAAGCTTATAAGGTTTGTTCTAATTAAGTGCTTTTAGCATAGGTTCTAATATAACTAACTCTTTTATTTTCTAGAATGCTTTAGCTTCTTTATTAGTCTATTAAAATCTAATTTCTTTCTTTATTAAGTTTGTAAGAAGTTATAATATATCTCTATATCTACTTAGGAATTTCTAGTAAAAGTTTATAAATACTATAAATCCTCTAACTTCTTTTAGGTTTATTAGTATTAGCTATTCCTTAATAGTTTTAATTTTATCTAGACTTATTTATATCTTACTATATATAAGTATATATTCTAGAAAGTATATAGTATTCTAGTAAAACTAGCATTTTAATGCTTTAACTAAGAGTTTATTGTCTTATAGAGTTTATAGTATCTTATGTATATATTGTTTGTATTTCTTAAGAGTATTTAAATAAATAAGGATATTGTTAAGATATATAACTATAAATACTCCTAGTTGTTTCTATAGTATTATATTAATTATTCTTTAAAAGGTTGCTAGTGCGTTAGTAAGCCTAAAAGGCATTACTAAATATTTATAGTGTTCTCTGCTAGTTCTAAATGCTGTTATCTATTTATAGCCTTTCTTTATTTATATAAAATTATAGGCTTCTTTTAAGTTAAGAGTAGTAAACTATTTAGCTTTTCTAACTTTATCTTATATTTCTGTTATAAGCAGTAATAAGTATTAATCTTTAATTATAATCTTGTTTAAGTATTAGTAATTAATATATAGTTATAGTTTTCTATTCTTCTTTAGTACCTATAGAATTAGGTATTCTGCTAGGGACTTTAATAGTTATATATATTTCTTTTGTAATATATTCTCTAGATACTTCTTAAGCGCTTAGTCTTGCTTAGAGTTCTGCAGATAAATTCTGCTGAACGTTAGTTTAGTACTAGGCTAGACTTTAATCTTATAGTTCTAGCATATATACTCTAGTAGTTCTATTTCTAGCTCTCTGCTAAACAGCTTGCTGTACTGTAAGTATTTCTTAGGAATCTCTATTATATTAGCTTTTAGCTCTCTAGCAATTATATATATTTCTAGAGGCTTATTATAGTTTAAATAAGGTGCCTTTTATAGGCTGCTCTCTATTTTATAACTACATCCTAGTAAATCCTATTAAAGTTAGCTAGTTCTCTAATTAACTTGTAGATTGCTTGCTTGCAACTAGGGTATTCCTAATATAACATTATGTTTTAAGATTACTATAATATCTAATATAACCTAGTGTTTTGTGCTTTATATATTAATAGGGAGATTTGCAATTTCTATGTTAACTACTTCTTAGC